TTTCATTGTCGCCAAAGTCGTACACGATGTGCTCTAAAATATCCTTATCCGCCACAAAGCCTAACGCTCTGAAGGCGATAAAGATCGGGATATCCGAGCGAATATACGGCAACGTCACGTGTAACGGACCCGGAGAGTTCTTCCCTTGTCCGTGTAATTGTTTCACCACACACGCCGACGCGCCTCGAATACCGGATTCCGGCTGCGAGCGACACTCCGAGACATACAACACCTTGCTCGGTTGACGCTTCATAAACACGTACACAGAGTTCGCTGCCATGCGTTCTTGCGCGATTAATACTTTCTCAGAACCGTTGATGATGAAATATCCACCTTCATCGTACGGACACTCCCCTAACTCGGTCAACTCCTTATCCGTGTGGTCGTGTAAAGAGCAATACTCCGAGCGCAACATAATCGGCACTTTTCCGATGAACACTTTATTAATGTCTTCAATTTCTTCGTTAATTTTCTCTCCTCCACCTTCTTCTTCGCTATTTTGAGTCACGGTGGTGATTTTCTTCCGCATATCCACGTACAACGGCGCCGAATACGTCAAGTTTCGCAACCTCGCCTCTTTCGGAAACAACGTCGACGTCATCCCGTCCGCTTCCGTCACCATCGGTTTCGATAAGTAAATCTGCCCAAACGACACCGACACCGTCTTCTTCTCGCTTTCATCCATCTCTTCCCCGGGAACGTGTTGATGTTCCGGACTTAACTCAAAAGTAGACATCTCGTCCACGATTTCCTGCATCGTGTGTTGAATGAATTCGTTGAACGAATCCAATTGCTGTCGAACTAAACCTTTCTCCTCGAAAAAAGCCGAGATGACCGTCCAGGCGTCCTCCTGTTTTGATGATAACGAACGCAAGAAAGAAAGAAAGAAAGAAAGAAAGAAAGAGGTCAGTTAAGTTGCGATCCAACGCGTAACACGCTCTCCCGAGAGAGAGAGAGAGAGAGAGAGAGAGAGAGGAAGAACAAAAAAGAAAAGCAGAGAGACACATTCAGAGAGAGAGAGCCGTCTTCGCTCGTAGGATTGATCGTCGTCCTCTCTTTCGACTTTGAGAGAGCGAGAGAAGACGTCTCACTCTCTCTCTCTCTTCTCGCACACATGGTCAAAAGAAGAGTTTCGAGTGATTTGGCAATTCGCACAACAACAACGCGCGGTAGAAACCACCAGCGATGACGACGACGAAGGAAGACGATGTGATGTGATGATCATCATCTCTCCGCCATCTCTGCGATCAAAAGGGAGAGAAAAACAGAGAACACGTATACACTCGACAAAACGTACCTGACCGATCTCCTCGTCCTCGTCCATCGTCACCATCCCTTCGTCGGACATTTTGTCGTCGTCCTCTTTTGTCTGCGTTTCTCGCCAACCCGCGAAAGAGACAGAGAGAAAAGGATTTGTGGTGACGAAATTGGAATTGAATTCCTTCTTCCCAAAGAGAAAAGGTTCTTTGTAAAAAAGGTTGAAATTTTCAAAGCTGCTTTTTCTTCAAACGGTGTTGTTACAAAATTTTAATTCTTTCTCTCTCCGAGTTCTATTTTGTCTCTAAGACGAGCGACTTCTTCTTTGAATTTCCTTATCGACGGAATCATTTCCCGCGCCGTATTCGATGGCTTCCAAGTACCTGCGCAAAAAAAACTTCGAGCGCGGGGAAAGCGCGTTTGTATTCTTCGCCCACGTCATGCCGGGCTCGACGACGGGTTCGAGGAAGTCGTACACGCCTAAAGCGACAAAGTGTCGAAACCAATCCGCGATAGGTTCGACGCCGGCTTGGAGTAAAATAGACGGAACGAACGCGATGTTGTTCTTCGTCATGGATAACAACGTTCTCGACAACGGCTTGAAGCGAATGACGTCTTGCAAAAACGGTTTCAAAACATCGTCGCCGAGATTTTGCATGACGCCGAAATTGATGCGCATCAAATCGTTGATGAAGGTTTTCGAGGACGAAAAAGGAGACGAACTGCTGCCGACTTGAACGGACATGCACCTTTGAAATAACCACGCTGCCGATAAGGCGGGTTGGTACGCGTTGATTGTACCCAGTGCCTTCTTATCGACGATATCAGCTTCCAACGCTTCCGTCAACGCGAGCGATATGCGCGGTAAGTGGCGCAACATGCACGCCAAGCCGCCAAAGCTGAGCGGAGATTGCATTCCCGAAGCGTCGCCGATTTGTAACACGCGGTCGAACTGTGCTTTCAACGGTGAATTCCTATATGTCGGGAAATATCCAAACAATATGCGCTTGAACTCGACATCATCCAGTGAATTCAAGTTTTGGTACTTGGGCATTAAGTTCCAATAGTCGTCTAAAATACGAGCGATGGACGGTCGCTCTGGCTTCGCGTCCAAGTAGGAAAACATGTACGTCGTTCGAACGTTTGACGTGTTGTTTTTATGACTGTTCTTCTTCTTCTTCTTATCTAACTCGGCTGGAAACGCTTCCCAAAAATATTGTCTTTCCTCGGAAATATCAGTACACGTATAAATCAAATCTGCCGAGACGTTCTTCGCCTCGTCGAAACCTTCCGCGCACGTCCCGACAACCACGCACACGCCGTCCGGTTTCTCTCCATTTCTCGCCTGTAACGTAATTGGTGATCCAAACCCCATGGCGTCTACGACTAATCTTGCTTCTATCGTTTCCGAACCAATATCTAACCGCGCGCACTCGTGCTTCTCTTCTTCGTTAATCGTCACGCCGTTCAAAGAAGTCTCTTCAAACACAACCCCTCCGTTCAATTCGAAATTTTCGCGACACTTTTCGATCAACCTCGTCGGCGATACCCCGCAATTCAACACGTTCTCTGTCACGATTTCGTTCTCTTCTTGTCTCCTCTTTCCAGTGCTATCGTAAAACCCGCACTTAATCGGATTAAACTCCCCGCATATCACCTCGTCCAAATCCTCCTCCGTCAACACGTTCAACGCGCACAGCACGGACAGTTCTTTCCTCGTCACGTTCCACTCTTGCTCGCGACCTTGCAGTTTCCCGCGCTCGATGACGCCAACTTTCAAATTGTTTTCTTTCTGTTGCAACGTCGCGGCGAGAAGAATCCCGAGCGTGCCGCCGCATACGACGACGTCAAATTTTTTTCCTTCTTCTACTTCTTCAACCGTCGTCCGAATCGTTTTCACAAACTCTCTCACACGCCTCGTTTTTCCTTCGCTGCTCTTTATCCGCTTCCAAATACCATCGACTCTTTTCAAACTGTCCACGGTCGTTTGTCCACCCGCACCGAACGCTTTTTCGTTTCCCGTTGTCCTCCGCGAGGCTATTTGCTCCGCGATGCGTTTCGTCGTTTCCGATAAAATCTCCTCCTCGTCGTCGTCGTCGTCGTTCACTTTCGCATCGTCATTTTTAGATACAAAAATCTTCCTTCTGCTCTTTCTCCCCAAAGACGACAAAGACTGCTTTTTTGACGAAGACGACGAAAAAGAAGAAGAAGAAATCGTCGGAGCACCACTCGCAGCGTTGTTCAAAGCAGAGCGCGAAAGAAACGTAGTCATTTCTTCTTCTCTTCTAAACTTCGCGCGCAATAAGGAACGAGAGGATGAGATGATTTTTGTTCTCTGATGAATTTTTTGTTTTTTTTCACACGTCGTTCGTTGTCTCTGTGTTGTTGTTTTGTGAGAGAACAGAGGAGAGAAAAAACCAGACCAAAAGAGAGAAAAAACAGAGAAAAAAGAGGATCGAAAAAAGACCAAAAAATCTCCGCTCTCGAGGCGAGTCAGCAAAACGAACGCAAGAAGAGACTTACTTCTCCCTATATTTATACGCACACATCATTAAGAACAGAGAGTGTACATAACAGAGAAGGGACGCTTTCTCTCTCTCTTTTTGTACCGCGCTGTTTCTGTATATATCATGAGATATCAATTCTTTCCCTCTCCCCGAGGAGGAGGCGGCGGAGGAGGAGGAAGAGAAGAGGACGACGACGTGAATAATGCATCATCATCATCATCGGTTGTTAAAAAACCTTCCAATGCTTCCTCTGATTCGTCTTCTTCCGAAAACACGTCGCCGGGTCGGTCGTCGACGTCCTCGAACACCGCGACGACGACGACGACGACGACGACGACTTTGGGGATGTTGATGAAAGGAGGAGGAGTTCATCAACAACAGCCAGCGCAACAAGGAGTGAGGAGATGGCCGCCGGAAAACGCGCACACCGCGCTGAGACTTTTGTTGGAAACGAGATGGGTGGCGAAATTGTTCCCCGAGGAAGAGGAGGATGAAGACGACAAAGAAGGCTTTAACGATGAAGACGAAGGAAAGAGAACGACGACGAGCAGCATCAGCGGCAGCGAGGGCGATTCAGACGACGACGACGCGAAGAAATTGAAAAAGAAGACGAACAAGGACGAGAGGAAAGAAGACTCGATTCGAAGACTGGAATCGCGATACCGAGGGATTAAAGTCGATTTACTCGACGCGCCGAGAGAGTGCGCGATGCGGACGTGTTTGGTGCACTGCGGCGCGCGAGAGGCGAAGTTGGAAGGCGTCGACGGGAGAGAGGAGGAAGAGATGGGGGACGCAGAGACGATTCACGTTGGAGCGGGAGGAGGAGGAGGAGCGACGATTCAGACGACGACGGAGATTTTGAATAGCAATAAAGTCAACGAAGTCATCGACGACAGGTTTAAGATTAGGAGTAAAACGGCGAAAGTCGGGGTAGAAATCGTCAAGAAATGTTTGGATATGGACGAGGAGAGTCACGCGCAACACAATCAACTGCAAGCGAATAACGGTCAACCGCCGCCGGCGAGACACTTTGTAATGAGGATGTTGTTACCAACTGGGCAGTGCGGACAGTGCATCGGGAAAGGCGGGGCGAACATTAAGCGGTTGAGAGAAAAGGCGCCGAGGTGCGAGGTGAAAATACACGACGTCGGGCAGATTCCACCGTGCGCGACCGCGGAAGATAGAGTGTTGGAGATGATTGGAGCGAGAGAGGATATTGAGATTGTCGCCGCGGAGTTGTTCGAGACTTTATCGTATTTCCATTTCGACAAGTCGGTTTTACCGTACTTTGTGTCTTTGGCGGTATGCAATAGATCGCCGCAACAAATATCCGCGGTCGTGGATCAGTACGGGAGGACTGTGGGAGGCGCGAATAGAGTACACACGCCGCCGAACATGGCAGCCGCCGTGAATGTCAGTTTCCCGCATCAACAGTTCCCAGGACAGTCGCAGCTCATGTCTATGGTTGTTCCCTCTCCCATGTTGGTACCGACAACGATCGTTTCACCGCCGTATAATCCCGTGATGGTCAACCACGCTGCCGCGGCGGCGGCGGCGTCGACTGGATCAATCGGGAATGGCGCGTTTCAAGATCCAGTTGCCGCCGCCGCGCAGGCGCAACAAGTCGCCGCCGCACAGATGATGCAACAGCAACAGCACCTTCATCATCAGCAGCAACAACAAATGCATCAGCATCAACAGCAAATGCAGCACCAAATGAACGCGCTCAGCTTTGCGCCTGATTTTCTCGGCGGCTTTGGCATGCCGTCGACCAACATCGAGAGTACGGGAGGAGGCAGTGGCTTCGGTGGCGCCTTTGCGCCTACGGCGCACGAAATGGCGACAAACGCAAACGCGCCAGTCGCGGCGTTCGGTCAAGCGCGAGCGATGAGATACAATCCAGTGGCCATTGGTCCGGCTGGAGTGCCGCTCGTACCAGTCGCAGCGGCTACCCTGTCGGGCGAGGTTCCAGTTTCCGGCGTTCCAGTTTCCGGCGCGATAAATCCAGCTATGGCGTCCATGTTTTCTGGCGGCGGATTTCCCGTCGCCAACCTTTCACATGGATTGGAGGTACCAGATATCGTCCAAACGACCACTCCGGCGGGGGCGACTATGCCAGTCATTCCAACGCAAATGCTCGCGCACAGCAAAGAAGACAAGGAGGATACGACGAACCGGTACGCGCAGTTTTTCACATCAACTAACAATAAACTGAACGTCTGGTCTGACAACGGCGATGTCGCGGCGCCAAACCCAGACCCTCTGAATATCATCAATTTTCTCCCCGGGGACGATTTATACGCGTTCGATGAAGATGCAAACGGGAACGTCAATTATGCGCAAGCGGTTCCAGTCGTCAACGACGAACAGGACGAGTTCACCGAGATGGCGAAAATTTCCATCCCAAAGACATCTCTTGGCATCGTCTTGGGCGAAGGTTCTGCGAATACGAGAGTTGTCGCGAGAATGTCCGATTGCTACATTTCCGTCGCGGTTGATCCGAATCCAAACGCCGAAGAAGCGACGATTTGCATGCTCGGTAAAACAGAAGACGCGGTTGAAAATGCAAAAGACGCTCTCGAAGCGCTCGCCTTGGGCGCAGAAAGCCATCCGCATTATTAAGAAAAGAGATGCGATTAAAAAAGGAGAAGAAGAAAAAGAAGAAGAAAAAGAAGAAGAAGAAGAAGAAGAAGAATATCACTATCATTATTATTATTATCAAACAAACAATTGTTTCAAGTCAAAAGAGAAAGGCAGTCAAGTAAAAGTCAACGCAAAGTAGAGAATTGTGTAACATCAAATCAATATTATTTTAAAAACAGTACAAATCTATTAACAACAGCATCATTATCATCATACAAATCTCCTTTACACGCGAGATTTAGAGATGATTTATCTCACGTCCATCAACTCTATGTCAAACAACAATGTCTTATCGATCATCCCTTGATTTTCCAAGACGAAGCCGAGCGCTCTTTCTCCCGAAAAATTATTCGGTTTCGGTTTCATCTTCTTCCAATTCTTATTCTCCGGATACGCCAAACCGGAATTCGGCGGCACGATAATCCTTCGTATCCCTCCGACTTTCATTCCAACGATCGCCTCTCGAAACGCGGGCAACACGTCTAAATCGTCCGCTCGAAATCGGAAAAAATCTTTATCCTCGTTGAACGCGCCGCCTTTCGGGCCGTTTCTCGCTTCAAACGGTCTCCCGTAATACCCCAACGTGTACCCGTCCCAATCAACCACGGCTATTTTCGACTCATCTGTGTACTCTTTCCCTTCTTTCGAACCTGGTCTGACGTCTTTATACTGTAAACCAGACTGGGTTCGCGTAAAATCTGAGTATAAAACTTCCGACTTCCCGTAGTCTTTGTCTTTGATGCCTTCCATGAAGGTTTTGTTCCCGAACGGTTCCGACGACGATTGAGACGACGACGACAAAGAAGAAGAAGGCGGCGTCACCACGATCGTCTCCGCGACTTCCGAGACCGTCTCCTCCAACTCCTGCGCCGCAAAAACAGGCGCAGAAGCAGAAGAAGTAGAGAGCAAAATCATCGTCAAAGCCTCCCTTCTCGTCTGTTTCATCGCCGATGATTCATTCTTCTTCCTCCCGTGAGTATTCTCGCTTTTGCTCTTCCTCGCCGTCGACGGTTTCGCGCAGACGCGGCACGACGCAGCACTCGTCGTCGTGGCAACCGCGCGCATTATTACGTGTTATCGTGTGTTCTTCTCGTACTAAAGTAATATAATGAAGATATGAATACATTTCGTATCTCTTTCCGTTCCTCACAACTGTCACATTTCATCTCGCTTTGAATTTGCGAATCAAAAGCATCGATGGAGAACGAAGCGCGGCGGCGTTTTCCTCCTCCGAGAAGCGAAGAAAAAGAAGCGTCGTCGAGAGATCGCGCCAACGGCAGCACCAATAATAATAACAACTTCTTCGAGCGGTTCCTGAAACTTTCGTCACTCCGGGAAAAACTGGAACTGGTGAAAGAAAAAGCGGAGAGGAAAAGGAAACAGAGAAGAGGATGGACGGAGAAGAAGGAGGAGCGTTTGTGTCCTCTGCCGAACGTGATTCGAGTCGAGAGCAACGCTGGTGCCTCCTCCACTTCCAACGCTTCCTCTTCTTCTCTCCCGGAAATATGGCGAGCGAGGAGGCAAAACTTGGAAAACTGCTTACAAGGAGAGTGTGTCAAGCGAGAGAAGTTGAGAGAAATCGTCGCGGATGGATTCGTACCGGACCAACCTTCCTCGGTGAGGTACGACGTGTGGTCGTATTTGCTTCGAGTTGTACCCGAGGCGCGTCGAGAACGAGAAGAGGAGAGAAGGAAGAAGCGGGAGACGTACGAGGCGTTCGCGGAGGAATTGGCGAGTTGCGTGCGAACGCCGGACGTGAGCGTGGAAATGACGTATAAATACGAGGACATAAAGTCGCCGACAAAGTCGAGAGCGACGAGAGTGGCGGTAGAGTTGAAAGTGAAGCAAGTAAACGAGGAGGATAAGGACATATTGGAGCAAATCGAGAGAGACGTGGAACGATTGCATCCGTCGTTGCATTTTTTCAACGACGAAATCGAGGCCGCACCGAAACGAAAAGATATGACGGAAGCTTTGTTTGTATTTGCGAAATTGAATCCGGGTTTACGTTACGTCCAAGGCATGCACGAATTGCTCGCTCCGTTGTATTTTGTCTGCTTTAACCACCCGGATAAAAACGGCGTCGCGAAAGACGCCAAATCGGATTCGTTTTGGATGTTCGTCGAGTTGATTTCAGAGTTGAGAGACGCGTATTGTAAAGAGCTCGACAAAACGGACCAAGGAATCAATCATTTACTTTCCGAGCACGACAATTTGTTAAGGAATCGATGCCCAGCAGTCGCCACGAAAATGATCGACGAGTTGAACGTGAAACCTCAATTTTACGCGTTTCGATGGTGCGTGTTGATGTTCGCCGGCGAGTTTGACTTCCCGTCTGTTTTAAGAACGTTCGACTTTCTCGTCGCCTGGCCTAGAGGTAAACGCGACGCTCTCTTGCGTTTGTGTTCCGCCATGGTATGTAACGTACAAAAGGAGTTGTTGGACGAGAATTGCGACTTTGCCGTCGCCATGCGCACGTTACAAAACTATCCCGCGTGCGACGTGAATAAGATTATCAAAATAGCCTGCGCGTTCCCGTATTTAGCTGCTTCTTAAATAGTTAAGAAGAACAATCATCATCGATAGTAAATGTGATGATCCTATTTTTAGTGCTGCGTGTATAGAATACTACGACGAATTTATATTTGCGTTACGCGCTCTCTAAACAATAATATACCACTTGCTACTCAACATTCATCTCTCTCTCTCTCTCTTAAACTTTACACCGCCGACCTTGCTTCCCTCCTCGTCGCGTCGTGTAAAATATCCACGTCCACGCTTTCCTCCGGTGGTTGCACGTACCTCACCACGCTTCCTCGGACGAAGCAATCTCGCACTGATTTCATGTGTGGATATTTCTCCTCGTCTAAAACCGAAACGGATTCCAATTTAATGTTCAAGTACTGATCGACGGAGACTAACGTCCCTCGGATTTCCAGGTCGTTTTTTAACTCCACCGTGATTTGTTTTCCCACCAACGTTTTAAAGAACGAGTAGAATAACATTCTCAGTCCTCTCTCACTCTTTCTCCGCGTTCAATATTTGCACGGCTCAAGAGAAAAGCGCTCGTGTAGTCGCGTGGTATTCCTCTTCCTTTTCAGACTGAATTTTGAGGAAAATTCTTTCCCTTGAGTTTGAGGAACGCAAAAAAAAAAGTGTTTAGGGTTTAAACAAAGCAGCCAATTAAATTCTCACTGCAAAGGGGCAAAAGGGGGAAAGAATTTGAGCATTTGTCTCACTCCATGTGCGCGCAGAGGTCACGCACACGCGCGTAAGAAGAAGGTAAGAAGACAACTCCGTACATGTTGGCACGCGTGCGAGAAGTTATCGTTCCCTCGGCGCCGGAGTACGAGAAGAAGTCCTCCTCCTCTTTGATACTCTCATCGTCGTCATCGAATGATGAAGTGATAGAACTGTCAATAGTCGTGTCCCCGGACGTGGAGGACGAAGCGTGCAAAGTGCCTAAATTGACGAACGATTACGTCTCCGTCGCGCTGGATATGGCGTGCGAGAAAAACGCTTCGACCGAGAACGACGACGACGACGAGTGCGAGAGAGTTTCGGATTCGTATTATTCGGAGAGGAGTTTGAGAGGGTCGTCGTTTTTAAGCGCGCTGAAACGAAGATTCGTGTGGACGATGGCAAAAATCGACGTGAAAACCGCTCGCGTGCGCCCGATGATACTCGCGAGCGGGAAACGAATTCTCTCTTCGATTGGTCGAGAACTCGCGAGGCAGTTTCCACCGATCGAGACGTACGTGATGGAGAACGTGTTGATGCGGAGAGCGATGGAGGAAGAGGAAATGGCGATTTTGAATCCAGACGCGAGACGCGCGTTCGAGGAGAGTTTGATGTTACAGAGCGGGAAAAGCGACACGGATAGGGAAGAAGAAGGAGAGGAGGAAAGGAGGAAGGTAACGAAAGAAGTTGAAGAAGAGAGTATTTTGGAAGCGCCGATGGTGGTGGTGACGAGTAGGAAGAAGGTGCGGAATAAGAGGAGTTGGTTGAGAGGAAGTTCGATGGAGGAGGAGGAAGCGTCTTCTTCGTCTTCTTCTTCGACACCGGTTTTGGCGGGCGACGCGGACATCGAGCCGCCGGCCACGCCGCCTCAAAAGGAAGAAGAGGGTAGTATTATTCAATTGCCACCTCAAAAAGAGCTCGCGGCGATTACGAAAGCGAAGCAAAGGTTGCGAGAGGAAGAAGAAAAAGCCAAACGAAACGCGGTGTTGAATAGTCAAAGTAGCAATAATAGTACACCGCTGAACTTTGCGCCAGGTTGGAAGAAAGACGTGGACTTTGGCGACGGAACGAACGCGGCGGTCATATTAGCCAGTAAAAGCGACGTGAAGAGTCGGAAAATCCGACAACCAATGAAACAACAAAGCAATAGAAAAATGACGGATATGTTCGGCGGTTCGATGATGAAAGGCACGCCTTCGCCGCCCGGAAAATTGAAAAAGAACAACAACAGGAACAACGCGAGCGGGAATAATAGTGGCGCGGGTAACAACAACAAGAAAAAGTTTTCGCCGCCGAAAAGCGCGAAGAAACGCAGACAGTTCGAGGAGAGACGCTTGGCAAAGTTATTCGAGGAAGAGAAAGAAAACAAATCTAGATTGGAGTACAGTTACTACTGCTCGGCTGGCGATACCGACATCTACGTCGAAGCCGTCGTAAAACCGATCAAAGGCAAAGCGTTGTAATTTTATTTATACATGAATAAAAAACTACTGTGTACCAACTCTACACTAAAAACTAGTAATCTTTCCTACTCGAGGTGGATAAGCGCCACTCCTCCAAAGGCGAGGCGGAAAGTCTTTGTACTCTTTTCCTTTGCCACACCACCCACGCTAACGCAACCGCCGGAGATAACAAGACAAACGTGTGGTAATGTCCGTCGTCCAAGTGACATTTCCCACCCGCTGACACGCACATATCTCTTTCTTGTTTCGTGGAACACGCGGTGATCGACGACGACGACGACGACGCGCCGACGCATCGTTTCTCCGAAACGAAATCGACGAAAAACAATACAAACGTCTCTGCGATTTTCGATCCAAGGTTAGATAACGTGTTCAAAAGCGTCATGTACGTTCCACCGATGCTCTCGTCGGAAACTTTGGAAAAGAAGGACATGACTCCAACAAACTGCACCGTCGATAACGCGCTCGAGACGCACATCCACGCTAAAACCAACCCGGAAAAGAACACGTTCGAGGACGCTTTTTCGTAATTCACGGGGGCGGTCCCTTGCGCGCCGTCGCTCGCTAGAACTTTAGTCCACGCGACAACCACCACGCTCGCAAACGCACACGCGATTCCTCTGTACACGAACGTATTTAACACCACTCGCAACGGTTTCGCTCCAGCCGTCCATTTCGCTGATATCATCGGCATCATTATGTTCAACGGCGCAATCACCGCGTTCATGCTCGCCAAAAACGTCTTCGGCACGCCCTTTTCTAACAATTTCAATTGCGTTAAACTCTCCGCCGGGGAGAATGCCACGTGTCTCGTCAACAAAATCAACGCCAACGATTGCACGTTTCGTAGCGACATCACTTTTATTCCTTGCCTGTACGTCTCCTTCACTCCGACGATTTCCTCCATCCTTCCCATATCTTCCCGCTTCAAAAACACCGCCAGCGAACTCAGGAAGAACATCGCCGACCAGAACATCACGAACCCTTTCAACTCGCAATACCCTCGAGCATTCAACACTAAAAACCCGGTAAAGCTCGCAAAAAAACCAAACGTCTGGCCCACCGCGTTGCACGTGCTCGCTAAACCGACGTTTTCCCTCTTCAACATCGTTATCGCCCACCCGTCGACGGCGACGTCCTGCGACGCGAGTAAAAAGTAAATGCTAAAAAACGTCATCGCCAACGGTTTCGCGTCCCCGAATTTCGCGCCATTCTCTATCATTCCTTCCAAATTCCCGCTCAACACGAACAACGCTCCACCGACGAGGAGCTGCAACGGAATCAACCACGTTCTCCTTTGGCCGATTCGTTTCACGTATAACGCGTCGATCATCGGCGCCCACAAAATCTTCAACGAAAACGGCCACGACGCCAAGGAAAACACGCCTTGGTCGCCAAAACTGGCGCCTTTCTCCGTCAAGGAAAACGCCACGGTCGAGGATAAGCCCATCGGGACGCCTTGTAAGGTGTACAGGAGTAAGAGTAAACAGATGTTTAACCTGTCGCCGGTCAAATCCAACTTCTCTCGTTTTGGTTTTGAAGGTGTTTGTTTTCGGCCATTCGTCGTGTTCGCGTCATACTTCTTTGTCTTTGCCTTCTTCTCCGACGAGAGCAACAGTCGCTGGCTCTGTCGGCGCGCTAAAGGTTGCGCGGAGGAGGACATGATGTGTGCGCGTTGTTTTATGGCGTTTCGTTTTGTGAGAAATGTGAGAGACATCAGGTCTAGGGTTTAGGGTTACAAGTACATCTGGAGTTCCTCTTCGAGTCGCGCGCTTCTTTTCTCCGCGTCCGCGGCGGCGAGTCTCGCTTCGTTCGCCAACTGCAACGCTTTGAGTTTCATCTTCTCTTCGTTTACGAGCGCTCGTTTCAACTGCGCGTTTTCGTGGAGAAGTTTTGCGTTGTTGTGTTGGAGGACGAAGGATTGGTCGTCGACGACTTCGGTATTCGTGGAAGTAGCGGTCTTCTGACGAGAGGACGATTTCTTCGTTTGCGTGCCTTTGACGAGCGCCGGGGAGATTGGAATTAACGGTGGTTGTTGTTGTTGTTGTTGTTGTTTTCTTTCGTCGTCGTCGTCGTCGTCGCGGTAATCCTCGTCCAATCCGTTGAACGCGTCGCGCCGGCGAACCAACGTTTCTATTTTAGCGTTCGCGGCTTCCATTTTCCATTTGTACGCGTCTAATTCCGCGTGTACGACCGTTAAATCCGCTCGCGCGTTCGCGTACTTCTCCCTGAGCGTCTCTAAATCCAATTTACTCGCGTTTAACTCTTGTTCCAACTCTCTCTTCTCTCCTTCTAACTCGCGCGCGCGTTTTTTATCTCTTTCCTCGTCGCGTCGCAAACCTTCGTTTTCTCTCTCCATCCGTTTACACTCGGACGTTTGCGCGTCGTACGCTTCCGACAACGCGCTCGCGCGTTCCAAAATATCTCCCCTTTCTCTCTCTGCAACCGTTAATCTCTCCGAAACCATCGCGAATCGTTCCGCGATCCGATCCGCGTCCAGCTTATACTTTCCTGATTCCTCTTTCAACTCTGCATTTGTCTCCGATAAGCGCGCGTTTCGATCTCCCAACGCGCGTAAAATCGCTTCCAGAGATTTAATTCGAGAGGAGGACGCCCCTTCGTCGCGATAAAACGACGACGACGACGGGTCCTCCTCATTCGTCGCCGCGGTGGTAAACACCTCCCTCGCTTTCGTAAACGCATCATCAGGAGACCGTTCGTCATTTCCCCTAAAAGTGTGACTCAAATGATTTTGCATTTTCTTTTCCTCCTTCTTCCGCTTTACCTCTCGCCTCTCTCGTGTAAAAAAGCACCTTCGCCGTCTTCTTCAAAGTCGTCCTCTCGCAATACTACTACCACCACTCGTCGTCATCAAAAATCTGTTTTGTAAAACTCTTTCGTCTTCTCTCGCGATGATGCAAAAGAGAGAGAGAGAGAGAGAGAGAGAGAATGCTCTCTTTGTACTAACGACTTTTGTGAATCAGGAAACGCGTTGAAAACTTGCTTACAAAAAATTTCAAAAAATTTCTGTTTGCGTGTTTTTGAATTTTTTTTCGTCTCTCTGTGTTTTTTGTAGATGAGACAGACCCTGCCTGTGTTTTAGCTCTGACGAAGGGAAAAATTTGGGAACACATCACAATAAACGCTCTCTCTCTTCTCTCTCTCTCTCTCTCTCTCTCTCTCTCTCTCTCTCTCTCTCTCTCTCTCTCTCTCTCTCTCTCTCTCTCTCTCTCTCTCTCTCTCGAGCGACGGTTTGGAAACTGCTCTCGTTTTGTGATAATACCGCGTTTATTATTTTAAACGATGCCGACGATGGCTTCTTCTGTTTTTGTGTCTTCTTTTAATGGATGCGACGTTATTGGAAGGAGGCGTTTTAGTACGAGTGGGGGAAAAAATGAGGCATTATTAGGTCTCTGTGCGACGAGGACATCGTCATCATCTTCGCGGTCGTCGTTCTCGGGAGCGAGAAGACGACGGTTTTCGGAGACGACGACGACGAAATGCGTGTTAGCGAACGACAAAGACATCTCGAACAATAAGACGCCGGGGAAAAACAAAAAACAGCACACGGTGGTGATGAAATTCGGCGGCTCTTCCGTGGCCGACGCGGAACGGATGAGAGAAGTCGCCAACATCGTCCTGTCGTTTCCGGAGGAGATGCCAGTTTTAGTCTTAAGCGCGATGGGGAAATCGACGAACAATTTACTCATGTGCGGCGAAGAGTCTCTGAAGTGTGAAAACGCCGAAGACGTGAGCTTGATGAAACCGTTGCTGTTCGTGAAGACGTTACACGCGGAAACTATGGACGTTTTGAACGTGGATAAAGAGACCAGACGAGAGGTGAACGAACTTCTGAAGAAGTTGGAGCAAGTGTGCATGGGCGTGTGTTTGATGCAAGAGGTGACGCCGAGGACGAGAGCGATGTTAGTGTCGTTCGGGGAGCGAATGAGCACGCGGATTTTTGCGAGTTATTTGAGGACCAGAGGGGTGAACGCGAAACAGTACGACGCGTTTGAGATTGGGATGGTGACCAGCGACGACGACATCGAAAACGGGAGAGTGTTGCCGGAAACGTATGCGAATATGAAGAAGAGTTTGACGTTACCGGATGGGGCAGATCCGCAAATTTCTGTCGTGACTGGGTTTTTGGGGAGAGGTGAAAACACGGGAGCGATATCGACGTTAGGGAGAGGTGGGTCGGATTTGACCGCGACGGTGATTGGCGCGGCGTTGGCACTAGAGGAAGTGCAGGTGTGGAAAGACGTGGACGGCGTTTTAAGTGCGGATCCGAGAGAGATTGAGAATACGATTCCCATGCCGTTTCTGAGTTTCGACGAGGCGCAAGAGTTGGCGTATTTTGGCGCGCAAGTTTTACATCCGCAAGCTATGAGGCCGGCGATGGACAACGGGAGTTTACGAGTACGAGTGAAGAATTCGTACAACATTCGAGCACCCGGGACGGTGATTGGCCACATCGATTATAACAGTAGCGACGGGAAGAGCGGCGATGAAGGCGAACGAATGGACGATTGGTTATTAACTTCCATCGTTCGCAAGAAAAACGTGACAATGTTGGATATCGTTTCCACGCGAATGCTCGGTCAGTATGGGTTTCTCGCCGAAGTGTTCGCGGTGTTGCAACACAACGGCATTTCAGTGGATGTCGTCGCGACGTCGGAAGTTTCCGTCTCGTTGACTTTGGACCCGGCGAAAATTTGGAGCAGAGATTTAGCGCAGGAAGAGTTGGAGAAGGTCCAGCGAGAGTTGGAGGACGTTGGTACGGCCAGAGTCGCGGTATCGAATGGTCACTCCATAATCTCCTTAATCGGCAACTTGGAGAGAAACAACGAGATTATGGAACGCGCGTTCAAGGCGTTGAAAGAGGCGAAAGTGCACGTGAAAATGGTCTCGCAAGGCGCATCCAAGTGTAACATTTCGCTCTTAGTGGACGACGCCGAAGGTCAAAAGGCGGCGAGTGCTATTCACGAAGAGTTTTTCGGTCGGGTCGGGTTCGGGAAGAATCAACATCTGCCCGGTATGTAATACAATAATAATAAAGACGCTTTTCAGTATATAATAATGTCCAGTAGAATAATGTCCAGTAGTATAATGTCCAGCAGATATAAGAATCAAACGAAAATGTGTGTGTGTGTGTGACGCGCTCAGCGCTCTTTTTTTAAAACAAAACTACTCGGGTCGTTTATTTCTTCTTGGTGTTGCTTTCTTTCAAAGTTACGATTCTGTTCAAGACTGGTTTTGCTTTCGTCGAATCGAAATCGAACGTGAAGAACCCGAGTCTTTGTAACTCGACGCGAGCCGAGTACGGTTGGTCGGCGTGATTTTCAATCAACATCGGCTCGACCAAGGCGTTTTTGTACACGACCAAAGAGTCCGGGTTGAGTTGCTTTAACCACGGATGTTCGAGCTCGAGTTCTTTGAGTGATTTCTGCTTCGCGGCGTCCTCGTTCGCATCTTCTTCTTCTTCCTCTTCTTCTTCGTCCGCCGCCACTAACGCCGTCGCTTCTGGGACAACCTCGCCGCCTTCGCCTTCCTCGACCACTTTTCCGGGAACCGGAACCGCGAACAATTTGTCGTACACTCTCACCTCGGCCGTTTTAAACTCGGTATTCGCCCAGTGCAACTTCCCTTTCGGCGGCTTGTTCGCGCGACTATCCATATCAATTTCGCACTGAACGCTTTCGATGACACCAGTGACTGGACTTTTAGTTATTCCTGTGCACGTGATGTCGTATGCGAATAACAAACGCACTTTCTTGTTCACCGATAAACCAAAGAAGGACGGATCGTCCACCTCTCGGAAATCGTTGCGATCAATAAACACCGTCTCGGTGAGTTGGATCTTTCGCATGCCTCTTTCCTCCATGAACGACGGATGGAACGGCGCGTCCATCAACAACTCCGCCGCTCGGTCTTTCGGGTAATTCACAATCTCAACCTTTAACGGATCTAAAACCGCGAAGAAACGATTGCTATCCACGGAAAGTTCCGCTCGGATTTCGTTTTCCAAACGTTCCAACGGTTGAACGTTTTCGTTCCTCGTCACGCCCATTTTCGCGCAAAAGCTATTCACCGAGGTTGGCGTGTACCCACGTCGGCGCATGCCGTTAATCGTCAACATTCTCGGATCGTCCCATCCGTTCACTAAGCCTTGCGTGACTAACAGATTTAGTTTTCGTTTACTCATCACGTTGTACGTGATGTTGCATCGGCTAAACTCCCACGTGGACGGTTTATACACGTTCAGTTTATCCAACAGCCAATAATACGGCCCGTTCGGCGCTTGCCTCGTTTCAAACTCTAACGTGCACAACGAGTGCGTGATGTTTTCCAACGAATCGACGATATTGTGCGTGTAATCGTACGTCGGGTAAATGCACCATTTTGATCCTGTTCTCGGATGTTCCGCTTTCTTCACTCTGTACGCGGCTAAATCCCACATGGAGGTTATATCCGATCGCAAATCGCCTTTCATGCGCAAACTACACTCGCCCTCTTCACACTGCCCACTCCTCATCTTCTCGAACAACTCTAAATTCTCTTCCACCGATCTCTCTCGGTACGGCGACGCCGCGCCTTCCGGTAACTCCACCTCGTACCTATTCTCCACCCCGCTCTTAGCGCACTTCTCTTGAAACTCTCGCAACAAACTTCTACTCCTCGCCGTCTCTGTTTTCGTTTGATGGCACACGTACGCCCCTCCGCTCTTAATCAATTGAATCGCCAATTCGTACAACCTGTCGAAATAATCGCTCGAGTACGTTATCTTCGTCGGCTCGTGGCCTAACCATTTACACGAATCTTTAATCGAATCGATGTACTCTTGCTTCTCCGCGGTTGGATTCGTATCATCAAATCTCAAATACGTCTCCCCTTTGTTCAACCTCGCCACGCCAAAGTCAAAATACATCGCCTTTGCGTGCCCGATGTGCAAATACCCGTTCGGTTCCGGCGGAAATCGAGTTCGATACTTCCCTCCCGTATTTTCCATGTGTCGCTTCATGTTCTCCTCGCTGTTCTTCGCGTAGTTCGGTAACTTCGCGTCTATCTCTTTCTTCTTCGCCAGTAACTCTCCGGGTTTGTTCAAGATCAATTTGACCGCCTCTTCGCACGCGTCCTTTTGATGCTGTTCCTTTTCCGTCGTCGTCTCTTTTGTGTTCTTCTTCGTAGTATTCACATTTTTCTCTCCTCCTCCTTCTGTTTTCTCTCGTTTCACCATCTCCACCTTCGTGCTCTCCATGCACGTCTTGTACGCTTCCTCGAACAAAGGCAACGCTTTATCGTACTCTTTCAAATCCATCGCTTTCACTCCAAGTTCGAGTAAAGCGATTCCATCCAAATCTGGTTTCTTCTTCGCCGCGTTTGCGGCTTTTTTGTGCATCTTCACCGTCGCGGATTTCGACGCTTTCATCGCTGGTAGTGGTGGTTGATTTTCTTCGCTCATTTGTAGTCTCTGCGCGTGCGTTTCTTCGGCGTAAAAAAGAACGCGCTCGAGAGACTTGAACTTTACCGTAACGAGACAGAGAGAGGCACAGAGCTCTCCGGAGCGCTCTTCTCGCGCGCGCTCGTCGTGTTTCTGCTGTTTGGGGCTGTTTTTAATGAGAAAATCTCTTGTTTTGTGAACCCTTTTTCTCGGGAAAATGCGAGCGAGAAAACGTCACACTTTCACTGTGCTCTTCCGTACTTTAGAACGAAAGAGAGTTAAGGACGAGAGATTCACACGTAAGACGGAGAGAAAAGAAAAAGGATAGACTTTTCGTCGGACGCGCGTTCTTCGTTTCACCCGGTGCAAAGAAACCTCCAGGAGTCGCGCGCACCGTCATCCAAAAGGCACAATTAACTCCGGCGCTGCGATCGGTCCTTGAAAGAGTTACGAATCATGGCAACGAACGTCGACCACGGCCGAGAACCGTGCCCGCACAGAATCCTGGACGACCTCGGCGGCGCCTTCGCCATGGGCGCCATCGGTGGAGGCGTCGTCCACTTGTGCAAAGGCGCGTATAACTCCCCGCGCGGGTACATCCTCCAAGGCGGATTAGAAGCCATTCGAAGGGAAGCGCCGAGAATAGGCGGCTCCTTCGCCGTTTGGGGTGGCTTGTTTTCCATGTTTGATTGCGCGTTAGTCGCGGTGAGAAGGAAAGAAGACCCGTGGAATCCAATAGCCAGTGGGGCTTTGACGGGAGGGGTGTTGCAACTCAGGTACGGGTTGCCGTCCGCGGCGAGGTCGGCGGCGTTTGGCGGGTTTTTGTTAGCGCTGATTGAAGGGGTGTCGATCGCGCTGACGAGGCTGACGGCACCGCCGCCACCGATGCCGGAAGAGATGATGGCGATGGAAGGTGGCGCGCCGATGGGAGGCGTAAACGGCGCGCCGGGGGTAGAAGTCGGGAATCATCCGCAACAAGAAGAAAGCGGGGGGATTTGGAATAACATTTTCGGTGGTGGTAGAGACGAGGAGAAGAACGACGGGGCGCCGGCGATGCCAAAGTTCAAGGAGGAATTGGAGTGATGACATTAAAGGCAGAAAAAGAAAACGCATAAACCGTATACGCAGTAAGTAGTAGCCATATTTTAGTACTAAGAGCCAAACGAATAGAAACCATCATCATTTTAATATAATTATCTTCACACGAATGAGTAGAGAACGACACCTTTGTTGATATAGTATTTATGTACAGGGGCTAATGCGCGAGTGCGTGTGCTATATTGTACTAATTCATGCTAAGTGCGCTTTTTCTCCTTTTACTTTGACATCACCATCGCGTTCGCGTACGCGACGCCGTTCGCGCCGAGCGTGACGACCGTTCGCGGCTCGCCGACGCCGGCGATACCACAAAACGCAATTTTCTCTCGTTTGCCTCGACTCGATTCGTACAACTCTAAATCTTCCAACTCTGAACCGGTAGATTCTGAGCTCGCTCTCGCGAGCGCCGAGGCTAAGCCTTCTCGCGCGTTGAAGGATTCGATGTCGATAATTTGAGTTTCCGCGACGACTTTGCGAGAAGGAGACGCGCCGGCAAACGAGCTTCCGGCGAACGCGTGGAAAGAGGGCACGTTGCGACACGACGGACACCCCGCGCCTGGATACTGTCTCACGTACGCGAGTAAGCACTTTTTACATATCGTGCTCGAGCAACACGGCATGTCGTTCAGGAGATTCGTTTTTCCTAACTCGACTTCGCTCTCTAAACACAAAGCGCACGCGCGGTCTTCTTTTCTGTTGCCGGAGGCGGTTCCGGAGTCTTTGACATCGATCACGTCGTCTAAGAGAGATTTCGTGGAAGGAAAGGGCGACGCTTGACCAACGTTGGTTTCATTCTTTGTTGTTGTTGTTGTTGCTGCTGCTGCTGCTGGTGTCGTCGTCGTATCTTCGGGAACGAACGGGACGCGAAGGTGTTGAAAGACGGCGCGCGACGTCGGATTCGATTTACTCGCGTGCTCGTCCATTTCTCTGCTTAAAATAAACATCGAGAACGCATTTTTCTCTTCCACGACGACGTTATTGCCGTTATTGATATGAATTGAATCCAGTTCCCTTCCTTGAGAGTTACCGATAATTGCCTCTCGTAAACTCTGCTCGAGGACGCTTAAATCCGCTTTCGAGACGGTCTTTGTTCTTCGCGTCGCTGGATCCGCAAACGCTCTCACGACAGCTTCTCCGCTCGGAAAGTAGATTAAAAGCACCCCACTCCCTCGAAACCCTTTAATCACGCCAAACTCTCTCTGGTACGTCTTATCGCTCATCGCTTTATCTCTTTCCTCTTTCCTCGCTTGCCGCACTTTCGAGGCCGTCTTCCCCCACGACTTTGTCTCCGCGTCCTCGTCAAACGTCACCGGCGCGTGAACTTCCGTCTCTTTAGAAACTGGGTCGAACGAAATCGTCGTCCGCCCGCTCGTCGCTCTCACTTCTCCGTTCAACTCCGTCACCCGCTCAAAAAAGATATCAAAATATCTCGTTTCCTCTTTGTACGACGACAAAGATTTCTCCTTCACTCGAATCGTCGGACACAAGAACCCTTCCACCACCCTCTCTCTTTCATTCGCCAACGTTATGTGCGGCCCAAGTCTCCAGGAAACCACCGGGTCGCACCCACCTTTCCTTCGAAAAGGCACCCACGCCGCAAACGCGCTCTCGCACCCGACGACGTTCTCGTAACTCCTTTTCGTCGTTCGACAACTCGTCGCTAAAACGACAATCTGCCCGTCGTCAAACTCCTCGCATTGCACTTCAAACGCCGCGCACTCCGGCGGCCAAAACGTCGGCAAACGTAAAGATATCAGCTTTTTACCCGTCTTTACGTCTAAAACATCGATCGAGGCTCTCTGATACCCGGATCCGGCTGCTCGGACGACGAAATTTCGCGTCGCCTTGACGCAATCGACGCCGAGTTTCATCTTTTCTTCCTCGTCTAACAACGCTTCGTCGAACTCATTCTCGTCGTCGTCAAACTCATCTTCTTCGTCGTTGTTGTCGTCGCTTCTTCTTCTTCTGTTGATCCATTCGCATTCTGCCACGCGAGGATGATGATTCTTCTTTCCATCGTCTTTAAAAAGTGCAACGGTGCCGTCGGAATATCCAAGAACGAGATTATGAATGTTCTCGTCGTCGTTTGATGACGACAAAGCGCAGCACGTGCACTCCACGACTCTCGCACACGCGCCGAGGGATAACGGTTCAGTCAGTTGCTTTGGAGGTGGGACCGTCGCGATCGTTTCGAGTCGACGACGCATCGTCGGTTTTATTCTATCTGTGTGTTCGTGGTTGTTACGTGACTCGCTTTCGTTTTATGAAGAAAATCTCTTTCTTACACGACTAATAATAATGATAATAACAATGGGGTGGTGGCTTTTGCTGCGTTGAGTTCTTATTCGTCGTCGTCGTTTACGTCGTCGTCTTCGGAATCAGAATCGGAATCGGAATCTCTTCTTACGTAAAAGAACACGTATCCTTGACTGGCGATGGATTTAACTTCCTCGTCGCAAACGTCTCGAACGCGGTCGTCGTCGAATTGGCGCCAGCGGTTATCGCCGGCGAGATCGCGGGCGACGGCGGTGTAATGACCGGCGTTGGCGGCTTGGCCGTGGTGCGCGACGCATGCGGAGAGGTCGTAGGTGAACGAGGTGGATGATTTGGAAGGTTCTGCGTTGGCGGTAATTTTTCCCTCTCGCCGTTGCTTCTCTTCGTTTGCCGCCGCGGAGGATTTGCGTTTATTGCCGCCTTTTTTGGAGGATGATTTCGATTTGCCGCGAGCCGCCGGCTTTTCGACGACGACGACGACGTCGTCGTCGTCTTTCTCCTCACTTTCCGGTTCCAAGAACGGTTCTAAACTTAAATTATCTAAAGGAAACGCCACTGGCGCGATAATCTTCGCCCGTTGGCCGGACTTTCCTTTCCACATGAACCGTTTCAAGTGTAAAACCAAAACCTTTGGGCACTCGCGATTCAACGACGTTCGTTTGGTCGCCGAAGTCACCGCTTGACATTGCTCGCAGTAATATCGGTTACCGCCGCCTCCGTTCGAACCATCTCCACCATCTAAACATTCTTCCCTCGTGTGTGCCTCCAAACACTGTTCGATCGTTGCCTCGCCGTTCGGACCGTTCCCGTCGATTGGTGCCGAGTGGTCCCAATACGAGCAGTCGTCCAAATCGTTTTGATTGCTTCCGGCGTTCGACAAGCCCAAGGCGTTCAAGTTAACCAGCGGAGGACTGGTTGCCCGTGTCATCGGTCTCGAGACGTTCGGTAAAGGTAGACTCAAATCTAAGAACGGCTCTTTCATCGCGTTCGACTGTCCGCACTCGCTGCACTTCACGTGCGACACCGCCACGCCACCAAAGATTTTCCAAATCGGATCGTCCGACATGTTCTCGGCGTCGGCAAAGTACGTGTGCGGTGTGGTCGGATCAAATTTCGGTGATTCGATAGAGGCCATGTGATTTTTTGCTTCCGCGACTAGCTTTTGTACGGCAGTCGGGATACCACCCGCGTTGCGCTTCTTTTGCGCAGCAGTTCGAACCGGCGTCAACTTCCCGGGCGTTTTCAAATTCAACACGTCGTGCAACGACATCACGGAGGAACCATCTTCCGTTTTCAAGACTTGCGTTGTTTGCGTCGAACGATCGTTTTGCGCTTGCGTTGCCGAAGGATTTTCTTTTTCGAGTTTCAACCGTTTCGATTTACACGGACGACACGAACATCCATACTTGTGCTCGACTGCGCCCCACCTGGAAACGATGACAAAACCTTTCAAGTTTGGGTCGATGGCATCTTCGACCGTGTCTGGTGATTCGCTGTGCTTATTGTTCGTTAAAAGACCTTCTTTTGTGTCCACGGATTCGCTACTCGCGTGTAATAGTTGTTGTTGCTGTTGTTGCTGCTGTTGCTGTTGTCTCGCTTGTTCATCCGCCTCGCGCTGAAACGGATTCGCGTTTTTATTGTTTAAGAAACCGAGCGTTGGCGTCTCGTTGTTGCCGATGTCATATCCGGTGAGGAAGATATCCCCTCTTCCTGCAACACGACCGCCACCTTTATCGAGAAGATCGCTCTCGCGATCACCCTCGCCGGCGAGTAAGTTCTTCGTCGCAAACACAGGCGAGCCTCCAACTAGAGCGCATCGAGGACTGCCTTCGTTACTTTCTATCGGTGAGGTTGTTAAACTCGCGTTCGCTTTCCTTGGTCGGAACGATCTCGCTCTCTTCGGGACTTTCCCAGGCAACACTTTATCGTCGTCGAAAGCGTCTTCGCCGTTCCTCCGCCTTCCTCCGTGTTTCTCGTCCCAGTCAAAGCCGCTTTCTAATAACGCGTTCTCTTCGTACTCTCTCCTAAACCGATCGTTCTCTTCTCGTTTCTTCATCATGCGTTCCCCGACCAACAACTCTTTCCTTAACCTTTCCAACGCAAACCTCGCAAACTCGTGCGCGTCTTGTTGCGCCGACCCGGCGAACGCCGGCACGAATCGCCACACCGCCTTCAACAATTCCGTCGGCGGAAACGCCTCGTACCCGCCGCATCGCAACGTCCTCACAACTCTTCGCAACTCTTTTCCTAAACACGCGCCTTCCCTTGCCGCGCCTCTCGCCACGTCCGCCCTTCGTTCCCTCGTCATCGCCGGTGCTCGTGGGTTAAAGGACGTCTTCTTTCCGAGGTTCCCCGACCCGCCGCCGAGACCGCTTAATCCTCCTCCTCCTCCTCCTGAAAGAGTGTTCCCGTTGCTCTCGATTTTCTCGCCGCTTCCGTGCGCGCTCATCGTCTTCCCTCTCGGGAACGAAAGAATCTCTTCGTGGTGGTAATACGCGCCCCGTTGCTGCAGCTGCTGCGCCGAGGAAGACGTGGACGTGTTGTTCTCGTTCCCTCGCCTCGTTCGGTGCCTTCTCTCGTTAAAGTTCATCTCGTTGGGGTTCGCGTTGTTAGTGGTATTCGTCGTCATCGCGGAGGACGAGTGCGACGAGTGCAAATTCTTCTTCTTCATCGTCGTCGTCGTCTGAATCGTCTGAATCGTCTTCGCGTCGTTGTTTTTCGTCGTCGTGTGTTCCAACAACAGCTGTTCGCATTCGTCGCTCAATAAATATTCCCGGAACGGTTCTACCGCGCACAACGCCTGTTTTTCGTTGTTTTGTTCAAGTAAGGAAAGAGACGAGAGGATGGTGAGGATGGTGAGGATTGAACGTTTGAATCGAAATCATCGTCTCGATACGTGTACTACTCGTACGAAGGAGAGCGCGAGAGAGCGAGTGCACTGCTACCGTTCTCACGCCAAACGCGCGCGTTTTAACGTTTGGCGTAAGAATAATACGAACACAAAAACAGGTCGTTCAAACATATCATCATAAAAAGCTTTTTATTGGAAGAATGTTTTTTACCTGAACGGTGGCGTTTAAATAACACGTGTTGCTGACGTTGTGCAAGCCGGAGCGCTGCACGGCGAGGACGTCGTCGTCATCGACGGATCCCGGTGGTGGTAAAGGTGGCGCATCCTCCGGTTCCTCCATTAGTATTGTTCTTTGTCTTCTCCTTCTTCTTTGTCTTTGTCTTCTTCTTTAAAAAGTGTTCTTTCTTGTTGCGAGCGCGTCCGAGAAAAGTTACTCTTGTGTTTTTTTGTGGTTTTTTTTTTCAAGTTGTTCTTTTTTTCTCTCGTCTCTCTCGAGATCTCCTCTCAGAAAACAGTGGAGAGATGCACAATTAAATACCAGCTGTCATTCTTTCACCAACCGATGGCCATTTACACATTATAAAAGAAGAAACGAGAGAAAAAACAAACAAACATTGATTGATTGAGGGTGAGAAAAGAAGAGGATGAGTTTGAAAACGGAAGAAGAACTCTTGGGCGCGTATTCCACGAAACAACTGGCGATGTATCTCAGGTTTAATAATTTCATCGAATTGGCGGAAACGGTCGAAAGGGTAGAGCTACGCGGGAAGCATTTGAGAAATTGTTGTCGCGCATCATCCACGGGGCAAGAACAACAACGACGAGAAGAGGAAGCGGGGGTGTTTAACGTGGAAAATGATGAACGCATCGTCCTCGAGGTGTGCGAATTGTTCGGGTGCACGGCGGAGGAGGCGAAGCGGATGTGCGAGGAGTTGGTGAAAGATTTCGCGGACGTGCCTTGGGATGAGACGAAGAATCCTCCAGAGGGGAAAGCGGTAGTGGGCGTACCAATTGGTGGAGGAGGAGGAGGAGAAGGGCGACGAGTTTTAAGACTCGAAGACCGGGGTGGAGACACGGTCGGCGGCGCTTTGATGCGGGAAGTTCCGCCGGATGGCTACAGAAATCCTCGGTTTCCGTCGTGGTACGATAAATCGCCGACCAACGATCGATGGCGAGGCGGGTTGAGTAGAACTGAGTATTACGACGACGAAGAAGAAGGAGAAGAACAAAACGACCGCGAGCGACGACTGAGAGAACGAGAGAGGAAAGTGGAAGAGCGAGAAAAAAGAATGGATGAAATAGAAGCGCGGTTGAAAAGACTCGAGGAGAACGGCGGCACGACAGCCCCTTCGGCTTGAACAATAAAGATGATGTGTAGTATTGATGTAAAATAAAAACGGAAGAACAAACGAACGAACCGACGCGAATACATACAGTAGTGCTGTGTAGTTTTCTTATTTTTTTCTACTTTTGGTTCCTTGTTATTATAAAACGCTGTGTATTTATGTATATCCCCTCTCTCTGTTGGTTACGTGTGTGCACGAACTGATGATTACCAGCCGATGTGTCTGTAGTTCTCACCCGCGTAGACAGAGTCCGCACCAAGCTCCTCTTCGATTCTCAACAATTGGTTCATCTTGGACAAACGCTCCGATCGGCACGGCGCGCCAGTCTTGATTTGACCAGTCGCCAAACCAACCGCCAAGTCCGCGATGAAAGAATCTTCAGTTTCACCAGATCTGTGCGAAGCCATGACCCCCCAACCAGCTTTCTTGGACATGCCGACCGCTTCGATAGATTCGGAAATCGTACCGATTTGGTTGATCTTCAACAAGAGCGCGTTGCACCACTTGCCGTCAATCGCCGCTTGGACTCTCTTCGGGTTCGTGACCAACAAATCGTCACCAACGATTTGGCACTTACCGCCAGCCGTCAACAACGCCGTGTTCTCCGAATCGTCTTGGTCGAACGGATCTTCGATGGAAACCATCGGGTACTCCGTGCAAAATTCGTTGTATAAGTCAATCATCTCCTTCCCGGTTTTCTTCAGAGAACCATCGTTATCCTCCGTCTTGAAGTCCAAGTCATACATGCCGTCCTTGGTCAAGAACTCAGACGCCGCGACGTCCATACCAATTTTCACCTTTCCGGTGTAGCCAGCTTTTTCGATGGCTTCGACAACCAAGTCCAAACCTTCCTTGTTGTCTTGAATATTCGGCGCGAAGCCGCCTTCGTCGCCGACGTTGCACGCGTCTTGGCCATACTTCTTCTTAATGACCGATTTCAAGTTGTGGTAAACTTCCGAACCCATTTGCATGGCTTCCGCGAACGACTTCGCGCCAACCGGCAAGATCATAAATTCTTGCATGGCCAATTTGTTTCCGGCGTGGGAACCGCCGTTGATGATGTTGAACGCCGGCACCGGCAAGACCAACTTGCTGTTACCCGCCAACTCAGAGATGTGCTTGTACAAAGGAATACCCTTTTCCCCGGCGCCAGCCTTGGCCAACGCCGTGGAGACCGCCAAGATGGCGTTCGCCCCCAACTTCCCTTTGTTATCGGTGCCGTCCAACTCTTTGCACATGAACTCGTCGAGCGCTTTTTGCTCTCTCGGATCCTTGCCAATCAAAGCCGGCCCGATGATTTCGTTGATGTTCTTCACCGCAGTCATGCAACCTTTACCCATCCACGCCTTACCGCCATCTCTCAATTCAACCGCTTCGTAGATACCCGTGGACGCCCCGGACGGGACCATCGCGCGGTACATACCTTTTCCGGTGTAAATGTCGCATTCCACCGTCGGGTTGCCTCGAGAGTCAAAGACTTGGCGACCGACAACTTTCGTGATCGCCGGTGGCGTTTGCTTTCTCAAGTGATCAGCCTGTGGAAGAAAGTGACGTAGAATCGTTGTTAATTATGAGAAGACGAGAGTTGCGATACCGAGAAAAAATCCCCTCTCGATGATGTTTTCCACAGAGTGGAGTCAGACAGCTACGCGCGATGGAAAATTTACGGCTCTTTCCTTGGCGCATACACGCGCGACGAGAGACCTCGAGCGAACGCGAAACGAATGAAACGACTCAAAATTCACGCGAAGGACTATTTCCTCCAAGCGATGATGGCATCTCTCGTTTCATCATCGCGAGAGTGTCGGTGAGTGGGCTCACAGAGCCCATAAAACGCAAAGCGGCTTTCCACGTCTCGATACCGCCAAAAACGATTCGGATTTGACGAAAATTTTACGCGCTCGGAAAACAGCTCGAAACGACCAGACGCGAAACAACAATTTTACACACCATGAACGAAATCGGTTCCGGAGCTTTCGCTTTAACCGCCGCGTTGATGGTTTCTTCCACTCTTTTCGAGAGGTTGTGCGTTTCTATGTATTCCTGGATTGACATTTTGTGATTAGTTTGTGCGATATAAAAAGTGAAGAAACAACGGAATAAAAAGTCATCCTCACAAAGAGCTTCATCAAAGAGCATTAACGAGAACATCGTCGAAGAACACGGGCGAGGATAAACACGAATACGAATCGAATAAAAAGAATAACAAACGTATAACACTAGGAGGAGTAACGATGGCACAACCGTTAAAACCGAAAACGATCGCCATGTTCGACGTGGACGGGACGTTAACCGTCCCTCGCAAAACGGCGAATAAAGAAACTTTGGATTTCATCAGATCTTTACGAAAAACGTGCGCGGTCGCCATCGTCGGCGGCTCGGATTACGGGAAGATTTGCGAACAGTTAGGCCCGGATTTCGAGAAAGAGGTGGATTATTTATTCTCGGAAAACGGTCTGGTGGCGTATAAAGACGGGGAGATGATTGCCAAGCAATCGTTCTTGAAGTTTTTAGGCGAGGAGAAGTTGCAGACGTTTCTCAACTTTGTGTTGAAGTACATCGCGGATTTAGAGATTCCGCAAAAGAGAGGGACATTTATTGAGTTTAGAAACGGGATGTTGAACGTTTCGCCGATTGGACGCAACTGCTCGCAAGAAGAGAGAGATAACTTTGAAAAGTTTGACGAGACGGCGAACGTGAGGAAGACGATGGTGGAGACGTTGAGGAAGGAATTCGCGGATTACGGGTTGACGTATTCCATCGGCGGGCAGATTTCATTCGACGTCTTTCCGAACGGGTGGGATAAAACGTACTCGTTGCAATTCGTCGAGAAGGATGGGTTCGAGGAGATTCATTTCTTTGGTGATAAGACGTACAAAGGTGGGAATGATTACGAGATTTTCGAGAGCGCGAAGACAATCGGACACACGGTGACGAGCCCGGAAGACACGGTGAAGCAAGTCACGGAATCGATCATTAACGCTTAATTTTTATTTCATCTCACTCTCACGCATGCAGTTGTTGCTGTTGCTGATGTTGTTATTAATTTACATCTTGAACATATACACGTGACCATTACTTTAAATACATATTATATCATCACCTAAACTAAACGCGTTCGTTCAACTTCTCGTCGACCAATCCGCCTTCTTCGCTCAAACGCAAAGCTTCTCGGGCAACTTCTTCCTCCGCGAGCGCTCGAAGTAATACCGTCGAGGCCGCATCCGCGCCGCTCGATGATGTGCTAGCCTTTCCCGTCGCCGCCGTTGTCTTCGTCGTCTTTGCGTCACTTTGCGCAAAGTCTCGCCCGACCGCTTTCGCCGATATTCCCTCAAATATTCTGTGTGGCTGTTCTCCGCTCCTGGTGTTACTCCCACCACGCATCTCGCTATCAATACTACGACTACTACGGCTACTACTGCTCCCTTCGCTGCGACTCCGACTAAAACTCTCCCCTAAACCACCACCTCGTCTGAACCCGCCTCTTATTTCCCCGACCACGTTCTCGAGCGCTTTCGTCGTCCCTCGCATCTCCTCTCGCAACTCCTTCACCTCCTCCCCGGATTCGTCCAAAATGCGTTCCACTTTCTCTCTGTACGCGTGCGAATACCCGACCATTTTCCCGCTCAATCGACCTAACGTTTTCGCAATTACGGGCACGTCTTTCGGGCCGAGCAAAACGATCGCGGCTATGGACGTTCCCAGGATTTCTCCGTAAGAGAAACCCAGGAATCCTTGCAGAACTTTCGTGCTTTTCATCTTGATTTTTGTGCCGTCGTTTGCGCAAAAAGTTCCATTCTCGTCACTTTTGTACACAAGGAGTAAGAGAGAGAGTAAGAGAGAACGTCTCAGATGACGAAAACGACGACGAGAACACTAACTGTTTTCTCGTTAGTCTTAATAACTTTTCTTCTTCTTTCGGGGGGTGTTTCGAGCAAAAGCAGCGACGAGCATCGGCAACAGAAAGCGACGGCGAAAACGAGAGAAAAATCGATCGACGTTTCCCTCGTGTCTTCCCTCTTCCCGGCGACGTCGCACGCGCTCGAAACCGCGGAAGCGATATCCACGTGCTGCGGCGAAGAAAAGTTTTGGCAATTCGTGAGTGTATGGAGGAATCAAAACGCTCTGAACGGGAAACGGTGTCAACGGTTCATCGAATCCGCGATGCGACGAGCGGTCGGTGGACCGCCGGAAAAGGAGGAGGAAAAGGAAAACGCGAGAGAAGAGACAATGATGACGAGCGCGGTGAAAATGAGCGTGGGGTTACGACAGTTCGCGCCGAGGCTGAAAATGTTTCAGACGTTGAAAGACGAGGCGGTGGAGGAAGTGGTGCGAGATGATTTGAAGAAAGAGGAAGTGAAGACGGCGTGTTGCTTCGCGACGGTTGGCGCGCGAGGACGGTACGCGACGGACGTGGCGAGTTTACGGACTGAGGTGAGCGAAGCGAGGAAGGAGGAGGCGGAGGTGGAAAGGAGCGAGGAGGAAAACGACGCGAGGAGGAAACCACGGTACTCGTATTTAGTGCCGACGGAGTTTGATCACGCGTATCCAACCGGGAAGGAAAGCGATATCATGGAAGGGAATGAAGTAGAAGAGAAGGCGAAGAAGGAGCGATTGCCGATGGTGTATTTATACGCGGCGACTGGGTCGCAGTGCTTTTTGGACATGCACGAATTTTTAGCCGAGAAAATCGATGAGGAGGAGGTGAGGTATGTTTTGAGGCCGGTGTTTGAGAAGTCGTGTTTGAACGATGAGAAAGCGGTGAAGCAGTGCACGGCCTACGGGGCGTTCAATTACGACGGCGATACGAAGAACGAAAAAGAAGACAAAGACGACGAGCTTTTGCGCGTGCCTGGATTCGGCGTCGAGTTGGCGATCAAGAACATGGAGTACAAAGCCGTTGACGATCAAATCACCGCGAAAGATGACGAAGAAGGCGGCGACGACGGCGACGAGGAAATCGTGTTGGGCTTTAACTTCAAGACGCTTCGGGAGCGCCTAGCGGAGAAAGGAGGAGAAGACGCGCAGGAAAAGCTGGACGGATTCAAGAAACAATTAGAAATGGAAGAAAAATCGATCAAAGGCGACATGTTTGAACCGCTCCCGAAGTGGAAAATCGCTAATTTGGGTTTACTCGCCACGCAAAAGATTGTTTCCGCGAACGATCCTTTATCGATGCTTCGCGACGTGACGCAAAATTTTCCTTCGCTCATGAATAAAATGGCGAACACCATGCGCGTGCAAAAGAAAACGAGAGATGAGGTGAAAGAGAACCAACGAGCGGTACCGCCATCTTCAGTCATCATGTCTCTAAACGGGCAGCCAATGGAACTCGATACGGTCGATGCTTTTGCAATCACGGACCGAGTCATTTCGGAATTACGAGACGCCGAGCGCGTTCGCACGATTGGATTAGGAGAGAAGGCTGCCGCAGAAACGTTGCATCTGCGGCCAAAAGGCGTGCGAATGAAAGAACCGCCTAAGATTGACGTCACATTTTCTCCAGTCGAGTTTAGTTACGACTTTGAAAAGGACAAGCAGTACGAAAAGTGGTCGAAGAGTTACTCTAAGTTTTTAAAGGCGATGATGGAATCGCAAGGCCAAGGAGGATTACCGCCGATTCGACGAAACTTGATCAACATCGTTGCTATTGTAAACCTTGGAACCGCGGAAGGTATGGAAATAGTAAATGTTTTAGAACGGTACCGTAAAATGAATATACCGGTGCGATACGCCATCCTTGCTATTGGAAACGACGACAAGACGCAATTGTTCGAAGACGACGATTACATGGGCGACGGTTTCGGTGAAGAGATTCCAGACGATTCACTTCCGGACACGCAAACGTATTCAAACTTAGTCGCAAAGTGCGCGCATTATATTTTAGCGAAATATGGGGCCAAGCCTATGCGCGCGTTTGCCATCGATATCATTGAAGGACGAGAACAGCTCGCTGCGGGTGATTACTTCTCGCCTCCGGTCATGGCGCCGCCAAAATGGGAAGACGCGAGGTCGAGTTTCATACAAATCGCGCGTGCGATCGAAGTCTCGAACGCGTTAGGTAAAGGAAACGAGAAATCTGTATCGGTGACGGATAGAAAGGAGGTCATGGAACGCGTCGTTAAAGAGCTGAACGATGTATTAGATAAAATGGAAGACGACGAGGACGAAGATGAGAACAAAAAATACAGCGCAGACGCGTTGAAGGCGAAACGAGCCATCGAAAGTCGAGGACTGGAATCGAACTCGGTGTTGATCAATGGTGTCTATTACGACAGCGAAACGAGTCGGCGGACTCTTGGTGCTTCTCTTTCTCGCGCGATGGGACATTTAATTGGCTCTGTCGTCCAGAATCTTCAACAAGCTATTCACACGAAACAATTGAAGGAGGACATGGACGCGTACGCTTTCGTCAACAAAGGCGCGGCGAAAAAGTTACGTCCAGAGATTCAAGACGAATCAGCGTTCCCGCCAACATTTTTACCGGAAATCCCGCATCTGTTTTACATCTCGAAGACGTGGATTGAAGGCGGTGCGCAAAATGAAGCGAAACCAGTGTCCATTTGGGTCGTCGCCAATCCGGATTGCGCGCTCGGTAAAGCGCACTTATCGGAAGCCATGAAATTTTTGCGCTCTTCTTACGACGAGCCAGAAAATGGTGAAGGTCAGGATGCATCAGACGATGGGAGAGAAAGCGTGGCGAAACAAACGCGCTTCTTTTTCGTCAACCCGCAAATGAGTGACTCTGCGAAACCGACGCTCGTTGCGCGCGCCGTGGTCGCCGCGACGCAGCTCACCAGTGCGCGCGAACATATTCCAACGCTCGTGTTAGAGTTGCTCAAAGATGGAGATGGTGACAAAAACTTCATTGATCGTGCAGTGAGAGCATCTGGAGTGAAAGCGGACGAGTTTCGGAAGCTCTTCCGGAACGAAGAAACGATCGATTACCTCTTGAAATTGCAAAGAACGATCAACGCGAAACATCTCGGTAACACGAGACGAGCGTTTGTCGTTAACGGACGATTACTCGATCCAGTCGTTTTAAATACCGAGTTCGACGCTAGCGATTTACACGTCGTCGCCGAAGCAGATCTTGAGAAACGATCGAACGATGCGCGAAAGATTGTCGAGCGCGACGCGCAAGAGAAGACGGATCCAAAGGGTGTGACCACCACGAATGTACCGTTTCGCATCATTTCTGCCCGCATCGCAGCTTTGTCCCATTTCATCGCTAAACGGTACGAACAAGCCGCATCGAGAGGTGTCGTGGAATCGTTAGAGTTCCTCTCGACGAACCGCACGGCATTCACTCTTGGAAAGGATGACGCTCAAGGCAACGTTTCGATGGTTGAAATCGAAGTCATTCTCGATCCGCTTTCCAAAGAGGCGCAAAGAATCGCTCCGGTTTTAAAAGTGCTCAAAGATTCGCTCGGCAACCATGCCTCTTTAAAAGTCATCATGAACCCGGTAGAAAAGTTGTCGGACGTTCCGTTATCGTCTTATTTCCGATACTGTGCGCAAGATCTGACGGATTGGTCGAAATCGCCCAAAGTTGTTTTCGAAGCGGGAAGTTTGCCGCAGAGCAAAACGCTCACCGCGCATCTCGACCATCCAGAACCTTGGATGGTGACGACGAAAAAAGCTAAATACGATCTCGATAATTTGATTTTGGAGAACGTAAAGGAAGATACGGTGTTCGCGGAGTACAGTTTGGAGAGCTTGTTGGTCACGGGACACGCGTTTGATGGGGGCAATCCGAGAAATCCGCCGCGAGGGACGCAAGTTGTTTTGCAGAAGAAGTGGTTCATGGAAGATATCCACGAACAAAAAGAAATAAAGGATAATGCCATTGCAGGGACGATTATTATGGCTAACCTTGGTTACTTTCAACTCCCTGCATCGCCCGGGCGATTCGCCTTGGCGTTGAAAGAAGGACGCTCGCGAGACGTGTACGAAATGGTATCGACGGATTTAATTAACATCGACGATCGAACGAATACGTTTTCTAGCGGGCGCACGGATCCATCCAAGTTCAGAGCAGAAATAACCGTCGCGAGTTGGAGTGGGAAAAGGGTTGAAATGAAACTGAGAAAACGCGCGGGATTTGAAATGGCGGACGTTTTGAGCGAGGACGACGACGAAAACGACGAGAACAAACGTGGTTTAGGCTCCAAAATCTCCTCCTTATTCGGTGGCAAAAATAAGAAGAAGAAGCAAGTGCAACTGGATGAAAATGGATTAGAAACCATTCACATCTTTTCCGTCGCCACCGGTCACTTGTACGAACGATTCCTCAAAATCATGATGGCCTCCGTGCGTCGCCACACGAAGAACCCGTTGAAATTTTGGTTCATCAAAAACTGGTTGAGTCCATCTTTCAAAGATTTCCTCCCGCATTTTGCCAAAAAATACAACGTCGAATACGAGTTGATCACGTATAAATGGCCAACGTGGTTGCACAAGCAAACGGAAAAGCAGCGCATTATTTGGGCGTACAAGATTCTCTTTTTAGATGTCATCTTTCCGCTTTCGCTCGAGAAAGTCGTCTTTGTTGACGCCGATCAAATCGTTCGAGGCGACATGAATGAACTCTGGAATATCGACTTACAAGGCGCACCGTATGGCTACACTCCGATGTGCGATAATAACAAAGAGATGGAAGGCTTCCGATTCTGGAAACAAGGCTTTTGGAAGACGCATTTGAGAGGTAAACCGTACCACATCTCCGCGTTGTATGTGGTTGATTTAAAACGTTTCCGCGAGTTGGCCGCTGGCGACCAATTGCGAGGAATGTACGACCAATTATCCAAAGATCCAGGTTCGTTGGCGAACTTGGATCAAGATTTACCAAATTTTGCACAGCACCAAGTTCCAATCTTTTCGTTACCAATGCCGTGGCTTTGGTGCGAATCGTGGTGCGGCAACGAAACGAAAGCGGCGGCGAAGACGATCGATTTGTGTAACAATCCGTTGACGAAGGAACCGAAACTCGTTGGAGCGGCGAGGATAGTCAGCGAATGGACTGAATTAGACAACGAGGTTCGCGCGTACACTTCTGAAGTGGAGAAGAGTGGTTTGCTCGGTAACACCAAGCCGCCGCACGACGAACTCTAGCCAATTTTTTTGTATTTTTATACTTCTTGCGCAATATAATCTACTATTTTTAAAAATGCAGTCATCCTTCCTTTGCTTTCCGCATATCCGCTATGGTCTCCTCCACCGACCGTTTATCTCTTTTTTCCCCCTCTCTCGCCACTCTTAACTCGGACAAAGCGTCGCCAAACGCCGGAGCCTTATCGGTCAAACTTTCTTTCTTCCGAAACGCGAGCATCTCCCTCTTCGCTTTCTCCGCCTTTTCTCTTAAACTAATTTCCAACTGTTTCTTCTCTTCCTCCTCTTTCTTGCTCAGTTTATACACGCGCACGAATTTCATCGGATCGCCGTTTTCATCCATCACATCCTCTATCTCGATCGACTCCGAGGTCGTTTGCATCTCCGACGCGCATTCGTGCAAGACGTCGCGCCACATTTTTACCATCGGTTGGAAACTAAAAGTCGCCGTCTCCGCGCCTCCGCTCGCCTCCCACTTCGTTGTAACTTCCTTCTCGATTTTCTCCTTGACGTCTTTTTCAAACGTTTTCCTCCTCTCCAACGCGCGCTCTTGAGGCGTCATCAGCGAGCTTCTCACTGCGACAGTATTAGTATTACTCGTATTCGATCCACTCGTCGTCTTCTTGATGTTCCCGAGTATGTTCCCGAGTACGTTATTCGTCTGAATCGTTTTCTTTTTCTTCATCTGTTGTTGGTTTTGTTGCGCGTTCGTTCCTTCCCCGTGATTTCCTCCTCCTTGTCCTCCTCCTCCTCTCGCCGCTCCCGGTCGCTTCATCGTATCTCTTCTCGAAACTTTACTACCACGAAAAGAAGAGAACTCTCTCTCTCTCTCTCTCTCTTTCTCTCTCTCTTTCCCTCTCTCTCTTACGCCAAAAGAGAGATGATGACGAGGAAAGAGTCGTCTCAAAGTCGTTTTTATGGAGGAGCTTTTTCTTCAAAACGTCTCAATTTTTTTTTCCTCCTCTCAAAGCTTTGATCTGTTATTACGTTTTAATACTACTACTAATAACAACATCATGAGACGAAAGAATCCACACCCGCAGCGCGCGGTGAACGCGAGGACGTTTTTGAGGGTGGTGAAGGGTAGGAGAGAGGAAGAGGGAGAAGAACCGGTGTTGTGTTTGAGGATTCCTGACGAGGATGATTTCGAGGCAAATCATCAGATACAAAAAGAAGAAGAAGAAGAAGAAGAGATAACTGTTAGGAAAGGAACGAAGAGAAAGAGAGGGCACGAGTGCGATGTTTGCGAAAAGGTGTTTAGAGCACCATCCAATTTGGCTATACACATGCGTATTCACACAGACGAGAAACCGTATGAATGTGATGTGTGCGATAAAGCTTTTCGTGAATCTGGTACTTTGAAAAAACACATGCGTATTCACACGAACGAGAGACCGTACGAGTGCGATGTGTGCGAGAAACGTTTTACTCAATCTTGTAGTTTGAAAAGGCACATGCGTATTCACACGAACGAGAAACCGTACGAGTGTGACGTGTGCGAGAAGAAGTTTCGTCATTCTAGTGGTTTGAAAAGCCACATGCGTATTCACACGAACGAGAAACCGTACGAATGCGATGTGTGCGAGATGAAGTTTCGTCAATATGGTCATTTGCAAGACCACATGCGTATTCACGCGAACGAGAAACCGTACGAATGCGATGTCTGCGAGAAAGCTTTTCGTCAACTTAGTACTTTGAAAAGGCACAAGCGCACTCAGCATTAGCTGCTCATTTGTAGTTCTAAAAGTATACACATACACGTCGTACACATACACGTCGTAATACCGAACAACAACACCCGAATAATCAAACATGCCAAAAAAAAAATATCAAAAACACAGTCATCACAAAAAAAATGGAAGAACAACAAGAACAAGAAGAGAAACAACCGACGACGACGACGGGGTCAAACCCGCATTCGGATCCAGCGTTCGCGCTGAAAATGCTCGTGGACTCTCGAAACGCCGGCGCCGTTTTAGGTACGTTTTAGATTTCGTTTTTTTGTATATACTACGTGATGATGAAAGTCTTCTTTATTGGAGTAAAATTCTCGATCGAATGAATTCTTTCAAAGTAGTCTTCTTAGTATTAACGCGCAAACTCTCTCTCTCTCTCTCTCTCTCTCTTTAAAAATAACAGGCAAAGGCGGAGCGACGATCAACGAGTTACAAACGTCCACGAATTGCAGGATTCAGCTGACGAGAACGGGAGAGGTGTTCCCGGGGACGAGCGAAAGAGTGTTGACTTTGTCCGGGGAATTGCCGTCCGTGTTAACGGCGGTGCATTTAATATCCACGAAATTGCAATCGGAAACGAACAACGGTAATAATAATAACAACAACGAAAACAACGAAGAGAATTTCGAGAACACTAATACTAATACCGAGGGAGGAGAAGAGAACAAGCAGCAAACGCCGAAATGTAGACTAGTGATCCCGAACGCGGCGGCTGGATGCGTCCTCGGCAAAGGCGGCGCGACGATAAAGTCTTTCATAGAAGACTCCGAGGCGGAGATTCGATTATCGAGTCAAAATCAAGCGCCTCCCGGGTGTCACGATCGAATTTTGACCATTAGTGGGACGATTGGGCAGATTCTGAGGGCGGTGGCGTTGGTGGCGGCGAATTTATTGGAAGATCAGAATTACGCGACGTTGGTGAAGAGGCCGAGCACGTATCGGCCGAGTTTGGATTACGGGAGAGGAGGATCCATGGACCACGGAAGAGGACATTATAACAACAACCATCACCATCAACAACAACACAACGTGGATCCACAAAACGTGGTTTCGGCGACCATGCAAGTAGATGATTCGAAGATGGGACCGATTTTAGGCAAAGGAGGAAGGACGATTACGGAAATTCAAGTCAGTTCCGGATGTAGAATCAAAGTGAGCGACCGAAACGACTTCGTGCCTGGAACGAATTTAAGGACGTTACAAATCAGCGGTTCGGTGACGGGAGTGCAGCTGGCTTGGGAAATGTTAGAGGAGAGGTTAAGGAAGATTGAAGCAGATGCGAGTTGAATTGAAAAGCAAAAGGAAAGAAAACTAACAAATTTCGGGCCTTCTTTTTTTTTACGTAGTAGTATCGATATATAATAACAATTGGAATTAATAACTGTACCAAACTTCTCTCACGCTCGCGAATAGCATTAATAAGTATCTCTGATATAAATTAACTAAAATTTAATCGAAGACCTTGCACTCTTCGGCTCCCGGGTCCGACGCGCACAAGGCATCCATCGGGTCGGAGAAGTTTTCGACGCCAGTGACCAAAGCCTTGGCGACGATGAGCGTCAAGTCGACAACTCTTTGCGTGTAACCCCACTCGTTATCGTACCACGCGACAACCTTAACCATGTCGTCGCCCATGACCATGGTCAAGGCGGCATCGATCGTCGTCGAGACGTCGGTGCATCTGAAATCGACGGAGACCAACGGAGTGTCGGTGATGGCCAAGACACCCTTCATCGGGCCGTTTTGGGCCTCTCTGAACGCCGCGTTGACTTCTTCGGCGGTGATGCCCTTCTTCTCAACGTTGACAACCAAATCGACGATGGAAACGTTCGGGGTCGGAACTCTCAACGCGATACCGTTCAACTTACCCTTCAATTGCGGCAAGACCAACGCAACCGCCTTGGCGGCGCCGGTGGAGGTCGGCACAATGTTCAACGCCGCAGCGCGCGCACGTCTCAAATCTCTGTGCGAGGCATCCAAGATTCTTTGATCACCGGTGTAGGAGTGAGTGGTGGTCATGGTGCCCTTGACGATGCCGAAGCTTTCGTCCAAAACCTTGGCGAACGGCGCCAAGCAGTTAGTGGTGCACGAGGCGTTGGAGACGATGTTGGCAGCCGGGTCAAATTGGTCCGCGTTGACACCAACGACGTAGGTCGGGATGTCGTTACCCTTGGCCGGGGCCGTGATAACAACCTTCTTGGCACCCGCGGTGATGTGCTTGCCAGCTCCCGGGCCGTCGAGAAAGACACCGGTACCTTCGATGACGATGTCGATGCCCATTTCCTTCCACGGCAACTTCAACGGGTCTCTCTCCGCGACAACGTTGATGATGTCGCCATCGACAGAGATGGTCTTGTCGTCGATAACCTTAACTTCAGACTTGAACGTACCCAAGATAGAATCGTACTTGAGCAAGTGCGCAGCCGGCTTGGCGCCGCCGGATTGGTTGACGCAGACGACTTGGAGCGGACAATCCGGTCCGCGGGTCTTCCAGCATCGGACAAAGTTACGGCCGATGCGGCCGAAACCGTTGATCGCAACCTTGATCTTGTCCGCGGCGACAACCGTGTTGTTGACGGCAGCCTGTATTAATGTTTATTCGTGATGATTGATTGATGATAATAAAATGTTAGCATTCGAAGAAAGTGGTAAAAAGTCTCCATCAGAGAGTCGTTTTGAGTGCAAAAAAAAAATTCTCGAAAGGACAGACAAAGAACGATTTTTATCCACCAAACGCGAAGTTTCTGATCTCGATGAGATGTTCCCGAGGATGATGATGCGCTGTTGGTGTTCATGTTGTTGATGAAACGAGAGCCACGACGCGCAAAAAAGTAGCCAAACAGAAAGGAGCCTTTCTCCCCCCGTTCATCGGTATCCTCGCTCTCTGTTCCAAAAGAGAAACGAGAGAGAGAGACGAGAAAGAAATTCAACGTTATCTGAAATTGCGATTAGTCTCTCGTTCTCTCCCCTTCTCTTCTCGTTGTGGCTGCTTTTCTTGTGGTACAAAAAAACGACTCAAATCGTTCGGAAAGCGCGTACCTTGGCGACGGTGCGGTTCTTGAATTGGCTGGAAACAGCCGAGAACTGCGTGAGTTGGGTGGTCTGTTGCGACGAGAAGAAATTATTTTGAACGTCAGTTTCGCGTCTTCTGTCTTCGCGGTGGTTACGAGAAACGCGATTGATTTTTGCCACTCGCGTTAAAGGGATTAATACCCACGTGGGTTGCAAATTTACCCGCGACAGAAAGAAAAAAAAAACATCAGCGCGCGCGCGCGCATAAACGAACGCGAACCGTGCGAGATACATCTCGCGCGTGTACTGTAAAAAACGAATCCAAATTCGTACCGTGGCAGTGAAAGAAGCCATTTTTTTAGGTGTGTGGATGTGCGGTATAAAGTGAGGACAGCGACAGCGTGATTTTTTGTTTGCACCCAAAACAATCAGAGAGAGATATCTACAACCTGTGGGAGGACGGGGCACCTCACAAAAAACACAAAAAGGCGGAAAAAGGAGATTCTGGAGACCAAAAAACCACCAACGAATGACTCGCGACCGACCTTGACTTTTGACGACACTTAGTAAAAACAGACTTCGAGAATAAGACGGGAATATTCACTCATTTTCTCTTCTTTTATCGTTTGCACGCGCACTTGACACACAGAGAGAGAGAAAGAAAGAGAAAGAGAGAGAGGGGAGAGCAGAGCTGTTTTCGCACCATCATCATCTTCGCGCGTTTATTTAAAACGAGAGAGGAGATGATGAGCGTAAAAACAGGGGCGACCTCTCGCGAAGAGACAAAAACGGTTTCGAGAGATGACTTTGAGAAGGAGGAAAGCGGGGTCTCCGAAAACGAAGAAGAAGAAAAACTGAACCTTTTGGAAGCTTACGTCCACGAAACGCGAGAAACCTCGCATGCGCTGAAGAAATGGTGCGATAGGACGACGTTGGAGCGGTTTCTCAGAGCGGATAAAGGAAACGTGGAGAAAGCAAAAGCTCGATTGAAGTCGACGTTGATTTGGAGAAGAGACGAGATGAATTCATTTTGTCGGTGCTGTTTCGAAAAGGACTCGAGAAGCCATTACATGCATATCGTCGGCCGGACGAAGAACAGAAGACCGGTTGTATTTTCGGACATCGGGCTCGCGAGGAACTTGAAGCCGAAAGATAACGAAGCGCACGCGACGTTTTGCATGGAACAGGTTGAAAAATGTCTACCGAAGTATCCGAACGACACGTACGTGTGGGTGTCGGATTTTCATAAATTTGGTCGGCAACATTTGAACCCGTCGGTGGCGAAGAAAGTGTTGGGTTTGTTCGCGAGGCATTATCCCGAACGCATGGGCTCGATGGTGTTCGTAGAAGCGCCGAGGATTTTTAATATTTTGTATAAGATTTGCGAAAAGTTTGTCGACGCGACGACCATGGCCAAGTTAAGATTCGTGAGAGGACCGACCGGGTTAGGCGCCGGGAAGGAGTTTCAATCTTTATTAGAAGACGGATACTGCGATCAGGAAACGTACGAGTGGATCAAACGAGAGATGCTGGAAAATCGTTTGCACTGGGATAAAGCAAGCGAAGAAAAGTCGTGGACCAAATCACACGCGAGGAACGACGGGAAGTATTACTATACGAATCTCGAACACGACATGCGAGGATCGAACGCGTTCATTCGAGAACCAATTTGTGTGGACATGCACGCGTTTTGTAAGAGGCACGTGAATATGACGACGTGTTTACCTATCGAGGATACTAGAAGAATACCGTCAGGATTGGTAGTAGCAGAAGAAAAAGAAGAAGAGGAGTACGTATTGAGCAAAATCATCGAGAGAGGCGACTCGGTATCGTCGCTGGCATCGCCGAACGTTGCGCTCGGCAAGATGAAGATAATCGACGGCGAAGAGAAAGAGATTGAAGAAAACGAAGAATTTCACGACTGCAGAGAAAAGTTTAAAAAGAAGAACGTCGTGAAAACAGTCATCAAGAAGCTTTCTCCGTCGAAGAATAGCCGAAGAAGTACTCGGATCGCGGCAATAAATGGAAACGTGTCTTAGTTTTACTGCAGTTTAGTTTTTTATATATCTAATAGTAGCATTTGTAAAACGCTTTTTTTCGCTTCGGAATCTAATCTAAATCTTCTTATTTTTTTTCTGCTACAGTAACCCGAGCTGGCGCATCATAAACTTACTCATCGGCTTCTCCGCTCCTCCGCTCTCCCCGTCGCCGCTACGCACTCCTCTGTCTTCCCCGTCCTTCTCAAACCCTCTTTCGATGACTGGCATGCCCGAATCTATCCCGGCGCGTATTTGGATTCTTTGTTGACTACTGCTAGTAGTATTATCACCACTAGTACTACTACTACTCGCTACGTTGGTACTCTTTTCGCCCTCGATCGTCGCCGCTTCTCCCTCCTCCTCCTCCTTCTCCTCCTCTACTTCTTCTGCGTCTTGTAATTCTTCTTCCAATCGTTCCATCTCCTCAATCTTCAACAACCAGCTCTCCAACTCTCCTTTCGCTTTCTCCCTTTCCTCTCTGTCTCTCTCGATTTCCTTCTCGTTTCGCATTTGCATCACCTCGTCCTCTCTTTCTTCTTCGCCTTCGTCCGCGGCGGCGACGCTCTCGTCGATTTCCAACACGTCCACAATCTCTCCGTCTCTCGGCGTGAGCACCGTCTTCCTCCCGTTCGGTCCTTCGATGACTCTCGATTTCGGTTCTCCGTCTGTGATATTGCTCAAACTTTCAAATTTTTCCGACAAAACTCTCATCGTCTCTCGGTGTTCGATTTCGCTCTTTCGCAAATCCTCCTCCGCTCGGAGCAATTTCTCCTCCGCAAAAACGCGTCTCTTCCTCAACATCTCGCAGGTTTGCTCCCGAGTTCTTTCCGCGTAGAGCTGATCCTGGCTTGTGGATAATTTCACCAGTAACTCGTCGCAGTTGGTGATTTTCCCTTCGATGAACGCGACCGACGTGAACGGCGCCAACACTTCTCTTCCGTCTCGCAAGGAACCGACGACGTCTAACAGTTCGTTCTGTTCCACGGCGAAACGAGAGAGCGTGTCAAAGATGCGTTTTTTCTCGACAACGTTCGAGAGGGAAACTCGAGCGATGTGCGCGAGCGTCGCCGGGTCGTTCACATCGTCTCCTTCCTCGGGGCTCATTTTGAATGCATGCGATGATAGTAGAGCAGATGATGATAATAATGAAGCGGAGAAAAGAATGAGGAGAAGCTGTTGTTTGGGTAATGAGTTGTTAGTTTTGTGGACATTTTTAAAACGCGTTCGTTAAGCTCTGCGTGCTCTCTCTTTTTTTCTCTCTCTCTCTCTCATCCCGAGCAAAACCGGTCGGTCGGGAGAACAGCGAGCTCACTTAGCGCCGAGCAACTTCAACATGACGGCATTTTGAGCGTGCATTCGATTTTCGGCTTGTTGCCAGACGACGGAGTAGTCGGCTTCCATGACCTCGTCGGTGCACTCGGTGCCTCTTTCCGCCGGGAGGCAGTGCATGAAAATCGCGTTTGGCGTTTTTCGCATGACGTCACCGGTGACGCAGAAACCGGCAAAGTCTTTTTTACGCTGCGCGGCTTCGTCTTTTTGGCCCATGGATGCCCAGACGTCGGTGTAGACGGCGTCGGCGCCGGCGATGTCGTTCAAGTCGTGGCTGATGACGCACTTGCCGACTCCCGAGTTGTTGCATCGATCAATCGTCGCTTGATCAGGGGTGTAATCTTCCGGGCATAAACACACGAACTCAAACGGTAATACAGTTGCTAATCGAATCCACGAGTGGACGATGTTATTCCCGTCGCCGACGTAGACGACCTTTTTACCTTCGATGGACCCCAAACGTTCGGTGATGGTCATCGCATCCGCCAAGATTTGACACGGGTGGTTATAATCCGATAAACCGTTCACCACCGGGACCGAACCAAACTTGGCTAATTCTTCCACATCTTTATGCGCAAACACTCTCGCCATTATGATGTCGTTATACCTGGACAAAACTCTCGTAATATCTCTCGTCTCTTCTCTCTTCCCTAACGAGATATCGTCCGGGCCTAAATACACCGCGTGCCCGCCCAACAAATGAAACCCAGTTTCAAAAGAAACTCGCGTTCGTAAACTTTGCTTCGCAAAAATCATCGCCAACGTTTTCCCTTCGAACGGTTTGTACGATCGGTCTCCGGATTGCAATCGCTTCTTCTCCGATATCGCGATGTCCAACAACTCGTTGATTTCTTCTTTGCTGAAATCATCCAAGTGGATGAAATGTTTCTTCGCCGCCGGTGGGTTCGCCTCGGTCGGGAACGCGGACGTTTTGATCATCTCAGCTCTTCTTCTTCGTGCAACAGTTACAGAAGATGAAGAGGACGACGAAGAAGAAGACGACCGTATCCGTTGTCGAGACGTTTGCTGCTTCACATTGGACGAAGTTCCCTTTTTATAACCGACAAAAACCGGATTTGGTTGTCGTCTTCTTCTCAACGCCGCTTTCGTCTGAATCGTCGTCGTCTGGATCGTCGTCGTCGTCTGAATCATCGTTGTCGTCTTTCTCTTTCTCTCTATCTCTGTATTGCCTGCGTGTATCGCGAATGTCTTCGGAAACGTAAGAAAAGCGTCGAACAAGTGAAGAGTTCTTATCCACTTTTTTTCCCCTAAGTTGTTCACAACTCTTTTGCACTTTGCGCGGCGCAACATTGTACCGATAAGGAAGATCAACGTTTCGATACGAACACGCGGCCACATCGAGCACCGGTGTTGCTATTCTTCTTCTCTTCGTCGTCGGAGAAGCGGGCCCCCGGGTAAAGCCAATGCACGAGGAATGAAGACGAATGTTCGCGCAGGGGTCGATGCCGCCAAAAACGGCGACGGGGCGGACAAAGAAGAAGACAACAGAGAAGAAGAAGAAGAACTCGTAAAAGAAAACGCGAGACGCCGCGCAGCGCTCGAAACCACGGTGGCGAAATTCACCGACGATGCGGTTCCCTCGATGACTGTTCGAGAGGTTTTGAACGTCATCAACAACCAAGAAGAGAACGCGAAACGAACAGTTTTGTTTTTGGACTGCCGAGAGAAAGAGGAAAGAGCGGTGTCGATTATACCGGGCGCGTCTTCGGCGGAGGAGTTCGAGGACGACTTTGAAAAACAACAGGACGACGGTAAAGAAACGATCGTGGTGTGTTACTGCACGATCGGCTACCGGTCCCAAAAGAAAGTCCAAGAGCTCTCGAAAAGACTCGCCCGGAGTCGTCCGGATGTGAAAGCGTACAACTTATCCGGCTCTATCGTCGCTTGGACGCACGAAACGGACGCACCAAAATTGCTCGACCCGAAAACACGGAAGGAAACTAACCGCGTGCACACGTACGGGAAAACCTGGGCGTTGCAAAGCGTCGAGTACGAAAGCGTGGTATACAAACGTCCGGTTTTCGAAGCCGTTAAAGGGTTCTTCTTTAAGAAGAAGAAAAAGTAGTAAAGCGACATCTTCGTTAACGTGGTCTATACGAGTACATGAGCTGGTACACACCCTGACGTTTCGTTGAAATCAATTGTACTTTTTGTTTCTTGGTTTCCATTTGAACAAAATGGTTTCCGTGTGTGTGTACTCGTCTCACGTCTGCGAACGTCTTCGCGTCGCGTTTGTAACCACCTTTGAGTGACAGCCTATTAAATTCGAGGACACTTTGAAAGATTCCCAAATTGAATTCCGCACAATTTCCCAACCTTCTCTGCGTGTTTCGCGTCCCTATTTGGGACGAGAAGAAAGCTTTTACCTCTCTCTTTTCCTTGGCGCGTGATATATTTGTACTTTATCTTTCGTTCGTGTGCGGATAAAAAGAATTCTCGACGCACACGCACGCGCTAAACTTAGGTTCCTTTTTAGTACATTTGTTCCAATTCCAATTCTTTCCCGTGACTCAGCACGCGTGAAAAGAAGAAGCGCTGCTGCGAGAGAGAACGACCGAGAACGAAAAAGAAGAACGAAAAGAATAGAATGGGCGCGGTGGGAAGCAAACAGCACGCTCGAGTGCCAAAAGCGTCCAAATTATCCGACGTGTACGACGACAACGAGAATTCTGTTGCCACGAGATATGACACACTCGTGAGTGCCTTCAAAACGCAATTCGAGGGAGAAAAGCCGAAAACCATCGCGCGGTCGCCCGGTCGGGTGAATTTAATCGGCGAGCACATCGATTACGAAGGGTACTCGGTGTTACCAATGGCGATTGGTTTGGACGTCATCGTTGCGGTATCGGTCGCTTTGAAAGAAGAAGGAAACGTTGAAGAGGACGAGGCGGAAGCGACGCTCTCGATTGCGAACGTGGACGGCGAGAAGTATATGCCGAAAGAGTTTCCGTTCGATCACGAGCAAGAGGTGGACGTGAAAAGTCACCACTGGACAAACTACGTGTTGTGTGGGTTTAAAGGTATTTTTGATCAGCTGAAGAAACAGAATAAGTTAGAGTCGGTTCTGGAAAGCGCGTTTATGAAGAGAGTGAAGAAGGTGATGGTGATGGTGGACGGGAAGGTTCCGCTAGGGAGCGGTCTATCCTCTTCGTCCGCGCTGAATTGTGCCGTGACTGTGGCATTAATGGATGCGTTCGAGTTAAGTTTCACGAAAGGGGAGTTGTCCGAGCTGACGTGTTTATCCGAGCGGTATTCCGGGACGCAAAGCGGCGGAATGGATCAAGCGATTTCCATCATGGGCGAGAAAGATTTGGCAAAGAGGATCGATTTCAACCCGATTGGTGCGATGGATGTACCGTTACCGACAAATTTGACGTTTTTGATTGGAAATAGTTGCGCGGTGAGTAAGAAAGCCGAATCAGCACACAAACATTACAACTTGCGCGTCGTCGAGTGCCGATTGGCGGCGATATTGATGGCAAAACATTACGGCGAAGATATCGAGAAGGCCAAGACGAGAGTGACGCTGAGAGAAGTCGCGGATTTGTATTGCAACAAAGGCGATTTGTGGACTGCTTTGGGCGCGGTTAGAAAAGCGTTAAACGAGGGGAGTTACACGAAGAAACAGTTGGAAAATGACGAAGGTCTTGGCGATTTACGGAAAATTTTCGATTGCGAAAACAACGAAGCGTTTAACGTCGTGTTGCAAAAGAACGACACGTTTAAACTCAGAGACCGAGCTCGACACGTATTTTCCGAAGCGAGAAGAGTGCACGAATTCCAAAAGATTTGTGAAGGTCAATCGCCAAGGTATGCAGTGTCGGGTCCGATATACGAGCATTGGTGCAAAGTGATCGGCTTAGAACCCGACGTCGGCGTCGCTTCGGACGATCCAACTAAAGATTTCGGCCACCCGATGTACGGGATGGGCAAAGAAGACGCTCTCGCAAAACTTATGCATCTTTCCCACGAGAGTTGTAAAACGCAGTACGAGTGCTCGTGCGACGAGCTGGACGAGTTGGTGGATGCGTTCATGAGTGCAGGCGCGCTCGGCGCGCGATTGACCGGTGCCGGATGGGGCGGGTGCGTCGTCGCGGTGTGCGAGAGCGATATCGCCGAGGAAATTTTAGCCGACGTGAAGAAGAGTTTTTACGAAAAACGATTCCAATCCGGAGTAGCGAACATAGCGGACGAGACGAATTTACTGTTCAAAACTGCACCGAGCGCCGGCGCGGCGATTTTGCACTACGACGACGAAAAAGGCGTGATTGTTTAATCGAATATAATGACATCAATATTCACGATCATACAGCATATACAACACATTTTTTTAAAATTACGCAACCAGCGCTTCCTTTTGATACATATTTCGTAACTGCCCACACGCAGCCGCCGCCTCCAAACCTCTCGTTTGTCTCACACTCGTCGGCACGTTATTCTCCTCCAATATTCTTCGAAACTGATCGATCGCTTGTTTCGTTGGCCTTTTGAAATCGGAATCATCTACCGGATTATACGGAATCAAATTCACGTGACTGGCTAAGTTCTTCTTAAACAACACCTGAGCCAACTCTTTGGCGTGTTCTTTTTGATCGTTCACGCCGGCTAACAGCGTGTATTCAAACGTAACTCTCCTCCCAGTGGCGTTAAAATACGCCACGCAATCATTCAAAATATCATCGAACGAATACGCTCTCGCGCTTGGGATGATTTCCTCCCTGATTTTTTGATTCGGCGCGTGTAAACTCACCGCCAACACGCACTGCATCTCGTAACTCGCCAGTTTCTCCAAAGCGCCAAAAACACCCACGGTCGATATCGATATGTGTCGCATCCCAATCCCAATCTCTTTGTTCAAAAGTTCCGTCGCTTTAACCACGTTTGGCACGTTCAACATAGGCTCTCCCATCCCCATGAACACGACATTACTCACCCTCCTCCCGCCAAACTCCTCCTCGATGGCCATAACCTGATCGACAATCTCCCTCGCGGTCAAATTTCTATAAAATCCACCTTTCCCAGTCGCGCAAAATTCGCATCTCATCGGACATCCAACCTGACTGCTCACGCAACACGTCAAACGACTCTTTCCGTACTCGTTACTCGGAATCCCAACCGTCTCGACGATCCTGTTATCGTCCAACTTCATCAACAGTTTCGTCGTCCCGTCCGGCGCGGATTTCTTCGCGTACACCTCGTTCCTCCCAATCGTCACTCCGAGCCCATCCCAACTCTCTCGTAAGTCTTTCGGTAACTGCGTCATCTCCATGATTGATTTCACTCGGTGTTTGTATATGAAATCTTTGATTTGTTTCCCTCGAAACTTTTGCGTCCCGTTGCGCTCGGCGAAGACTTTCAATTCGTTTTCCGTTAAGCCCAATAAAGTCAAATCGTTCGACGGAGCGAGGAGCGAGGAAGTCCCCGACGCTTTCTCGTTCGCGTCTTTTTGCGCCGTTTTCACAATTTCCATGTCGTTTTGGTTCCACTTTCCGGATTTAATCCCCGGGTTTCTCGGGACCGAGACGACGTCGTAATCGAACTCGTTGTTGTCGTTCGGGAAATCGTCGTCGTCGTCGTCGTTGGCGGCTGCTGACAGGTGGCGAATCCGAAGCGCTTGTTTTTTATGATGATGATGTCGTCTTCTCGGCGAGAACGAAGACGTCGCGAAAGAAGTACTTTTGAGCAGCGAGGCAAACATTAAATTAGTAGTATTACGTCGTGCAAAAGAGACCGTTTGTGTTCGTTCGTTTGTGTGTTTTTAATGAAGGGAATTGGAGTCGTTTGTTGAAGCATTTTTTTCCATGACTTATATTGTACATATCGCAGCGCAAACAACTCTCTTATACACAACTCTTTCTCTCTATATATATAGATATACATATCGATCTACCTCTCTATTTCTCTCTTTTGACTTTTCTTAAATGCCAGTCCCGTGCCACCCTTTACCGAAAGCTGGATTCTTCCACGACGCGTCGCTCTTCCCGTCTTCCGCCTCTCGCTCGATCAACCGCTCGTACGTGAGCAACTTCTCTAAAGCGTCTTTGGCGACTTCGCGTAAACCGTCCCTCGTGACGTTTTTTTTACCTTTCTTGCTCGCTTCCTTCAAACCTTCGTCGAATAATTTCAGCGCGTATAACACGTCTATGCTCGGCGGCGCGCTCGGGTCGTTCACGCACGAGTATATGAGACACAACTTGTCGTCCGCGTTGTTGAAATCGGGGGTTAAAAAGTTCGAAATAGCTTCCGATTTCTTTGGCGCGAGCTTCCATAAATCCTCCTCGCCTCGCGCGAAGTCGGATTTAATGCCGCCGTTCAAGTACCGGTTCGCGCCGAGCGCGATTTCCCAAAAGTTCCCGAGTTCGTTCTCGTGTAACGCTTTGCGGATGGCGTCGAGGTCGGCTTTCGATACGACGCCAGAAAACTGCCGCAAGTCGAATTCATCTTCGGTGACGGCCGCCGCTTCTTCAATTCCTCCTGTCGTCCCTTCTGCGTCGTCTCGTAAACTCGAAACGATCGCGCTCAACTCTCTCTCTACTCGTCGCAATCGATTCTTATACGTTTGGAGCGGTTGTAACGTTTCGCTCGGATTTCCTCCTTCTTTCTCCTCGTCAGCTTCTGCATTCATCATCGCTCTCGGCGACATAAATGATGTCGCCAATACGAGCGCAAAAGAAGAGAAAAAGAACTCCCGTCTTCGATGATGATGCTCGTGACGTTGTTTTCGATATCGCGTCGTCGTCTGAATCGTCGTCGCGTCGTCAACATTAATTCCATCTTTGGGGAAAGCGACGACGGTAACGGAATTGGTTGCGAGAGCAGTCGCCGCGTTCTCGTCCCGTTTTCGTCGCGTCGTTCGGCTTTTCGACGCACAGGAGGACGGCGAGACTATTTCTGCGCGCTCTCGTTGCTGCTCCTTCTTCGAAATGCAAAAACAACGCAAAGAGAGAAGAGTTGATGACATCGACAAAAAGGAACCAATTTGTACCATCGTTTCCAAAAGTTTTGTGCACGGTTTAGGATTTAAGTGTGTCATCAGTTTTTGTGAAAAAGGTGATGGAATATTTTCGGGACGGGTGCTCAGATGTTAACAAAAACAAAAAAAAATCAAAATTCGTCAAAAGAATTAAACTTTTCGCGTTAGAAAAGAAGAAAACGTATACGTCGATGATGGCTCCTCCAGGTGCGCTCTTCTTGTCATTCTCTCGCTTCCTTCGTGCTTTCTTCTCCACTGGACTTGAATCGGCATATTTTCCGTGCGTTTGTCGGTTCGCGTCGCGTTTCGCAGACGGAATTTCGAAAATTCTCTCTTTCTTTTCTCTCTCTTTTTCTCTCGCTCGTCGTCTGAGTGAGTCCGATTCCTTTTTTCTTTACTTTCTCTTTCTCTTCGTGTTTGATTTTGTGCAAACAGGCGTTGCCGCTCTAAGGAGTGGAAGAAACAAAGGCAACGTTAGATACGCTAATGATGAAGAAGGCTTTGGTGGAGCGGCACTTTCGAATACGACTTTAGCCAGCGAGGACGAAGAGGAAGAGGATGAATTCGACAACGACGAGGAAGACGAAGACGAAGATGACGAGGACGAGGACGAGGACGAAGAGGAAGAGGAAGACTCTGAAAGCGAGGGAGAAGAGGATGAAGAGGAAGAGGAAGACTCTGAAAGCGAGGGAGAAGAGGATGAAGAGGAAGAGGAAGACTCTGAAAGCGAGGGAGAAGAGGATGAAGAGGAAGAGGAAGACTCTGAAAGCGAGGGAGAAGAGGATGGTGATGATGAAGAGGAAGACTCTGAAAGCGAGAATAAACACAAAAAATGAAGAATTTTGCAACGAACTCATCAAAAAATGTCACTTCATAATGTCACGTCAATATCACGTCACGTCATTCTGAGCGCTCGAACCCTTCGAAACTCTTTCCGATTTTGCGCGTTCTTTTTGAACCTGGTCTCGTATAATGAGCGCAAATTTGCTTCGTTCATTTTTGTTTGCATGTTTTGGTCGCGAATGCGTTTCGTTCGCAGAGCGAGGATATCGGCGTGGAGTTCGTCGTGGCGAGCGTTATCGGCGTTTCGCGGAAGTGGAGCGGAGAGGCGGGCGAAGTAGAAGGCGTCGTCGGATATCATTTCTATCTCGTTTTCTTTGTCGTCGTTTTTGTCGACGAAAGCGTTGTTCTCTGTGTCAGAGTCGTACTCGGAAAGCGTCGGGAGTACATCGTCGTCTGCTCCGTACGCGTTCGAATCGAGGATGGCGGCGAAACGGCGTCGCACGCGATAGCCTCGGAACGCCGCTTGAACGCGAGTCGCGTATTTTCCGAGTCGTTTTGTCTCGACGTACGAGCGGAAGGATTTTTGGATTATTTGACTCGCTCTTTTGCGCTTGCGTATCCATCGCGCGGCGCACGCTTGGACTGTGCGAATCTTTCGCTTGAGAATGGCGTAACGGCGCATCGCGATGAGTCGTTTGACGTGCGTTTGGATGCGAGTCGCCGCCGCGTTTTCCATTTTCTCCTTCTCGAGTTTTTTCCTGCTTATGTGCGCACGAAATGCAGTTTGAACGATCACGCACGCGTCCGTTCGCAACCGCACGAAGAGTACGAACTTCCATCGACGTTGTATTCGGACGACCATCGTCGTTTTGTGCTTGAGTCGCACTCTCGCCAAGAAACCCCTCGCGTGTCGTTGCATCGTCAACGACGCGTCCGTTCGCCGATAAAACCATATTCGTGCATGCTTTGCAATCACCCTTTGCGCGTCATTTCTCGCTTTTGCTCGTACATATTCCAACTCTCGCTCGTTCTTTCTCAACGCGCTCATCACTTCTCGCTTCACTCTCTCCTCGCGCTCTTTACGCACAATCGCGCCGAGCGCGGAAAGCTCGTCGCTCGCGAGGCTTTGTTGGTCGTCACATTTACCCGTCGTTCCCTCGTCTGCCACCGTTGCATCAACTGTCCCGCACTCTTCGTTTTTCACACCGACTTCTTCATCCGTTCTTTTTATGAAAGATCTCTTCGTCCTCTCGTCGCATACCAGATGATGATCTCGCTCCAACATTTCTTCTTCTTCTTTGTCTTTGTCTTCTTCCTTTTCTTCGGCTGCAAACACCGTCGACCATTTCTCACGAAACAGGCGCAATTCTTCGTCGACCGTCGTTCTCAAGTCTTCTTCGCTCTCGTCCTCCGAGTACGCAAAAGATGAAAAGAGCGCGCCTTCTCCGTCGTCGCAAACATCGCGCTCGAGGTCTTCCTGTTGTGTTTTTATGGTGGTCAAACATTTTCTTGGGAAAAAAAAATAAGCGTTTACCAACTCGCGAAGCACCGCAGCGTCTGCATCGAACACCAACGATGAGTCGGTTTCGCTCTCCAAAGATGACGAGAAATCACTCGCACGCATGAGTAGTTATGGTGTTATCTGCGCGTGCTGAGTTTAAAGCGCGCGCATGTGCTATTGCTTTTGCGATTAAAAAAAGCGCATGTGGACATGCGACAAGAAAATAAAGAAGTGTCATTTTTCTCTCTTGCTGCTGGGTACGCAAATACATAGTACAAACATATTCTACACGACGCAAAACTAGTTCGTTTCTAAATCGACGTATTTAATCGTCGGCTCGAGTTCGACTATTTCTCTCTCTATGCGATCGACTTCGTCGCCTACGGATATTATGACTCTTCTCCCGTACCCGACTAAAGCGTCGTCGATGACTTTGGAGTCGTTTTCCAAGACGCCTCGTTTGAACTCCTCGCGAAAAGCCTCGCGGTTATTGTCTTTATCCAAGAAGCGGTTGACGATGGCGGTACCGTCGAACTCGAGTTCGGCGGCGTAGCGAAAGGTACCCGGGCCGAGTTCTTCGGATTTGGCGAGGTAGACTTCGGAAACGACGGGGTCTTTGCGCATCTTTTCGTTCAGGAGAGACATTTTGTCTTGGCCCAAGGATTTACCCAGAAGCATGAGTCTGTTGGAGTTGATCAAGTACATCGCGGTGACGCCGAGTAAACCGCCAATACAGATGGAACCAGCGGCATCGAACGCGTGAATGCCGGTAATATTAGCCGCAAGAATCGCGGCGCCGGCGACGGCGCATCCGGCAACCGCCGCGGCATCTTCGGCTAAAACGGACACCGACGTCGGATCCCTCCCGGATTTGATAAACTGCGTGACGGTCATCCCTCTGTCCATGGCGTTTAGCTTCAACGCGTCGTACGCGACGTATGCGGAATACGCTTCCAACGCTAGACTCGCACCTAAAATAGCCAAAGAAATTTCGGGTTTCTCCGCCGCTTGCGGCCCTCCGGTTGCGGTCAGCGCGTTCACGCCGTGCGATATGGACAACCCGGATCCCAAGAAAAACACCCCAGTCGCGGAAATCAACGACCACACGAACCGTTCCCGGTGATATCCGTAATTATGCGTCGCGTCCGGTTTCCTCTTCGACGATACAATGCCATACCTCAACAACGCCTGATTCGCGATATCCGCCACCGAGTGCACGCTCTCTGCCAACATCGACGGCGACCCGGAAACCGCGTACCCGCCCAACTTACAAAACAAAATAGCCGTATTCGCGCTAATCGCCGTCGATACCGCTTTCAACGACCGCTCGTCGTTTCTCGATTCGTACTGCGCTACTTGCACGTTCGGTTTTAACTCCGTAGGAGGTGCGTCTTCGAACAACTCTTGGTCGTTTAAATCAAACGTCTTGTCCGAGACGCCTTTTTTCCGAAACGCTCTTCGCTTGGATTTGGTTTCCACGTTTGATTTTGTGACATTGGTTGACAAAATCGTCGCCGTCTCGGGAACATTTGAAGTCTCGTCGTCCTTGGAATAAGATTTCGACGACGAGGACGCGAACCCTCTCATCGCGATTTTTGTTGTCGTCATCGTCCTGCTCAGATCTCCAATCTTCTTCCTCTTCTTCCTCTCGTCGTCACAACAGTAGTCCGCGCAATTTCCCCTAATAAGAGGAACATTCCAAACATTCTTCTCCCAAAAGTCCTCTTTGTCTTTAATGTGTTGAAAAGAAGAAGAGAGAGAACGCCCCGTGGCAAAAGTAACGCTCCTACTGCAGGACGCTCCGAGACCGCTCATCGCGCGTACTTTTCGCGCAGATGATTGAAGCATGATGACGACGATGACGACGATATATAATATGCCGTTTTCCCAACAAACAAAAAGTTTGTTATTTTGAGGGTCGTGTCAAAAGCACTTCAGTTTAGGGTTTTTGAAAAAGCTAAAAATACGCGAAAGGAAAAAAAACGTCTTTTCGTTTCTGTCTCTCTTAAAAAAGAGCGTTTGACCACCACCACCACCTCTTTCCCGCTTTAGTATGTTAATGAAGGCGAGAGAAAGAGAAGAGAGAGGAAAGTTTTACACATGAGAATATAATGCGCGAAGCGTTGCGGCGATTGGAACGCGCGCACGCGGATCGAGCGTCGGTATCATCAAACTTTTTTGACGAGGAAAAAGGGGAAGACTGGAAGGTTTTGGAGGAGAATAAGGTGGTGGTGACGACGACGACGACGGGAGATGGAGATGAAAAGACTGCGATGATCATCGACGCGTTCATGACGATAAGTTTAAGAGATTTATCCGCGATTCGCGCGTTCTCGGGAACGAATTATCCGCCGTTGGTGTGCGTAAAGATCATCAACTGCCCGAACGTGAAACGAATACCGAGCGGGTGTTTCGAGAGATGCGAGAAGACGCTGAGAGAGTTGTGGGTGTGCGAGTGCGGATTAGAAACGTTGGACGGGTTGAAAGGGTTTGAATTTGAGAGTTTGGAAGTTTTGGTTTTGTATGGGAATGAGATTGAAGAGGTGGAGAGTACGTTCATGTGTTGTCGTTCTGACGACGAAGAAGAAGAAGACGGCGGGAAAAAAGAGGCGAGGAAAAAGCCGCCGTTTCAGAACTTGAAGCGTTTAATGCTGAACGAAAACAAAATACGGGAGATTGGTAAGAGTTTCACGCACATGAAGTCGTTGGAGTGCGTCGATTTGAGCGAAAACTTGATCACTGGAGAAGCGTTGTTTTTGGAAAAGAGTGGGAACGCGACTGACGTAGAAATGGAGTGGTTACGAAGCGTCGCCGTGCTCAACTTGGCTGCAAACCCAATGAGTAACGACGCTGTCGTCCATGTCATCGCTAAATACGCTAAGAATATCGTTGATATTCGTTTTCGAGACGACATATCTGGCGCGTCTCCCATCGCGTGTGGGATCTGTGATACGAACACGTTGGAATCAAGCGATGCGGCGTATTCGAGATACGCCTCGAAGTGCGTGGCGGCATTTGGAGAGAGCTTACGGTTCCTGGACGGGTACGAGCTGACGCCTTCACTTCGTGAAAGATTACTCGAGCAACACGATAATCGCCGCGCGCTATATTATGCACCGAGTGACGAAAGGGTAAGCGATCTATTTCGAGAAGCTGCCATAACGCCTCTTTTCTTGGACGAACGCGCAATAATTATCCATTCGGAGGCGGAAGAGTTTGCGCACGACGAAACGGAGAAGAAGAACGCAGAGATTCGCGTCGTGATTGAAGAAGACATGGCACTTATCTCGATGTTGGAGGGAATGACGTTTTGTGACGTTACTTTTCTCGACCTTCCATCCCGCGTTCATTCGAAAACGCTCGTGTCTTTGAAAATACAAAACTGTTCTCTCGCCTCTCTCGAAGGTTTACAGTCGTGCACTAATCTACACAGTTTGGATGCTAGTTCGAACAGGATAAGTAAGCTCGACTCCGCTTGGTTTATTGGACTCAATCGGTTGATATATTTGGACTTATCCGACAATGAAATAACAAATATAGATCGCGATGCCATGCTTTGTGTCCACGACAAGTGCCCAAATTTACGCCATCTTCGCTTGGCTCGAAATCAAATACGAACGCTGCTCGAAGTACAAAATCTCCTCGAGAGGAACACAGATGAGACGTCTTCGAAAACGCAAATAAACAACAAATCGACGTGCTCTGATGATGTACTTCGTGTATTCATTTTAAAATACATAGATTTGCGTGGAAACGCAGTCACAAACCTTGAAAACTATCGCGAGTGTGCGGCGTATTTTGCGCCTTCCCTCGTGTTGCTCGACGGCGAGGAGGTTCGAGAGATTTGGAGACGCAAAGGACGATTTCTGTTTCAAGGTCGCCTAACGACGGAAATGATCGAGCAAAAATTAGCAGAGAATATGAATAATAATGATGATGATGATGATAACTTCACCTTGAATTTATCAGAAATGCGCGTGCGAAGATTGGACGAGGAATCCGTCTCTGGCGTCGCCATGGCGTCGGCAAAAATATTAAATTTTGAGAAAAACCAGCTCTCAGATGTATCGGCCCTTGGCTGTTTAAAACATCTGCGAAGACTCTCGATGCCTAAAAATGCGCTTCGATTTGCGCTCGTTCGAGAACCGTTTGTAAATGGAAACACAGGCGACGACTCCTCTGTCGATGAAAGAAACGAAGAAAGCAGTAGGTGTTTCTACGAACAGTTCTTCCCTCAGCTGAAAGAGCTGGACGTGCGGTATAATCGCATAGACTCGCGCCGACTCGTACGATTACAGCTCCAAAAGCTCCAACTTCTATCTTTTGTTGATGTCTCAAACAATCGCTTACAGAATCTGGATGGATTGAAAAATCTGCGCAACCTTCGAAAAATACGAGCCGACGAGAACCCGTTGCGACAGTTTAACGAAAACACGTTCCTCGGTTTTGGCGCGCTCGAATCACTCTCGATGAAACGATGTGGCGTGCGTTCGTTTGCACATTTGAACGCGTTGCCGCACGTTAATTCTTTGCGATTAGATGGTAACCGAGTGAAGGATAAGGCGTTGGCGCTTAAGCAGCTCGCAGGGGTGAATGGATTAAAAAAATTGAGTTTACGGGGCTGTAAGTTTGCGTCGTCGTATTTCGACGAAGCCGTATTTGCGCTGGAAACGTTAGAGTTTCTCGATGGTATCAAAATCACATGTGAAGACCGCGAGCGTATTCGGACAGAGATGGAAGAGCGCAGAGCGCGCGAAGAGGCGCTAAAATTCCAAGAGACGACGTTGAAGCGCATGCAAGTAGTTGTGCAGCAAGTTGGATTAGTTCACATCTTAAGAACCCCTTCGAGAACGCTCATTTCAGCTATGCGTTAGGAAAAGCTTTCGTTATCATAGTACGCGTATTGTTACAATGCTTTATATTTAAAGAACTACATGCTATAAATTATCTTCGTTTACTAAGGGACTACGTTCAAAGTTTCGTTTAAAGTCTTTGCTAACGCGTTGTAATCGTCGCTTATTTTTTGCAGCTGCGCGTGCATCTCCTCCGTGGCTTCTTCGGTGCCATCGAGCTCTCGAGAAAGCTTATCGTTCTCTTGACGCAACAGTTCATTCTCTAATCGAAGTTCTTCGAGGTGCTCTAAGTCTTCGTCGTTCTTATTGATATTGGTTGCGGTGTTACTATCATCATTGTCCATGTTTAATTTAGCTTGGACAAAGTCTCGGACACCTAATGGCGACTGGTCCACCGGTTCTCGGACCGAACGCGCGAGCGCTTCGAACGCCGCACGTTTTGTATCATCATCGATGCCTTGATTCACGAGATCATCCGAACTGCCAAAATCCTGAAATGGAGAGGATGATTTGTTACTAAACAGTTTGGATTGGTTGAATTCCTCGAGTAGTTCGCTCTGTCTCGCTCGCGCCTCGAGTAACTCTCGGTCTCGGTCTCTCAGGAGCGCATCCAATCGATCGACGTGCGTTCTCAAGTCGCTCATTTGTTTCGAGTTCGCATCATGCATCACGCCGAGGTCGTTTGACCTTCTCACGTGAGCAGACAACGCTTTCTCCAACTTTTCTTTCTCCTCGAGTGCCTCTTCAAGAGATCGCTTGAGCGTTTCAAATTCCTCGCCGTTGGCCGCGAAACCACTGTTTTCATCCGCAAATCTTTTGGATGCTTCTCTCGCGAGACGCAAGTCTTCAAATGCGCCTTGTAACTGCACGCGCAACTCTGATTCTCTCGCCGCGGATCGCTTGGACTTGTTTTCGGCTTGCTTGGCGAACGAGGCTGCCGAAGCTGCCCGATTCTCCGCTTCTTCCACGCGTTCTCGCAAATCTTTCGTCTCCTCCATGATTTCTCGCATACGGCGTTGCTGCTCGACGACGACTGATTCTGAGTGTGCGAGCGATTTTGCCAAATTTCTCGCCGCGTTGAGTGTTTGTGACTCTGAATCTTTTGTGTTCTTCGGGTTCACACTACTGTTCGGTTTGATATTTTCCAGCTCGTTCGAGAGCTGCGCGTTCGTCGCGTTAGCCGCCTCCAAACGACTCGTCAATCGTTCGTTATCTTCACTAAGCGCATCGACTCGCTCTTTTAAAAGCTTTAAGCGTTTAGAGTCATCTTCATTTGTCATAGAAAAGTCGTACTCTCTCGCGCGCGTGGATGCTAACAAACCTTCGAGTTCCTCCGCGCGATTTGATTCTAACTTTGTCCTTAATTTCAACCGATCCCGTTCTTGCGAGGACTCCTCCAACTTGTTGCGCAACGTGCGGAATTCGGATTCAACTTCCGCGTGCTGCTTGCGGTATCTTTCGTTTTGACGCTTCAAGTCTTCGCACGTCTTTGTAACTTCTTCAAGTTGCTCTGAAAGAGATCCTAACCCATTCGGTGCGAAATCTTCTCCAGTTTTCCCTCCTTTTCGCGTTTGCGTCGAAGCGGTAGAAGATGACATCTCCTCGAGTTCTTTCGTGAGCTGCGAAACTCTGCGTTCCAAATTTCTCGCTTCCGAGCTCAAAGCTCTGTTTTCGGAATCTAAAACTCTCGATCGCTCTTTCGCTGCTCTCAAACCATCTTCAGTTTGTTGCAACGCCTTCTCTAACTTTTGGTTATCGCTGGACGTCGCCGATAACTCTCTCACGGCTAATTTATGTTCTCCTTCAAGTTCTCTATACGCCCTGGCAACATCTTCGAGTTCTTTTGCAGTTGACACTGAATTTACCTCTACGTTTTCTAAAGCTCTTTCGGCGTGCCGCAAATCTTTCCACGCGCGATCACGTTCCGCGCACGCTCGAAGGTAATCGTCGTTTACGCTTTGTTGTTCTCTCGTCATTGCGACTAAATCCTCCGCGACAAAGCGCAACTCTTCTCTATGTTGTTTGGTTTCCTCTCTCGCACTCTTCGCATCCTCTAAAGCATCCGCGAGCGAACGATCTAATTGATGTGCCTTATCGATTTCTTGTTGACGCAGCTTTTCAACCGCACTCCTTTCGCGGACGGCTTTCGCTTCGGACGATTTCGCCATTTGGCATTCGTTTACAACGGCTTGAACTCGCGCCTCGGATTCTGCCAAGGTTTCCGTTAACGCGTCGCACTCTTGTTGTAAGCGATCGCGTTCGATTTCGAGCGCCTTGGCGAGATGATCCGCATCCGTGTTCTTCCCATTCTTTCGTAAAAGTTCAGAAGAAAGGAAAGACGTTCTCGGCGTAGTTTGTCCGTTTTGTTGTGCCTCTGCGATCATTTGCAACTCCTCTTCCGCTTTTTTCGCTCTCGTCTCCGCCTCTTTCAACGTTTCGTGCGATCGTTTAAATTTTTCACCTAAATCCAAGCGCTGCGCGTCCAACCCGTCGATCGTCGCCTTCAAGCGGTCGACGTCTTCTCGTAAAGATTTATTCTCTTCCCTGGACGTTTTCAGCGCAATCTCGTACCCTTCTACATCTCCGTGCGCATCAAATGCTTCTCTCGACTCTAGCGTCATCGTCAACTGTTCATTTGCTCGCATAAGATGATCTCTCTCTGCTGCGTAGCGATTCGCTAACCGTTTTTGCTGCTCCATCTCCTCCCGGACTGCGTTCAACTCTTCCCGCGTTTCCTCCGCTCTGTTCGTCGTCGAAGCAGCTGTTCTCGTCCGATCACCCCGTTCCGTCTCCTCTAACCTATCCGTCAACTCGTCTATTCTCTCGAATAATGTCTCTACCAACTCGTCTTTCGTCTTCCCGTCTCTCGCGTGCGCTTTCAAAAGCTCCACCGCTTCTCTCGACTTTGCGCTTTCGCTCGCTTTCTCCCTCGCGTCCAACAGTTCCGCGGATAAAAGCTTCGTCGCGTCGCGTTCGGCAATTAACGCTTCCGCAAGCTGTTTTTTAAGAAGAAGAACGGCGTCAAAACAACACCGCGGTGAGTAAAGATATTTTCAAGAGAGAGAGAGAAAATATGAGTAAAAATCGAGTGCGTCGCTTCGACAAAAATCAAACAAAAATCAAACGCAAGCGTCGTTTAAATAAACTGCGCTCGTTCGCTCGCGCTCTGTGTGTGTTGTTTCTCACCTCGGCAACCATCGGGACCCACTGGCTGGGAAGCTGACCTCGAAACCCGAGCTCTTCTAAAGTATTTGCCAACGTTTGGTGACTCGTGTTGGCGTTTCCGCGGTGGTGGTGGTCCATCATCATCGTCTCTTGGGAAGATGTGTGGATCCGATTGGTGATGGAAATTTCTCTCGCTTTTCTCTCGGAGAAAGAATAAAATACGCGGTGGTGATGCTAACGAACCAGGCGCGCGACGTCGAAAACTTCCTCTCCCACTTTCTGTCGTGACGAGACGCGCTCTTTCTCTCTCGCTCGCTTTGTGTACTAAACTGGTTCCTTGTTTCAACGTAGTCTCAGAGTGGTTGAAATTTATGACAAATATCTTTCGACTTAATTAATTTTGGCGGGATTTTCAAGAAGGGGCATCTTTCTTAAAAATACAAACGTCTACATTACATATTAGCTCCTTTCTTTCTTTCGCCTTACCCGATGCCCTCTGAACACTCTCTGAATATACACGCACGCCCCGAGTTTGTCTATGTGTTCCAACTCCTTCTCTCGTCGTAATCGAGTGTCCAAAGTGAGCGCCGAGTTGCCGAGCTTGGCGTGGAGGAGCGCGTCGAGACACTCGCTGAAAGGGACGCCTTTGTTCGGGTGGCGGACGTAATGGAGTTCGGCGAAGATTCGGCGGCGCCATTTGGAGATGGTGGAGAGGTATCGAAGGCGCAAGGCGTCGGTTTTGAATTTCTTTTCTTTCTCCTTTTCTAAGTCGTTACCTTCGCCTTCGGCGGTTATTTTCGAGAGCGGTTCCGGGAGGCGTTTGAGGAAAGGCCAGATTTGGTGGAGACCGATGAATCCGGTGGCGTTCGGGTCAAAGGTGGACCAAATGGTTTGGAAGTCTTCGAGATTTTTGGTGGAGACGAGAGAGGATTCTCGGAGAACGCCAAACGTGACGTGATCGAGGATAGTGGCGACGAAGAGGTTGGTGAAGATGTAGCCCATGGCGACGACGTAGGTGACGAAATAGAAGGTGGCGCCGTTACCAAACCCGCAGTTGTCGATGTTATCGCCGGCGTGATTTTTTGAGCAATGCGGCTCGTCAATTTGTAAGTCGTACATGAATTGGCGCCAACCCTCACCAGTTAGAACTTGGAAGAGAAGGAGGAAAGAGTTGACGAAACTCGAGAAATTGGCGTCTTTGTTCAAGCTTTCGCCGTATTTGACGTTGAAAAAGACTTGCGTGCCGACGGCGGCGTAGAGGAACATCCAGATGAGCATGACGCCAATAACGGAGAGGATGGATGGAACAGCGAGAATCATCGTTCGCGATACGCGGCGTAAGTCTGTCGCGTGGCGCAGGATTCGAAACGTTCGGAGGAACCGAAACGGTCGTCCTATTTGCGCGCGGACGCCGGAAGGGTTGGTGGGGAAGAGCGTGGCCGCAGATCCGCAGGAGAGGAAGAGTTCGAAGCAGTTCCAAGGATCTTTGAAGAAGTAAAGTGGATGCGGAAGAGCAACGAATAGACGCACGAGGGATTCGAGAAGGTAGATGGACACAAAAGCAACGTCGCCGATGTTCCATGCGTACTCCCACGAGGCGTCGGCGTCGAAGTGGACCGTGGCTAACAGTACGATGTTGAGCGATAGCAAGAACAAGATGACTTTTTTAAACATCTTGGAGTGTATAGCGTCGTAACACTTCCTTCGCACAGATCCTACGACTGGCTTCATTTCTACTCGCATAGGCTTTATAGACATGGCGACGCCATGCATATCTCTCCATAACTTTTGCCGTTCTGTGAGTAACTTCAAACCGCTGGAAATACCAAACCTGTCGATGAAAACACCGATGATCGTACGAATCATCATGAACGAGCCACATAAGATAAACGTGATGAAGAATAAACACGCCGGCCAGTTTGCATTTTTATTACCGCCGATATCCATCGCGTGATGCATAATATCGATCCATCCGTCCAGCGAGGCGGTTTCAAACAACGTCAATAACGCAGAACCGATCCAATCAAAGTCATATTTCGGAGAATTCCAGTACGTATCCTCGCGTAAATCGCACGAGTACTGGTCGATATCGAGTCTTTTTGTTACGTATGTAGAGGACGACACACTCTGCGTCACGCCGAGTATTTGTTCGCAGAAGCCAAACTTACCCCCAAATATGCGCACGCCGACGATGGCGAATGCCAGGAAAATGGCAAACGTGAGTTTGATGACGGACCCAATCGAAGGTAACGTCTGTGTCACCGATACTACGAGTCGTTGCATTTTTGTGTTGCGCGATAGTACGCGAAACATGCGCAACGAGACCAACACGTTAATAGCTCTCTGAAAATACCAGTTCCATATGGATGAAAACACGATTGGCCCAGCGACGATGACGACGTCCACGCACAAGACCAAAGTATCGAGAATATTCCACATGGACGAGAAATACGCGGTTGGTGTAAAAATCAATCCATCGGAAACAATCTTAATCAAGAAATCGAGCAAGAAGTACCCAGCAACCAGAGCGTTGGCCGCGTCCAAAAAAAACTGGTGTGGATTTACCTCCGTCACCGGGTCGGCGCCGAGAACGGCGGCTATTGATACGACCACGAATAAATATGAGATTCTCTCGTACCATTTTTTCGACAACCATCGCTGTAACATCTGTCGAAGTTTATTCTCTAGGGGGATTGCACCAAGAGATTTATTCGTAAAATACGCTGGCAACGCGTGAAAATGTTCTTCTTCGTGGAAAATATCAAAGTACTCTTCATCTTCCTCGTACAAGTAGGTGTTCATATTCTCTTTCATCGCTGCCTTCTTTCCCTGTTCTAAAAGCGAAAACGATGAGCTCTGCAATCTTAATCTCTCAGTGTCTTTTGGTTCTTCGTTTGGTGTATTCACGCGAGTATCGAAAACAGAACGTCGTCTTATTGCGTTCATCCTCTTGATCGGCTGAATTTGTTTGAAACGCTCGTGTTGTTGTTGTTGTCGCAGCAAAGTAGCGGATCCGGTGGTCAGTTTCTGTGCACGCGATCTCTTACCTGCGAATATTTTTTTCGAGTTACGCTCAGATATCACACTTTCTATCGCGACCGATATGCGTAGAGCTCTTCGCGCTCGACTCGCTAACCACGGCGAGATTTCATGTTCCTCGTCAATATTCCAGAACCGCACGCGTTTCTTCAAGACAAACCATACCCTAATTTTCTCTAATCGGTCGACAAACGCGCCCGAACGCATGCGTCTTTCAACCTCTCGCTTCACGATCTCGCGTCTTTGCATGTTGTTCTTTTCAAAATCCCTCAATTCCAAGTTCTCGAGGATCACTGCGATGATGAGATTCAAGACGACGTAATTGACGAGAACGAAAAAGGAGACGAAATACGGCGTCGCGAGCCAAGTGACGCGGCGGAAGTGATACAACATTGCAACCCAGCCTTCACCAGTGGAGACTGTAAATATCGCTAATAATGCGTTTGGATAGGTTTCGAAATTTTCGCGAGGATATGGGACGGTCACATTGTCGATATTCGCGTCGTCGTCGCGTTTTTTCAACGCATCCGTGGCGTATTTTGGGAAGAGCTGCATACCTAATAACGCGTACGCCGCAAGAACGACGCCGTAGAAACAGAGCAAACTCAACATCGTGCCAAAACTTCTAAAGACGCGAGCGAGTGTATCGTTCTCACCACCACTACTGCTTCTTGTTGTAGTACTGCTGTGTTCTTCTCCATTCGTCGTCGATGAAACTTTTGTGCTCTTCCCACTATTCTTTTCGATGCCGGCGGAAGGATGGTCAAATAATCGCACGACGCGCAAGGCCACTAGATTCGGGCCTTTGTGATCTGCTCCCGCCGCCGTCGCGGAAAGCACTAAAAAATCCCAAATCAAACTCAGTTCACCCGGCTTCAAAGACTGTTTCAAACTAAAAATCCGTCCTAAAATACCCTTAGCCGCGAACAAGCGCAAACCGCATTCGCAATAAAACACCGCCAGGAAATAATAGTCCAAACCGTCTAGAAAACGTTTCGTCGTGTCGGGTTGATAGCTTTTATACGCGCACATCGAACATGTATTCAGAACAATTAAAATGCGGGAGACCAAATCAAACGTTGGGTTTGAAACGATCTCATTCACTCGGTCGCGTTTGTTTCGCGCAACTCCAGATTTGATCTTGCGCATCGGTAGTTTCCTCCCTTCCTCGATGTCGTTAGGCGACGATAAAGCGCATTCATCATCATCGTCGCTGTTGGTATACGCGCTCAACCGGCCTCTTTCTGACTTGTTACGTTCGAGTGCAATCGCGGCAATATCAACGAACGTATCTTTTTTCTCTCCTCCTTCGTGATGGTGCTTGAAGAAGCGTAAGGCGTTTTTCAGACGCGTAAACCGAGCGAACCCTTTCACAAACTCCTCTTCCTCTTCTTCGTTTGTCGATGATGAAGTTCTTTCTCGAGCATTCCTGTGTTTCAATACTGCAACGTGTTCGCGCCTTAAGCGTAGAAAAACACCACTCACCGCGGCGACAAACACGGAGACGATGAAGTAGGTACCGACGATGATAAGCGTGATGTAATACGCCGCGGACGCTCGGAATTCACTGTTCACCGTCACGTACATGGTTTCTGGCCACTCCTCGAGAGTTATGCACGTGAACATGGACGTCAACGCAGCAAAGAAGTCATCGAACGATTGTTTGCCAAAACGTGGGTTACCTACTTTGTCAGAACAGAACATATTTTTGAACGTCAACTCGTGTTCGATAAAAGTAGACGAGTAGGACAAGCCCAGCGCGTTCGATACCAAAGTTTCATTCAATACGGGACTCGCGTATAACTGTTCAAATGCCAGAGCGTCCTCTACAGATTCACCTCGATACGTCGTGTCGAGAAAATACGCGCCGGGACAAACAAATCCTTTCCCATCGATTGTATTCTCCACGTCCCCGCAGAAAAACGGCGTCGTGTCGTTATACGTTCCAACCCTCGCCGCTTCCTTCGAATCCGCGATCACACACCGTCTCCGAAAGCTCCCACCAAACGTGGATACGCCCATCAGCGCGTAAAATACAAAACAAACGCACGACACTCCAATGACGTCTCTCAGCAAAGGAATCGACGCCGACAGCGCTTCCATGATGACAATCACCGAAGACGCGAACGAAAACGAACGCAACGCCAATGTCGCTCGAAACACGCGCAAATGACCCAACCGTAACCGCGGCAACGCAGGGAACACATCCGGGGTGAAATCGTAACACTCGCTCATCACAGACATCCAGGAAACCGTGACGATAAAACAATCCAACCTGTTATACGCGTTCGACGTCAAATACGCGTGCCTCGACCCGAAAACGCCCAACGCGTACATCTTCAACGCCATCTCGCACGTGTAAAAAATTAAAATAGCGAAATCAACCGCCCACAGCGGTTTACGAATCAGCGTTTGAAATCCACCGCTCGCGTAGTTGCCATCGTCGTTCTCTCCGTCGTTCTTCGCCAACAGCACCGCCAGCACCGCAAAGTGTGCGAACACGATTGAAAACAACAGGTATTCGAACGTCCTCGAAAACACCGCTTTGAAGACTTTCCTTCGTTTCGAGTCTTTACTGATACAGACCGCCGTGGTGCCGAATTTCGATCGCAACGGTCTCGGTTCCGCGGTTATCGTCGAGAGCACTTTCACGACCGCCTCGCGAAACTTACAAAGCGGCGGAGTCGGAGTTTGTGTTTGTGTTTGTGGTGGTGAAGTCGTCGTCGTCGTCGTCGTTTCTTCTTCTTCCTCTTCTTTCGAACGACCACCTTCTTCACCGACGAAAAAGTCAAGGTCTCTCGCTCTCTCTCCTTTCCGAACAACACACGTCGTCGTCGTCGTCATCGAACGACTGCTCTTTCAAACACCTCCACTACTCGAGAAGAAAGTGAGTCGCAGCAGGGCGGCAGATGTAATAAATACAGCGCGTAATTCTCTCCGCGCGCGATGAAAAGTGATGCTGTGATATTATATATATATAATAACAGTCTCGTGTGCTTCTCGCGCGCAGAAAGCGTTGGTTGTTCTAAAAATATTTTTGCCGTTTTTGCGAAAAAAGAACGAACGAATTTTTTCTTTTTTTTGATTTTTTTGACCAACAGACAGACCAAACAGAAGGACAGACCAAACAGATCGATCGCTTCATTCTTTCACACAGACAAAAGAGGAGGCGTTTCGTTTGAAACATCATTTCATCATCGAGAGTGAACACTTTCCGAGAGCGCACGTTTTACTCTCTCGAGCGAAAGAAGCGCGTCTCAACAACGCGCGAGAATAAAGTGCGCTCTCTTTTCCTCTCTGTCGTTCACGAAATAAAAGAGAGTTTGGACGACGACTTTTAGGAGCAGCGTGTAAAAGTTTGGCGGCGAAGAGATCGAAGAGAGAGAGAGAGAGAGAAACGAATTGAAAATGTTCCCGTGGGCGTCGACGGTGCGAATGCCGAGAGAAACGCTGGCGAGAATCGCGCGCGAACAGAGAAAAGACGGGGTGACGATTCAGTTTCGGGTGCTACCTGCACCGGTTTCGTCGTCTCGGCATTTGCCCGAGGATGATGAGGAAAAGAATTTAAGACGAGAGAAGATGATGGTTGTTTCCGTGATGAAAGTGACGACGAAGAAAAAGGAAGAAGGCGAAGACGACGAAGAAGAGGAAGAAGAAGAAGAAATAGCGAGATTTGAATCGAGAGAGAATGAACTCGTTCCGGGAGATTTGTGCGAGGTTGAGGAGAGGATGAGTGGTGGCGTCGACGCGAGCGCTTCGGTTGTCGCGAAACTGGCGAGAAAGTTCCACCCGACGAGAGACGAAACCGCGAAAAATCAAGCCGGCGCGAAGTGTAAGACGAGAACGGATATGCTCGTGCAGAAGAAGAATGAAAAATTCAACACGAAGTTGCTCGGGAATTACGAGAGGAGACCGGAGGAAGACGCGACGGCGGTGGTGACGACGACGACGAAAGTAGTGAGCGAGGCGTTGATGGCGGCCAAGGCTGGGAGCGCACAAACTCATCATAATAACGATAGAAACGCTAATACTAACGAAGCGTTAGCTTTGCATAATAATAAGACAACGGCTGTAAATGGTGGTAGAATAGGAACAGAAGAGCTCGAAAAAATGGCAAAGAGACGGATATCGTTGGTACGCGCGACTATTCTTTTAGCAGAATCGAAAAATAGCGAAAGTTTAGTCGTAGCGACCACCAGTAAAGCAGTAGAAAAAGAACAAGTGAGTCAGAAACCACTCACGTCGGCAGCCATGAATAGCGAAATCGTCTGTCGAGAGTGCATTTTCTCGTTGCTCCACGAACGGAAGCTCTCGAAGGACGCGCTGCGTGAAGCCATCGTGAGAGGATTTGAAAGCGCGACGAAGCTGAATCGCAAAAAACAATTGAGGGAACAGATTTTAGAAACGCCTTTGCGTGACACGTTTGAACGCGCTTTGAAAGAGGTGGCGAATTTTCGAGCCCCAGGGAGGTATGAATTGAAACGCGAGCGCGTCGAGGAAGGGAGGCGAGCAAACGCGAGCGCCTCGTTGTGGATCGTCCAAGAGGAAGACGTGAACGCGAACGCGCCGATTATGGTGAATGTAAAGCGAGCTAGAGCAGAAGAAGTAGACAACGATGAAGACGAGAGAGGAGGGTCAAAGAAAAAGAACGACGTGCTCACGCCGCCGTTATTTTTGGAATCTCGGAATCGCGAAAAAGAAGAAGCGGCGAGGAAGAAACGATCGAATCAAGGAGGCCCGCAGGCTGTTTCTCCCGTGTATCAACCAGAAGAGCTCGTTCAAAGAGCTCTGAAGGATAAAAGTAGTAGCAGCAGCGACGACGACGACGACGATGATGTTTCTGAATCAGACGACGGCTCGAGCGGTTCATTGGACTCGGATACCGACTCATCAGACTCTGATTCGGAAGACTCCTCGGAAATAGACTCCTCGGACTCTGAATCGGACGAAGTCCTCGGTGGTGTTCAAGAGAGAGCATCGTCGAAGAAAAGAAAGCCTTCTTCTTCCGAATGTCTCACCGACGATTCGGACACCGAGTGGCAAACCTTCGAATCCAAGGACGGCAAAGCCGTCCTCAAACTTTTCAGACGCATCGGTCGCAACAAAATCCGTCCAATCACCGAGGCGCACCTCGCCGCTTGGAACGTCGCCTTTAACGAGTACTGGTCCATTCACCGTCGCTTACACGAACACGGCGCTAAAATAAGCCTATGCGAAGACCTCGTCGCGATTTACGAAAACTCCTTCACCAAGAAAGAAAAGAAACGGAACCAATCGAAGTACGAAAATGCCAAATCCGATTTAGCTCGCTTCCGCGCGCCCGAGTCCGAAGCGTATCGCCATCGCATGCGTACGGTCCTCGAGGAAATCGACGCCGCGTTTGGCGGTAAAACCAGAGAGAAGCTTCAATCGTTCGCGAGAAAGCGAAATGCTGCCGCCGAGAAGAAGAAGAAGGCGAAGAAGAAGAGGAAAAGTAGGTTGTAAATTTGTAAAGCATTCATCGTTCGTGTGAATTTTTGTTCTAGAGCTCTTCAAGAATTCGTGGTCGCGAGAGCTTCACTTCATATCCACTCTTTTTCTCCCCTTAAAGTATTCTAAAATAACACGCGCGGGACAAACGATATACTTAAAATAATAAAGCATTATGCCGGTCCCAATATCCGTGACTGGATTTAAGAACCTCGCCGGGGACCAAAACGTGCACGCGGAAATCGCGGAGACCGCGTCGGCGGGCGATTGGTTTTCCAAAATGCGTGGTGGGGGTGACGTGGAAAAGACGTCGACGACAGCAACTATGGACGTCGACGACGAAACAGCGACGACGACGACGGCAACGCACGACGAAAACGGCAAACTCTGGGGCATCGCGGTGAACGATTTAGACTTTTCCTACCCAGGCATCGATGGCGCGCCGATTCCCGGCTCCGAACCTCTCATCAAAGGGATGAATTTGCACCTGAAACCTGGGTCGTGTTGTTTACTCCTCGGCGCGAACGGCGCGGGGAAGACGACTTTGTTGAAAATTATGGGCGGGAAACACATGGTACCGAGAGAAAAAGTATTGATACTAGGACGAGAGGCATTTTATGATACGAGTTTAACGTCTTCGGGAGATTTGAGTTACATCGGCGGGAACTGGCAGAGAGACGTCGCGTTCGCCGGGTATAACATTCCGTTGGCGGGAGATTTCCCGGCGAGTAAGATGTTAGATGGGATCAAAGGCGTGGACCCGGCGAGAAAGAAACGAATAATCGACGCGTTGGATGTGGACGTGGAGTGGAGAATGCACCAGGTGAGCGACGGGCAACGGAGACGCGTGCAGTTGGCGTGGGGTTTGATGCACGAGTTCAAAGTTTTGTTATTGGATGAGATTACGGTGGATTTAGATGTTCTCGGGAGAGCCGAGTTGATGAAGTTTTTGAGGCAAGAGTGCGAGGAGAGACAGTGTACGATTTTATACGCCACGCACATCTTCGACGGGTTGGAAAAATTTGCCAGTCACGTTGCGTTCGTCGCGGGCGGGAAGTTGCAGTTCTGTAAAGAGATGGAATCGATTCCGTCGTTGAAATCGAGGAAACCGGGCGCGTTATTGAAGGAGGTGGAGATTTGGTTGAGAGAAGACGCGAGGTTGAGACCGAGGAAAAAGAAAACGGTGAGAAAATCGTTGGAGCAGGCCAGGAACAACGGCTGGGGCGAAGGGAGACTCGGTTCGACGTTGGCAAAAGGGGAAGAGTTACGAAATGGCATCTCGCAGATAAAAAACGCAAGTAACGCCGTCATGAGATGTTAAAAGAGCTCTTTTAACACGTTTTTAGACATTTGTTTAGACAACTGAATTTAATCAAAACTATCAACTACACTAGCAGTCATCACTTACTGAATTGAAAGTAATGCTATCTATCTATCTATCTATCTATCTATCTATCTAATCGCGATGTTGTTACATTTGTTAAATTCTACAAGAAGCCTGCGACTTTCTTCTTCTTTTTCTTCTTCTCCTCCTTCGCACTCTTGTCGCGTTTCTTCCCTTTTTTCTTCTCCTCCACGAACGCATTCTTTGACGGTGGTGCCGCTGTGACTGGAAGGGGTGGTTGAGATATCACTGGTAGCGCACGAGTAGGATGGCTTTTCTTCTTCTTCGTCGACGGAGGGATATCCTCCTCTCCCAGAGACAGAGGAGGCATGCGAAGAGTCCGCTTCTTCATCTTCTGCGATGTACCATCGCGCGGACGACGATTTTCTAAATCATCAATCAATAATTCAAGTCGCTTCCTCTCCTCGTCGTCCTCGTCTTCATCTTCGTCATCGATGACTAAAGTCGTTCCCCAACCGTTTTCGCGCAAATTTCGCAAGCGTTTCAGGACGTCGGCGGAATCGATAGACTGGTATCGTTCCATCTCAATGGACTTGATTTCGTGCACACCTTGTCGTAAAAAGCTCTCATCTTCTGCAATTTCCTTCGAGCGTCGATCGAGCGCTTCCCAGTACTCATCTCGTTCGTCTTTCTTCGATTGGATGTGTTTCGGATAGTCCGCAGAATCGCCTTCCTCGCCAACGAGGGAGATGAAATTATAGGACATTGGCGCACTAATCGTTTTTTGCTTCGAATCTGTAACCATGTATTTCGTATGACTTTTCGCTTCACCTGCTCTGATGAGTTCAGTAAACGGTCTCGATTCTATTTTATGCTTCTCCCATAGATGTGTTTTCATCGTTTCGGTTCGATTCATAGCAGCGCACGAAAACTTACACTGTTTACCGTCGGCGCACAAAACAGGACAAACGTACATGTTTCCACCAAAAATCATCTCGTGTTTACCAGTTGCCGGGTTGAGTCGAAACATGTGACCTCGCCCCTTTCCGCGTCTCACCTCGTTCCAACCGTCGTCCTCGAACATTTGCATCCTACCGTGCTTTCGTACTTCCCTCAAGTCTTCGTCAACTTTGATTTTTTTTGCCAAATTGAACGCTTCGGCGGCTTTGCGAATCATTCGAGCACCCCGCGCGTCAAACGCATCCTCGTCTTCGGTTTCCGCGTTATTCTCTTCCTCTAGCTTCCATGCCAAGTCAACGGCGACGTACTTTGACGATCCGTTGTAGATATGCGGAAGCAATTCTACGTCGTCGTCCAGTTGTCTCGAAATATCAAAAGGCTCCCGTCGCCTACATTTCCCGTAGGAGTGCGCATCAAAACTTCCGCGCATTTCCCTCCGCATATGGCCGAACGATAATGGTAAAGTCGAGCTTGCGTCGCGAGTGACGAATGGCGCATCTTTCACGATGGTTTCCTTGTCTTCGAAGTTTTGCACGTACACGGTGCCAGTCGCTTCTTCCGACCACGCAAAAAACGGCAAGAGGTCTGCCTTCTCTCTCGCTTCGCCTGGGTAAAATTGAAATCCCCCCCACGGCGCATCCGCGGGTCGCGGGACGAGTCGAACGCCAGCGGACAACGCAGACATCGTAAACGATTTTGATTGAGTGTTATTCACACCTCTCGTCTCAAACGCCATCGCGTCTCCTGTTGCATTAGCCACCGCGAGAATCGTCACATAAGAATCGTCAACGTTGATATTCGTATCAAACGCTCTTCGGAAGTCGTTTCGGACTTCAACCGAAGAAGGCGAAGAAGACATGCCGTGTTTCCAGGAGAACACCGGGTCCACGGGAGAGTATTTTCGAATATCGTACAACTTGACCGAAGTACGAGTTCCGATGGCGAAAAGAAACGTGCCTGTGAGCACGTTTGAAGCGCATTGGATGCGTTCGTCCCGACTCCAGGAAGTCGTACTTCTTTTTGTAGTAGATGTTTCTCCAATAGCGCGGGTGTTCACAACTTCCGGTCGTCGTTCATCGATGACTTGAATGCGATTCGGGTTGCAATGCAGCATCGTCCGCGGGTGTTGGGCTTCGTAACATCCGTACCATTGCCTCACAACCGCGCTACCGGCGCTGGAGGCATTCTCGACCCCCATCGAGACCGTATCCCATTTCACCCATCCGCTCTCTCCAGGCCTGTACGTTTGCACCGTCCCAACTTCCGTCGCGACTCTCAAACAACAATCCGAAAACTCCCCGCACGCGCTCTGATTCGTAAATCTCATGTCCGTTGGCAACGCGTCGTTATCATTCATTACCGGTGTAGAAAATTCGCACCGAAACGTCCCGCTCTTATTTGTTTTCGACACGGACACGCCGCAAAAGTCTCTCGACGCGACCATTTTCATCTCCCCTCTCCCTTCCTCCTCTTCGATGCCTTGCACATCGAACGTTCTCTGATATTCGTTCCTCCTCTCTATTACCTCTCTGACCCCTTCGTAACACCTCACCGCCCTTCCTTTCGCGTCCCGCGTGACCACCGTCCCGTCTCTAAAAATCTTCAAACAGTTCGCCGCTTCGTCTCTCCTCGTTCGCGCTCGTCGCTGCTCTTCCTCTTTTTCCACCAATGCGATCGCATTCAAACATTGAAACGGAACTCCGCAGATCGCGTGCCGATACAAATTCACCTCTCGATCCCTCTCGGCCGTTACTTTATTAACTCTGTTCGTCGTCTCTTTCACGACGCTTACGTTTTGCGCTCGAATCAACCTTTTCGCTCTCGCTCGCTCGATGTCCACCAACTCACTCTCCGGGCATCGCGCCACCGACGCAACAATCGGTCGACCGTCTGTTTCGATGCGCTTAAAACCACCACCCTCATCACGAGAGGACGATACAGACGATAAAAGCGGACGCTTTGCTCTCGGGAAAATCGATTCTTCTTCCTCCTCCTCCTCTCGAAACGGTGCTCTCTCGAACGGGTAGAACACCCCTCCGGTGTACCCGAACGCGATTTCCCGAAATTCTTCTTCCTCTTCCTCCTCCCCATCTCCCAGAGGAGCTTTTGAAGGCATGCGTGATGCTCTCGTTTGTTGTGCGTGGTCTCTCTCTGAAACGTCTCGATATCTTTCTCTCGCGCGCTGCGTTTCGTGTTGTTTTACGTAAAGCGAAAGCGCGTGAGAAAAGTGCGCGCAAAGGTACGGAGATGCTTCACTTCTTTTCCACGCTTCACGCGTCACAGAAACGCTTTCGCATAAACGCGCGAGAAGAACGAAGAGAGAGGATTCAAAAGACGAGGAGGAAAGGATGAAGAAACAACACGCCTCCTCCTCCTCTCAATCCTCGCAAAAAGTGTGTTTGTGCTTCCACGGCTTCTCGCAAAACGGCCTCGTTTTCCGCCAAAGAACCGGTTCCATTCGGACGAAGACGTTGAAACGCGAGTACGAGTTTGTTTTTCTCGACGCGCCGCATCGCGTGGATGGCGTTTTCGATGTGGACGACGTGAACGACGAAAAGAATATCGAGAAAAGAGAGAACGAAGAAACGATGCGATCGTGGTGGTTAGCCGGGGAAAACGTGTCCTCCGGAGCGACGAAAGCGAAAGATGGGAGCTGGATACGTCCGGCAAAGAGCACAAAAATCGTTCGCTTGGAGGAAACTGTCGCGTTGATTGAAAACGCGCTTAAAGAGCACGAAGGACGCGTGCGCGCTCTGGTTGGATTTTCGCAAGGCGCGACGTTGATTGGAATACTGAAGCGAGTGAAACCGGAATTGTTTGAGAACGTGAGAAGGGTGGTCAGCGTCGCCGGGTTTGATCCTTTAGACGCGCGGTTTTACGAGAAAGACGGCTTTGACGAGAATTTGAGCGTCATCGACGTCCCGTCGATGCACGTGCACGGGAAGAACGACGCTCTGGTCACTCGAGACCGATCTGATCGCTTAAGAGATAAATTCTACAACAAGGAGAAATCAGTCGTGTTCGAACACGAGGGCGGACACGGCGTGCCAACCTCGAGAGAGTTTCGCGAGGCGTTTGAGAAGTTCCTCTTGATACCGGACGGAGAAGGAAAAGACGAGTAGTACAACCAAGTTTGATAGCCGCGGTGACAGCAACAGCAACACCAACATAGTAATAGTAGTAGTAGTAGTAGTAATAATAGTGAGAATATAGACCGCACGCGCGCGAAATAAGTCGTTGAATCGTAAGGCTTCCCGTCGCGTGAAAATCGAATACTAATATCGTTTTCCTCACAACTCAAACAAAGTCGGCGGATAACACAAAACACACAACACATCGTCGAATAATATGTCTTTCGTACTCCGCGCGTCCTCCTCGTCCTTAGCGTCTCCATCGATGAGACAAAGCACTTTAAGAAATAGCACCGAGGCCACGAAAAGTATCATCAGAAGCACTTCTTCTTCTTCTTCTTCGTATTCCGCGCGTCGCACTCGTCGTCATCATCATCAAAATCATCGCGCGTTTTTAGTCGTGAGAGCAACCTCCGGGGAGGACGACGAAGGCGCAGAGGGAGGAGGAGAAGGAACAGATTCAGAAGTCATCGAGGCGGAGTTTACCGGCGAAGAAGAAGGAGCACGAAAAGAAGAAACGACGAGTACTAGTAAACAAGAACAAGAACAAACTCCGGGGGATTTACTTCGCTCGCAAAAAGAAGCCAAAGCGGACGAAGGGATAAACATTTTTGCCGGCGCGAGCGAGGAAGTTGGTTTAATCGAATGGCCGACGGCAGGGAAAGCAGCGCAAACCACCGGGGTGGTGATTGTAGGAATCGTGTTCTCCGCGGTGTTTTTGCTGGTCGTGAACGAGGTTTTGAGCACGCTGAGCGAGAAGATTTTTAACTAATAACAAACAGACGTCGTCGGCGCGAGAGGATAAAACACGAAAGACATCACGAAAGAGTTGTTCTGTAATATATTATTAATACGTTACGCATACGAACGAATCTTCTTTCTTTTACAAGAATGTATATGTATGAATAATTACGCGCCATCGACGAATTTCGCGCACGCGGAGTAAATCTTCTGCATAAACGCGGCTTCTTGATCCAATCCTGCGGCTTTGGCCGTGTTGATGTTCGTCATGAGAAGCGCCATCAAGTTCATATCCAACTCGTCGTTATCAACCATTTCCAAAATCATCGCTTTTTTATCCTTCGCGGTTAACAGTTTCATCATTCGTTCTTTTGGTTGTAACATAGCTTTGGTGGTTTGATCGACGAAACCGACAAAGTTTGAGGTGACCGTGCTCAACGCGTCGATTTTCCCTTTCATGTCTTCGCTCACCGAAGCGTCTTCCATTTGACTCTTCAAATACGCGAAGAACTCTTCGTTTAATTTCGGTCTATTTCGTACGATTTCAAATTCCATCTCGTTAAACTCAGTCTCGAAAAAGTACGTCACCAACTCCGCCGGCGACGTCGGTTCCGGTCTCGCCTCTCTCGCCTCCTCCAATTCCTTCCGTTTCTTCTTCCACTCCTCTTTCAACTTTTCCTTCTCCGCCTCCAACGCCTGCGCGTCTCGCTTCGCCAAATGTCTATCGATGAGCATATCGTTCTCATCCGAAACATCACCAAGAACCCCGTCCGGATCGTAATTAATCTCTAACGCGTCTGGATTGCTCGATTTAATCGGTTTCTGCCCTGCGCTCATCAAGTTCCCTTGCGCGTCGATTAAACCTTTCTGTTGCAGTTGTTGCGCCCCGGCGCCTTCAAAGGAGATTTGTTGTCCACCCAAACGCTGTTGCAAGATGGCTAAATCTTGCGCGGAAACTTCGCCTTGCGATTGTCCAGCCATGCCGCCTCCGACGCCTCCGGAAAATGCCCCCGAGCCGTCCTTGCCGAACTTTTGTTCGAAAGAAGATCCCGCTTTGACGACAAAACGTGCGTTGGACTTTCTGGGAGACGACACGTGTCCTTTCCCCCGCAAAAAAGACGCCGCCATTGCATTTTTGTGACGCGTTTTGCTTTCTTGTTTTTGTAACACAGCAGAAACGAAGCAGCAGCAGCGAGATGACGACGACGATGCAAACATCGTTCTCGTTCGCAGTCGTATCTCAAAGAGAAGAAAAGATCAGGTGAGACGTGGTACAAAAGGAGGCACACGTTTGAGGAATTATTTTATCCAAAAACGAAGGAAGTCTGGCAGCCCTTTTTGAAGGCATTTTGATGGACAGAAAGAAGCACAAGAAAGTGTTCACAATAGAAGACACAAATATTCAACTTTATATATCGTCGGGAGAGGAGAGAGATGAATACGAATACAATACTAATACACTACTACTACTACTCATACGAACGAGAGAAACAGCAACGTTGTTTTCCTCAACGTTCAATAAAGGTGGCGCTTGTTTGCTCTCTGAAACCTGCGCTCGACACTTACCGCCAATCCGCGGATCTGTACAGAAGGACGCCTTGACCGTTACATCTGCCGCAGGCGAGTTTTCCATTCGCCGAGCACACCGAGCACCGCTCGAGAGTATTCGCCTCTGTTTTGTCTTTCTTTTCTCCTTTTTTCTTTTTCATTTTGGTGGTCGTCTCGTCTTCTCGTCCTTCTCGCGTCCAACCGAACGGAAGCCGAAACGTGAAGAGGGTGTTCTTCGCGGGGACGAATCCAACCTTATCGCACTTTGCGACGCCTCCCGAGGTGCAGTTATAACACGGCACTTTCCCGAGGCCGAGACATTGGTCGCATCTTTTTTTGGTCACGTCGCCTTGACGCAAAGGTTTCGGTTTCGGTTTCGCCCGTTTTGGGCGTCTTTTGTTGTTCTCGTCGTTGAACGCCCCGTTCGCTCGAACGATGGTTGTCTTTGTCGTCAGCATCTTCTGCGCGCTCACTTCTGACGCATTTTTCTCGCAGGAGTCGTCTCGTCGCAAAACGCTCATCAAATCTCTTCATTCATCGACGCACACAACAAACAAACGCACAAAAAGAGAGAGAGAGAGGTAAAAGAGAACGTGAAAAAGGGCGAGAAGAACATCATGTGCACGGTGGATAAGGTACGACGGACAAAACCGCGTTTATTGTTGTGTTTTTGTCGTTGTTTTCTTCTGCGCGCGCGAGAGAGAGATCTCATCTCTCGCAACAGTGCAATCAAATCTTTTGAAATTTACGAGAGTTTTTGCGCGTTTAGTACTGACGGATGATGTTTTCTCTCTCTCTCTTTCTCTTTGTCTTTGCCACATCCTCGTTTTCATCGCAATTAACAGTTACTGATCAAAGGCATCCGCGCGTTCGCCCCGGACCACGACCACGTGATAACCTTCCCGAAACCGTTAACGCTCATCGTCGGTTCGAACGGTGCAGGGAAAACCACCATAATCGAGTGCTTAAAAATGGGCAGCACGGGAGAGTTGCCGCCGAGCGCGCGATCGGGGCAGGCGTTTATACACGATCCAAAAGTCGCAGACGCCACGGAAGTGAAGGCACAGATAAAATTGAGGTTTCAGAATAGCATAGGGAAACCGTTTGTGGTGATACGGAGTTTTCAGTTGGTGCAGAAATCGGGCGGGAAGTTGGAGAAGAAAGATTTGGACCAGATTATTCAGATGGTGGACGAGAACACCGGGGAGAAAGTCTCGCTGACGAAAAAGTGCGCGGATATAAACGCGGAGGTGCCTATATTAATGGGGGTGAGTAAAGCAATACTGGAGAACGTGGTGTTCGTGCACCAAGAAGAATCGAATTGGCCGTTAGGGGAAGGCGCCGTGTTGAAGAAGAAGTTCGACGACATCTTTTCGGCGACAAAGTATACGAAAGCGTTGGAACACATACGGAAGCTCAGAGTGGAACAAGTTGGGGAGATTAAAGATGCGAGAGGGAAGTGCGAGACGTTAAGGGTGAGGAAAGATCACGCGGTAAAGTTAACGGCCACGAGAGACGATAACGAACAGAAAGCGCGAGCGTTGGAGGCGCAAATCGCGAGCGTGGACGAAAACATCGAGAAGGCGATGAAATCGGTCGAGGATATGACGGGCGCGTTAGCTGGAGCGAGACGATTGGCGGAGGAGAAGTTATCGGTGGAGAGTAAGTTATCTGCGGTAAAAGCGGAAAACGAGAGAAAAGTAGAAAGAGTTGACAACGTGTACACGGAATCCTTGGAGGAGTTGGAAGGATTGCGCGAACAGTTCACGGCGAAGTTTGCCACCATGAAGGAAGAGTTAGCGCAGTTACACTCGGAGGTGAAGGACTTGCACATGCAATCGGACGCCTTGAAAGATAAAAAAGATTCAGAGTTTCAAAAAGTGGGCAGGTTACAAGCAGAAGCCGAGCAACACGTGAAGCGATTGGAGAAGCGCGTGGAACACGCGAAAGAAGTGGCGAGAGAGAACGCCGAGATTGGCCAGGCGATTTGTAACGCCATTTTGAACATGAGCGACGACGGAGAAGACGAGGAGGACGACGACGAGGAGGACGACGAGATGGTTGACGCGACGCAAAACGAAAGCGCGAGAAACAACACGCAACGACCGTCCAAGTCTGAAAGAGAAAGTACGATGAAACTCTTTCGAAAAGCGTTGGGCGAGCGTTTGCAAGTATTACAAGACGCGGCGAAAAACGCGCGAGAAAAAAGGCAAAACGCGCACGCCGAAGCGACGAGTGCCATCGTTAACGTGGACATGAAAAAGAAACGAGGCGAAGAGAAGATTCGCGACAAGCAAAAGCTCAGAGAAGAGTTACGCGCGAACATTGATGCGATAACGAAAGATTTGACGCAATCGGCAACCGTCGTCGCCATCGACGAGTACAAGAAAAATGAACAAGAAGCGAAAGAGATTTTCAATAAACGGTCCAAAGAAGTCGAATTGGCCGGTGACGGGAAAGCAGAAATGACGGAAATAGAGAACGAGATAGAGTCCATCGATAAACAACTCCAAGCGTTGAGAAGCGAACAAGAAGAAGCGGCCAGAGCGGGCGAAACGCAAGTGAAGATTCGTTTGAAACGCGACGAAATCGCCGCGAAGCAGGAAGCTTTGACTTCCATTTTAAATTCGAGGAAAGATCGTCTCGAGGCGGCGTTTCGAGGCGCGCAAGGTGTTCCGGAACCGCTGCTGTTATCAGAGGAGGTTAAAAGAATTGAAAAAGAACGACGCGAAGCGGCCACACTGGCCGAACGCGAATTGGCCTCCTCCAAGACGATGAGAGAATCGAGACGCCGAGAAGTCGATGCCGCGGAAACAACTTTGAATAGCTGGAAAGACGACGCGAGAGTGTGCGAAGAGCAAGCATCGGATGCACCAACCGTCGTTCTCCTGGGCGATAAAGGTTTATTAGGCGTAGAAGACGCCATGCACAAGGTCAACGAGGACATCAAAGAAGCGCAAAAGACGATGGAGTACATGAGAGCAGGTAACGTCTTGCTCACGGATTACCTTCAAAAAGCGGTTGCCAACACCGCGTGTCCAATGTGCACTCGCGGTTTCCCAAATATTAAAGAGATGTCTGCCTTTGAAAAAAGGTTGCGGACCATAATAGACGCGGCGCCTGATCAGTTAGAGATCAACGAGAAAAAGATAACCGAATGCGAGGCGAAACGCGAAAAATTATTAGGATTGACGTCCATCGCCGCGCGGTATAAAGAATTAAAAGAGAAACGCATCCCGGCCGCAGAAGACGAGTATAAGAAAGCGCAGGATACTCTCGACGAAGCGTGCAACACTGAGCTAAGATTTCAACGCGCGCTCGAGGAGGCGAAGAAGGCGAGAGATACCGTTGTCGCGGTTGTCGAAGACGCGGCGACGATTTCTCGCCACGCGCAAGAACTGAACACCTTGGAAACGCAATTGAGAATGATGCCGGGAGGTATGACGTCCGGTAGAGAGGCTGAAATTCGATCCATAACCGCAATTGCTGGAGATTTAGACGTCGAACAAGCGAACCGCGAAAACAAAGAGAATCAATTGAAAGTACTTCGACGGAAGAAGGAAAGAACGGACAACGAACTTGCGCAGTTGGATAGGAATTGGCGAGATGCGAAAGACGCTTTGGCGGACGCGGAACGAAACCAACTGAAAACAATCTCGCTCAGAGAGGAGAAGAAAAAGTTGGAAAGAGATCAAGACCAAGCGACGAGAGACATAGAAACACTCGAACGAGAGTTACCGCCGTTAGAAGACGAAAAGAAGAAACTCGAACGCGAACGCGAAGAACGCGTCAAAATTGAAAAAGATAATGAAGACGCCGTGGACGATAAAACGCGTACGTTGCAAAAATCCATCGATTTCTTCGATTCCTTGAACGACCCGATTCAAAAGTACATCGAATCCAACGCGAGACAAACCTTGAGAGAGATTCAAAAGTCTTTCGAGTCTGCGGATGTGAAAATCGACGCGACTTTGAAAAAACTCGCGACGAAGCAAAAAGAGTACAAATCGAAGGAGAAGAGTGTGAACAAACAAAGCGAAATTCAGAGAACGTTGGAAGATAACATCGCGTTGCAACGCGGTAAAAAAGAAGAAAAAGAACTCGAGATGCGAATAAAAGAGTTGCAAGAAACCGCATCGAAATTTGGAAACGTGAAAGATTTAGGAGAGGAATTGAAACGCCGCGAGAAAGTGCACAACCAATTGGAAGTGACGAAAGCGGAGGCTGCGGGCCAAGTCAAAACGCACCGCGAAATGGCTCGAAGCAGCGAGAAAGAACTCAACTCGGCAGAATACAAAAACATCGACTCTCGCTTATCGAAGGAAACCATTCGCTTCCAAACGTTGGAAATGGTCAACAGCGATTTAAATCGATATTATACCGCGCTCGATAAAGCGTTGATGGCGTTTCACTCGTCCAAAATGGGCGACATCAACAAAGTCGTCAAAGAGCTTTGGCAAAGAACCTACCGAGGTCAGGATATAGATTACATCCAAATTCGCTCAGACGCCGAGAAGCAAGAAGGAAAAACTGGGGGTAAGAGTTCCTACAACTACCGCGTCGTCATGATTTGCAACGGAGCCGAGTTGGACATGCGCGGTCGATGCTCAGCCGGACAAAAAGTCTTGGCGTGCCTCATCATCCGCTTGGCGTTGGCGGAAACCTTCTGTCTTAACTGCGGCATCTTAGCCTTGGACGAACCGACGACAAACTTGGATACCCCGAACGCGGAAAGTTTAGCGCGCTCGCTAATTGATATCATGCACTCGCGCAGAGAACAGGAAAACTTCCAGCTCATCGTCATTACCCACGACGTGGAGTTTGCGCACATGCTCGGTCAACGCCAACAAGCCGATTACTACTGGCGGGTGACGAAAGACGAAAACCAACACAGCTGCGTAGAAAGAGAAGATATTTACGAGTAACGATGAAGGACACTTGTGTACAGTAAAGTAGAAGTAAAAGGGAGATCGAGAGAGACACTAATAGCAACAATAGTTGAATACGCAAATAAAGATACACACGCGAGCAAAAAATGAATAAACACAACAAGACGTCCCCTAAAGTACTTTCTTTAGATTCCTAAACTAAACTTCTAAATTATTTACAACAATAACAACAACATGTGCAACGGTACCATATGTACTACTAGTACTGCTCTATTTTACATTACCACGCACATGTCGCAGCTTCGGGAAAAGAACCCTTTCTTCTTCGGGACAATCAAAATATCTCTTCCGTCTTTCGTTTTCTTATACTTCAACTGTAACAAGTCGTTGTATTTCGCCTGCGTTACGTAGACGTCAAACCTGGTCAACGCGTGACTCAGCATATCGTTCCACCACCTCTCGTGTTCTTCTAAATACATCGATCGCATTAACTCCGCTTTACTTTCCTCCCTACTTACCGGCACGCTCACCCTCGGATCGTTCTCGATCCTCGTCAGCGCTCTCGCCAACGTCGTCTCGTCCTCAAACACGCTCTCCACCGGCGGCGTCTCCCCGGTCGGATCTAACTTCGACCGCGCGTTTTGCTTCGCTTCGAATGTCTTCAACTCCTCTCTCTTCACGAACTGAGGAACCCCACCTCGCCAATAAAACACCTTTTTACACACCTTATTCCTCTCGCGACAATGCCTTTGCGTTTTCGTCCTCTCCGTGAGTACTTTAAACACATCTTTCCCTTTAATCCGTTTCGTATCCACGATGACGACGTGAAACGGGTCGTTAAAATCTGGTTTATGCCATATCTGTTTATATATCGGGTACATGTCTGGTTGTTTATTCGCCTCGTAATTCGTCCTTCGTAACGCGTGCGCCTTCGCCTGCCTGTACCCCACTTGCACCGCCTCGTCGCAAATCTCCAACACGTCCGCCAGAGTGATTCTCGGTTGCGTCGTGCACTCGCTCATATTTTCGCCTTCAAAAAACTCCAGCTGTCGAACGACTTCTTGCAGCGATAACGCCATCACCATCAAATCCGCCAGAGTTTGAAACAGAGGTTCGTTTCCAATCATCTCGTCTTTTTCCTTTTCAAAGTCGCCGTTGTTCGTTTCGTCACGGTGTTGGAGATTCCGGATTTCCGCGTCCGAGCAAAAGGACAAGTGCCAGAACGGTGGGTCTTTTTTTATCACCACTTCTTCTTCCGTTTTTGTTTCCGAAACGATGCTTTCCTCCTCTTCCTCTTCTTCTTCTTCGTTCTCGCCTCCTCCTCCTTGGTCCTCCTCCTCCTCGTCCGCGTTTGCCTCCTCCATCATGTGTTTCTCTCTGTTGTGTTCGTTTTTCCGAATTTTTTTCCAACTCTTGAGTAAAAACACTGACGACTAAAACTCAGCAAAAAAAAGGTAACAACAACACGTTATTATTATTATATCATAACTCTGTATAAAACATAATGTCCTCGGACTCTAAGGCGATTTTCGAGGCGATACAATACGCGCGAGGCGAGAAAGGGATGCCTGAGAAAGGTGACCCGATGTATTGGGACGACGCCATTGGACGGGTACGTTTTAGAAGTGTGAAAATAATAATCGATTGCCCCTCCAATTGGATGAGTTGGAGGATATTTTTAGTACATTTATGGGCGCTTTTTGTTGCCGCTTCTCGATGAGACGTTTGCTTGTTTGTTTGTTCGTTTGTTCGACGATTCAGACGACGAAAAGAGCGACGCGCGTTTTAACTCTCTCATTCTCTCGTCGCGGCTGTTTTCATCGCGTTTTTCTGGCTGCGGGTCGTTGTTTGTTTTTTAACTAACCTTCTGCCTCTTTCTCTCTCTCATATATAATAAAACATATGATTCTACGAAAACAATAGTGCATACTGAACGAACTCGCGGAATTCCCGGGCGTCTCGATATCGAACGCGTCCTCCAACTCTCAAGATGCCACGATTACGGTCGTTGAACCGCAAATGATCGAATCTCGTCGGAAGCGAGATTTTGCGGCGCGCTTGTCCATGTTCCCGAAAGAGAAGAAACCGAAAGTGAGAATGGTCGGGAACGAAAACGGAGAGTTAACGGAGGCGTCTTTGAAGATTGACGAGAAGTGTCGAGATGATTATTTCGAGACGGTGAAACGAGTCGCGGATAAGGTCATGGCGTATCATAAGAAGGGGAAAATGCCGAGTGAAAAAGATATGATGGAATTTGCCCACGCGGTGGCGAACCATCAAGTTTGGCACGTCGTCTGTTTGGAACGAAAGCTGGATCGAGCGTGTCAAAAAGGAGGGGAGAACTATAAAAAAATTCGAGAGACGGCGTCGCAAACGATCGACAACGCGATTGAATTTCTCGAAAAAGTCGGCAATGAGAACAAAGCCCACCCTGAGACGCACATGGGTCTGTATCGACACGCGGCGAGATTGTTGAGGCAAGTGGCAACCATTCAGGAGCGATACAAATTCTCGCAGAGCGAATGGAAGAAGATTTCGAAACCGATGAACGATCCCGACGATGGAGGGCCCATGGGAGGCGAAGGTGGTGTAGTTGGCGCCGCGTGTAACAACGTCGCTAACTTATACTATTGGAAAAACTTAAATCCGCCGACGAAGGAAGGCGAGGCGATGTACGGCGGCGACGGCGCAAACTTCGCAGTGGCGAGATTTTGGTTAGAAAAAGGCGCGAAAGCCGGAGACTTAAACGCGAGGAAATCCCTAGGCGGGATTAAAATGCGCGCGCAAATGGCTGGACTTGGTATCTCCGTCGTCGATAAAGGTATGGACGAGAAAACAGGTTTACCGATTGGATATAACAGCGGAAAAGTCGACGAGGATAGCGTCGAGTACAGCGAATCCGCCGTGAATACCACGAGCGCCTTGGAGGAGTTCATCGCGAACAGAATGAAGAAAAAGGTGAAGAGGCGAAAGACGGAGCCGAAAGATCGAGACCCGAACACGGGTGCTAAAGGAGAATTCGTTTCCAAAAGATGCATCGTGGACGGTTTAGTCTCCAAACCGCACTTGAACGGCGAAGAGTGCGTCCCGTCCAAATGGAGCGAAGAGAAGAAGCGCTACGGCGTGTACGATTTCAACTCTGGCGGTTTGTGGATTAAACCCGTGAACATTATTCCCAAATCCGAATACTACACGTACGTGACCGACGACGATAAAAGCGACGACGATTCCGACCACTCCGGCGAAGAAGACTCAGAAGACGAGGCGGCGATGGCCGAGAAGCTCAGAAAAGCCAACTTGACCTCCGGCGGAAAGAACGCTCGAGACATGCAAAGTTTGAAATACTTTTCCACGTAATATATAATCATCTCCTCGATCCGTGTTGTTGTTATTCACGATGCTATTGCCGTGTACAAATTCATAGTAGTATTCGCTCCGTTCTTTCTCTTTTCTTCGTATGATGTTCTTTTTCGCGCGTTCATCCGTTCGTTCGTCGTGCGGCTCAAGTATTTGAGTTTGGGAAACATTTAGAGAAGAAGAGCTCAAAACTCCCCCACACCTCTTCCTCATTTCTTTTTCTCTCCCAAAACCTTCTTAGCACAGTACGCAAAGTAACACCAGTGAAAGGAGGAGAACACGAGGACACGAGCTTTTACGCAAAACTCATCACACATAGGAAGAAAGAATGTCGTCGTTACCTCCGATTGATAAATCCAAACCTGACTTGCACCACGGGAATCAAAACGAATTGCAAGCGGTCGGTTTACAGAAATTCCACGACTTTTTCAAATCGAAAGCGACGTCGATCCCGTTCGACTCGTCTTCAATGGAAATGCCCGGCAAGATTGGTAAATCTGTGGACATTCGCGTCGGGCCGAACTTTGATTTATACCCGCTTTTGGATGCGGCGTTGCCGCTGGAAAAACCGAAATTAGGGAAATTTGATCTCGAGATTTGGCAGAAAGCGTTGGATTTCGGGAAGCAAAAATACGACACGTTTGAACTGTCCGAGAAAGAGAAAGGGGTGGTGGCTTTAGTCATACGGCAGAAAAGGCAAGCAGAGTTACAGGCGAAACAACAGGCGGAGTTACAGGCAAAACAACAACTGGTAGGGTTGACCGCTGCTCCGGCGGCGGCCGCGACCGCGGCGCAGCAACAACCGTCGAAACAACTCACCAAAGAAGAGGAAGAGGCGGAGAAGAAACGATTAAAACGAGAGAAGAAAGCGAGAAAAGCGGAGAAGAGAGAACGGAAAAGAGTGAAACGGGAGAATCCAAACATGGAAGGCGGCGGTGGAGGGGAAAACACGAAAACCGGGGACACGACGACTTCGATGGGGACGAAGACCACCGCCGGTCCTACCGCTGGGACGTATTCAACCGGAGGTACGAAGTCTTAGAAAAAATCGAACATAGATGATGCGGTAGCAACGCACAAAAGATCACGTATTATCAATCTCTCTCAGTCTTCTTCTGTGTGTGTATATGTAGTAAGTGTAGTAATAGTACAAACAACGAAAAGGTTGTTCACATATAGTGTTGTTTCTCTCTCTTTTTCTCTCGTTCACGTCACACGTCTCTCGGACGCTTCTCTCACTGTCTTCTCTTGGGGTTCCCGCTGCCGCAAATAGGAATGTGCGGACGCGCCGTCGCGACGGTCAAACTCGCCGTCGTGGCAGACGACGACGACGACTTCTTCCTCTTCAAACTCAACTTCTCCTTTAGTTTCCCCATCATTCCTCTCAATCCTCCTTTCGTCTCTTCCCCGCTCTCTTGCGGGGAAGTCGCCTCCTTGAGTTGTTCGCTCACTTTTTCGCTCACTTTCGACGCGGTTTCGTCCACTTTATCTTTCACCACGTCCGCTGCTTTCTTCACCGACGTGGAAACCGCGTCGGGAGTGGTCGTTGATTTTGCCATTTTATTCAACTGTAAAAGTCCTGCTTCGCGCGTGCAACGGTGCGTGATGTGAGCGCGTACAATCTCTGATCAAAATGTCTGCATGTGTGTCTCTTTTAGATACAAAAAAGAGTCTTGGCAGCCGTTTCGCAAAAAAAAAAAATCGTCGCCTCAAAACTTTATCTCCTGTTTCCCTCTCTGTCTTTGGGAGAAAAGCAATGTCCTCGGCTCCCGGTCTTGCGCTTCTTTCTCTTCCTCTTCCTTTTACGACGACGACGACGACGACGAGTTCTGGGTGGTGTGGCAGTTCTCGCAGAAGGAGTCGCGGGAACAACATCGAGAGTGCGAGTAGGAGTAGAAGGAGTAGCTTTTGTAGAAACATTCCACTCAAATTGGAACGAGCGTCTGCTGGTTTTTGTGGATTGAATAATAAGCACCATCGCGCGGCGGCGAGCGGAAGGGGTGGTGCTCTCGGTGGTAGTGGTGGTAGTCGTGGTGGTACGTCCTTTTGTTGGAGCGGACGAAAGACGATGTTCCCTAATAGGAGAAGGGACAATCTCGACGAGAATAAATCGAATTGGACGTCTTGGGAGCTCTTCGGGAACGGCGAGAAGCACAATACCGCGAGACGATTGAACGACGCAAAAGCGATGTCGTCCACGGACGAGGAGATTTCCAACTACCTCCCCGGGTTCAAAGATTGCCCGAGGAATTTGAAAGTTGCGTACCAAGGCGAACCGGGCGCGTATTCAGAAGCAGCGGCGTTGACTGCGTACCCGGACGCCGAGCCGTTCCCGTGCGGAGTGTTTGAAGAAGCGTACGAGGCGACCGAGTCGCAAAAGTCCGACCGCTCGGTTTTACCGTTCGAAAACTCTTTAGGTGGGAGCATTCATAAGAACTACGACTTGATTCTCACGCACGATTTACACGTCGTCGGGGAGGTGAATTTTAAAGTCAATCATTGTTTGATGGCGTTGCCCGGGACGAAGAAGGAAAATTTGACGAGGGCGATGTCGCATCCGCAAGCGTTGGCGCAATGCGACGATTATTTAACGCGATTAGGCGTCATCAAGGAGTCCGCGGAGGACACCGCCGGGTCGGCGAAGAAAATTCAAGAGGAAAATTTGGAAAACGTCGCCGCGGTTGCCTCGGAACGCGCGGCGACGTTATACGGCATGGAAATTTTAGATTCAAAAATCCAGGACGATTCGAGCAACGTGACCCGTTTCCTCGCCTTGGCTCGAGAACCGTTACCTCCGAAAGAAGGCGTTCCATACAAAACCTCCATCGTGTTCGCCAACAAAGACGGCCCGGGGTCTCTCTTCAAAGCCTTAGCCTGCTTCGCCTTGCGCGACATCAACTTGACGAAAATCGAATCCAGACCTCTTAAAACCGCGCCGTTGGCGGAAGGTTTGCAAGACTCCATGCAGTTCCAGTATTTATTTTACGTCGACTTCGAGGCGAGCATGGCCGAGGAACGCGCGAAAAATGCGCTCAGGAATTTGCAAGAGCAAACGAGTTTTTTGCGAGTCCTCGGGAGTTATCCCAAAGACGTCAGTAAGTTTTAATACCATCGATCTCTTCTGCGTTTCGTCTTGCACTTCTTCACAAATTTTCGCATCATCGTCTCGAGGAGCACAAAACGTTTTGAACACCAACAACCATTACGTCCTTTATTCGCACACGACTAGTACCACCACCATTAAAAGCAGCAGCAGCAGTCGCAGTGGTGCGCTTTAACGGTGCAAAGACCACGCGTTTTGCGTCTAAATCGTCCTCCTTCTCATCGCGGGAAAAACATAAACTTATCATCAAAATGTCCGCCTCGAACCAAACGGAGACTCCAGACGTGGATTGCAATCAGTATTTAGAGGACTTGCGAAGCGAGAAATCCTTAGCGTGGGTCGCCGAGCAAAACGAACGGACACTCCAAGAACTGTTTCCTTCTTCCTCTTCTCCCATCGAGAACGAGCCGTTACACGCGGAGTTGTTGGAAGTATTCGACGATAAAAATCGCATCCCAACGGTCTCAGTTCGAGGGGATTTCTTGTACAACTTTTGGCAAGACGAGGACCACGTGAAAGGGATTTGGAGGAGGACCACGTGGGAAGAGTACAAAAAGAAAGATCCAGAATGGGAGACGGTGTTAGATATCGATGCGTTGGCGGAAAAAGAAGGGAAATCGTGGGTGTATAAAGGGGCGAGGTTTCTGTGTTACGGTCCCGGGGAGTATCGGCGAGCGGATAGGTGTTTGATTTCCTTGAGCGAGGGCGGGACGGACGCGTGCGAGGTGCGAGAGTTTGACGCGATGGAGAAGAAATGGGTGACAGAGAACCCTTTTTATATTCCGAATTCGAAACACACCGTCTGTTGGGTTGATAGAGACACCTTGTGGGTCGGTTACGATTACGGCGAAGGGACGATGAGCCCCAGCGGCTATCCGTTGACGACGAGAAAATGGTCGAGAGGTACGAAATTGGAAGACGCGACGGAGATTTTTAGAGGCGAACCAACCGATGTGTCCGCAGGTGGTTCGTTTTATTACGATAAGGATGAAAAATACGCCATGTTTTATCGCATGGCTACGTTCAACGATATCGAGTATTATTATTGGTTCGAGGGCGATAAGGATTTGACAAAAGTCAAATGGATCGCTTCAAGTTGTCGCATCCAGACATTTAAGAAGAAAGTGCTGATAATGCCGAAAGAAGTTTGGTCGTTTGGCGGGAAAGTGTATAAAGCTGGGAGTTTACTCTCGTGCGATTTCGAAACGTTCGTGAAAGAGGGCCATTTGGACGCGGTGTTTCTCGGCGCTGGCGCACGTACTGTTGGCGAGGAACCGAAGTGCGACATTCAAATATTATACGAACCGGCAAACGATCGGTGCGCGTACGAAGGAGCGACAGACTCGAGAGATTATTTGTACGTTTCTAGTTTAGAGAACTTACAATCGAAGATTACCGTCTATCGATTCGACGACGCGACGAATGCGTTCATCTTGGAAGGCGCGCACGAGGCGGAAAATTGTCAAACGTTCTCCGTCGGCGGCGCCGAACCAAACTCGACCAATGCTTTGTTTGCGTCTTCGAGTGGATTCTTAAACCCGTCGACGTATTTGTATAACGAAGTAGGTGGATTAAAAGGCATAAAAAACGCGCAATCGTTGAAGTCGAGCAGTTCGTGGTTCGATTCCGAGGGCATGTCAGTAACTTTAAACGAAGCGACGTCCAAAGACGGCACGAAAGTGCCGTATTTCTTAGTCCGAGCAAAAGGTAACGACGAAAACAGCGGACCGAAACCCACCGTTTTGAACGGGTACGGTGGATTTAGGATTAACAGTTTGCCGTCGTATTCCGGGAGCACGGGTAAAGCGTTTCTAAACCATGGCATGAATTTTGCGTTGGCGTGCATTCGAGGCGGAGGCGAGTTCGGCCCGGAGTGGAGCGACTGCGCCAAGAAAGAAAACAGGTGGAAATCCTTCGAAGATTTCAACGCGGTCGCGGAAGATTTAGTCAAGGTTGGCGCGACGACGCCAAAACAACTAGGATGTATCGGCGGATCGAACGGCGGTTTATTAACCGGCGCCATGGCGACGCACTTCCCCGAATCCTTTGGCGCAATCGTTAGTCAGTGCCCGTTGCTTGATATGGAGCGATACGTCTACTTAACCAGCGGTTCGAGTTGGATCAACGAATATGGCGACCCGAGAATTGAAAACATGAAACCGAAAATACTTGCTTGGTCGCCGTACCATCAAATCTCTGAACGCTCGGTGGCGAATATGCCGCCGACGCTGTTTACGTGCAGCACCGCGGACGATCGAGTCCACCCGTCGCACGCGAGGCGATTCGTGGAAAAGGCACACAAAGTTGCCAAAGACGAAGCGAAAGCTAAAGAAACCATCTTGTACCATGAAATGACCGAGGGTGGGCACGCCGGTGCCGCGGATAATAAAAATCGAGCAAAAATCAAAACGATTGAATATACCTTCTTACGAACAAAGCTTTGTAACGCGCAGCCATAGCATCGTAAATGGATAGTAAAGCATGTAGTAGCGCATAATATACAACAACAACAATAAACACGATTTACTATTACGCGGGCACCTTGAGCGTCTCCGCCAACGCCGAAGCGTCTAAACCGGCACCGACCGCGGCGGCTCGAAACGCCGCCGCGTGCGTCGGCCCGACGTTTTCCTTTTCGACCAGTTCTTTCAATCTCGCCATGACGCGTTCTCGTCGTCGCTCGTCCAACTCGACGTCTTCGATGGTTGAAATTCCCCAAACGGCATACGCTAACGCTTGCGCGTCGAGATTGTTTGATTCCCCGTCGAACAAACGCACCATCAGCTTTTCGCAATCTTCCGGCGACGGTTCGAAACAGATTCTGCCGCACGCCCACAACGCGCCCGCGCAACCAGCTTTAGAGACTCTTCTTCTTCGGTTTTCGTCTTTGTTCTCGGTCGTCTTCTCAATTGCCGCGCGATCGGCACAAGCAGAAATCAACGTTTGGAACGCATCCGATTCGCCGTGCACCGGGGACCCGACAACGCCGACCGCCCAGGCGGCATGGGTCAAAGCGACCCCATCTAAGGAATCGGATTCCTTCGCGATGCGTTCGAGCAAGTTTTCCAAATACGTTTCCGGCAATTTCGCGTTCAACGTCGCCGAAGACCAGCATATGTTCGCGCACTGGTACGCGGAAAACGTTTCCATCACCGCTTCGCTTTGACGCAAAAGCGAGGTGATCACCGCTCGATCGCCGCCGTAACTTTTCGAACTACCTTCGTCCACGCTTTCGTCTTCGCTATAATCGACGGATTCTTTTAAAGCGCCTACGCCGCCACTAAACAGTCGAGCCCATTTCGCGTAAGCCCATAGCGCGTTCGCGACATCTGGCGCTCGAAACTCTTCCTCAATCTCACACGCTCTTCGCTGCGCCGAGGCGAGCAATCTCGATCTCGGCTCAAATCCTAAAGCCGCCAAGGCCCACAAAATCGTCGACAAACACTTCGCGTCGGCGTACTTCATTTGCAACGCGGATCGTTTGGAAATGGCAGAGAGCAACGATTTCACTCTCGTCGGGTCGTCGGGGAATAACCTGGCTAAAGCCCACGAGACGTTGGAAAGACCCAGCGGAGACATTTCCGGAATTTTCGTTTCGCACATTTCCAGTAAAGCTTGGAATCTTGGATCGACTAGGAGTTCTTTTTTCGTGGATACGGGTCTGTACCCTCCTTCTTCGTCGCTGTTGTTCCCTTCCTCTTCGTCTTCTTCTTTTCGTTCTGACGCCGTCGTCGTTGCGCCGCTTACTCCTAAAGTGTTCACTACCGTCGTCGATTTCACCGTTCGCGATTTCGCGGCTCGTTTCTTGCTATTATTATTATTGCTCCCAAAGTTCGGTTGCGTGATCACCCTCGCCAATCGGTGCAAAGCAGTGCTCGCGTTGACTTTATTAAACACGTCGTATTGCTCTTCCACTCGATTTAAAATAAATCCTGCGTCGGTGGCATCCATCAAATCCCCTTGCAAATCCTTCGCCCGATCCAACAGTCTCACGCTCAACGCCGCGCGCATCCTATACTCGCTCGGTAACGCCAACTTCGCGTACGACCACTTCCGTCTTTCCAAACCTAACTTATCCAGTTTATTCGCGTGCGTCTCCACGCAGTCCAACAAAACAGAAAATCTCGCATCCGCCAACACGAATTTTGCTTCTTTCCTCCGTAACCTCCCTGCTCTGGTCGTCAAGGACACCGCTATTCTGTGTAACGCTTGCACGCTGTTATTCGGGCTGAACTGCTCGGATTTCTCTTCGACAACTTCTAATATCGACTTCGCGTCGTCCAATCTCGACAGTTGACTCGTTATGTCCGATTGGTTCATCTTCGTTAACATCTTGTTGTTGTTGTTCGGCTTTTGGTTTTCTTTTTCAGACGCTCGATGCTGTCTTCTCGACGTTGGGGCTTCCATCAAAACGTTGTCGTTCTCCTCCTCTTCGGTCTCTTCAGCAAACATCTCCTCGTCCTCGTCCTCGTCCTCGTCGTTCGTCGTTCGTCGTTCTTCTCGCTGCGAAGAAGAAAAGCTTTTTCCGACGATCGTTGCACTCGAACCACCCCCTCGCGGTCTTCTCCTCGAGTGAGTATTCTTCGCTCCTCTGATCGCGTTTAAACCATTCACCGTTGCATGTGTCTCGTTCAAAGTTGTCCTCTTCTTTTGAAAGTAGTTTTTTCCTCGCGTCGTCGTCGGATGATGATGACGATGATTGGACGAAGCACACGAAGCCGCCGCCGTCAAATTCTTCCCTCTTCCATGAGTACTCTTCGTAGTAGTGGTATTCTTTTGATGCGAAACCCATCCTCGTTCTCCTCGGTGAGAAGAAAACGAAGAAGAGAGGATGTTCATCGAAGAACCTCCGCTCAACGAGAGCGAACAACGAGAGGAAGTAAAAGTCGTCGCAAAACTCATCTCGTCGTGTGCTACGAATGCGCTTCTCCTTCTTCTTTTGATGCATTAACGACTGTTACTTAAACCCTAATTGAATTAAAACCCTAAATTTTGGAATTTTTTCTTTTCCTCGTTCTCTCGCACAAACAACTCTTCTCTCAAACATCTCTCACTTATAATAAAACTAAGGTTGGTGTCGTTGTTATTGCTGTTGTTGTTATCATCGCGCAAAACCAGAACGAGGAGAAGAAGAAGGAGGAGAAGACGAGGAAAAGAATTCGTGCGAGACAGAGAGAGAGCTCTGTTATATACACAGAGAGAGAGCGTGGAAAAGGAGTTTTAAAGCGAGGTATAATACATTCAAATGGAGCAGCGACAATTGGGAGACGCATCCGTCCAACAAAAAACGAACGTGTCTTCTTTGTTTGAAACGACGACGACGACCACCACTCGCGACGCAAAGAAAGACAACGAAAAAGAAGACCAAGAAAATGAATTAGACGAGAACAAACTCCCGCCGTCGCACACTGCGGAAGATATTTTAGGCGCCGAAGGCATCTCGGAAACCGATTTGTATCGCTTTTTGGAGGATTTAGACGAGATGGCACCGACGATTCCGGATCAGTACACGAATTCGGTGTTAAAAACAGTCGGCGTCGGGGAACCGGACGTAAGAGTGACACGATTAATCTCCTTAGCCGCGCAAAAGTTCATGCAACAAATCGCGGACGACTGTTTTAAAGTGCAAGCGAACAAATTAGCCGCGCTGCCGAAAGATGAAAAGCTGAGGAAGATAAACCAACGCGTCGTGTTGACGACGGAGACGTTGGGAGAGGTGTTGAGCGAATACGGGGTGAGCATGAAGAAACCGAGTTTGTTCGTCGGGAGCGGGGAAGACGAGGAAATGGAAGACGAGGAGGTGGAGATACACGAAGGCGAGGGTGGTGGTGGAGACGGGAACGAGTAAAAGAGAGAGTAAATAAGGAGCGAGAAAAACGCGTCTTTCACATGTAATACTACTATCACTTGATTTTATACATGTAGAACTTTTAACTCTGCCACGGTACGTTATTACACACACCGGCTAAAACTACGTTCACAGTATTTGATGTACACGCGCGCTTTCGCGCGGGGTGGGTGGAAAACAAATCCATCTCTCTTTCGCTCGAATCATCATCATCCTCCTCCTCCTCCTCTTCAAATCATCATCTTTTCCCTTGCTGAAAGTTCACCGCGAAAAGTGGAATGCTCACCCCAACCCCGACGACGGCGGCAACCGCCATCCCGTACACTAACTTTGGCGAAGAAATGTCCCTGATTGCGTACATTTCTTTCGCGTGGATGTATTCTGTTTCAAAGAGAGAAAGAGAGGAAGGGGGTTAGATTTTAGATCAAACGAAGCTTATTTTATACTATCGTACCTGGATCGCCCGGGTTCCCTCGCGCCTGAGAGGACGTTCGAAACCCTCTAAAACTGGTGGTGTTTGTCAAGCGGCGCACGGCTGCGAGCGTTTTTGTTGCGGAGGACATCGAGAGTAATACAAGTGTGCGTATATTCTGTGCGTTATCTCTCTGAATTTATGGAGGAAAAACGAGAGACATTTCCCCATAAAACGAATATCATCTCAACATCCAGAACGAGAGAATGAATCATCGATGAAAAGAGCTTTATATTGAAAAGAGATGGTGGCTTTTGCTCTCGTCATTCGTTTCCCCTCCTCTCCTTTTTTCCAGAGAGATTTTGGGTGGTTGAACTGAAGAAGGACAAAGAAGAAGATGACGAAGAGAAAACAACTCGAATTCCTCCGTCTCGGAATGCCGTTCGTCGCGTTTGCCGTTCTCGGAAGTTTCGGTCTCTCGCACATCATTCAAGGCCGGTTGGACGTGAAAGACGCGAAACAAGAGGTGAACGATTTTCGAGCGCCGGTGTTAGCGCAAAGGAAACGGGAGAGGAGGAAAAGGGACGAGAAAAAAAACGAGGCACAGTTGAGGGAAACAGTCAAGGAGGAGTACGAGTTGAAAGAAGTGCCCAGGCCGACGGGGAGTTGGTGGTGAATCTCTCTCTCTCTCTTTCTCTCTCTGAGAGAGAATTGTCGCGGTAGCATTAGGCTTTGTTCTGTTATTGTTATTACACCGGCGTATAATTATCTACCGTACTTATTCTTTAACGCAAACTTCTTTCTCCTCAAATGTCTTTCAACGAAGGCATGCGAGAGATGACGGTGGCGATGATCTCGGTGGAGACCAAGAACCCGTCCGGGTCGGTCAAGCGCACGGCTTTGATTTTGTTTGAATCGTCGTCCCGTGGTAAAGTTTCGTACAGCTTCCTCTCCTTCTCCTTTGCTTTTTTGCCAAAGGTGTTGTTTCCAACGTCATTGGCGGACGTTTCTTCGACGAAGCGCAACGCGTCGAATAACTCTTGGACGACTTTTGCTCCGAACGAACGTTCGAGCTCTTGAACGTCCACGCCTCGCGCGGTTCGAAAACCGAGCATGATGCGTTCTAAAATCGCGTCCGCGATTTCATCTAAAACTTCCTCGTCCGTGCAATCTTTTCGTAGCTGCGTAAACGCCTCTTCGCTGCCGAAGGAATTTTGTTCGAAATCTTGGACGAAACCGTAGTATTGTTTCATCCCTCTCGGTCGCGCTAATCGTTCGTTGTCGATGCGACTGGTGGCAGATAAACCAAACGCGTACCACGAGCCGTTTATAGCGTCCCAATAGTTTTTGTTGTGTTTGCATTCGTTTTCTACGCCTTTAGCGAAGGAGGAGATTTCGTACCGGTGGAAGCCGCCGCGCGAGGTTAAGATTTCAGACGCTAACTTGTACTGCTCGGCGACGACGGATTCGGAAGGGAGAGGTAACCGGTCGCCGAGTTTATACGCCACTTTCTTGTTTTGCCGTTCCTTCTCTAGTTTCTTTCTCTGTTTTATGCTGTAATCGTCGTCCGTTTCTCGTCTGATTTCTTCCATCCGCTCTTCGAACGTTTTCGCTTTCGCATCCGCTCTTTTCATCTCCTCCGTGCGCTTGTCTCGATTTTTACTGCTGTCTTTTAAAAAGAGCAACCCGTCGTCTGAATCGTCTGAATCGTCGTCCCCGTACCACTTCCCGAACGCTGTCTTCTCTTCCACTTGCAAATCGTACGCGGACACGTGCGGTGCCTCGCACTCGATCGCTTCATATAAACCCTTCTCCCAAATCTCCAACGTCGACCCGGGTAAACCGCTGATTAAATCGATCGACCACGTCTCGATTGAGTTTGATCTACTCCCGCTAAATTTACTATCACTCTTACCACCACTACTCCTACCACTCCCTAATAACGCGTGCACGTGCTCTATGCTCTCGTAAATCTCCAAAACCCCGTGCGTTCTTCCGCACGCTTTCAAAACGTTCTCGTCGAAACTCTGCGCGCCTAACGATATTCGATTGACGCCCAATCCTACGAAGCCTCTCAGCTTCTCCCGCGTAAACGTCCCGGGATCGCACTCCATGGATATCTCAACCTGAGACCAATCGATTCCAAACGCGTTCTCTAAACTCACCAGTAACTTTTCCATTTGTTTCACCGACATTAACGACGGCGTCCCTCCTCCAAAGAAAATCGTTGCCAACCCTTTCTCGTTTTTTTCTCTTCCTCCTCTCGAGCTCGTCTTCTCGTACGTCCCACGTAACCGTCCTTGGTGGGTGATTTCCCGGCACACGAAATCGGTGTACGCATCCATCGCGTCGTTTATTTTCCCCCCATCTCGTCCTGTTCTTCTGTCTCCTATTATTTGCGTCGCAAAATCGCAGTAGTGGCACTTTTGTTTGCAAAACGGCAGGTGCACGTACGCGCTTTGGATGTGCGACAAACGCGTCGGTTTCGGGGAATACAAGCGAGATTGGAAAATTGATGATTCTTCTTTATTCGTATCATTAGTACTCGTCGTCAAAGACGCGAAAGACGCGCGCTTCTTCTTTCCTCCTCCTCTGAACCCGTGTCTTTCTCCGCCTCTCTGTCGTCGTTGTCTTCTCAACCCCGAGCTGGAAAGAAGAGAAAGAGGACGTCGAAGAAACATAATTTCTGTTCGTTAGTATGGTGAACAAACAAAAGAAGGGGAGGAAGAGACTCTCAAGTATTAGGGTTTAATACCCTAAACGTTTGCCTTGGTTTTTTTTATGGCAATTAATTGGTTGGTTTTGCGCACAAAAAGGTCTCTCTCTCTGTTATTGTTATTAGGTGATTTTAAACACAGAGAGAGAGGAAGAAGAAGAGAAGGAGGCTTTTGTTCCTGCTTTTTGGGTCGACTCACAAACGCACGCTTTTGCTGCTGCTGTGAGAGTCGTGCGACTCTTCTTCTTTTTAAGAAGCGCTTTTGTTGTGTGCGTGATACAATCGTTTGAGAAGGAGGAAAAGGATTTGCAATTTTGAAACGATGACGCAGAGGGAGAACAGAAACAACGAACAACTCGTGGTGGACGAGAACGAAGAAACAGAAGAAGAAGAACTCGAGCCGCCGCACGAGGTGATCACGTACGTAGACCAGAAAGCGTTGCTGAGGAAACAGAACTTTCGCGACAGGAGCGATGATGATACGAATGCGACTACGAATGCTACAAACGAAAGAAGAAAAGATGGAGGAGAGAAAGAGCGGAGGATAAAGATGATGAATCTGGATGTCAACGAAGGGTTTCAAATGGGGTTTCAAGACCCGTCCAGTGGGTTTGGGTTGTGGGGAGGCGGGAACGAGAGTTTAGAAGCGACGGCGACGATGACGACGACGACGACAAATGAAGATGACTTTGACGGCGCCGTCGCGATGACGACGCCGATGGCGAAGAATACAAACAATAACAGTTTGGATGATGGGTTCGAGAGGAGGACGTCGCCGCGCGCGCGTAAGACCGCATCAGCAGCAGTGGTGAGAGCGACGAGAACGACTACTAACGATAATAATACAACCGCAGTGACCGTTCGGAGGAGTCCGAGGAAGCACAGAGAAAGTATGGATGGTCCGTCGACGCAAACGGTGTCGTCGCCGTCCGGCGGCGCGGCGAACAACAAGAACAAGAAGAGAAAGACGACTACCGCTACTGCTCAAACGACGCAAGTTACGAAAGCGTTCACGAACAACCAGAGGAAAAGATCCGCGAAAGACGCGAACGCAACGTCGGCACCGTCGAAGAGGGGTAAAATTACGACGACAAAAACTACCGCCGCGAGAGGAGGAAGACAGAGCCAACAAGCGAACGTGCGGAAGACGGCTTTAGTCATGACCTCTACGCAGCAGCAGCCGTCTCAACAGCTGCCGTCGAGTAATCGCGGGACTTTGCCCACGACGATGCAAAGAGTGCAGCAAAACAAACCGACGAAACAAACAACTGGAGGAACAGGTAGAAAAGACGACAATATCAACGCACCAAAGGCGTTACCGCTGACAACAAGGGGTGGTGGTGATGGTGGTCAAGGAGGAATACAACTCCCTCGATCGACGTCAAAGATGCCAACCTCGACGCGAGATAAAGTATTAGGCGTAGTAAAACCAGCTCCAGTTATAGAAAAAGTAAGATACGATAGCAAAAAGAACAGCAGCTTGGACGGGACGCAGTCGTCGTTGGGCAACGGCACGGAGGAAATCGAGGACGACATCGAGGACGACATAATCGACAGTGGAGACGACGAGAACGGCGGTGAGGATGAGACCAACATAGATGTCGTCGCGTTGCCCAAGAATGCCGTAACAACGACGCAGAGGAATGATACAGGCAATGACGACGACGACGATGATGGCGCGCCCCCAATCCACCAGACGCAAAAACAAGGAGAAGCGGGAGGTAAAGAAGAAAAAGAAAAGAAGAAAGTCACTTCTTTTCTACCGAAACTCGCATCACCGACGAACGATTTGTTCTTAGACGGCGTCGGAGGTGGAGGCAAGAAATCCAAAAGAGGCGCCGAATTCACGGGGAGCGGTCCTAAAGCGCGCCTCAAACGCGCGTTGCAAAAGTTGAAAATCAACAAACTCCGATTCGAGGAAAACGTAAAGAAAAATCGCCTTGAATACGACGAAGGGTCTTCACGAGAAAACGGCATCACGTTCCACGTGCGTTCGGTAACGATGGAAAGAGGAATTTTCAGATGTTTCGGGTACGCGAAACCGATGCATAGGAAAAAGACCGAAGCTGAAGTCATCGGCGACATTTTAGATGAGGAGGACGAGGAGGAAAATGTAGAAGAGGACGAAGAAGATTTCTTAAAAAAGAGAAAGGAAAAGAAAGAACTCCGCGACCTTTTGGACGATAATGGAGAATACGACGTCACCGTGTTATTCACCAAGGAGTTACAAAAAGAATTGAACGTTTCCATCGGAAACAGAGTTGAAATTTTCCAACCCTTTCGCGAAGTTCTCGCCCGAAACGGGTTTGGCGAGACCGCGCGGTGCATCGTGAGAGCTGATTTTTGTCGCGTCCTGGACGGCAACTAGTGTAAACAAAGAAGAAGAAGAAGAAGAAGAAGAAGAAGAAGAAGAAGAAGAGATAGATACACCAAACACATAGACACAAATTATACATACACGAAATAGAAATACGCGGCAGCTGTACACATTATTATAAACTACACTCAGCAAAAACCGCCAAGAAACTCCTCCGCCACCGCTCTCCCTCTCGAGCTCACCGATAACTTCTGTTCGCTAATCTCCCCGTCCACGGATTTCAAAAAGTCCACCATGAACGCTACTAAACTCGAATTCACGAACTGTTTCTTGTGCTTCTGCGTGACTAGAAAACTTAAATCGAACGCATCGCTATTTGTCGTTTTCTTCCGTACGATTGAAAACTGCTCCGCTCTTTGGCGCATGAACCGAGACAGTTGCTTGGTCAAGATGGCGTCTAACTCGTCCGAATGCTTCAGCTTCACGGATACACGAAAACTGTTCCTCGAGCTCTCCACGAGTATAACTTCGTTGTTGTTACTGTTGTTTTTACTACTACTACTACTACTTCCTGCTCCTCCTACTCCTCCTCCAATCGCTCGCTCGATTCGTACTTCCGGGTACAACTGCTCGGGAAATTCGTCTTGAAATTCCACGAACGGTGTTGGAATCATCATCACGTTCGATTGATCATCATCATCGTCGTCATCTGTCTCAATCTTGCGCAACGCGTCGGTCAAAGCCTCGCGCACTTTCGCGTAGTGCTGTTCTCGAGAACTCATTTTAATACCAAGCGACGACGATATCTCCTTTGTTTTTTCTCGTACCGTAAAGCGGAAGTAAAAACTCTGGCGAATTGGAGTCGTCATTCCATTTTGGAAAGAGAGATGTCCCAACAAGTGATTTACGCGCGACCGGGAGAAACGGTGCTCCTCCCTGCCCCAATACGAGAGGAGCAATACTTCGGCCCAATCTCGTGCCTCTCCTGTATCGGTTTGGCTGTTTTTTTCGGCCCGTTCGGTTTGCTCGTGTGCTGCTGCCCGTGCGATAGACGCAGAGAAGTGATGGAAGGCACACAGATGGTGGTCGGGGAAGATGGGAGTTTACAACGCGTAAGTTACGGACCGGGAGTGGTACAAGCACAAAGAATGGAACCGATGATGCGAGAACAACGAGAGTAAACAACGTGGCGAGAGGAGAACCGGTTCGGCCGGAAGGGACGAACGAACACTATTATCCGAAAGTTTAATTTGTTGTCGTTCCATTATAAAAGAGAGAGAGGTCTGGCAAGAGCTCAGTCGTCGAGCGCTCGGAACGAACGAGAGTAACATTAACATCAAAAACATTAACAACAACATCATAGAGCAGAGATGCGTAGAGGAGGAACAACAACAACACGTACAGAGCAGACATATCGAGCCTTTGTATACTTTGTAATTCTGAAAAGAAGAGTGACCTTTCCGCCGCGTATGTAGTCCTTTTGAAACCGTTAGAGGAGACGAGGGGTTGCCTCTTTATCCTCTTCACAAAATTTTCTTGCATTTCTCTCTCTCACTTGCGCGAATCAAACGCAGACCTCTGCAGAAATCTCTCTCTCTCTCTAGAGAGAGAGAGAGAGAGAGAGATCGTCGTCATCATGCGTGGCGGCGGCGGGATCAGTTTCTACCTCTTTTTCCTCCTCGTTTTTAGCAGGAGCGAAGCTCGGGAAATGCATTCGAAACGACACCAACAACTTTTCAAAGAGTTGAAGATACCACCGATATCCCCTTTGAACCCATCGAAAGACTTCTCCGTGAGCGAAGCGATCAGGTTTCGCCGTTTGAGCGGGGCGGCGTATTGCGAACGAGGGTTACAAAACTGGACGTGTGAATTTTGCGACGAACAATCCTTGGTGGACGTGACCGTGTTTGAATCGGAGAAGCGATTCGTGAAAGGTTTTATAGGGTACGATAAGGAGAGGCGACGAGCGGTGGTCTCGTTTCGAGGGACCGAGCCGAAATCGTTCGAGAATTGGTTGGAAAATTTGGATGCCACGCACGCGGGGTTCCCGGTGGCTGATTTTGAAGGGAAAGGAAGAGTTCACGCGGGGTTTTTAGATGCGTACGTGCAGATTCGATTGAACTTGACGTACGCCGTCGCGAGGTTGAGCGAGAAGTATAGCAGTTTTGAATCGGACGATGATGGTGTTCGTTTGAGTGTAGAAGAAAAAGGAGAAAAGAAGGATGAGAGTAGCAGTAAGAATGAGAAAGATTTGCCACCCTTTCCGATTGAAATTACCGGGCACTCGTTGGGCGGAGCCTTGGCGACGATCGCGGCGATGGATTTGGAAAGCGGCAATCACGATCCCGATCGGAAACACATCATACAGAAGAAAGTGGACGTAAAGAGCGTGTATACGTTTGGATCTCCGCGCGTTGGCGATGGCGTGTTTGCGGAGATTTACGCAGAACGGCTCGGTTTCAAAACGTACAGATTGACTCACGGAAGAGACGTCGTGCCTTCCGTACCGAATACTCTTCTGGGATTTCGCCACGTCCCGACCGAGGTGTACGAAGATCGAAACGGAAATATCACCATCGGCGATGGAAGCGGTGAATGGAAAGGCGGCGAAGATCACGTGTGGAGACGGTATAGCGTGAGCGATCACTTGTATTATTTAGGAGAATACATTTGCGGGTGCAATTCTTGAAAGAGAGAAAATATTTGTAAGCTAACACAATAAGTTGATGAGAAAACGCCGGAAAGCGTTTTCGTTATCTTGATACATATGCACAAGTATTCGGTACAATTCTTTCTACGCGGGCATGCTATTTACGTTTGCCAAGGCCAACTTTTTGCCGGTTGCCACGCGATTCTCGCAGGGCACCCGCCTCCAACTCGCACCACGCTGCTTACTTTACAGTGCATCTTCTTCTCGTTCGTCAATTTTCTAATCTCGTCTAATCCGGGAGGTCCGTAGAACGTCGCTTTTTCTTTCCACAACAACAAAATCGCCTGGTGGTAAATCCAATACGCTATTCGGTGCGGACTCAACCCTCTTCTATACAGTAACCGCAAACCGCCGCAATCGTTCCTAGCCCCTCTGGTATCCGATTCGTCTCTCTTCGCGACAAAAGCAGCGTGAAAAAAATCCCCGTACTCGGGATGTTCCACGCAGTCCACCGTTAACTTCAAATGTTTACTCACCGTAGGCATATCCGACGCAAATATTCGCCAATTCGACTCCATGTCCATAAAGGGACTCACGTGTAAGCTTTTCGGCACGTGTGCGCCTAACGGTTCTGCCATACCTTTTCTATTCTGTACGCTTCCTTTGCTGCTGTTGAAGTTCATCCTCACGGTTTCCCCCCACGGCGTGTTCGTAACTTCCGTCACATTCACGAGACACTCTCCAGTTTCATTTAATACCACGTAATACACGGAAATCGGATTTTGATGGTACCCAAAACTCATCGGAGAGGTTAATAAATGGATCGAAACGTCCTTCTCTTTGACGAATGAAGGCACGTCTTCGCGCGTTCGTTCCCAAATCTCATTCGCATTCAAGTGCAAATTCGCCTGTTTCTTTCTCCACCACGTTGGAGGATTGCTGAGGTTTACCAGAGCCATTCTCAGCGGGTACCGGAAGCTCCGTCTCATGGGCAATTTACGAACGTGCGTGACGATGCCGTCGAAGAATTGCACCTTCCTTTCGTCTTCGCGTTCTATTCTTGTTTTTGAACCGAGAGAATGGATAGACAAAAGGAGCTGCCAAAAAAGCGTTATGGGAATTCCAACCAACGCTCGGAACGAGTAATACCACACGCTGAGGAAGATGAGCGCGGGTTGGGAGAGGATTTGGAGAAGAGAGGAAACTGTGGACGAGGGGAGGGACATGTTCGATTTCTTTTACTGCTCTTTTTAAGTGAAGTGTTTCGTGTGACGCACTCAGAAATTTGTCAGGGGATGTGTTCCAAACTGACTTTGTAAATATGTAAATCTCAAACGGAGTACACGTAGTAGTAGTTTCTCTCTCTTTTAAATACAAAGCATTCTCTTTTCTCTTTTCTCACTCACTTTCAAATCATAAAATATATACTATCATCGGTAAGGTGGGCACCTTCTAGCCTTATTCGTCTAAGCGCTCTCTTTACTCAACCCGCTCTCGAGGTACCGCGCCGCCGCTCTCTTTTGAACCTTCCCATACGCGATCATCAAAGTAAAACCAACCGCGTGCACACCCAAAACGATCCAACCAAACAAAGTGACGACATCCATCACGGCTACTTCGCACGCCACGCCAAACTCTTTAAAGCATTCCGTGGATAAAACGGTCGCTACTTGGGCGCTACCGACGGAAAATATACACGCGAGACATAACAACGCGCGTTGGCCTTTCGGCAATACCTCCCACTCGGAGACTTTTTTGTACGCTACTTTCAATTCCTCTTGCGTTTTCTCGTACTCTTCGACTTCGACGTCGATTGGGACGGCGTCGATTTCATCTTTTCGACTAATTAAAGCTTTATCCATGAAATAGGCGAACATGAACATGGTGACGCCCATGCTCACGGCGGAGAGCGCGAGCATGACGGCGTTCAAGAGTTGCCAGTAGTTTTTCGAAGTGTCGTCTTCGGCGAGTATGGTGGAAACCGTCGTCGCTGCTTCGCACCCGCCGATTTTCAACTGAACAGCGCCAGAAACGACGACGTACATCAAGTATAAAACAATCACCGGGGCAGTACCTAACATTGCTTCGTGTAACGGGACTCGGATGATGCCGCACAAGACCGAGGTTGGCCAATCCGGGCCGCCGCACAACACCGCGAGTTTATCAATAGGTAAACCTTTCTGTAACAAGATGACTTTGATCGCACGCATTTGAGGGGTATTGACCGCACACATGGCTCTAACCGCGACGCGGTTACCGAGAGGCTCGCCGATGGCTTTCTGTTGCAACATGCACGAAAACAGTTTGACGAACCAACACATGGCGCCGCAAATCATAACACCCGGCCAGAAACCCATGGACTCTTCCAAAGCACCGACGATGACGATACCACCGGTCAAATACACCGGGGGACCTGGGATCGGCGGGAGCAAGAACATAAAGACGCCAATGCCAAAGAACACAAGAAACACCATCCAAACTTCTTGCGCTTTCAAATAGGAAACCAACCACGCCAGGAAAATCACCGCGCCTTTACCTACGCCGATGGAGATTATGAAGTAGGCAAGCGCAATCCAGGTGGCGTAGACGATAGTCGTTGTTGGCGAATCGAAAAGCCACTTCAAAACCGCGCGGCATTCGTGCGTGATGAGACCATCTTTTTCGTTTTCCGGAATTTGCTGGTCCAATACTTTCGGTCGAAACGTGAGACCGATCCGCCTGCAGGCGGATGAAACGGCGGAGATTAACAACGCGGCCGGTAGCGCCGGGCCAATCGCGCATAACAAGAAACCTTTCATGATTGGATGGTTCGTTGCCGCGGCCACTTTCGTCTCCACGCCGGTGTCTCTGATAATTTTGGAAATCTTCTTTCTCCCGGCGGCGGCGAACAGGAGCATGAGAAACATCCCGACGAACAGCACGACAAACTGGATGATATCGTCCGCGATGCCCATTTCCACACCAGAAATGGACACTTGAATGTATGTACCCAGACCAAAAATCATCATTAAAACCGCAATCATTCTTACTGCACCACCTGGTCGGGAGAGAAAATTCGCCGTCGCGCCGAAGAGAAACTCGAGGAACCCAGTCGCCCCGGGTAACATCCACATCATGTACACGCTGACACATCCGGAATCAGTCCCATCCGCGGCGGTTGTATCGCACTCGAAAACACGGTTCGGAAACGTGTACTTGTGTTTATCCCAATTGTTCTCCATGGCGAAGACCCAAAAGAACCAAGCGCCGATGATCAAAGCACCGGCCAAAAACGAGCACTTCGATGCGGCAACCATGAAGGAACGCGTAGAAATGCCTCTGCAAAAGCTCTTCTTGTACACTGCGGTGAAACCAATCTTCACCAACACGTAAATAACCACCGGTGCGGTCACGTACCTTCCAGACGCTAACAATGCCGCGCAGAACAAACCAACGCCACAAATCAAAATGACCAAGTTCAAAGCCATCGATTTCAATTTATAATCCTGCTTCACATCTTCGCTGGCATCGAGCAAATCGTTCTCGTTCACCTCTCTCGCCTGCGGTAACATCTTTCCAGAACCTGAAGAGTTGAGTGATTTCTCGCTCTTTTCGTTTTCGTCATCGTTTTTGTTCTTACTCTTCTTTCCCGCCGCGTCGCCGGCGACGCGCGTCCCGACTCGTCCTTCACCGCTCTCGTCGTCACTGCTGTCGTCCTCGTGCGTCTCCTTCAATTTCGTCATCTTTTTCCGTTCGTGCCTTAAAATAACATCCGCGTCGAGCAACCACAAAAGAAAAAATACTCCGAAACAACTCACCCCGATGTACCACGCGGCGTCGTAGTGCGCGTCTTTATTCAAAAAGTCATACACGTGTACGCCTTTCCCCATCATCGTGTACCCGGATATGAACGCAATCGCCAACCCGATCTCTAAAAACAAGAACCCCAGCGATTTCCAAATCGTTATCTTCGGTTTCATGGATACGTATCTCACGAACAAATACCCGTCGTTGACGTCGTTCTCTCCGCCCAAGTCTTGGTTCCTCTTTTGAAACGATGGTGCTTTTTGGTCGAACGATACACTTTTGTCCGACTGTCCTCTCACTCGTTGTTGTTGTTCCTTCTTCTTTTTCGAACCATCAGAAACGACCACCCTTTCCACGCTCGTGAATGGGTTCAGCGCTTCTTCGCGTTCACCTGCGATATTCAAGTCCGCGTCTTCCTCCTGGAATTGCATCGGCGGTGGCACTTTCGGTGGAGGAGGCCGTTTGGACTTTTTTCTTTTCAACTGAATCTTTTCCCCGTTACCATTAGTATTCGAAGACGACATCTTCTCGAGACAGACAGACAGACGGAGGAAATGATTACGCGGCGTTTAGTGTGCTCCCGAGACCTGTCTTACGCTTTATTCACCGAACGCATATATGTATATATACAGAGTACTATGAATTGAGAATTATAATGGAGAGGATCGCCTCGTTTCAAACCCAACGCGAGGACCAAAAATAACACAAATATCGGTAGACAACACCCGAGTCAGAAAAGAAAAGGTCAAGAAAAGAACGAAAAAAAAGAGCAGAAATTTGCCAGAAAACATTTCTTTCGCAGAGAGAGATATTTTTTCTTTTTCTTGCCTTCGATTATTTATTGCGATGGACAGTCGGTCTTGGAGTCTATTGAGAACACTTTTGGGGGAAGTTCGTTAGAACCACCCCCTCCAATTTCTTCGTCGTTCTCTTTCTCTCTCTCTCTTTCTCTCTCTCCACGTCGGCGGCAGTATCATTATTAAATGAGAAGATGAGAAGCTTTGATGAAGACGATGAAGATTCTGATGATTCTGAGGGCGAATTCGCGGACGAGGGCGATTGGTACGCGTCTCTAATCGCCGGGGAACGAGTCGGCGAGTGGTTAGATGTCATCGAAGAAGAGACGAAACAACAGAGGAGTAACGACGACGAGGAAAAGGAGGAGGAAGAGGAGGGGAGAAGAAACAGAAGAAGAACGAAGAATGATGATGATAAAAGATTTCGGAGCGCGATCGAGCAGTTGACGAAACACGTGGAAGAGGACGAGGTGTACGGCGAGGAGGCGGAAGTGGCCGAGGCGGAGAGAATATTGAGCGAGGCGCTGGCGAAAGTGTCTCTGACGACGAATATCGACGACGACGAAGAAGAAATAGAAAAAGAGACTTCGAACAGCAGCAGCGTGCAAAAGTTGTTGCGACAGAGCTTGGAAGCGATAGAAACGCATCGGAAAAGGAAGAAGAATGTGAAGACGTACGCGATGAAAAACGGACGAGTGGAAGTGTCGATATTGGAAACCAAGTTATCGAACGGCGTCGGGGGCAAGTTGTGGAAAGCGGCGCTGTTGTTGGCGGAGCAGTTGGACGATAAAGAGGGAGAACCAAAAGATGACGACGACGACGACGACGGTGTTATAATCGACGTGAAAGATAAGACGGTGCTGGAACTCGGCGCGGGGGTTGGATTAGTGGGTTTCGCGGCGGCCAAGTTAGGCGCCAAGGAGATCGTGTTGTCGGATTTTGAAGCGCCTTTGCTGGAGGCGTTAGCAGAGTCCGTGGAGAGGAACGGGTCAGAGAAGACGACAAAAGTTCGGTGGCTCGATTGGCGAGCCGACGGCGCATCCAACACGGAGAAGACAGAACCGCCCGACGCCTTCCTCGCTCTCGAGAAAGAAGACACGTACGACATCATCCTCGGCTCCGATTGCCTCTACGAATCCCACCACGCTACTCTCCTCCCAAAAGTCATAAACAAACGTCTCTCTTCATCCCCAAACGCGCGATGTCGCCTCCTCGGCGCCGTGCGCAACCGCGAAATGTTGGACCAGTTGATTGAAAACTTTCGTAAGTTCGAAAATTTACGCGCGACGGAAACTTCAGTCGCCAAGAGCGAGCGGTTAAATTACGACGGCGGGTACGTCCGCGTAGACATAAAACGAAAAAGTTTCTGATAAAATATAGTATTTGAGCGTTAGCATCATCGTAGTCTACTTTTCAACGACCAGCGAGGACGACTTAACGAGTACAGTACTTTTTCGTTTCAATTTTTCCTCCTTTGCTTCATTTCCGCACTCGCGAAAAACAAATTTAAAACACACACACAAACGCGCTTAGAAACAACTCATCATCATGTCCTCCTCTTCAAAGCCGACGAAAACGTTACTCTTTGGCGTCTGCGTGGCGTCCTTTTCTGTCCTCGCGGCGTTCGCCTCGGAAAACGCGCACGTTTTGTTGCATCAGGTACGGTTTTGTGATGGTGTTTGTGATCTCCCACTCGTGCGCTCGTCGTTTCCCCGCGATCGAATTTCGCCAACGACGACGACGTAAACGACGAATCTCTTTCTTCTCTGAACCCTTCGTCGAGGAAACGAGAGATGAGGATAACTCTTTTTTTCTTTTATTAACCATCTTCTTCTTTGTATTCTTCAAACAACAGACGGTCTCTTCGAGCGCGTTCGTCCAAGGCGAAAACGTGACCGTCTCGGTCACCGCCACCAACGCCGGTTTGGCAAACGCTCGAAACGTCGTCGTCAAAGCACCACAGACACGAAACGAAGGGAAGTGGACGCAAGTGAACGAAGAGAGTTTGGAACAAAAGATGACGAATTTAGACGTCGGGGAGACGAAGGAGATGACGTACGTGTATAACGTGAAAGACGCGGGGACGTATACGGTGGAACCGGCGACGATTCAATATTTCGCGAGCGATACGAGAGAGGTGACGAAAGGCGAATCGAACGTGGTGAAGAACGTGAAAGTTTTGACGCCGATGCAGAATAACGCGAGAAAAGCGTTGAGAGTGACTGGTTTTTTCTCGTTGGGGGCATTGAATACGGTGGAGGATTGGTTGAAGTTTTCCAAGTGGATCGCCGGGACGATTGCTTTGTTTTTGTTGAATTGGTTCGCGTTGAAAATAAAATACGGACTGCAATCGTTGCGACGCATGGCCGCGGTCAGAGGATTAGAAGGCGACGCCAAGTTAGAATAAGTAATAAAATCATCTTCTCAAAATAATCACAACATAACATTTACAACAACAAGAACAACATTACATACTAATATCTCAATATCAACTCCATTTTAATTTATTTCTTTATTATGTACGAGAGATATCTCAATCATCAACGCGACAAAGCAGAATTTATTACATACGTATTTCACGACTTACTTCGTGTACACTTTCGTGTCCAAACCAGTTCGGCCTTCGCCAGATCCCGGTACGGTGCCGGCAACGTACCCGCCGTTTTGGCCAATCAAAGGCGGCTTCGGCGTGGCGACGCCGTCGATGACGTGAATAATCCCGTTATCGAATTCGATGTCCACGGCGCCGATGAACCCGCCATCAACTCTCCCGGCCAAGCCTTGCGTCCCTTGCGGCGGCATCCCGACTTCAATCTTCCCTTCCGTTTTAAACGTCTTGGAATCGATGGCAATTTTGTTCCCTTCCAAAGTCATGATTAAAGGGAAGTTCGTCACGTGTTTGGACATGATTTTCCCTTTGATGCAGTGATATTTCAAGATATCTCCGAGCGCTTTCCCTTCTGGCAAACTGTACGCAGCCATGGCGGCATCGTTCGGCGCGAAGACCGTAAAACTGCCTTCGGATAAAGCGGCGGTTAAGCCTTCGCTGGCGACCGCGGCTGCGAGTGCCGCGCATCCGTTCGCTTTGCACGCTTCTTCCTGTTTGTAGTGATACGAGTCGACAGATTAAAAAGATTAGCGGATAAGAAGAAGAAGTAAAAAAGATCAGAAAAATGAGAAAGATTACATAAACATAAAAAAAGAGAGAACGTAATAGAACAAAAACGCACGAAGGAAGCGGCTTTGGTTTGGACCGAAACTCTCTTTTTGCTGCTCGCGTTCTTCTTCACGGAGAAGACTTTTTGTTGTTGTCCGACAGACGCGGAGAAGGTTAAAGAAGATGCCATTGTTGTATTGTAGTAATTGATTAGTTGAAAATTTTTTCTGACGTGTCGTAAAAGAGCTCACGAAAAAATCTCAAAAATCAAAAGAAGAAAAAAACTCGTCGAGGAAAATAAAAAAAAAGTGAAAAAGCAGCCCAAAATCAGTTCAATTCAACTGTGCAAAAAAGAAGAAAAAACTCGTCGTAAGAAACGAACGCACCTAAAAACACCAGTATTATTGAGACTGTTTAGCACTATGGCAGCAACAACAACAAAAGCGAGGAAACGATCGCGATCGAAATCGACGGAACCACCACCACCACTACCACCAAAAAGCGACGAGAATGATGTTAACAACGCTAAAGCGCTTCTTAAATTGCGTCAAACCGCCGGGAAAATCCAAACCGCCATCGACTTTTGCCACCACCGAATCTTAAAATCACACATCGAATTCCCGAACAAAGACACCGGAGTAAACGTGGAGACTCTGTTAGAATACGCGAGACGCGTCGCGTACACCACGTCCGCGCCGCTGAATTATCAACCAGGGGTGAGTCAACTGTGCGGACAACTCCCACCGGCACCTCAGGAGGAACATTTTCTCGTCTCGCAGATGAAGAAAAGACACGAGGAGAAATTGGTGCACGAGCAAGCTTTGCAAAGGAAGCGACAGCGAGAGGAAGAGACGACGAAGAGACAAAAAGAAATCGAAGAGATGGCCAAGTTACCGAAGGAAGAGCTGATACGAAGACTCGTGCAATGGAAACCGGGCGCTGCGTGGCCGGCTGGCGTGCCGAAACCCCCGGTAGGGTGGAAACCCGGCGACCCGTTGGCGTTTCTCACAGCGAAAGCTGCTCCGAACGCCCCTGGCGAAGCTTCGCCTTCGAAGCGCGCCGCCGCGGAGAAGCAACCAGATAAACAAGAAGAAAAACAGCAACAGTTAAGCTTAGATTTTGAGGAAGACGAAGGTGAAGACGATTTCGACGACGACGACGCGTTCGATTTTGACGTCGTTTCCGCCTCCGACGGCGGCGACGACGACAGCGACTGATTTTAATAAGAAACGCTCGAGAAACGCGCGCGCGAGTAGCGACAACAACAACACATATAGAAAAACTAGTTTTAGACAGCGTGTATACTACAACATCCTACGAAAATAAACCACCGATTAATATTAATACTGCTGTTATCGCGTTTCCAAGCGTTTTTCATGAGAGCGTTTTTGAACCGCTGCTCTTAAAAACTCCTCACACTACGAACATGGGTTCACCCCCGCTCTTCTCTTCCTCTCGCTTGGACGAGAAGAGAAGAACATTGTCGACCCTAACGAACAGTAATAATAAGCACTTGTTTTTTCAAGCGTTCCTCGCGTCCGTGTTCTTGCTCCTCTTGGCGCTGACGACGAACACGAGTACCATCGACGACGACAACAGAAACGCCGGCTTCGGGGAAGATGTTGAGAATTTCGCTCGGAAAATCGACGCGCAAAAACTGATGAAACAGATCCAAAACCAACACGGCGGCGCGTACGAAGACGAGGACTCGAAGAAAGCGGTGAATTACGCGGTGAAGTTGGATATTTTATCGCACGATGCGGAGTTGAAAGCTATAAAGTTGATGCGAGAGAGAGACGCGTTGTTGCGAGCGTTGGATGCGAACGATAAAAATTCCGGGTCGTTGGACGAATTCGCCGGGGAGGATTCGAGCGGGTTCGGGATGTCTTCTGTATCCGGGAAGAGTTTGAGTTATAAGAAAATGAGCAAGCAGGTGAATTTATGCAACGAAGATGGGACGAACGTGAACTGTCCGAAGCGTGCGAACGTGATTGAGGAAGAAGAGTCGTCTTCGTTTCCGAAGGTGTTCGTCTACGACGTGCCGAAACAATTGACGAGCGAGTTAGCGAAGAGGTACGGACGATGCGAACGCGACCAGTACGGAACGGAAATTTGGTTCCATAGAAACTTTAGGGACGATAAAAATGGCGTCCGGACGATGAATCCAGAGGAGGCGGATTTGTTCTTCGTGCCGCAATACGGCGAGTGTTTCTTGTGGTCGAGAGAGATGTTGAGACACGAGAACCAAGGGCAAGCGATGGAGGAAACGAACGAGTATTTTTTGGAAGTTTTATCGCACGTGAAAGGAAAATTGCCGTATTTCAATCGCACGGACGGGAGAGATCATATTTTCGTCTTTGCCGGGGCGAGAGGACCGACGATTTTTCGAGATTGGCAAAAGGAAATACCGCACTCGATTTATTTAACGCCGGAAGGCGATCGGACGTTACCTCAGTTTGACACGTGGAAAGATATCGTCATCCCGGGTTTAGAGTACGACAAACGAATGTATTTGGAAGAACATCGAAACGAGTTGGTGACGAATCCTCCGAAGCGGAAAATATTAGCCATGTTCCGCGGCACCATCGACCACCCGGCTGGGTTCGCGTACAGTAAAGGTTTGCGCCCGAAACTGAAAAAAATCTTCCAAAACGCCACCGACGTCATCTACGATACCAAAATCAAAGATTGCGACCGGGACTGTTACGTCCGCGAAATGACGGAATCTGTGTTTTGCTTGAACCCATTAGGTTGGACCCCTTGGACGCTCCGTTTCTACCAAGCCGTGATGACTCGATGCATCCCAATTATCATCGCCGATAACATCGAATTCCCGTTCGAATCCGAAATCAACTACAGCGAATTCGCGTTGAAAATTCCAGAAAAGGACGTCTCGGACATTCTAGAAACCATGAGACACATGCCAGAGGAAGAGCGCGAACGGCGTCGTCGATACATGGACAAAATCTGGAAACAATTCACCTACCAGCGACCGGCGGAAATCGGCGACGCGTATTACTCCACCGTGAAAGAGTTGGCCAGAAAAGTCCGCGCGCACAAGAAATACGGTCGCGAAAGCTTTTGGTGACTTTGACGACGATCGACGAAAGTGTTGTTTTCAACGAACCCGGCGTGTTGCACGCATCATTTGTACTAAATAATATATAGAAGAGAGAGAGAGAGAGAGAGAGAGAGAGGGAGAAAAGTAGAGAACAGATGATGATACCTATTAGCGGATATTTAGCAACGTAGCAGCTCTATGAGCACTCGGCAAAAAAGCAGCCTTTTTTGAATTTTTTCCTCTTTTTCAAAATCCGCACAAAACGAAGAAACACGAGAACACGCTTTTCACGCATCTCGTCGCATACATCTCCCGCCCGTTTTATTCCTCGAAGAAGAAGAAGAAAACGAACTCGCGATGATGGTGGATCCATCGCTGCCAGATCCTCCTCCCGCTGATCCGCCAGTATCAGCAGCTAAAGCAAAATCGACTCAAATCTCGCGAAGGGAAGCGCGAACGAAATTGCGAATGATGGAAACCGACATCGAGCTCCACCGGGAAGAGATGCGACAAAGCGGCTCTCGGAAACTCGCCGTGATGGCCGAGAAAGTCGACGAGAATTACCGCCTCGCAAACATCGGAGGCATGAGAACGCGAGAGCAAGAGATGGATTTGAAAAACGTTAGTCGTCTCGCCAGCATCGGGGTAGATATGAGTAAAGATTTGAACCAAAACGGACGAAGTCGATTTACGGTCAGGCAAGTGGTGAACGGATTGACGAGTTTGTTCATGCGAGGGAGAGTTCCAAACGAACAGACGTTAGCCGAAGACGACGCGGAATTCGTCAGCCACGGGGCCATGGATTGGGCAGAGCTGGGAGATTTTGCCAGTAAATATTACTTCGAGGTGGAGACGTTGGATTTTATGTGAGTAGTGTGTTCTCGTTCTTCTTTGTGTCTTCTTTGTCTTCTTCGTTTGCGCGAGATGCGCGTAGTTTCATCGCCTTTCTGTTTGTTCACGCACACGCTCACCTTCTTTCCTTCTTTTAACAACTTAAACACACACACAAACACATGTACTTAAAACAGGAACGGCGTCATGAACACGGAAATTAAAGAACGGAAAATGACCCAACGACAACAAAGAGTCCCTCTCGGCGAGTTGGCGAGACCGGAGGAGTTAGAATCGACGAAGAACGACCACGAAAAGACCACCGCAAAGATTATGCAAAAAATGGTCAAAGAGTTGAACAAGTTTCCTAATAACGAATGCCCAGTCGTCGACTTGGTGTTCAACGGACAATCGTTCGCGCAGTTTATAGAAAACGTCTTCACGTTGTCGTTTCTAGTCTCGCAAGGACAAGTGTCGATTAGAAGCGAGCAAGGCAAACCGTCGATGGTGAGAAGAAATACGAGCGAGGAACAAGAGAAAACGGAGAAAGAGGAAAGAGCGGCGCACGTGATGGCGATAGACGTGCAAGGCTGGAAAGAGTTGTGCAAACAGAGGAAGAATAAACCCGGGATCATGCCGCACAGAAAAGAAGCGACGCAAGAAGAGCTTATGGGAACGGGAAAGCTCGTCTCGCCGACCAAGAATAAAACACCGAAACAAAAACGCGCCGCCGGAAACGACGACGACGACGACGGCGGATTCACGATCCAGTCCATCATCGAAGACGACGACAGGCAGCAGCACCAGCAGCATTCAAAGAAACCGACGACGACTAAAAAAAAGCTCTCGGACCGGACCAACAGCGACGAAGAGCGAGCCGCCTCGTTGGAGCCGCCGGCCAAGAGAAGAAATAGTAAGAAAGCGACGCCGCCAAAGAGATCAAAAGTGAGAACCATCGTCGAAGAATGAGACACAGAATATTAAGAAGAAGAAGAGAGTAGAGAAGAAGAGAGTAGATTTGTAAAATCAGAGACCGAAAAGACATTTTCACGCACAACAACGCAAAAGTACATTGACTTCTTCTTTTCTCTCGTGAGTCAACACACATGATATTTTTCTCTGAATTGCTCACTTTTTTCTCCACGCCTGCTCCTCCTATACATCTACTCCTACTCCAGAACGACTACTCTTACTCCTCAGATCGAGTAAATGCGCGCCGCCGCCTTCGCTTTTTGTCCACAGAAGACGACGGAAACGACGCCTTTTCGCGTCTTTGAACAACGAAGAAGACATCATCAACAACGAATCGGCCGCCACTTTATAACGGAATTTTACCGACGAAAACGACGGCCATCCTCCTCCTTTTCCGCTTTGTCTTCTTCCTCCGAGATGCCAAAAACCACCCCAGAGTCGTTAAAGCGATTACAAAACGGATCCGACGTCCGAGGGGTCGCGTTAGCGGGCGTGGAAAACGAACCGATTACCATCACGCCAGAATCGGTGTTTTGCTTAGGCTGTGCCTTTGTGGATTGGTTGAGAGAGACAGAAAAATGTACCAATAATCCAATGTGTACGGTTGGCATCGGCCGAGACCCGCGATTGTCCGGACCGTCGTTGAAAGATGCGTTCGCGCGTGGCGTACAATTTAAAGGCGGCGTTGCGATTGATTGCGAGTTATCGACGACGCCGGCGTGTTTCTTCGCCACGGTGAGCAACCGCGAACTCGGGCCGGCGTACGAAGGGTGCGTGATGCTCACGGCGAGTCATTTACCGTTTAATAGGAACGGGATTAAGTTTTTTACCAAAGATGGAGGGCTGGATAAGAAAGACGTTGGGTTTATGTGCGAAAGAGCGGCTGAATATATCGCCGAAGCGGAGAAGGAGATGGCGAAAGGCGGAGAGGCGAAGATCGAATCGAGACCGTACATCGACAAATACAGTTCGATTTTGAGAGACAAAATTATCAAAGGGATTAACGATGGGACGAACGAACCGTTAAAAGGGTTTAAGATTGTCGTGGACGCTGGGAACGGAAGCGGTGGGTTTTTCGCGACGAAAGTTTTAGAACCGTTAGGGGCGGACTGTACCGGGTCTCAGTTTTTAGATCCGGACGGGATGTTTCCGAACCACGCGCCGAACCCAGAGGAGAAAGAGGCGATGGAATCCGCGACGAAAGCGGTTTTGGCGAGTAAAGCGGATTTAGGGATTGTTTTCGATACCGACGTCGATCGATCTGCGGTGATTGATTCGTTCGGGAAGGAAATCAACCGGAATAAGTTGATTGCGGTGTTATCGCACATCGCTTTGCAAAAAGAACCGGGAAGCACGATTGTGACGGATTCAGTCACCTCTTCCGGGTTGAAAACATTCATCGAAAGTAAAGGTGGGATACACTTGCGGTACATGCGAGGGTATAAAAACGTAATCAACAAAGGCATCGAGTTGAATTCGAAAGGTATCAACGCGCCTTTAATGATTGAAACTTCCGGCCACGGCGCGATGAAAGAAAACTACAACTTGGACGACGGCGCGTATTTAGCGGTGAAGATAATCATCGAGGCGGTGAAGAGGAAGAATGCAGGCGGTGGTGGTATTGGCGAGATTTTAGAGAGTTTGAAAGAACCGTTGGAGTCCTTGGAGGTTCGATTGAAAATAGCAAACCCAGAGTTTAAAAAAGTTGGTTCAGACGTCATCGAACAGTTTAAGCAAGCGATCGAAAGCGGGTATTTCGAACCGAATTTTGTCTGCGCGAAGGAAAACTTTGAAGGCATCCGAGCCGAAAGTGAAGCCAAAGGGTGGTTCCTCTTGCGTTCGTCGTTACACGACCCGGTGATGGTGTTGAACATTGAAAGCGACGAGGAAGGCGGCGTGAAAAAATACGCCGAGCAAATCGTGAAATGGTTCGAGGAGAAGAAGTTTGCAGACGTCGACGCGTCTGCCATTGCAACGATTTAAAGAAGTGCACCACGTTTGCATATACATTCTACACGTAGGTATAAGAGTACGAGCGCCGCGCGCGAAAGAAGCATAAATGTTGTTGTATTCAACCATTTCAATTTTTTCTTAAAATCAAGACAAGGATTTTATAACAAACTATGAATAATACTTTCCCTAATACTACTGCTTTTAACCAATGGTATCATCGAAAATGTAAAACCAAATGATAATGTTTACCCGCCTCTACCGAACGCCGGTCTCTCCGAGCGGTAGCCTTCGCGGTCCCCGCCTCGGCCGCCGCCTCGGCCGCCGAAGCCGCCTCGGCCGCCGGCGCCGCGGCCGGCGTCGGCGCCCGGTCTTTCCCCAGCCGGTCTCGCGGACTTCTTCAACGTGTCCGGAACGACGTCCGGCCCTAAGTTCAGGTACTCTCTCAAGTACTCGATGCCTTCGTTGGTCAAGTAATAGTAATAGTACTGCCACGAGAAGATTTCCTTGACGTACTCTTTACTCTTGAACGATTGCATGAGCTTGATGACTTGCAAATTCGGCACCGGAATGTCCGGGTGTTGCGGCAAAGAGTAATCTTTCTTCGCGTAGACGACGCCCTCTGTTTAAACATCGCAGAAAGAGATTAAGAGAGAACGAGAGCAAAAGTCAGCAAACATCATCAAAGAGAGAGAGAGAGTTATAATAAAAGGTTTATTGGAATTTTGATCCATTTTAGGGCCAAAGTTGATGAGTGATGAGAGAGAGATATATGTTACCTTTAAAGAGGTACTTGTACACCTCGTTTCTGTTCGCTTTGGAAATTAACATATTTGTTCTTCTTCTTCTACGTTTTTGTTCAACAAGACTTCTTCTTATTAAAGCGTGTGTAAAGTCTCTATGCCTTTTAGCGAACGAAGGCTGGCGTTGTGTTTTGTGGAGGAGATGATGTCTGAGAGGCGAGAAGGAGGGTTTTTGAGCGCTTCTGTGTTTTAGGGTTTATATGCAACCCTAAATACTAAAGCAAAGAAAATTCAAAAAGTTTGAGAAAGCGCAGCACAAAAAGAAGAGAGAGAGAGAGAGAGAGAGACGAGATGATGGACGACGGAGCGTTCGAGGACGAGGAGGAGGAATTCGACGACGACGACGAGAGATACGTACCAACACTCCAACAGACGTTATCAAAACTTCGCTCGCGACGAGATGCCGCGCGAGAAAACAAGCACGGGTTGAGATCTTCCGCGCTCTTTTTCGCGGAAAATTGTTGCGTCATGAGCAGCGCGTTAGTCAAGTTCGTCGTGAAGAAGAAGAAGAAGAAAAAGATGAAGATGAAGAACGAAGATGAAGAAGAAACGCACGATTTTGCGACGACGACTTTGACGACGTTCGAACGGGAAAAGAAATCGGACGTGTACGCGTTCGCGTCCATTCTCCACGAGGACGGGCAACACGCGCGAGCGATGGAAATCATGAAGAAGAAGAAAGGAGAAAGAGGAGGAAACAAAGAAGAGGAAAACTATTTAGACGAGTTCGGAGAGATGAGCGTGTTAGCCAGTCGGTGCTTGTATAAATCGAGGAAATTCGAGGAGTGCTTGAAAATGTGCGAGTTGGACGGTTTGGTGGATTTCGGAGGGCAGTCGTCGAATCACGCGTTTACCGGGGACGTGGTCGGAGCGAACCACGTGGGGACGCCCTCGGTGTATAATAATAACAACAGCGTTCTTAACGGAGACGACGAGGATGGCAGAGATTTAGTGGCGATGAAACAGGACGACGGACTGGACCAGTTAAGAGCTATATCGGCACACGTTCGCGGGAAGGTGCACGACCAGTTGGACGCTCGAAACGCGAGCGCGAGATGGTTCCAAATCTCTCTCATCTTAGATCCGATGTTGTACGATAGTTACGAAGCGTTGACGAAATCGCACGCGCTGCCGATGAGGAAAGAGAAAGAGGTGGTGCAGAGTTTGCGATTCGAGGAAGGGGACGAGTGGATGCGAGCGATGTACGACGCGATTGCGGGACGGTTCGAAGAGGACGATTTTGGCGCGGCGCTGAGAGATTCGACGAATACTTTTTCTACGAGAGGAGGAGGAGGAAGAAGAGGAGATAGGCTCAGAAGCGCAGCGACGCCGCCAGTGAAAGGAAGTCCGGCAAAGACGCTTTCGCCGTCCAGGAGGAGCCCGAGGAAGAAGACGCAGATGCAATCGCAACAACACAATCAATCGACGCCGGTCTCGGGAGTCACGACGGGGACGACGACGTCCTTTTCCTCTCCAGAGCTCGAAATCTTGCGTGACGCGCCTTTTCTGCGTGCGAAACGCGCCGAATGGCTTTACAACAGAGGCGAAACGCGCAAGTGTTTCGAAGAGATGCAAAGAATAGCCGCTAAATCGTCCGCGCCGTCGAGATTCGACGTGGAATCGTTGCCGGCGTACCTCGCCTCGGCGGTGGATTTGAAGAAATCGAACGATTTGTACAAGATTGCGCACGATTTAACCGCTTTGTATCCCAAACACGCGATTTCTTGGTACGCGGTCGGATGTTATTACCTCGTCGCGAAGCGATTCGACGACGCGAGACGGTATTTCGGGAAATCGACAGTTGCAGACCAAGCGTTCGCGCCGGCGTGGATCGCGTTCGGCCACGCTTTCGCCATGCAAGACGAATCCGACCAAGCCGTCGCGGCGTATCGAACTGCCTCGAGATTGTTTCCAGGTATGCACGTTCCCGTTTTGTGCGCCGGGATGGAATACAGTCGCGGTTCGAACAACGCTTCCTTTGCGCGAAGCTTCTTCGAAAAAGCGGCGGAATTGAATCCGACGGACGCTTTGGTCCAAAACGAGTTGGGCGTTTCCGCGTACAAACGAAAAGAATATTTAGAAGCCGAGCAGTTTTTGAGAGACGCGCTGTGGCTAGCCACTGGAGGAGGATCTAGCACGAGCATTAGCACGAGTCCGTCGCCGCAACATGCCACGGTCAAATCGGAAGAACACGACGTCGTCGCGTTAGCCTCTCGATTGAGCTCGCAAAAGTTGGAGCGTTGGGAGCCGTGCGTCGTGAATCTGGCGCATTGTTTGCGAAAACTGAAACGATTCGAAGAATCCATCGCGTGTTACGAACAAGCCATCGCGTTGCGGCCGAATATCTCGTCCACGCACAGCGCGCTAGGTTTCGCGTACCAAATGAAAGCGAATTTTCTGGACGTGACGAGTTTAGAAAACGCGGTGGCGAGTTACCACAAAGCGCTGGGTTTAAACCCATTGTGCGAGTTCTCTCAAGAAATGTTAGAGTTGTGTTTGATCGATATCGCTGCGGTAAAATTACCTCGATACGTGCCGCACGATGAGTACGACGATAACCCGATCGATTTGAGAGATTTGAATAACAGGGAAGGAGGATTCGAAATGTACGATCAAGACGAGGACGACGAGGAGATGGAGGAATAAACAACAGTAGTAGCATTTCAAAGAAAAACGAGTAGTAGGTGTATTATTAGTATCTGAGTACCTCCAGGTACCTGGTACCTTGGTTAGTATTAATTGTCTTTCTCCCTTCCTATCTCTCACACACACACGTTTATCATAATCAGTCCTCGCTCGTCACAAGTCACAAGAGAAGTCGTTTAAAATATTATAAGATGTTCTCAATCCACATTCTTTTCAACAACGGTGCCATGACTAAAGCGATGACGCTCATCAACTTGATCAAGATGTTCAAACTCGGCCCGCTGGTATCTTTGAACGGGTCACCAACCGTATCGCCAACTACTGCCGCTTTATGGCACTCCGAGCCTTTCCCGCCGTGCGCGCCCGCCTCGACGTACTTTTTGCAGTTGTCCCACGCGCCGCCGGCGTTGGCCATCATAATCGCCATCGTCGATCCAGAGACGATACTTCCCGTCAAAACGCCCGCCAACGCTTCCGGTCCCATAAAAATACCAACCATGATTGGCACAATCACCGCCATCACGCCCGGAGCGACCATTTCTTTCAAACTCGCTCTCGTCGCGATGTCGACGCACGCGGCGTAATCCGGTTTCACCAAACCTTCCAAGATGCCGTTGCGGAACTGTCTTCGAACTTCTTCGATGATCGACCCCGCGGATCGACCGACCGCTAACATGGTGAACCCAGAAAATACGAACGGCAAGACCCCGCCGATTAACAAACCTGGCATGACTTTCGCGTTGGCGATGATATCGACGGACAAATCCGTGCCTTTCACCGAAACGGCTTTTTGAAATGCCGTCAACAACGCCAAAGAAGTCAACACCGCGGACCCAATGGCAAACCCTTTACCAGTTGCCGCGGTGGTGTTTCCTAAACCATCTAAAGCGTCCGTTCGGTCTCTGATTTCAGGCGGCATCTCCGCCATTTCCGCGATGCCGCCGGCGTTATCCGCCACCGGTCCGTACGCGTCCGTGGCTAACGTGACGCCCAGCGTGGACAACATCCCAACCGCGGCAATCGCGACGCCAAACACACCCGTCAAGGACATAGAAACAACAATCGCTATCACAATAATCACAATCGGCGGCGCCGTGGAAAACATACCGACGGCCAAACCTTGAATCAAAACCGTCGCGGGCCCCGTCTCCGCCGCCGCGGCGATACTTCTCGTCGGCCAAAACGCGTGCGACGTGGAATACTCCGTCGCAGCGCCAATCAAAACACCCGACAACAGCCCAGTGAAAACGGTAAAATAGACTTTCAAAGGCGTCGCGATCCCAATCGCCGGAATCACGAACCCGCAGAACATCAACACGCACAAACTCGCGGAAATCGTTCCGTTGCGCATCGCCGTCAATAACTGCTCTTGGCTCGCGCCTTCTTGCGTTCTCACGAACAACGTACCAATAATCGCGCAGAAAATGCCCCCACCGGCGATATAAAACGGCAACGCAACCCCTCGTTGGCCGTGAATTTCTAACCCTAACGTTGCCGCGGCGATGATCGACCCGACGTACGACTCGAACAGATCCGCGCCCATACCGGCGACGTCCCCGACGTTATCCCCGACGTTATCCGCAATCGTCGCCGGGTTTCTGGGATCGTCTTCCGGAATCCCCGCTTCCACTTTACCAACTAAATCCGCCCCAACGTCGGCGGCTTTCGTATAAATCCCCCCGCCGACTCTCGCGAACAGCGCGATTGAACTCGCGCCGAACCCAAACCCAGCCAAAGTCGTCAACGCCTCTTGCGCGCTATTCTGCGTGTATTCGAAGAAAATAAACGCCACAGCTAACCCCAAAATACCAAAAGAGACCACTAACATCCCCATAACCGTCCCGGTGTTAAACGCCACCCGCAACGCCGGATCCAATCCGTGCACCGCCGCCGCCGCCGTTCTCACGTTCCCTCGAACGGCGATGCTCATCCCCATCCACCCCGTCGCCGCGCTCAACCCAGCTCCAAAAACAAAGCACACCCCCGTTGCAAACGAAATCCCCACCGAGACGAACAAAAACGTCACCGCGCAAAACACCGACAGCCATTTATACTCCGTCGCGAGAAACGCTCTCGATCCTTCCTGAATAGCCGAAGCGATCTCTTGCATTCGCGCGTTCCCCGCCGGTTGCGCGAGCACAGACTTCGCCAACTGAATCGCATACACCAACGCGCAAATACCCGCGAGTGCGCTGAACGTGCACGCCCACGCCGCGACGTTTTCTTGCGGCATTAAATTAAAACTATTATTATTATTATTATTCGTACTGCTCTCTTCTTCTTCTTTCGACTGCATGGAGACGATTTGCGCGACCGTCACGATTCCCCAAATCACAGACAAACCGGTCAGACCGCCTCGGCCGGAAAGTTGCGTCACTTCTTTGCTTATCGTTTCCAACGCGTTGCCTTTGCCGATCACGCCGGAGTTGGACGCCACCATCACCATTTTTTTCGCGCGTCTCTTCTTTATCTCTTCTGTTTCTTCTTCTTTGTCTTCTTCTTTGACGAGTTATATCAGATATACTAAAGATTATGTTCTGTTCTTTCTCAAAGAGGAGCCATTTTTGGCCGCAAAATTAAAAAAAGCACAAAAAAATATCCTGAACTCTTCTGTCTGCTTTTTTTTCCTGTTTCATGCTTTTTCCTCCTGTTTTTTTTGCTTTTTTTTGGCTTCTCTTTCTCTTCTTGCTTTTTCGCTTTCTGCAAAAAAACGTTCTTCTCAGAGTTGCTATTCGCTCTTGTGTGTTGTTGCGACACACAAAATCACATCACAGAAGAAGAAGAACATCATGCCTCCTCCTCCTCCTCCTCCCACCTTTAGGAGTGAAAAAGTGGTGACCACGATCAACGCGGCGACTCAGGCGACGCACACGAAGTTCGTGTCGCCTCAATCGACGCCTAAGGGGAGGAGGGAAAAGAAAAATGATGACGATGAGACGCCAGAGCCACCAGGTGTTGATGATGATGATATGAACGACGACGTGGAAATGATGACGATGAAAGAGACGGAAGAAACGGAGCAAAAGGAGGAAAAGAAGAGGAGAGAGGGAGAGGCAGTGACGTCGTCGTCGTCGAAATTTGGTCATCAGCATCATCATCCTCAGGAAAAAGCAGCAGAGAACAACGACGACGATTCCAACGAAAACGTTCAAATCCACGCGCGGTTGATGGAAATGTTAAAACATTACGTGAAAATAGGCCAAGCATCGGGCGTTCCGGGGAAAGACGTTCCGGTGGATTTAATCGCCAAAGCGTTCGTGAGTTTAGGGAAAGCGATTGGTAACGAGGAGAGCGACGACGTCGTCCTCGACCGTCGGAAAATTTTAGACCGAGAGATGGCGAAGTACGAGCAAGACGTGGTGCGGAAGTTGAAACACGCGGAACGAGCGGCGGAGAGAGAAATCACGACGTACGAAAAAGAGTTGGCGCGTTTAGAGAAGAAGTTTATGGAGACGGAAGAGGAGGTGAAAAGTTTGAAATCAGAGGTGAAAGCGTTGAGAGAGGATGGGAAATCGGAAGTTCGCAGAGAAAAATTGAGAGCGGAGATTGGCGAATTGCCGGAGAAGAAAGTCTCGGAGCGGACGTTGAAAGCGCTGGAAGAGGAAATCGCGCGGTTAGAAAAAGAAAACCTAGACGAGGAAAAAGAAACGAACGAAGCGCTGGCGGCTTTAGAAACCGCGCTCGCGAGCATCACGAAACTCCCGGGAGAAATCGAAGACGTCGTCGTCGTCGAAGCCGTCGTCGAGAATACGAATAAAAACGCCAACAATACTCACCAAAGCGGCGCCGGGACGACGACGATTCAGACGACGAGAGAAGAGCGAGAACAAAAAGAAGACGCACCGATGCTCATCCAAGACGCCGCCGAGGACGGCGAGATTGTATAACATAAGGGCAACAAAGAGAGAGAAAGAGAGAGTTTCTGTAGGAATAGCAGCACGTGTAGACGTATTTAGAACTCTGTACTTTAAAAAAGGAAAAATTCTTTCGCTCGTTTTCTCAATCTCACTCGCTTTTTTCGCTTCAAGGATTGAACGCGAGGAGGAAGGAAATTGATGGCTGTCATTCACTCCTAGTATGGTGAGATGGTTTTTTAGCTCCTCGAGAAATTAAGATTAAAAACGAAAAGAATATCCAATCGTCACTCACGCGCGCTTTGTTTCTTCCCTATACACGCACGCGCACACACACGCGCGAGAAACGAGAGACGAGAGAGCACTCACTCCTCGGTTGCGTGACAAAAGTCGTCGTTCTCTTCTTTGAAATTTGATTTTTTTTAAAGAAGAACTTTTCTTGTTGGTGGGTTTTGATGCCATTGCAAGGAGGCGCAAACTCTTCTTCTGTAGTTCTGGAAGAAATCATGGGGTCTTTACTCATCATCACTCCGGCGATTTTCGGCTTAATCTTTGCGTTTTTTATGTACAAGAAGATCAACAGGATACAGTTGTACCGAGCCACGCGAGGGCAGGACGACGATGACTTGTTGATGCGACGAATGGAATCAGTCGGGGATGAACTCGAATCCGGTGCCAATGGCGGGGATCAATATCGCAAGTTGAGGCAGATTTACCGGGATATTCAAGAAGGGGCGAAAGCGTTTTTGGCCGCTGAATATCGCATGTGCGTGTACTTCTTGGCCGCTATGGGCGTGTTCATTTCCATTTTTGTCTCCAGAACGGACGATGGATGGGACTTCAAAGTTGGCTCCCTCACGGCGTTCGCGTTTGTGGTCGGCGGCGTCACGAGTATGGTTTCCGGCTACATCGGCATGATGATCGCGGTCTTTTCCAACGCTCGATGCACGATGAGTGCGGCGAAAGATAACAACAGCGAAGCGTGGAAAGAATCGTTCAATTGCGCCTTTAGAGGTGGGGCAGTTATGGGTTTCGCGTTATCCGGTTTGGGATTGTTGGTGATGTACTTCATCATGATTTGCTACTCCGGCGCGTTTAGCATTCAAGGCGGCGAAGCGGTCAAACTCTTCGAGTGCATCGCCGGTTTCGGTTTGGGTGGATCATCCATTGCCATGTTCGGAAGAGTTGGCGGTGGGATTTACACCAAAGCTGCGGATGTTGGCGCGGATTTAGCCGGGAAAGTTGTCGCGGGTATCCCGGAGGACGATCCCAGAAATCCGGCGACGATTGCCGATAACGTTGGCGATAACGTCGGTGACGTTGCCGGTATGGGTTCTGATTTGTTTGGTTCTTTCGCGGAAGCGACGTGCGCTGCTTTAGTCATCGGTGCGGAATCTGTGGATTTAGTTTCCGCTGGTTGGGATACGTTGATGTTTCCGTTGTACATCTCGTCCATCGGCATCTTGGCGTGCGCCGCGGTGTCTTTTATCGCTACGGATTTAGACCCGGTCAGAAACGAAGCGAGCGTGGAACAAGTGTTGAAGAAACAGTTGACATTTTCCACGCTTGCGATGACGATTTGCGTGTACCCGTTGTGCCGCATCTTCATGCCGCAAGAATTTTACTTGGGCGGTAGAACCTTTGCCGTGGCGTGCGTGGATGGCGTCGTCTCTTCCAAGTGCGTCACGAATGGTCCGCACGCCGCGTTTGCGTGCATCGCCGCTGGTCTTTGGGGTGGTTTGATAATTGGCTTTGTCACTGAATACTACACGTCGCACTCGTACGCTCCGGTAAGAGAAGTCGCGAGATCGACGGAAACCGGCGCCGCGACGAACATCATCTACGGCTTAGCGTTGGGTTATAAATCGTGCGTGATTCCAATCACCATGCTTGCGCTCTGCGTGTTCATCGCCTTTTCTATGGCAGACATGTTTGGCGTCGCTTTGTGCGCGTTGGGTATGTTAGGTACGTTGCCAACCTGCTTGGCGATTGACGTGTACGGTCCGATTTGTGACAACGCCGGTGGCATCGCCGAAATGGCGGAACTTCCGGAATCGGTCAGGGACAAGACAGACGCGTTAGATGCGGCCGGTAACACGACCGCAGCGATCGGTAAGGGGTTCGCAATTGGCTCCGCGGCGTTGGTATCGTTGGCTTTGACGGCGGCGTTCGTCACGCGATCGAAAGTTCTCGAAAACGGCGTCAACATGCTCAACCCGGTGGTCTTTGCGTTCTTGCTCATCGGAAGTATGCTTCCGTATTGGTTCTCTGCGATGACCATGAAGTCGGTCGGTATTGCTGCCATGGAAATGGTGAAGGAAGTCAAGAGACAGTTCGATACCATCCCGGGTTTACTCGAAGGTGCCCCAGGTCACGCGCCGCCGGATCACGCCAGATGCATCAAAATCTCCACGGACGCGAGTTTAAGAGAAATGATTCCGCCGGCATGCCTCGTCATGGCCGCGCCGATCATCACGGGCACCTTGTTTGGCGTCGAAGCCGTCGTCGGTTTACTCGCCGGTGGGTTAGCATCCGGCGTGCAGCTCGCCATCTCCGCCTCGAACACGGGCGGTGCCTGGGATAACGCCAAGAAGTACGTCGAAAAGGGTGGCTTGTACATTGACGTGCCGAAGCGTTCGCGCGCGAGAGACGATCCAGAGGACGGACCGTTTACGGGAGAGATTTTAAGAAACATGGACGGGTCCATGATTATGATTTCGGAAAGACAGAAGAAAGGGTCGGAGTGCCATAAAGCCGCGGTTGTTGGTGATACCGTCGGCGATCCGTTGAAGGATACCAGCGGACCGGCGTTGAATATTTTGATGAAATTGATGGCGATTTTGAGTCTCGTGTTTTGCGACTTTTTCATGTCCATCAACAACGGCACTGGATGGTTTGCGATCCCGAGAGCGACGATTGGAGCCGCCTCGAGTTTCTAATTGAAAAAGAACGAGAATAATAAGAAAGAGGATATTAATAATTAAAGTGAACTACAGAATATATATTCAACAACGCATTGATCGCTCTATTTCAATTCGATATCTTCTCCTGAAATTTTAAACTCATCCGGTCGCATTTTCACAAAGTCCTTGAACTTCATCGCTATCGACTGCGGCTTTTTCACCTTCCCAGCCAAGGCGGCCATCTTTGTCTTCCCGTGCGCTTTCAAGTACTTGATCAAATCGATGGTGTATTGTTCGGCGTTTTTCTTCGTCGCAGTTTCTGGCGTTTTCTCTTCTTTCTTCTCTTCCTCCTCTTCCAAAGATGAAGAAGACGAGCTGCCGCTGCTACTGCTACTACTAGAAGACTCATCTTTTTCTTCTTCTTCTGATGATGATGATGATGATGATGATGACTCGTCCGAAGACGCTTCTTTCTTTGGTTTTTCTAAGATTTCCTTTCGCGTAGAAGCCGGCGATTTCACTTTTTTCTGGCTGGTGCCCTTGACTGGCTCTTCTGATTCCGACTCAGATGATTCGTCTTCGCTGTCGGATTCAGATTCTGGTTCGCTCTTCTCATCTGCTTTTCTCTTTTTTGATGCCGTGCTTCCTGGAGTCGCCGCCGCAGGTTTCTTCGCCGTGCCTTGAATATCTTCTTCTTCCGATTCCGATTCCGATTCCGACGAAACCGGATCAGCAAACTCTTTCTTGAGCTGCGTCTGGATTTTCTTCTTGAGCTCCTCGTCTCCTTCCTCCTCGTCGTCGGATTCAGATTTAGATTCTGATGATGATGAGGAAGAAGAAGAAGAAGAATCTTCATCTTCATCTTCATTGTCATCACTATCACTATCACTAGATTCTGAAGCGGATTCTCGAAGCATTTCTTCCTCCGTAACTTTCGCCAACGCCTCGTCGAACATTCTTTCTTCCTCCGAATCGCTTTGAAAGAGTTCGGCGTCTTTAGGCAAATTCTTCGGATCGAAGCGCTTGTCGTATTCGTACTCTCCTTCTGATGATTCCGATGATTCTTCTTCTTCTCTTTCTTCTTCGCTTTCATCGGACGACGACGACTCCTCGTCTTCGTCGTCGTCATCGTCTTCCTCGGCATCATCATCATCATCATCACTTCCTTTGTCTCCGTGCTCCAAAACGGCTTCCTCCGTTAACTTTTCAATCTCATCGTCGCTCATTTCTACGAAATCCTCCTCTCCGTCGCTTAAATCTTCGTCCGTCTCTTCGTCTTCGCTCGCGAAATCCGCGTCCTCTTCCTCGCTATCGCTCGACGACGTATCCATCATCGCTCTCTCCGCCGCCATATCTTCAAACAGCTCGTCCTCCATCTCCTCGTCTTCGTACTCCTCCATCTCTTTCTCGAGATTGTTCCCTCTCACTCGTCCGTCCATTCTCCACCCGGTCACGTGCGCGTCCACGTTCCCGCTGTTCTTCATTATGAACGTATCCGAGAGCACGACGTCCAACGAAAACTGTTCCGTTTTCCCTCGTCGTAACGTCGCCAGGAAAATCTCCTTCGCGCCGTTCACGCCGACGTCTTCCACGACCGAAAGAATCGCGTGATGATTTTTTTTTGTCTCCTCCTCGGAAGTACTGCTCCCTAACGCGACTAAGGATAAACTCACGTGTTCCTCGTCGTCCTCGTCGATATCCACCCGGACTGATTTTCCAGCCTCGATGATGGTGCCCCAGAATTCGAGCTGCTCCGATGTCGCCATTTTAGATTTAGAGTTGTTGTTGTTTCTCTCGGCAGATTATAGGAGTAGTATTGGTGGCAGAGAAAACACAAAGAAAGCGCTTTATTATTCGTTTCTTTCTTTCTCTCCTTCTCTCCGCTCTGTTTGTTTGAGTCGCTTCTTCTTTCGATGAAGACACTACTCTTTATAAAGATTATAAAAGAATGCGATGATTTTTTATGACGGCGGAAAGAGGCAGAGAGAGGGACACTCTCGAATCTTCAGAAAATTTTTGGAACCTCCTCAAATTATCCTTCGTCGAAACAAAACAAAAAAAATTTATCACCAGTCACAAAAAAAAGCGAGAGAGAGAGAGAGAGCAAAAGCAACCCCCACCAAAAAAAAACAAAAAAAACAAAAAAAAACAAAAAAAGCTGCTTGATGCACAAAAATCTCTTTTCCTCCTCCTCAAAAAATTCTCTCTCTCTTCTTTCCTTGCGCGGCCCTTATAGAAACTAATAATGGGCCGCTTCTTCTTCGGGGGGCGAAACAACGCGGAGAAGATGATGAACAACAACAAAAACAAAGAAGTGATCAACGAACACTCCGGATTACTCTTAAACCGAGATCAGAGACCCGTCGGAGGAAGATTAGAGTACGTGGATTTGAATACGACGAAGAACGATGGGAAAATCAAGCCCCCGCGGTATACCAAAGTTGGGAATTTCGTGTTGCATCATCACGTTGCAAAAGAAGACCTCCTCGGGGCGAAGAAATCCGAAAGGAGCGCGAGTCAAAGCGAAATGAATAATGCTACTCGCAGGAGTGGTTATCCCGCGATGATGAAAGCATCCGCGGTCGTGGTTATGAGTTTGTGCTTCTTTTTGGTCGTCGCTGCCGGTGGGACGAAATACGTGCTCAGGAGCAGCAGTAACAACGCTTTGAACGCGAACACAAACGGTGAAAGTTCTTGGACGAGAAGTGCGTCCGTGCCTTCTTCTTCTTCTCGCTCTGCGTCGTCGTTTTCACCCTCGTATTCGTCGTCGAAAAACAACAAAAACATGAACGCGTTGATTGGTTTGCGCGAAGAGCCTTTCATCGACGCCAACGAGAAGTCGATCGTATTGAAATTGAATTCTTCACTGCTCGCCTTCATATTTCCGCGTCTTTGTTCGTGCCTTCATCGATGGAGAGTAGTGGTGGTAGTGGGAGTAGTAGTAGTAGTAGTAGTAGTAGTAGTAGTAACACGAACGATAAAAAAGCGTACGTGTTTCCACCGGCGTTGTCGAAACCGGACAAGAACTTTGGATGGAGCTCGGAGGGCGAATTGGGCGCCAAACTCGTCTCGCAAAAAGGCGAGAGCGTCGCCAGAGCGGCGTTTACCGCGCACAGACGAACGTTCATTACCGATAGCGACTTGACTGCGATCAAACGGTCCGGATTAACGCACGTTCGAGTTCCGATAACCTGGGCCATGTTTGCCGAGGATGAAGAGTTTGAAAGAGGAGAAGAGCTCGTCGTCGTGGATCCGATGTATCGAGATCGGATGTTCATTCAAGCCTCGAGAGAAGATTTACGGGAAATGGTGAAAAAAGTGAAGACGAATGATTTACGAGTCGTGTTGGCGCTGAAAGGTATGCCGGGTGGCGCGAGTAACGACGAAGGCGACGGCGCGTGGCCACACGAAGCGTCGTTTTTTAGAGAGTTTTCGAAGGTTTTAAGCGCCGAGGAGACACAAGAAGAAGAAGAAGAAGAGAGGAGGAAGAGCAGCAACGAAAACACCAACAGAAAGTTGTTGTTCGGTGGTGCGTCCTCCGGCTCGTCGTCGTCGTCAAATATGGGTAGCACTGACGGCGGGAACAAGAAACTCGTCAAGGCAAAAACAGTCGCGAAAACTGGCGAGACGGCGACGGCGAATTTCTTAAACTGGCTCGCCAATCTCGACGACGATTTGAAATCAACCGTCGTCGGCGTATCCTTAATCGACGCACCAACCGCAAAGGATCCGAAGCAAAGAGCAGCGGCGCTGACGTGGCTCGAACGAACGTCGCAGATGTACCGTGACATTATCGTCGACCCAATCGTAGAAGCGCGGGGCGCGGTCAACAAAAGCGGCAAGAACAACAAAAAGCAAGAGAAAGGCGAAGAAGCCTCCTTGCCGTTCTTACACGTGACCATGTCGCCGACGATGGGCATCGACGTCGACGAGATGGCAAAATGGATGCGAAAAACTTTCACGACGGACGAACGATCCACGTGGGCGGCTTTGGACGTGCAACACGCGTTCCCGAGAGGCGTCGGCGCGTGCGTCGGCGGCCCGTCGCGAGGGTGCGCGTTTAGTTGCAGCGATTCCGTGGAGCAGGTCGCTCGATCTATCGGCGACGCGAGTGATAGTTTCGCGAGAGAGTTGAGATCTGCGGCAAGCGAGCACGGCGTCCCGCACGTCGCCGTGAGTGAGTGGTCGTTGAGCGCGGACGAGGAAGGTCAATGTCCAAACGCCGGTCAGTTTTTGGACGCGGCGTTTTCGCAGCAAGTGCGAGCGCACAGAGCGTCGAACGTTCGCGGATACTTTTGGCGATGGAAGAGCGCGTTCGATAACATTGAAAACGAAAACGAGTCCATGTCCAACCAAATGAGTCGAAAGAAACAACCGAGTTCGAACTCTTTGAGAGAATATCTATCCAATCGAGGAGGTAAGTCTGGAATCGTCGGCGATACCGCGAACGACGGCAAAAATGGCGGCAAAGTGTCCACCGCGGGTTGGATGGACGAAGGTGGCGTCGCGCGCGACGATAAGTTCGACCGATTCAAACCAAAAGATAAATCGATTCCCTACGATTACAAAACGCCGGAAGAGTTTGACGACGAGATGCAAATGAACACCATCGCGGACGATTGGTCGAGTCGAATGACCAACGCCATCGCCGAAGCGAAAGGCACCGGGAACTCGAACATAATGGATTTACTCGCCGAGGAAGACGAAGGATTAGGCACGAGCGAACAAGACATAGAGATGGCGTTGTTGAACCCAGATGCGGACGTGTCCGTGAAAACTCTCAAAGGATTCGAGTCTGAGTCCGAAAAACGGAAGGAGCTCATTGACTCTATGAAAGCGTTTGGCGAATCCGCCTCTCGATTCGATAGTTTGACGAGTAAAAAAGGCGGGTCGTCCGTGGTAGATGACAACGATGAGATTTTCAATGAAAACGGCGACGCGTTAAAGCGATCCATGAATCCGTTTGCAAAACCGTCCAAGCTTATCGAAAAACAGTTTTCCTCGAATAGCTATTCCGGCGATGAGGATTTGATCAACCCAGACTTTCGCGCGAAGAAAGACTTGGGTTTGAACGAACTCATCGACGGCGACGACGGGTTACAAAAATTGGACGAAGAACTTCAAGAATCCATCGTCGACGGGTTAGCGCAAGATGCAAACTACCAACTTCGCAACGCCGCTGCAAAACTCGTCAACTCCGACTCGGAGACTTTCGCGACCGACGACGACGAGTTTAACCGTTTGTTGACTGAATCCGAAACGCCGGTCATGTCCATGCCGAAATCTCAAGAAGAACGCGAGGCTGAGTTGTTGTCCAAGAAGTGGGATTCGTTTCCCGAAAAAGACGGCAAAAAGCCCGCGTTGACGATTTTAGAGGACGGTTTTGATCCGTTATCGATGAGTAACGATAAGAAACTGGACCAAGTCATCGGGGACGAGGCGAAAGATCGAGACGTTGAGGAGGTGACGAAAAAAGTCGAAGACCGCGCCGCCGCCTCGGTCGAAGGCGCGGAATTGGAAAAGACCATTGAGAAGAATTTGGCCAACATGAGCAAAGAAGATTTGTTGAAACTCGCGGAGCAGGCAAAGCTTGGAAAGATTACTCTCGCAACAAACTTAGCGCGACGATGAAAGAAATACTATTTATTAGCAGACGTTTGACTACCGCAGAATGTAAAACAAGATTGTACTACCAAATCTAATATCTCGCACCATTCAACACTTCCACGTTCGCGTTTACCCTTTCCATAACGCTCGGTGGCATGTTCACAAACATTTCCACTCCGTTCTCTCCGGCTGGCATTCCCGGTTCAGTCGGTCTCGACGTGTTGATTTGCACGATATCGTTCAACTCCGGCGGCAAGGCCAACTCCGGCGTCCCCGATCCGAAATCTAACTCGTACAACTTTTTATAGATCTCCACCAAATTGTTACACCAGCACATCTCACCGCTCATAAACGCTAAGCAGTCCCAATCGTACGCGTTTACGCCGGCTCGAAACGCGCTTTCCGTCAACATCAAATATTTCGATCGATCTTTCAACATTTTACGCAAACCGGGTTTGATCAAATCGCGGGCTTTCGCGATATCGTCGCCGCACTCGCCGATTTTCAAAGCACCCGTTTTCACACCAACGCACGCGTTCCCGAAATACATCGGCGGTAAGCCTTTGGACCCACCTCTGGCGGATACCACCGTCACATGTTGGAAATCGCTCCCAGTTGGTAAACCTGAGAGTTTAGAGAGCTGTAACCACGCGTGCGCGCTCAACGCTTCGTTCTCGTTGCTCGCGTTCGACGCGGATTTAATCTTGTCGATGTTCTCTTTCGATATCTTAATCATGGATCGATTCCCGGCTGGAAACCTCAAGAAATCTGGTGCTAACGCTCTCCCGGCTTTGACTGCGTTCACCAACGTATCCACCGACCCGGCGCCGACGAATTGTTCTTCCTCCAACATCCGTTCAATCTCCTCTTTCTTTTCAAATTCACTCGTCGGTAACAAACTCCTATCGAATATGGGATCTCCGAGTGGATTCCCGTTTAAATTCCCTTTCGCAATCTCCGCCCACGTGATTAAAAACTCCACGAATCCTTGACCGTCGCTCACGGCGTGCGACATGCACACGCCCAACACCGATCCGCCATTATTCGGCAAATTCGTAATCTTCACCGTAAACGCCGGCGCGTCGCCGAGCATCAATTCAATCCAAGGCGCGAAATCTAAAAACCTCCGACTTTCGCTCGCGAAATCCTGCGGTAAATCGTCGATCGTCCTCGCGCCTCCATCTTCGAAAGGTTCGTTCACCACTCGAAACGGCACTCCGGAGTTGGTCAATCGTACGCCTTTATTCCTAAACCCCGGCGTTTGTAAATCCAACCGTCCGGCTAACATCGGATACTTCTCCAACGCCTTCTCCAGCGCTCGCTTCATCATCCCACAATCGAGCGGATTTCGGTAATAACTCACCACTTGCATGACAAACGGTACTTCGCCGACGTCGTACCCGCTCAAAGGGATCAACTTTGCTACTTTTAGAGGCACATTTTGGTCTTCGTTTGGCACGCGCACCATCTCGTTTACGAGCACTGATTCTTTCCTTCGTTTCCCGTCGACGAAATATCTCGCCGGGAGGAGTACCCCTCGGGCGACCGCTCGAGCCTGAGGGATTTCGATTAATTTCGTGAACGCGCCCGCGTTTTGTATCAGGACGACTCGTGACTTCTTACTCCGTCCTCGTCTGCGTCTGTTTTTGTGTCCTCCTCGTTCTCCTCCTCCTCCTCCTCCTCGTCGTTTGCATCGTTCGGTTGACGATATCCGCGGCGAAGATATCGTCGTTGCAAAACCGGACGAGGACGAGGACGTAAACGACGACGAGACAACTCTTCTCGCGTTCTCGTCTTCGGCAAGAAAACTGCGACGACCACCAAAACCTCCGCTCGAACGACCAGACGACATCGTGGTCAAAGCTCCGCTACGAAGAGCGCGCATCGCGTTACCCCGCCGCGCGAAAGAGAGACTTTGTACTTGTGATGAGATTTCCAAATCCTTTGTCCAATTTCTTCACAATGCAACACGCGGAATTGTTCGACCACCAAAAAGACAGACGGGAGGAAAAAGAAGAGAGCGCAACTTTTTGTTCCTCCGTCTCTCTTTCTACTCGTCGCTTTTGAGGATGAGTGTAAAGACAGAACTCGCGTACTTACGAGATACGTACGCGTTTAAAACATCATCATCATCCGACGACGACGTTTCGACAGTTTTGGATGTCTTAAAGACGACAAAGATAAACGAAGACGACGACGACGAGAGGTGGTATTCCTACGGTTACGAAATTGTTCTGGATAGAACGATCGCGTACCCAGCCGGTGGCGGCCAACCCTCGGATGTGGGGACGATTTCGATCGATACGAATACGCGTCGTTGGATGTTTGATTTCGAGGAGGTACGAATGGACAAAGAGACCAAACAGGTGCTGCACCGCGGAACGTTTCGAAGAAGAAGGAACGAAGAAGAAGAAAATGATGACGACGTTTTTGACGTGGACGAAATGAAAGGGAAACCGTGTTCGATTGAAATAGACGAAAATGTTCGCATGGCGCACGCGAAAATGCACACCGCGGGGCACTTGTTAGACGTCGCGGTGGCGCTTATTCCCGGATTGGAGAAACTCGTCGCGACGAAAGGGAGTCACGGCGTCGCCGACGCGTACGTGGAGTATAAAGGCAACGCGAGGACGTTTTCCGGCATCGAAGACGACGACGAGAAGCTGATACGACTGATAAACGAACATCTGGAGAAGTTAATCGAACAGAACGACGTCGTCAAAGCGGAATACTTAGCGTACGAGGACGCGAAACGAGCGTGCGGAGGGTCTTTGCCGAGTTACGTCTCGCCGGATGCGGAAGAGTCTCCGCGCGTCGTCACCGTGGCCGGGTGTGGATGTCCGTGCGGAGGGACGCACGTGAAAAGCTCGAAAGAGTTGAAGCGAGTCACCGCGGTTGGGTTTAGAGTGAAAAAAGGCCAGACCAGGATTCGTTACGAAGTAGATATTTGACATAGTGGTACTTGAGTAGATATAATAGTACCTAGGTAGTTTAGTATATACTAGTAGTACGTACTAGTAGAGTAGTAGGGTACCTGGTACAATATAGTACGGTAGGGTACCTAGGTACGTTGCGTAGGTATGCGGTATTTTATATATCTGCTCATAGAGACTTTATAACACGGCCAAAGGGTGATCAAAAATTTTGAGGTCCTTTTTTAGAGAGAAAAGGAAGAAAAAGAAAAAAAACATCGTCCACATTCGCGCGCTCTCGTTACTCTCTACTCTCAAAATCACTTTACTAAAATAGAATACCATACTAAGAGTCACAGGAATAACAACGCAACAAAAACAAAAACAACAACTGGAGGAAAGAGTCGCTCTCTGATAAGAGCCTTTCTTCCATTTGTTGTCTTTTTCTTCTCTAATCTTACCTCTTACTAATAATACACGTTATTAAGAAGAAGAAGAAGAAACGAATCATTAATAACATTTTAGAATCAATGGAAGCGCCGTCGGAGGACGATTTGGACGTGGAGGCGAACGCGGACAGCACGGGCGGCTACACGTTCGTGTTGGAGAAAGCCACGTTGGAGACGGCGAAAATCGGCAAAGGGTACGCGCTTTTAAACTGCGACGACCACGCGAATTTCATCAAACGTCACGGGAAACAACCGGGAGATTATCGACCGGATATATGCCACCAAGCGCTTCTGGCGATACTCGATTCGCCTCTGAACAAAGCCGGGAAAGTGCGAGCGGTGTACGTGAACACGCAGAAAAACGTGCTGATAAAAATCAGTCCGCACACGAGAATACCGCGAACGTTTAAACGATTTTGCGGTTTGTTCGTGCAATTGTTGCAAAAGCTCTCCGTGCGCGCGTCGAATGGTCCAGATAAGCTGTTAAAAGTCGTCAAGCAACCGGTGACGAAATACTTCGCCGCCGGCGCTCGAAGAGTGGGATTTAGTTTTAGCGCGCCCGAGGTGAAACGGATGCGAGAGTTCGTCGCGAACGATTTGAAGGAAGATAAAGAATCGGTCGTGTTTTGCGTCGGCGCCATGGCGCACGGGAAAGTAGACGTCAGTTGGACGGATGATTTCATATCGGTTTCGCAGTATCCGTTGAGCGCGGCGTGTTGCATCGGGAGGATTTGCAACGCGTTGGAGTTGAAGCACGATATCGTTTAATTTTTGTAAAGAGAAGAATTGAGATCATCTTCTGAGTAGCAGTACACGCACAAACAGAGAGAGAGAGAGAGAGAGAGAGAGAGAGTTCATTTGTATTGGATTTGTGCGATACTAATATATAGCGTAGTCAGCAGCAAAAGTTTAATAAAAAAAGAGAGGCAAGGCAAACCAAAGAATGGAATAAGTCACAAACACAAGGCAAAAAAGGGCAGACTTTTGTGACTTTTGGGCTTGCAAAAATCCTCATTCATTTCTCGAAGGTGCGCGTTTGGAAAGACACGCACGAACAACGATAGATAGATCCCTCTTCTCGTTTTTTTTAAAGTTTGAATAGTAATTCCATTTTCGAGGCGCATTGCGGATCGTTTGAATTGATCGAGGTGATTTCGCATCTTCCTCGCGCGCGACGCGTTTCGCATTGTCAAATTTGTCCTTTGACGGCTTTCTCCGCTTTTTTTTTATTCCTTTAAACCAATCGCGCGAAAATCTAACCGCTTTTCTTCTCTCTCTTCTCTCCAGGCTTTAAGTTTCGTGTATAAATCACAAACGTCACGCAAGATGGCGCGTTCGAAGAAAGATACTTCAGCCGAGGTAGGATTTATGTGTTCGCGTGTGGGCGTTTGAGTGCGATTTCCGCGCGTTTTTTTTTCAATCGCGGTGGTGGTTGTTATCCGTCTCGAACTTTTCGGGGGCGACGTTTGGTTCCGTCGTTCCGCACTTTTTCCAATTAAAAAACCAAATTGACCTCGACGGGTCTTTTTTCTCTCTTTCTTTCGTCCTCGTCCAACTCGTAACTCACTCAAAACGCGACTCTAAAACATCATCGCTCTTTAACAACAGGATGAGCGCAAAGCGAATTTGCGTAAAGATATCGATTTTGTCGAGCACACGTGGCCGGCAGAAAAGCTCTACTCGCACTTTGGGTGCACCCTGGAGAAAGGTTTATCGAGCGAACAGGTTTTAATCAACCGCGGTAAATATGGCGAGAACCGATTGACTCCGCCGGCGTTGACGCCGTGGTACATTCAGTTTTTGCTGCAGTTCGCCAACTTTTTCGCCGCTTTGTTGTTAGCCGGTGGCACCTTGTGTTTCATCGGCTATGGCATCGATACGGAGAAGGATCAAACCAACTTGTTTTTGGGCATCGTCTTGTACGCCGTCGTAACTATTACGGCGACTTTCTCGTACTTGCAAGAGGCCAAGTCGGAGAAGATCATGGAAGGGTTCAAGAACATGATTCCAAAGAAGTGCAAGTGCATTCGCGACGGTAAGAACACCGTCGTTGATGCGTGGGAGTTGGTTCCGGGAGACGTCGTCGATTTGCTCGACGGCGACCAGGTGCCGGCGGATATTCGCGTCATGTCGGCAAACGAATTGAAGGTGGACAATTCTTCTTTGACTGGTGAATCCGAACCACAAGATCGCTCGACGGATTTGGCCAAGGACTCGCAAGGTAACTTGGTCATGCAACCGTTGGAAGCGAGCAACTTGTGCTTTTATACCACGATTATCAACTCCGGTTCCGGGAGAGGCATCGTTATTGGATCCGGTGACCGCACGGTCATGGGTCAAATCGCTGGTTTGGCCACGGAAACGTCCAACGAAGCGTCGCCGATTAACGTTGAAATCTCCAAGTTCATTCAGTTGATTTCCGCCGTCGCCATTACCTTGGGCGTCGTGTTTTTCATCATCGGTTTAACCAACGGGACGGACATTATCCAAAATGTTGTGTTTATGATTGGTATCATCGTTGCGAACGTGCCGGAAGGTTTGTTGGCGACCGTTACCGTGTCTCTCGCGTTGACCGCGAAACGTATGCACACGAAGAACGTTTTGGTGAAGAACTTGGAAGCGGTTGAAACTTTGGGTTCGACCACTATCATCGCCTCGGATAAGACTGGTACTTTGACGCAAAACAGAATGACTGTTATGCACGTATGGGTCGATAACGAAACGTATTTGTGTCCAGCCGGGAAGAACATTCCGGATTTGGCGGTTTTGTCGCAAACTCCTGCGGATGAACCGTACTACGACGCAAGCTCCCCGGGCTTCAAACGATTGTTGCAAGTCGCGACGTTGTGTAACAACGCCGAGTTTTTGACTAAAAACGACGACGGCTCGTACATGGACTTGAAGGCGGAAATGAACAACCCGAACTTCAACATCTTGAAGCAAGCCGCAACTGGTGACGCTTCCGAGCAAGGCTTGTTGAAGCTCGTGCAACCGTTGAATGATGCGTTGGAAACCAGAGCCGCGTGCCCAAAGATTTTCGAAATCAAGTTCAACTCCACGAACAAGTGGCAATTGTCCATTCACTCTCAAGGTGCCGGCAGACCGCCGTTACTCGTCTTGAAGGGTGCTCCGGAGAGAGTGCTCGGCATGTGCAAATCGTACTTTGCCAAGGGCGAAGTGAAGGAAATCAACGCGTCGTACAACAAGACGTACACGGAAGCGTACGAAGGTTTGGGCGGCCGCGGTGAACGCGTGTTGGGATTTGCCTACAAAGAGTTGACCGGAATGAAGGACGATTTTAAGTTTTCCAACAAGCCGGCTCCGAACTTTACCATGAACGATTTGACTTTTGTTGGTTTAATCTCATTGATTGATCCTCCGAGAGAAGGCGTCCCTGAAGCCGTCATCAAGTGCAACCGCGCTCGCGTGAAGGTGTACATGGTGACCGGCGATCACCCGATTACCGCAGCGGCTATTGCGAAGCAAGTCAACATTATTTCGCAAGAGAACATCGACAGTGGCGATGCCATCGTCGTTAAGGGCGATACTATTCGTGAGTGGACGGAAATCGCCGACCCCGTTGAACAACAAAAGAAGTGGGACGCAGCGCTCGATCACAAACAAATCGTCTGGGCGAGAGTGTCTCCGGCGCACAAGTTGTTGATCGTTGAGAACTGTCAGCGCAGAGGTGAAATCGTTGCCGTCACTGGTGATGGTGTGAATGATGCGCCGGCGTTGAAGAAGGGTGATATTGGTGTTGCCATGGGTATCGCCGGTAAAGACGTTTCCAAGGAAGCGGCTGATATGATTTTGATGGACGATAACTTTGCGTCCATCGTCAACGGCGTCGAAGAAGGGCGATTGATCTTTGATAACTTGAAGAAGTCCATCGCGTACACTTTGTCGTCGAACATTCCGGAAATTGCGCCGTTTTTGATTTACATCACGGCGAAATTGCCGTTGCCGTTGTCAACGGTTTTGATTCTCTGTATCGATCTTGGTACGGATATGGTCCCTGCCATCTCTCTCGCTTACGAGACCAAGGAGGCAGATATCATGGACCGCCCGCCGAGAAATGCGCAAACTGATCGTTTGGTCAACTTCCGTTTGATTTCGTTCGCGTACTTGCAAATCGGTATGATCCAAGCCTTAGCCGGCTTCTTCGTCTACATCATCGTCCTCAACGATTACGGCTATGCGCCGAACATCTTGATGGGCAACGGTTTGGAATGGTTCAAGCACTCCGTCATGTGTACCATCAACGGCGACGGGAGTCCGAAAGAGTGCGGTTTCGGTTGCGAAGGTGAGGATTGGGAGAGAGGTTACTGCGAAGGCGGTTGCCAAGTTCCCGTCACCAGTGAGGTCGATCCGTTCATCGAGTTCACCTCTGCTGGTTTCAGAGGTGACGGTGAATACACTTGCAACAGAGCGTGCTCGAACTACGCCAGTATTCCTTCGGATAAACTTACTGACGCGGAAAAGGCGCGGTTTGATACGCTTTGCGCGATTGACAGCACGTGGGGCTTTGCCGATCGTGGTTTCGCGGATAAGGAGGCTATCGCTCCGGCGGGTGCCATGTATTTCTGGAACGGCCAGCCACAACCCTTACCGAACAAGAACTACCAAAGTTCTGCTTTGGAATACGCGCAATGCGCGTACTTCATCTCCATCATCATCGTCCAATGGGCCGATTTGTTGATTTGCAAGACGAGAAAGCTTTCTCTCTTCCAGCAAGGCTTACAAAACGATTTCATGAACTTTGGTTTGTTGTTTGAAACCGTCCTCGGGGCGACTTTGGTATACACTCCAGCCTTGAACACTGTCTTTGGTACTCGACCGTTGCACATCTTGCACTGGTTTCCGGCCGTTCCGTGGTCTATGTTCATCTTCACCTACGATGAGATGAGAAAGGCGATCATGAGACAAAATCCGGACGGCTGGTTGAATTCGTACACGTACTGGTAAAAGCGACTCCGCGGAGATGAAGGAATCGTTTTATCGCAAACGGTGATAAACGAGAACACACAGAAGAAAAACAATGAAAGTAATCACAATATAATTTTAGGTTGAGGGAAGTCTGTCCTCGCGTTCATTAGCACAGTTTATAGAGCAACGGACGTTTATTTTTTTCAGGCGGTTTTTTCAAGTAGATTAAAAGATTTTGGTTTTAATACGCAAAATTCACACATCGCCCGTTTGTCAAATCAGTCAATCATCAAAAAGTTTCTTCGTTTTCCTTATCGCTGTCGACGGCGTTGTCTTCTTCTTCTTCTTCTTTTTCTTCTTCTTGTCCTCCTCCCTCCGTATTGTTCACGTCTGCGCCCCATTTCGTATTCGGCTCGCATTCGTGAAAATACTTCCTCTTCAACGTGCCGTGATCCCACAACGCTCCGCACCCTTCGTCGTGCGCCTCGAATCGATGCACTTCCCCGTTTTCCTTCGTCGCTCTCGAATACGCCGGCCCGTGTCGCATTCTGTGTTCTTTCCAGTGTTCCACGTAGCAATTCTCCGAACAAAAGAATGCTCTTTCAAAAGCGTCAACGACAACTTTCATTTTGCGTTCTTTGTACATCTCCAAACACTGCGCGCACTCCAATCGCATCATCGCATCTTTCGATTTCTCGCACCCGCACCCGGAACACGATAAAGTCACCGCATATCTTGGCACTCCCCGGTCTAATTTATGGCACGCGTCCATATACGCTCGATCGCTGTCGATACCTTCGTCAAAATCCTGGAATTTCTGATCTCCGGTTTTCTTAAAATGCGCTCGGTTCGCGTCTCTCATTTTCTGCTCGTTCTCTTTCACCGCGTCGTGCCAAAATTTATCCCAGTGAGTAAACGACCTCGTTTTCGTCGAGTTTGGCTTCGTCTTCGTCGTCTTCAAATCCTCCTTCGAGGTCTTTCGTTGATCATGCGCAGAGGCAGACATTATTATTAATATCTTTAATTTAATAAAAAGAAAATAAACGAGCGTTTTTTTTTAAATAACGAGCGAGCGTTTTTTGAAAAGAATTAACCAACAGACCCCAAAAAGAAGAAGAAGAAGACATTTTCCTCTCAAACAAAGGACCGAGAATACTATGCTCAACGCGTGCTGCGGAGGCATCCGACCAGGACACGAAGATACTAAAGAAGGAGGAGTCTCAGGCTTGCACGATATGAGCACGATCGAGCTTCCCGTTGGACACGTGAAGATCGATCCCGAAGGTTCGTTGTTTCCATTTTTCGCGTGCGATTCAAACATCTCTCTCGCGCGCGCGATGATGATTTGGTTTTAAGTTTGTGTCGATTGAATGCAAACAAACCGCGTAATTCGTTGCTGACGTACAAGTATTACTTCTCGTCGTCATCATCTTTTTTTCAGACCCGTGGCCGTTGGAAACGTACAACCCACCCAAACACGTGTACAAAATGCGCGACGAGAAAACTGGATATTTGCAAACGTTCCCGTTCGAGGAGAACAACCCGATGCCGGAGGCTTTCGAGAGGACGTCGGAGTATCTCGTGAAGTTACTCGACCCGGTGATTAAACCGAAGAATTCAGAAGGAGGAGGAAAAGGAGGCGCGTCCACGAGTCAACCATCATCGTCTTCGAATACTAACGACGAGGGAGATCAAAAATCGAAGAAGAAGAAAGAAAAAGTAAAGAAGCAGTCTCAACCGCCGCAAGAGGAAGCGGACCCGTTCGCGAAGGCGAACTTGACGGTTGGTAAAGTGTTAGAGGCGAAAGCGGACGACGCGTGGTCGGAGAAGTTGTATCTGTGCAAAGTCTTAATCGGCGAAGACGAGGAGAAGGACGTGAAGCAAGTCGTGACTGGATTGAGGAAATACGTAAAGAGAGAAGATTTGGAAGGGAAGTTAGTTCTGACTATTATTAATTTGAAGGTAGCCAAGTTAGCCGGAGAGACGAGCGAGGCGATGATTTTAGCGACGGAGAGCGGCGAAGGCGAGAGCGTGGACGTGAAGTTGGTCAAAGTTCCAGACGGAGCGAAGATTGGCGAGAAGGCGTTCATTGAAAACGAAGAGGATAAGAAGCCGGAAACGTACCCGAAGGAGTGCAAGAGTAAGTTATGGGAGCAAGTGAAGCAAACGCTCGTGATTAAAGGAGGGAAGGCGACGTATCAAGGGAAGAATGTGGTCGTCGCGAGCGGATTCGTGACTGGCCAAAACGGCGTCGCGGACGGGGCGTTGATCAAGTAAGAATGTAGCCGCTTATTTTATATATTTGATGTTATACCTCGTCGACGTTAAATCAGTATCGATCAATTGTTTACCAATTTGTTGACCAACTCTACGGAGTTTTCGCGACCGGGCGTTCCTCCGAACGTCAACGAAGAGACCCACGAGAAGGGGTCGTTCGCGTCGCTCTTTTGCGATGTCAACTCGATGGAGTATCCTGCAAATACAATCGGCCACGGTGCTTTATCGTTGTATTCGACTTCGTGCACTATCTCTTTTTTTGCGTTCAACAAGAGTAACTTTTCGCCTTTGTTGTTGAGTCTGAACGGTAACGCGGCGTCTTTGACGACGTCGCTCGCGCCTTCATTTTCGCCGTAAGCGATTTCAAACTTGGTCACATTCTTCGCAACTACGATTCTCTCTTTCGGTTTTATCGTCGTGTTCGAAGGAAACTGGAACATAGAGGACTTCGCCAGATTCTTTTCGTCCGAGAAGAACCACCCGCTCACGTCAACCTCGTCCGTTCCGCTTGGATTCAGAAACTCAACCCACTCGCCGCTGGCTTTTTTTTCGGTATCATCCGTCGTCACCTCTGGCGAAGAAGATTCCGACGACTTAGTTTTGATCGGATTGTACATGATTTCGCTGATTAGAATCGCTCCGAAATCCTCCTCCGATGGCTTTACCTTCTTCGCTTCTTTTCCTTCCACTTCAAAGAAAAACCTCGTTGTTTTTGTCGTCGTTTTTGCCCCGACGAAATAAAAAAAAACGAGGAGAAGGCAAAAAAAGAACTTTGGGCGGTGGTGGCTTCTCCTCCTTTTCGTCGTCTTCATCGTTGGTGTTCTTGTTGTTCTTGTTCTTGTTGTCATCGTCGTCGGCGTCGTCTTTCCGTCGATGTACGTGTGTGTTCGATGAGAAGTCTTTTTTTACTCTTATATTATATACTATCAACCTCTCGTTCTTTTTTTGTGTGGGTCTCTCGTGTATTTTTCTTAATTTTGCTTTTAATTTTTTTTAATTGGTTAAACCCTGATTTTGAGCAGATGAGGGAGAGATTTCACTTTTTTAAAGAGAGATTTTCACCCTCTTTTGAGGAGGAGAGAAAGCCTTGTGAATTACTTTTAGCGCGACACATCCGAACAACAAGCGTCATATTCCGCACCCAAACACATTTTTATCTACACCACACACATAAAACATGTCCGCGATCGCCCAAATCACGAACAGATGCGTCTCCGTCGCGTCTGTGAGCAGAAAAACGCAAACGAAGAGAGTCGCCTCGCCGGTACGTTAGAGATTTCCGCGTGTAGTTCTTTTTTATATTTTTGATTGATTATTGTGGGTGTGTGTCATCCGGGATGTGGGAGAGGGGGAGAGATAAAATGCAGAGCCGTGTGTTTCATTCATCATCGGCGGCGACTTTTGTCGGTCGTCGTTTACGTCGCTTGGACAAAACGAATCTGGATTCGCGCGAAGGAAGTATTCGTGCGCGAGAATGTGCACGGATGCGCGCGTTCGCGTGGTCGCATGCGCGTGACCCGTTCCGTGGTGGATATCGCTTCCCTCGTACCCCGCATAAAATAATCTCCCTCGGATCGGACTCCCCTGTGCTTTGAACGAAGAATTTGTTTTTTTTTCCTCTTTTCTTGGAGGGGCGGAGAGGATAGGATTATTTTCCTCTCTCAAACCTTTAAATATTATTTACTTCAAACGCTGACCGGAGACTTATTATTATTACTACTACTACTACTATTACAGGCGCAAGCTTCTCTCAAGCAAAAGTTTGAATCCGCGAAGGTTGTCGCGCCGGTTGTCTTGACCAACTTGGTCATGACCATGCCGGCGCACGCCGAAGCGGGTAAATTGTTTGACTTCAACTTGACTTTGCCGATCATCGCGGCGGAGTTTTTGACTTTGATGTTCATCTTGGACAAGACCATGTTTGGCCCGGTTGGTAAAGCGTTGGACGACAGAGATGAATTGATCCGATCCCAATTAGCCGCCGTCGGCGGTAACACCGAAGAGGTTGACAAATTGATTGCGGAGAAGGACCAAATCATCGGCGATGCGAGAGCCGCAGTCGGTAGAGATGTTGCCGCATTGAAGACGGAGATGGACGCGAAGATTGCCGCTGAAGCTGCGAGAGCGAAGGCTGACGTCGACCGTCAAATTGCGGACGCGATGAGTACGATTGATGCGGAAAGAGAGAGCTCCAAGGCACAAGTTGAATCCCAAGGCCAAGCCATTGCGGACCAAATTGTCGCCAAGGTTGTCGAAGTATAAAGAGTTAGAGAGAGAGAGAGGAAAACAACGACAACACAACGAAAAATTAAAAGCCGCTTTGCATCATACATACTACCACAACGCCATCACCACCACAACATCAACAACAACTATATAAATATAACTATGATACCATCATTGATTTTTAGCAGATAGATACATAAAAATGTTTTGACAATCAATCCTTACGAGTGATTTTAACTAACTTTATTAAACTACTATTCACTATTCTTATTCTTCGCCGCGCGTTTTTCAGCGCGTCTGTTTTTCGCCCCACTTCCAGGCGTTTGCTTCCTCTTTCTCGTTTTTGGCTTCGGCGTCGACGCGGACGGCGTTGGCGTCTCCTTCCCAGCCTCTATCTTCTCCCGCTTCTTTACAAAGACGGAAGAAGAGAGGGAGGAGGAAAAGAAGAAGACTTCTCGTAACTTTGCCTCTATAAGAACCTCGTTACCTTCGTTTTGAGTATTGGAAAGCATCAAATCTTCGATTGTATTTTTAATATTCTTCGCTTCGGGAGCGTTTTCATCCAGCAAGAAATCTAAGAGCAACGCCAAAGCCGCATTTACTTCTCTCCTTCTACGGCGGTCGTAATCGCTTGCGATGGTTTTCGCAAACGTTCGCACGTCCGATGAAGTGAAGAGAGCGTCTTGCAAAACATCCGGAGCGTTTAGCAGCGTCCGGCATAGAAACCGCGAGGCCACTTTCGGTTCGTTCTTCGCAGAGAAGTGTTCGTTTAACCACCCGGTTAGGTGAGAGATGGAAGCTGCAATCGATATCGCCGCGGGTTCGACCGCTGCAGTCGTCGTCGTCATTTTTGTCTCGTCTTCTTCTTCCACCAGTAAGCAAGAAAAATCAAAGCTCGAGATTTCGAGGATTTCTGCAAGCGCGGTCTTGATGGCCAGCGAAGAAGAGTCCTCGACGTCATCGTTGTTGTTATCTGCGACGACGATCAGGCGGCACAGCTCAGATACCGTGGCGAGTTGGCTGTTCAACTTGGGCCGTTTTTCCAAGCACCTTGAGACGGTGGCGTGGAGTTCGAGATATGGTTTGAAACATTTCTTCGCGACGAGATAATCCGATGTGGAATAACTGCCATCTCTCGAGTTTGATTCGCCGCGCGTGTCGATGGATTCCAATCGAGATAAAATTGCACTTCTCACGCGTCGCACTGCGTCCACGAAATCTCGTCCAGCAAACACGAACGCGTCGGGTGCTTCTGCTAAACCTTTTAAAATCATTGCAGAGAGCACGGCCACATGACTTCGATGCTCGACGGATACATCCTGCGCCGAGGAAACCGAAGCTCGCGGGTATACGCTTTCTTCAATACGTCTCGTCAAGAATGCAACAAAGCTCACATGTTCGACAAGTTCGAGCGAGAAAGAATCGCTTACATTTTCGCACACATTCTTGATCAATCGCATGGTTCTTGACCGCACGTTGCTGTCCGCGAGCGCGTGCGAGCACGTTTGTGAGCTCAAAATTTCAAGCACAAACTGTTTCCGAAACACCCGCGAGGATAAGTTTTCTTTATCGCCCAAAGAGTGGAAGGAAGAATTGAGTTGACGAAGTGCCCAGGTTCGCTTGGTTTTCGCATCGGCATCTCCGGCGTTTACCAGCGGGAGAAACATAGGCAAACGATCGAGATCTATGGACATGCGTTTTAAGACTTGCTTGTTGGCGACGACGAAGAATTCAGATTCCGGTCGACAGGCGAGCCACATGGCTTCGGCCGCGAACGACGTCGCCGTTGTTGGCCAGACGACATCTTCTGCGTGTTGACACTTCCTTTGCATGATCATTTTTTCTTCATCATCTCGCGTGAAGATGCCGTTGTTCCACATATCGTTTGAGTTTCGAATCCATCGCAAAATGGAAAGGACTTGCGTTCGTTCGCGAAACGACGCTCGCGCCAACATCACATCGGTTAAATCGATATCTTCTCCGTCTTCGGTTTTCCCGGTGACTATACGAGTCACAATTTCATCCATGATTGATAATATCGCTCTCGCGAGACGACGAAAATTAGTATCGGTGGAGGAAAGTGCTGATATTACAACCGAGAGAATGCCCGAACGCACACACTCTCTCGGCGAAAGCGATTCTGTTTCCAGGTTTCGCAGTGTCATTGGAAGTATCCAGGACGGATCGTACGCCAATCGGTTGATAATTTCGTTCCCATTGGTAAGCAGCACATCTTCCGTATCACTATCTTCCCAGAAGAAAAGCTTTCGTCTTTGAGGAAAAGCAGTCGCCGTCATCGCACTTCGTCTGCAATCCAAAAGCGACGTACCGATTGCATTACCGACGCGTTCTTTCAATGACGCTTTTGTATCGCTGACGTCGTCGTTGTTATCATCATCATCGTTAAATACTAGCCTACTCCAAGTACTGCCTTCGAAAAACTTTTCAGCCGCGCTTCCAAACACAAAGCCGCACTTTTTAAGAACGTCTTGTCCAGAAAGTGAATCGAGCGTTACCATAGTTCGCTTGATGCAAGAATCGAAAGCAGATGACGACGCGTTATATCCTTTAAGCAAAAGAGGTAAAACATGAACTGATTTCTCTGTCGCCCATATATCTGGCTGCGATTGCTGCGTATCCTTGTGTAGGCGATGTTTTAGTTCGAGAGACGCGTGCAGAACTTTTGCAAACCGCAGCTTCAATTCTGCAAATTGCTTTTGATTTTGCGGCGGTGAGAAGGACGACACAGAAGCAGAGACTTTCTCCGAAAGCTCGTCCACGCGTTCCCGAACAAAGTGCATCGAAGACGGATTTTGCGGAAGGGAATCCAAAAACTCATTCGTATTTTCGTATTCTTCCAACTCTCTTCGCGACAAAAGGGCGTGCTCAAATTTTTCATTCTCGCACACGCAATCGAAGCTTGACATTGCAAACTCCTCAAATACTTCACGCAGTTTATCCCTTTTCTTCATTTTCTTTGCATTATTTGGCGTGAGGGCTGCAACGATTTTAGCCATCGCTTCTACTCTGCGATGGTTTTTTAGCGTTTTCGCCTTGAGCGAGGAGGAGACAAACATTCGCGCGGCGTTGACTAATTCGATAACATCGTCTTCGTTGCTGAGCATAAAATTCTCGTTCACCGCAAAAGTGAATGCGTTGTTACAGTTGAGAACATCGGCATCATCCACATTCGCACGTTTATCCCACAACTCGAGTTCTTCTTTAATTCTATTCCCCAGAACTTGCTTGAACGTGCGGTAGTCCGCACCGGACTTCAATTCATCCAGAAGTACTAACTTTCTTAAAATAAAGCTAACGCATCTTACGCGATACACTCCAGGACAGTTCACGTCAAAGCATACGTTGAAAGCGTTCATTATATTCTCCACGCGTTCTTTCTCGAAAGTCTCTTTAAAATATTGATCCGTCAACGCATCTGAAAGTTTCTTCTCAAAAATATTCTTCTGTTTCTCGTTGTCACCATTTAATTCAATTTGAACAGCTCGAGCGGAGCACACCATATTTCCATGGGTTGTTGGATTCATTTGCTTCATAACTAACGATGCGATGTCGCTCAAGACCTCTGTTCGATCACTTTCATTTACGATGGCTCGAATAGCTGCGCACTCCGCGCATTTTCGCATGGCATCGGAGGCCGCCTTTTCAAACACGATACCGTCATCTTTAAAGTTGCAATGCCGTAAAAATGTAGCCGCGCATATCTCTCCTGCGTTTGAATTCACGAGAGCCGAGACAAACTCAGCTTCCGCGAGTACAACTTGACTTTTCTTATGTCTCTTCCTTTTCAAAATTTTCTCCAGAGCTCGAAGAGTAATTGAAGAGTACGGAGCTGCGATATTAGTATCTTGACCCGTCGACGAGTTTCTTTCAAAGATGCGCGCAAGAACACGTAGTATTGGGGCCGTATTCTCAACATCGTCTTCTCCCAATAACACCTCGAGCAGATGCGCAAGAATCTTTGATTTTCCATCAAAAGAGACGCTCTGCGAGCTCAAAGACACATCGGACACGGAAGCCATTAAAACGAAGTTTGTCATTTGCCTACTCTTTGCGATTACGTCGAGTTGAGCCTCTTCCGAAGCAAACTTTGCAAAGATGACCAAGGACTCGTTTTCGGAGTGCGTCAAAAACGCATCCGCGAGACGTTTTCGAGGAGTTGACTGCACCGCACCACATTTCTGCTCTGTATCTTCAATGCCTCTCGCCAACGCAACTGCAATTTTCGATTGGCTTTCCATATCAAAGCAGTCATGTTCCGTCCGTGACAGCTCTCTTGCAACACTGAATGAAACCGCGCTTAAAAGAGAAGCGCGACCGGATCGGCTCATCTCGTTGATCTTTCGAAGCACTTCTAGGAGAAGTCTCGTGAAATCTTCCGCCTCGTGAACGTAAGTTTGCAGCAAGAGCGAATATAGTTTTGCCTTAGATTGCGCATCTAAGGCGCCAGCGATCTCGACTACATCCATTTCGACGTTTTCGATCGTAAAGACCTTCGCATTCTTCGGGTTGCTCAGAAATATTTGCCGCTCTTCGCATAAAATATCGTCTATCGTCTTCATCACTTTCTTTTCACAATTTGATGCCGCCAAGCTATGAACGCCTATTTTGTTCAACGTCACTGCGTGCTTCCAGAAATCCGTCGTGCGAAGCAAACTCGAGAGAACGAGCGAGGCTGCAAATTGTCGAACGACGTCAATCTCTTCTTTGGATTTTTTGACACTCTTTGAAACTTTCAAGGCATTTTCAAACACAATCACGGACAGAGGCGAGAGCGCGGAAGTGCTGTTACCATTGTGCTCCTCTGGTTGATTAAACCGAGTCGGCCGCGCGAATTCTTCGTCTACGAACGCGTCGAGACTTGTTCGTTTCGACGCCGAGACGATTGCGTCTGCTAAGAAATCTGCGAGTGTTGAAGTCAAGTTGAGCGAAGTCGAGGCGCTACAGCAACATTTTGCAAAGCTGCGCGCGTACGTCTCTGCTTCCCGTTCGAACGAACGTTTCGTACTTCTGTCGCTTCCACCTCTTCCATCGAGCGTCTTCGACTCGATTATGTTCAACTTGAAGAGTGTCTTGAGATTTTCGGATAGTAAACGGATATCATTACTTTCATCCGCAACATCTTTCATCACGGCAAACGCGTAACATTTGAACACTGCAACGAGAGTGTTTTTCGACACCGCCGAGGACGCCGTGCAGGCGTTTCTTGCAACAGAAACGGCAGCGATACTTTCGCGAGTATTTTGAAATAGCTCGTCGGGAGTGTTCGGAAGAATCTTCGCGACATCAACATAATTCACGGTATCTGAAGGTGAGAGTGCGATGCGCTCGGCCAAGGCTTCCAAGGCCAAAAGCTTGGAGAATCGACTAAACTCGGATACTTCGTCCTGGGTTTCTTCCTCGTCGTTGCCTTCGTCGTCGTCGCCGTCGTCGAATTCAACTTCTCCTTTTTTATCGGTATCCATCTTCTCGATAGTCAATTGAGCGTGCGCTCCTCCTTTCATAACGATTTGTATGAGCACCGAGATATCCGGGAAAACATCCGCCGACGCTATGCCTCTGGCGCGACGCAATACCTCCCGCTTCCGCGCGAGCACGTGGCCACGATGAGCGCCGTTATTTCTATTACTATTACTAATACTAATATTTTTACGTTGCTTGATCTGGTTCGCAATCGCGCTCTTTTCCGCCAAATATATTCGCTTTCTCGTCGCGCGCAAACATTTCGCTAGAAATTGCAAAGAAGCCTGACGTACGACTATGCTTTTATGACCGAGCGATTTCACAAAGACAGATTTCGTTAACGACGAAGGTAACGCACTCGATGCCCAACACCTGGCACTAAACTCAATCTTTTCGTCGTCGTCGTCTTCGTCATCGTTGCCGCCGTCGTGTCGATCATTCTTGTTGTTTTCGTTCGTGATACCACCACTAAAATCTCCTATCGTCGTCTCGCCGTATTCTGCGGAGGTTTGAATCAAATCTCCCAACATGCGTATCGTCGACAACCACTTCTCTGTATTTTTCGGTTGCAAATCAGATGAGAACTGAGCAACATATCGTGCAGCTAGTCGTGGGTGCGCAACACACGCGTCTGAGAGAACAGATAGGTGCGCATCACACTCTGCTGGACGCAATTTCACCAAGAGGCGAGATATCAAATCTCCCGCGTTGACCTGAGATGGACAAATGCCATGTCGCGGATTCACGCAGACTTCTTTCAAAAGATCCACAGCCATTTTCGCAACGGTAGTGTCCCGAAAGAAGACCGACACTTTCTTGTTTTCATCTTTTTCAGCATTTGTGACACCATCGCTAAAAGCAGCCATCGTCGCCAACTGCTCCAAAAGCACATCCGTGAACGTCGCGAGCTTGATTTTCAACGGCGTCTGAATCGCGCTCACGTTTATATTCAATACGCTCTGCGAAAGAACAGACAGAAACCGACACTGCGTCTCCGAGTCGTCTTTCGCCACATTTCTTACGAACAAATACATGACGTTACGATTCGTTGCCGCCGAGCGCACGACGCTTTCGTAGTTCGATTCTAAAAATGCGAGATAAAACTGCGCAAACGCGAATCTGTTTGACGCCTTTTCAATGTTCTTCCTGGACGCTTTCGCAGCTTGGTTTATCTTCGCTCGCTCTTCCCGGAACAACGAAATGTGCGCATTCCTTTTATCATTAGCGTTCCCGTTGGTGTTGTCTTTGATGTTGTTGTTGCTGCTGATGTCGTCGTCGGCATCCTCTTCGTCGTCGGAATCTTCATTCTTGTTCTTCTTTTTCTTTTTCCTACTGCTACTATTATTATCGATTCTCGGCGTCGCAACTTTTTGTAAAATCTGCAACGTCCAATCAAACTGCCTAAACGTCTCCTCGGCTAAACTTCCATCGTCGTCGCGTTGGACAATCGCGGTGAATACGTCAAAAGCGGCTACAATCCGAACCCGAACCCCGGACGCGATGTGCGAATACATCTGCCGCATCCGTCTGGCGATGATATTTCTCGCCAAGCCGTCCAAAGCCAACCGACTTACGCTGGTCGACGCCGTCGATGCTCCCGCCGCACTTTGCCTTCTCTCTCTCTTCTTCTCCTCGTTATCATCATCATCATCATCACGAGTGGTGGTGTTCTTTTCTTCTTCATCATCATCATCTTCTTCTTCTTCTTCTTCTTCTTCATCTTTCACTCGCAAAATCGTCGCGATGAACAGCAGTAACGGTACGCCCACTTTCTGCGCGTTGTTCAAATGGTGCGCGTCCCATATTTCCAATAAAGACTGGAAGCTTTGCGCTTGTTGCAAATACACCTGTTTCGGTAATAACGATGACGACGCGATGATAACGCGAACATCAGAGAGGAGGAGTACGGTGAGCAAAAGAAAGAAGAAAGGAGAGAGAGAGAGAGAGAGAGAGAGAGAGAGAGAGAGAGAGAGAGAGAGAGAGAGAGAGAGAGAGAGAGAGAGAGAGAGAGGAAAAACAAAGCCGCCACGGACGACACAAACACATCGTTAAAAGAGAAACGAACGCACTCGTAAACACTCCTTCGGCGAGACTTCTTTTTTCCTCGAGAAAAGAGCGCGCAAACTTCTCAAACAGTTCGAAATCGTCGTCGTCGTCGTCTCCTCCTCCTTCTCGTCGGAAGAAGAAGAAGAGGACACCAGCAGTCCTAATTTCTCGCAGTTCCGTCGAACCGCTTTTAAGTGCTCATGCTCGTCCTCGATTTCCATCTTCTCGTGTGAAAAAAAATGACGAACGAAAAATTTAAAAGCAGAAAAAAAACCAAAGCAGCTGCAAAGGAAAAAAAAGAAAAAAAAAGGAAAAAATCTGGTCTGTCTCATTTTTGCTCCATCTTGTTGTCTCTTCTGTGTATTTTATCCACTCTTTTCTCACGCATCACACGCTGAGAGAATACACCACTACAGAGTACACAGAGAATAATAAGAAGAAGAAGAAGAAGAGCGCGAAAATGACGACGACGACGAGTTTTGGTGGTGCTTTGACGACGGCGACGGCGACGACGACGACAACGACGAGGAGCTTTAACAACAACGACGGGAGAAGATGGAGAAGCGAAACGACGACGATGATGACAAAAAGAGGAAGAAGAAAGAGCGCGCTGGGATTTAAGAAGAAAAAAAACGACCGCGCTTCTTCGATCGTCATCAGAGCGGACGCGTTTAACAACTTATCGGCGACGTTAGACGAAGCGTGGGCGAAAATGAAAGGGGTGGCGGATTTGTCGCCGGAAAATATCAAAGCGCCTTTGAAAGACGTGAGGAGAGCTTTGTTAGAAGCGGACGTGAGTTTACCGGTGGTGAGGAGATTTATCAAAAAAGTGGAGGAGAGAGCGCCGGGGGTGAAAGTTACGAAAGGCGTGGAACCGAGCCAGGAGTTGGTAAAGTTAGTCGCGGACGAGTTGTGCACTTTGATGGGCGGCGTCGGCGCGGATGGGATTAACTTTCGCGAGGAAGGGAACGGGCCGACGGTTATTTTAATGGCTGGTTTACAAGGCGTCGGGAAGACGACGGCGTGCGGGAAATTGGCGCTGAGTTTGAAGAAACAGAATAAGACGTGTTTATTAGTAGCGACGGATGTGTACAGGCCGGCGGCGATTGACCAGCTGAAAAAATTAGGGAGCGATTTGAACGTGCCGGTGTACGACGAAGGCGCGAACGCGTCGCCGCCGTCGATTGCCGCGAACGGTGTAGCAGAGGCGAAAAAGAGAGGCGATATCGACGTGGTCATCGTCGATACCGCGGGGAGACTGAACATCGACGAGGCGTTAATGAACGAGTTGATTGCGACGAAAATGAGCACGCAAGCGGACGAGACGTTGTTGGTGGTGGACGCGATGACTGGTCAAGAAGCGGCGACGTTGACGAAATCGTTCGCGGATGCCATCGATATTACCGGCGCGATTTTAACCAAATTGGACGGGGATACCAGAGGTGGCGCAGCGCTGTCGGTGAGAGAAGTCAGTGGGAAACCTATTAAGTTTACCGGAGTTGGTGAGAAAATGGACGCGTTAGACCCGTTCTACCCGGAAAGAATGACGAGCAGAATCTTAGGTATGGGCGACGTGGTATCGTTCGTAGAAAAAGCGCAAGAAGCGGTGAAACAAGCGGACGCGGAACAAATGAAGGAGAAAATTATGAAAGCGACGTTTGATTTCGATGACTTTTTGAAGAACATGGACATGATGGGTGACATGGGATCGATGTCGCAACTCATGAAGATGATTCCAGGCGCGAATAAGTTATCGGATAAAGACATGCAAGAGGCGGAGAAGTCATTTAAAATCGCGAAATCGTTGATCATGTCCATGACGCCGGAAGAGAGAAAGTATCCGGACATGTTAGTCGCCTCGAGTACGGCGGAAAGTAGAAGAAACAGAATCGTGAAAGGGGCGGGAAAAACGGAAGAAGATTTGGCCGAGTTGATTGTTATGTTTGGCGGCATGCGAGTGAAGATGCAGCAAATGTCTGCGGCCATGGGTTCAGAAGCCGCCAAGTTGGGTTTGCAACCGCAATTGAGTTCGGACGAGATGACGAAATTAGCGAGCGAGAAGGTCAGAAAACGCATCAAGCCCGGACACGTGAGAAGGAACAAAGCTAAGAAAGTTCCAAAGAGTCTCGTGGAAAGAGAGAAAATGCTCGCAGACGTTTTGAATGATGGTGAATAAATAAATTAAAGCCTCTACAATCATGGAGTATATACAGCAATTGACTTCTTCTTTTTCTCATCTCTTTCTCTCTCTCAACTCTTATTTAAACGCAACATTGCGCGCGAGCGAGCGAGGCGAAACACGAATACTATAGATTACCTCCTCCTCCTCCTCCTTCCTCTAAACGATAAATCTCCACAACGAATTGTGTCTCGGCGGTATTCTATAATGCGCGGCTAAAAACATCTCTTGCACAGACTTCCACAAATAGCTCGTGCAGAACTGAACTAACCACGCGTCTGGACCGACCAAAATTCTCGCACCCGGCGTTCGCCACGGTCTGGCTGCTTTGCACACCGCGTAGGCCACTTTCATGGGATTTGACCCGTTCTTCTCGTCCGAGCGCATGATGTTCACCGCTCTCTTCGCGACTTCGTCGGTTTCAATTTCCGGCGCATGTTCGCATTCCATGCCCGGTTGTAAGTCCCCAGGTTCAATTAAGCACGCGCGAATGCCATCACATTTGGATTCCATTCGCAAGGCGTCCGTGTACACTTCTACGGCGGCTTTTGAGCTCGAATACGCGCTTTGGTACGGAATGCCGATTCTTCCCGCGATGGATCCGACGTTAACGATGGTTGCGTTTTGGTGTTTCGGAATAGCTTCCGGGTAAAACGCGGCAACGACGCGCAGCACGCCGAAGTAGTTCGTTTCAAGAACTTTCTTGGCCATATCGACGGGAGTATTCATCGCTAACGATGCCGCGCTAATCCCCGCGTTGTTGACCAAGATTCTCAAACTTCCTTTCCCGTGCCTGGCGACGATGGCATCTCGAACCGCGTTCACCGAATCGTCATCGGTCACGTCCATTCGCAACAACGGCGGGACTTCGTCGATATTCGAACAACACAAAGGTACGTTCACTAAAGACGTCGATGCGACGTTTTTTGAGTTTGGTGACATCATGTCAAACATTGATTGCAACGCGTTGCCGGCTTTGAAATCCACCGACCCGGATCGCGACGTACCGTAGACGATATAGTCCGGGTACTTCTTACGCATTTGACTGAGAATTTTCGAGCCGACGTTCCCGGAGGCACCCGTCACTAACGCCACGTTGACTTCAATCGGTCCTTTCGCGCGTTTCTTCTTCTCCTTTTTGTTGTTGTTGTTGTTTGTGGGAGAATTCGGTTTATTCTTATTCGTCCTCGCGGTTCCAAAGACGAACGCAGACAAAAACCACCATCCGACGAAAAACAACACGCACAAGCCAATTTTCACCTCTAGCGAATACATTTTGACGAACGTATCGATTTTCTTTAGCATTTTCGGATCGACGTACGTTTTCGCCATCTTTCTCGCGTATTTCCGCGTCCACGCCGTGTACGTCGGCACTTTTTTCAACGCCTTCGCGACCCCGTCGATATATTCCTCCGGAACGACTTCATACTTCACCGATAAAAACGCGGCCAAAACGAACGCCACGAGTGCTTTCAAACCACTCTTTTCCTCTCGGCTTCTCGCGTGACTCATCGCGTACAAACTCAAATAGCAAATCAAAATCGTCGTCGCGCACCTGAACAAAAACTCTGTATCTAAACTCGTCCACATTTCGCTCGTTTTTTTGCTCACAAAACTCACTGTTTTCTCCTTTGCCTCCTTCGCCACTTGGATCGTTTTCTTCCCACTTTCGCACGCGTAGATCTTCACCACTTTCGCGTACCGTCGAATGCGTTTCGATCTTAAAACTCTCCGTCCCATTCTCTTCATTCTCAGATAATTCATTCTCAAATTCGATTTCAGAAATACCGTCGCCTTCTTCGCTCGAGAGAAAATGAGCTTTTTCATTCGCTTCGTTTTTATTCCTTTTTTCTTCATTTTAGTCAAAAAAGAGGACAACTTACTCGATGATGATGATGCGCTTCTTCTTTTCATATTCTTTGTCTTCTTCTTTGTCTTCTTCTTCGTTATATGTTATCAAAAGCAGAGAATCAGAGATACACGTATTTAAAGTGGTGTTCGCTTTTTTGAATTTTTCTATTCCCCCCCCCTCTCACTCTTGCCTCTTTTTCATGGATGGTTGTCAAAATGGTTGTTGGAAATTTCAAAAATCAAACCAAAACATTTTCAAAAATGCCAGAAAAGCTTCATTTTCTGCTTTGGCACTTTTTCGTGCTTCAAAGAGAAACAACAAAACAAAGATGGAGAGAGGAGGACCACCAACCGGCGGAGGGAGCTCAACAGTAGCCTTCTCCGCCTCTCTCGCGGCACTTCCCTTGAAATATCTGTTCAAAACGCTCGGGTGCTGCGCGAAAATCTCCCCGGAAGTGCTCATCGAAGCGCATCCTTCGAGCGGGTTACGCATCAAAGCGGTGAATCAAAATCACTCGGCGTTTTTGAGTTGCATTTTAAGGACGAACGCGTTTGATGGGTACGAGTGTTGCGCCGTTGAAAAAGCGGCGGATAAAAACGACGACGACGATTTTGTTGTGACGGGAGTGCAGACGGCGCTGTTGGCGAAGCACGTTTTGGGGTGCCTGCGATCGAATCGAGTCGATCGCGTGAGAATAAAAATGAAAGAAAGTAACGGAGAAAAAGTTGAGATTGTGTGCACGGGCGGACAAGGAGGACAAGGAGGACAAGGAGGACAAGGAGGACAACTTCAAAAGACGTATAACATTTACGCGATACAGGACGCGGAACACTTAGCGGCAGAGGTGGATAGCGATTCCATGCTCGTTCAAATCGTGTTTAAAGCGAGAAGTTTAGGTAAGTTTTTAGGAAGTCACTTCAACGTCGGGACGCAACAAGACGCGACGTTTACGTTTTACAACGGCGAGTGGGAAGGTGACGGATCGGACGCGACAGGGACGGGAACGACGACGCCAGGGAGCGCGGCCGCCGCGGGTGGAGTCGTCAACGCTTTCAGTAGCAAGCAGTCTCGAGGTGGGAGCTTCTCCAAGCAACAGCACAAGGCGAAGAAGTGCGTGGAGATATCTTCGTACGTGGATAAAAAAGCCGAACAGAATATAGCCGGCGGACCGTTTCAACAGTTGCAAACGACGGTACATTTGGACGCAAACGAGCAAGCGATTTTGAGGTACGAGAATCGACAGTACGATAAAGAGTTCGTAAAAGTGACGATTAATTTGAAAGATACTTTAGCGATGGTGAAATTGTGCGAGTCAATCGAACAAGACGTGTTGATGTCGTGCGATAAAGACGGCGATCCGGTATCGTTGAGACCGACGAGGGAGTTTGCCGGAGGGCATTACGCCTCGTCGGAACAACAAATGCACGGCGGCGAGAATCCGAGAGCAGGCATACCGCACTTTGATTTCGACGCGGAGATGGTGTTGGCGGCGATGTTACCGGATGAAGAAGAAGAAGAAGAGGATGATGAAGAAGAGAAACGAAAAGAAGAAGAAGCGAGAAGAAAAGACGACGAGGCGGCTGGGAGGATGACGATCAACTATAATAACGTCCCTCCGCAAACGCCCGGGTCATCGGTTGTGCCGCCTTCGCAAACGACCGAAGGCGGTTCTGTTCGACCACCGTTTGGTTCACCGAGCGAGAATAAAAGCAACAAAAACAAAATCGTCTGGGATGGCGACGACGACGAAGAAGAAGAAGTCACCGCCACGCCAGCCGAGGAGATGTCGAAAAGACACAAGTCTTCTTGATGAGAGATTAAGATTAAATTTTAGGACGCATGCACGCATAGATACATACTAGAACACGTAGAAAAAACCGTAATAATATACACGCGCAACATATACATACAATACAAGTAAGTTAAATAACAACTTTGCCACTGCTTTTGTGCAGGCGTCGTGGGCAGAAAACAAAACTTTGAATTCATTTTTTCACACATTTATCAGTCGTCGCGGATTTGCCGGCGGCACATTTTTCCGCGTCTCACTTCACACCGTTATGAAAATAGAAGACACGTTTCCTCTTCCTTCTTCTTCTTCTTCTTCTTCTTCTTCTTCTGCTTAAGCATTCGAACTACCAACGTTCCTCGTAGGAGTACCTCTCAACTCCCTATACCTTCGTTTCAACTTCACCCACGCGCCGCTGCTCATCAACACGCCTAGTAAAAGCAAAGCGAAGCCAACCGTCGTGGCAATTTGACACGTCCAACCGACCAACGATAAACACCTAAAGTCGTGATGATAGCACTTCTCGTCGCTACGATACATAGAACTCCACTTTCCAATCATTTCGCCGTCTTGCAAAACGTGTCGCACGTTATCCAACATGATCAAAGGAATCGAACAAAACACCAAGAAAACCGGTCGTTTTGAAGTCGTTTTGTTGCTCCCGCCACCATTACCATTACCACCACCTTTGATTGCGTTTCGGTTTTGGTGCCAAACGAGTTGGAACACGTTCGTCGTCACCGCTAAATTGATGCCGAAACTGATCGAATGCGCCATTTGCTTCGACGCTTGCGTCGCGACCGTCCCTACCATCCCAGCCACGAGTAAAGGCCAACATCACGACCCGATAATCGCCGGGAAGGAAAACAGAATCGTCAAAACAACCGTCGCGAGATTTCCTTTTCCTCCCGAGGAAGAAGAATTAAAAGGAGGTTGCTCATTCGAGACTAAAAAAGATGAATTTCGCATATTCGTCGTCGTCGTTTGTGCCGGTGGTGGTCACGCCTCGCAGTCGTCAATCTCTCCCGTCTCTTCTTTGTCTTCTTCTTCTGAATCGACTTCCTCGGAAAGAAGAAGAGGATCTAAAGCGCCACCCCTCTCTTCGTCCTCTTCTCTCATCATTTTCTTTTTTCTGTAAACGCTTTTTCTGTCGTTTTCTCGAAAAAATATGTATCCATAAAAAGTTGGACGACAAGGGAGGAGACCGAACAACAAAGATTTAGAGAAAAAAATTCAAAAATGAAAAAAAAATGAAAACGTTCCGTCTCGGACCAGAAACCATCACATTTTCTCACCACGCTTTTCTCTTCGCGAAAGAATCATCATCCCATCACAGAAAGGAGGCAGAAGAGAGAGAAAGACGACGAAAATGGGGACGACTTCTTTTGCCCCGCGCGAACAGGATGCAATTCTTCCGGACGCGTCTGGATTCGTTCGGTTTTACGAGACAACTTTTACGAACGTCTTCTCGAAGAAGAATGATGATGACGACAAAAAAGAAAGCGAAGAAGAAGAAAAACAACATCATTCGCTGCGATTCTTCAACCGTTCGAAACACGAAGGATGGTCGGTGTGCGCCGACGACGCGTTCTACGTCGCTCGGAGGTTTTATAAAACGACCACGGTGGTGAAGTATCTCAAAGACGCGGGGGGGAACTCGCAGTTTATTTTACCGTCCGTGAATATCAATCAAAACTTATTCGAAACGATTTGTCGAGACGTTTTGTTACACACGAGAGAGAGGACGGTGGAAGTGTACGAAAGCGAACCGAATAGTAGAGGGGATTTTAAGTTGACGAAACGCGGGAGTCCTGGGAACGTTTTGGATTTCGAAGATATCTTGTTCGACGGGAGCAAAGAGAACGATTTGAATAATAATAATAACAAGAACAACGCAAACGCGGATACGGATTCGTTACCGATCGTTTGCGCGGTGAAGTGCGTTTTGAAACAAGAGCAAAGACGCATCGGTTTAGCGTTTTTCGAGTACTCGACGAGGACGTTGCGAGCGTTGGAGTTTTCGGACGAGGAGAGGTTAGGGCAGTTGGAGTCTATTTTGGCGCAGATTAACGCCCGAGAGGTGATTGTGCCGAACGAAATTGATAAAGCGAGCGGAGGGGCGATGACGGCGGACGCGAAGAGAATCGCGGACGTGATCGATAGGTGCGACGCCATGCGAACGGCAAAAGCGAACAGCGAATATTTTCGAACGGACGACGTCGAGGACGATTTGAAGAGACTGCTAAAAAGTGGCGATAACGTGCAAGCGCACAGAAACGTTTTGGACTTGCCGCTGGCCGTGCAGTGTTTGCACGCGGTGATGAAATTCGCGGATATCGGTAACGACGCGCAAAACCACGGAAGGTGCGAGTTAGAGTTGTTTGACAGCGGAGCTCACGTGCGATTGGACGCGGCGGCGTTGAAAGCGTTGAACGTGTTGCCGAGCAGCGGTGGCGGCGGGGACAGATCGTTCGGGGAAACCGCCGGGAAAGGGAGCGGCGGAGGATTCTCCTTGTACAACTTGCTCAATCGATGCACGTCGCCGATGGGGAAGAGAGTGTTGTATCGATGGTTGAAACAACCGTTAGTTTCCGTGGAGAAGATTTCGGAAAGGCACGACGTCGTGGAGACGTTTTCTGAGGAAAGCGCTTTGAGAGACTCGTTGCGTAACGCGCACTTGAAGTCGTTACCAGACGTCGAGCGCTTGGCGAGGAAATTGGAGAAGAAGAAAACGACGCTGATGGATTTGTGTAAATTATACCAAGCTTCGAGCGCGATTCCGCACGCGATCGATTGTTTAGAGCGCATTCCTTTTTCCGACGAGACGAGGAAAGCGTTATTCATCTCAAAATACATCTCGCCGTTGAAAGAGTGCGTGGAAGAGGAAAAGTTGGGCAAATTTGAAGCTTTGATTGAGCACGCGGTGGATTTGAACAAGATCCCAGACGAGTACGTCATCTCCGCCGAGTTTGACGACACGTTGGCTCTCTTAGAGCAGCAAAAGATATCCACGGAGGAGGAAATCAACGTCGTGTGGCAAGAAGCCGCGGAAGATTTGACGATGGAAAGAGACAAGCAGTTAAAATTGGAAAAGAACAACCAACACGGGTACTTTTTTCGTCTGACGAAGAAGGACGAAACCGCGGCGCGATCAAAGTTATCGAAATCCGCGCAGTTCCAAATCTTAGAGGCAAAAAAAGACGGCTCTAAGTTTACGAATAAAAAATTGCGCGCGTTGAGTCAAAAGAGGTTAGAAATCGATCGAACGTACGAGGCGAAGCAGAAACATTTGGTCCAACGCGTCTTGGACGTGGCGGTTTCTTTCGTCGATATTTTTTTGAAAGCGTCGTCGGTGATGGCCGAGTTGGACGTCTTGTGCGCGTTCGCCGAGGTTGCGCAAAACGCTCCGACGCCGTACGTGAGACCGCAAATGACCAACGCGGACGAAAAAGAACTCGTGTTGCTCGATTCGAGACACCCGCTCGTGGAGGTGCAAGAATCCTGCGGCGAGTTTGTGCAAAACTCGTGCAAAATGATCAAAGGCGAGAGTTGGTTTCAAATTATCACCGGTCCGAACATGGGCGGTAAGTCTACGTTTATTCGCCAAGTCGGTGTGAACGTTTTATTGGCGCAAGTCGGGTCATTCGTTCCGTGTTCAAAAGCAATCATTCCAGTTCGGGATGCGATTTTCTGCCGCATTGGCGCCGGAGATTTTCAATTACGCGGCGTTTCCACGTTCATGGCGGAAATGCTTGAATCCGCGTCCATTTTACGTTCGGCCACGGAAAAGTCGTTGGTTATCATCGATGAGTTAGGTCGCGGCACGTCCACGTACGACGGGTTCGGTTTAGCCTGGGGCATCGCCGAGCACTTGGCGAACGAAGTCAAAGCGCCGTGTTTGTTCGCCACGCACTTCCACGAGTTGACGGAATTAAAAGGCGAAACTGGCGTTAAGAATTTTCACGTTTCCGCGAAAATCGACGTCGCGAGTAAGAAAATTGCCATGTTGTACGCTTTAGAGGAAGGCGCGTGCGACCAATCCTTTGGCATTCACTGCGCCGAGTTTTCCGGCTTCCCGGCTGAGGCGTTGGAAGACGCGCGCAAATGCGCCGAAGAGTTGGAAAACGGTGGTAACTCTGCTGGAAACGACGACAAAGAGAACACCACCAACAGCAATAAATCAGACGGGATCGACGATGCCGACGCCACGTACGGTCGCAAACGCGCCATGCAATTCCTGAACGATTTCAAAAACATCCCGTTACCGCAACTCGCGCCGCAAGACGTCATCGAACGCGTCAAAAAACTCAAAACGGAGTTGGAACGCGACGCGAGTAAATCGAAATGGTTACAAAACGTCTTCGAGGAAATTAATAAGAGCGCCGCTTAGACATTACGGTGAAGCAGACAAACAGACGAACAGAGAAAGAGAGAGAGACACGCGCATAATACTACTAAAACGTTGTAAAAATAGAGTACTCACACCAGAGAAACACAAAAGAACTTTTTCCAACAACACACAACATATTTTTGAAATTCGATGAATGATGATGATGGTGATGATGATGGTGATGACGACGATGATTTCCTCCCAAATTTGCGGTAGTCCTCCCAAATTGCGGTAGAAGGAAGTCACAAAAAAAAGATAATCATAAAAATGGGCAAAGGGGCAAACTCGTCTTCTAAAGTCGGCGGCAAAGTCATCGACGTCGTGAGAAAGAACGCACCATCGATGGTCGTCGACGCCGCTCCAGAAGAGAAGGAGGGAGATGGCGAAAAAATGATCGATAATAATATCATTCCGGGAAGAAAGTACACGCAAATCCGGGGGAAAACGTACGACATCACCGAGTTCGCGAAACGTCATCCCGGAGGGAGTCAACTCTTGATGCTGGCGCACGGAAGAGACGCGACGATTTTGTTCGAATCGCACCATTTGCGATCAGAAATCGTGGAGAAAGTTTTGAAGACGCTACCGACCGTAAACGTGGAAGAGAGCTGGTGTCCGGATGAAACCTTTCCGAAACCACTCGATTCGAGTTTGTATAAAAAGATACAGAAGCGAGTGAGAGAGGAAGTGGTGGAGCCGCGAGCGAGGAAAAGCGGAAGGAAAGCGAGAGGTGCGGGTGGGGTGAAATTCGACGCGTTTTGCGTCATTTTGTGCTACGCCGTGGCTTTATACATGTTTAATATGAATCCGACGGTTTTGACTGGCATGTTTTTAGGCTTCTCGGCGTATTGGAGCGGCACCGGGTTGCAACACACCGCCAACCACGGCGGGTTGACGCAATCCGGTTTTGTGAATGCCATTTGGGGGTGGTTCGGATGCGACGTGATTTTAGGGAAAAGTTCTATCGAGTGGAGATACCATCACATGGTATCGCACCATTCCTACTGTAACGAGGCGACGAGAGACCAAGACGTGTACACGTCCTTTCCTCTCATGCGATTGGATGAGAGTTTGGAGTGGAAGTGGTTTCACAAGTATCAAGCGTTTTACTCGGTCTTCGCGTGGCCGTTTTTGTATTTGGCCGCGCAAACCGGGGATTTCGTGAACGTAGTAATCACTAAGTCGAGCCCTGGAGTGGAGTATTTGGGATTAATGAAACACGAGCTGGCATTGTTTTACTTGGGAAGAGCGTTGCACTACGGGGTGAAATTCGCGTTGCCGATGTATAACTTTGGCATCAAGGCGTGCATTTTACCACTCGTCGCGTATTCCACGTTTGGGTCGTTCATTTTGTGTTGGTTTTTCATCGTCTCGCATAACTTGGACGGTTTAACGCCGGCAGCATTGCCGAAGAGAGCGCAAAACGATTGGGCTGAGTGGCAAATCCGCACGAGCGCGAGTTGGGGGGAATCGTTCTGGTCGTTCTTATCCGGCGGGTTGAACTTACAAATCGAACATCATTTGTTCCCAGGGATGGCACATAACTTGTACCCGAAGTTAGTGCCGATTGTGAAAGAAGAGTGCGAGAAAGCCGGCGTGCCGTACCATGGTCACCCGGGTATCTTTGGTTTGTTTCCGATAACCGTGAAGATGTTCAAGTTTTTACACAAGATGGGACAAAAACCAATTGCCACGAGAAGATCTAGTCGCGCAAGCAGTGCGAAAAAGGCGCTCTAATAATCTATTATATACTAATATGCTACGTGTTATGTGTTGTTGTTTGTCATTAATAAACCTATATCTATCCGTTTCGTCCATCATACACTTCGCCCGCCGCGGCCGACACCGCCACGTTCGCTCTCACGAAATCACCTTCCGCTAACGCCGCCTCGCTGTGTAAATATTTAGCGGCAACTCTCGAACCTTCCACTTTCCCTCGCGACCGTTTCAACATCGCGTCCTCTGCTATAACTAACGCCTCTTTCGTGTTGGCGACTTTAGGCGGCGTGCCGTTGGTGCGTTCACCGGGTAAGAGAAATTTAGGCGCTCTGGAAAGCGCTCGGGCAAGATTCAAGGCGTCCACTAACGCCTGGTTCGCGCCTTGCCCTTTAAAAGGCGACATGGGGTGCGCCGCATCTCCCAGAAGCGTAGTGAATACATCCACATTCGACGCCTCCTTATCCGACGTATCTTTCTTTCTACCATTCCGAAACACGATTTCGTCTTCTATGAGCATATCAAACGCCGGGTACCCGGACATGTTCTCGCTCCTCGTCGATTTCAACAACGTGTGGGCGGGTTCGCACCAACTTTCGCACCGCTTTCGAGACTCTTCCAATAATTTTTTGCGATCTTTTGAAAGCTCCACGGCTTCGTCGTACTCGCACGGGAACGAAAGTTGCCACATCATCGCGTGGGGGATGTTCGTGTACGTCGGGTCGACGTCATTTTTGTAGCCCAGTATATCTTCCGCAATCTCGTTCGTTGAAAATGGCATACAAAACAAACGGTTGTGCCCGTCGAGAATCTGGAACGCTTTGTTTTTACACAACTCGTGGTCCATGCCGTGGCAAATGCCGAGGACGACGAGGCAATCGAGGTAGTTCAACCCCTCGTGAATGGCGTCGAGGTTGTCAAACTTGTGCGCGCGAACGCGACTGAACAAACCGTCCGCGCCGACAACGCAATCGGAGAGTATTTTTTCACCGTTTGTGAACGTCACTTCTACGCGAGGGTCGTCGTTGTTTTCCCCGTCTTCTGATATCGTCTTGGCACTATCAAACTTCATCCCCCAACGAATGTTCTCCGGATTCACCGCATCCAACAGCATTTTTCGTAACTCCTGTCTCGGAATGTGCACGTTCCTCAACGAGTGCGCCACGCTCGGTAAGTGTTTACTATTGCTATTTGCAGCGCTCGCATCATTCGCCGTTCGTTCTTTCCTTTTCTCGACCGAGTGCCCGTACTCTCCCAACACCTTCCCGTTACTGTGCAACGCCACGTTCGCATCGGATCCAACTCCGTTCAACTCCAATCCTAACTGCTTCAACGCGGACGCCCCCGAGTACCTCTGCATGGTTAACCCGTACCCTTGCCTCCTCGCTTTGAACTCTTCGTCTTTCTCGAATATCGTAAACCGAATGCCTCGGTGCTGCAACGCGACGCCCAACGCCATCCCGCCGATGCCGCCGCCAATGATGGACACGTGACCTTGGCTTTGCGCGCTTGAATACTTGAGAGCGCTCTCGTCGCTCGCGTCGTCGTCGTTTACATCCACCAACCCGGTCCCTTGACAATCCGCACACGTCGCCCGTTTCTCTCCCATTCCTTTCTTCTTCTGTTTCTTTTTCTTATTTTCTACACCATCGCCTCTTTCCTTCACTTTGTCGTCTTCTGAATCGTCACCATCCCTGTTGCGATGGTACGAGTTTGGATACATCTCTCGTTTCTCTTGCCTCTTCTTCTCCTGCCGTTGCCTTCGGGATTGCGAAATCAAAACGCCCTCGCCTCGGCATTTTGAGCACGCGAACAACATCAGATTACCACCACCGAGAGGAGAACAATTGTTGTTGTTGTTATTCGACGCGTTCGCTCCCATATCGTTCTTATTAATGTTGTTGTTGTTGTTGTTGTTGTTGTTGTTGTTGTTGTTGTTGTCGTTCGTCGTCGTCTGTTTCGCCGCCACGGGGAGCTTCGTTGAAAACGAACGCCTAATCCTCCTCTTACTCTCAGGCCTTGTCAAAGCAGTGAAAGAAGTAAAAGTGAGAGAAAAAGAACTACAAGAGAGTTTTTGTAGTCGTAGTATCGCGCTGAAACTGCTTCGTTGTCGTGACAAACAAGCAGTTGAAGAGGAAACGCACGCGTTCATGTGCGTGCGTTGGATAAATGAAGAATCAGATTTCCCCTAACAAAACTCTTCATTTACTCACGCGCAGATGATGAAGAAAAGATGATGAAGGAAAAGAAGAAGACGACGAAGAAGAAGTCGCGGGGCTTGTGTTATTGGTATTATTAAGAAGGATACACGGAGAGAGAAAAAGATGATGAAGAAGAAAGCGAGAGCGAGCGTGCAGAAATCTTCTTCTTCGGCAACATCATCATCGGCGACGTTTACGACGACTCAGACGACGAGTTCTGAGAAAAATTTTCGACAAATAATAGCATCAAACGCGACGAATACTAAAATATCGACTGGATGTGTGTTCTTGTTGACTCTTTTGATCGTTTCCGCGGTGTTTATGACCGAGAATACTCAGTCGTATTCCGAGAACGAAAATCGAACACCAAGAGCTGCTTTTGGTCTGAACGAAGACAAAGAAGAGTATTTTGATCCGGAGACGTTCACTTTACCGGTGTACTTACCACCGTCTCCCACGGCACCGAATGCACCTCCAGCACCGAAAATTGCGCAGAGCAAACACGACTGGTCGCGAGAGCAATACGACGTCGCGAAAGAGATGAACGACGGCGAGTCGCTGAGAGCGATTAGCGGTCAAATTTTCGGCGGTTTAGATTACGAGGTGCCGTTTACTCAGAAACCGCCGAAAGCGACGCAAACGTTTTCGCCGTGCGCGGCGTTGTACGCTGGCGCGCAGTGCGTGGAAAAGAACACTTTGCCAAAATGCGTGAAGACGATGAACGCGTTGCCGTTTAAGAGTGACGCGTGGATGTCGCTCCACACGGGAGGGAGAAACGGGAACGAAGGAGATTTAGCCGGGAAAGCGCAGTCGTTGCACGGACTGTTTGCGAATGGAGCAGAGTTTGGGGAAATTAAGAGGGAAGTTGATGCGACGTACGGTGGGTTTCCCAGCGCAGACTGGTTGAATAACACGCGAAAATCGCCCGGGAAGTACGCGTTGGCAAACGCGTGCGCGTTGGTCCACAGCGACGGGAAATTGAAAGGAAGCGGTTTGGGACACAGGATAGATAAACACCATCTCGTGATTCGTTTGAACGACGCGCCGGTGAGAGGTCACGAAGAAGACGTTGGGAGTTTCACCTCTGCTCGATTTTTAGGCGAAAAGTATTTTCGAAGAAACGATCGGGACGATAAAAATTTAGAGCGAGCGGCGAGGGAGTTTCCCGACGAGAGTTTAGTCGCCTTGCACTGGTGTAAAACGAAACAAGAGGCATTGCACGGCAAAGCGAATCACGAGAGTCATTGCAGGAAAGAGAGCGTATTCAAAGCGGCAAAGATGAAAGCCCATCTGTTCAATCCGAAATTTGTCGACGCGGTATCCACGAGCTTAGAGCTGAAAGAAGACGAATCGCCGTCGGATTTCTTCATCGCTTTGTTGGCGTTGACGCACGTGTGCGCACGAGTGCACGTGTACGGATACAACTTGTACGATAAAAGAGATTTGATCAAAACGAAGCACACGAGTTATTTAGGAGAGATGAATGGGAAGTATCACTTGCCGCGACGGTACGGAAACGTTCCAAATGCAAAGAGAGGGGTCACGAAGAAACCGTCGTTTGAGAAGGAATCGCCGAATGGTTATTTTTACGCAAAGTTCAACAGAATCGCTCCGGACCAAGTGACGATTGAAGCGAGTGGATTACACAAACCTGGACTGATGGGCTCCGGTGCTTCCTTTGCGGGATACTCTCTTGGTGAGTATAAAGACCGAAAAATGACCGCAGCAAAGAAAGGTTTGCGTCGTAAACTGTTATCGAAGTCGCATCTGCGGGCGGAATCTCCCGAGGAAGTGGAAGATAAAGAACAGTTTTGCGTTCGCGCGTTGCACCACGCGGGTGTCGTCGCGGCAGTTGAAGCGAGCGGGAGAGAAGGTGGGGGACTCTACCACGCCCGAGAAAGTCTCACGCGATCTAAGATAGACATGCCTTCGCACCCTTCGCAAAAATACACGACAGGTAGGAAGAAACACGGATGATGAATTAGCTTTTTGAATGATGTAAAAATTGTATAGTCATAGCTTTTAGTTTTTACCGCTCAAGACATCCAGTAGCTTCTTCTTATCGATCAACTTCCCGTGTCTCAAGCTCACCATGAACTGTTTCTTCTCCCTCTTCTCTTCGTCTAAGTACACGTCTAGTGGTAAAAATGTCGCTTCAGCTACTTCACCGTACGAACTCTCCGGCACGTTCCGCAATGGCGCTTTAACCGCCTCGGGATATTTCACCACCGTTTCGATTCGATTCCCCCAAAAGTCCATCGAAGATATTCGCAACTTCTTCTCCGCATCGCCACTCGTACTATTACTATTAGTGTTATTATCATCATTATTATTAGTATTGCTACTGCTGTTACTATGACTACTCAACAAAGCTAATTCGCCGACGTATCGATTCGCAAACTCTTGCAAAGCGAACGAGCACCCAATCGCCCCAAATGCACTGGCGGACGCGAACACCATCTGCGTCGTCGCAGTCACGTTTTCGATATTTCCTCCATCTCCTCCTCCAAACACGAGCAAAAGAGGTGTGCTCACCGCCCCGATTGAGAATACCTGCAGCAGTTTGAATCGAACAATCGCTCGAAAGAGTTTCACGTTTGGACCTTTGTACAGGAGACGCACTTTCCCGGTAGGGGTAGGGGTTTTAATGTCGTCTCTTTCTCGAGAAGGAAAGGAGGAGGAGGAGGAGATGAAAAGAGGATTTTGGCGAGTAGTAGTGCTGGTGTTGTTTATAGGGCGGTATACGCGATTGAGGTCGCGCGACCTTCTCGCTGCGAGCGCGTAAAGCGTCTGCATTAATTTGTGACGATGTGCAAAAACAAAGAACAAACAACAACGCGAACAAATACAAATCTATAGTATTAAAACACCAAATTGATTAGAAAGTCCCGTCTTCCAAGGAACTGACGTACTCGCAGAAACTAAGAACGCTAGCATCGGCATCGTTCGTACTGGGAATTTTGTCTAATTTTGCGGGCATGATTTGCCCGTCTTTCCCAACCGGTAATTTTTTATCCGGCGCGATGCCTACTTTGTTGATATCTGTGCCTAAAGGCGTTTGGTACTTCGCCACGGTGACGTTTACGGCGGACCCGTCGCTCAGAGGGACGATGGTTTGGATTAAACCTTTACCATACGTTGGTTCGTCGCCGAAAACGGTCGCCCGATTGTTGTCGCGCAAGGCGGCGGTTAAGACTTCCGAGGCGGACGCGGTGCCTTTGTTGACGATAACGGAGAGTTTCTTATCGTAAACATTCTCGAGGGGTTTGCCGTTGACTTCGAACGTATCGCGCACGCCTTCGGCGTCGGCGATTTGAACAATCAAACCTTTCTTCATCAACTGCGAGGCGATATCTAACGCGCCCGGGAATAAACCACCGGAGTCGTCTCGTAAATCCAAAACGAACGAGTTGGCGCCTTTTGCCGCTAAATCGCTCAACGCCTCCTTGGTTTTCGCCGCCGATAACGAGTTGAACGTTTGCAATTTAACCACCCCGATGGAATCACCACCGCTTTTCGATGTGCATAAATCCGATTTCACGGGAACGACCGCGTATTGTTTCCTCGTCACGCTCAAATTTTTCGTTTTGCCCGGCGTCGCGCTCGGTTCGATTTTCAACAAAACGTCCGAACCTTGCGGCCCTCGCAACAACTCCGCGACTTCATACAACGACAACCCAGTCACATCGGTCGCATCAATCTCCAAAATCTTATCTAACGGCTTAATTCCAGCCACGTACGCCGGCGCATCAATCGTCGGTGTCACCACTTTCACGCTCAAATCCGAATCAATCGTCAACTCCACCCCTATCCCGCTCACGTTCGCGTTCATTGTGTTCTCGCTCACCGCCGCGTATTGATCCGGTTCCAAAAATCTCGTAAAAGGATCGTCCAATTTCTTCAACATCGCTTTAATCGCCTCGTACGCGTCTTCTCTCGACGGCATTGGTGTGTTTTTCACCGTTTGCTCGCGATACTTGAACCAACTGACCCCGTTGAACGTCTTGTCCACGTACGCTTTATCCACCGCCCGCCACGCTTCCAAGAATAAGAGCTGGTTCTCCGTCACCGCGTTCGCGACTCGAACATCAGTCACGCCGAAGATGCAACAACACAGAGCCCCTGCGAAAAGAGTAGTCGCGAATGGATTCGTATTCGCATCGTCGCCTTTTTTATTCTCGTCGTCATCATTTTCAACATCATCCAAAGAAGATACAGGTGAAGAAGAAGAAGAATCCCCTATCCTCGTCCTCCTCCCTCTCGTCGTCCTCAAAATCCTCCTCCTCAAACTCGAGTTGTTCTTTTTGTTATTCTGAGTAGTATTAATATCGTGCAACGGTTTTGACCCTGAGCGCATCGTCGTCATTGTAAAAGTCGTCGTCATTATTGATGATGAGAGAAATAATGATGAATGACGACGCTTCTTTTCGTGCGATGCAGCCGTCCTCTCTCTTCTGTTGTTAAAAAAAAAGTCGCTCCTCTCGCACGATTTCACAAAGTCAACTTTTTTATTGGTTCATTCAAAAAAAAACAACAGACGACAAAAAAAGAGAAAAAAAGAGCACGCACCAAAAGAAACTGCTGACAAAATTTTCTATATATCAGAGAGAGAGAGAGAGAGAGAACGAGAAGACGAAGACGAAGAAGAGGACAAAAGATGAGTTCGACGAGATACGACCGACAAATGCGCTTATGGGGAGAAAACGGTCAGAAGTTACTCTCGTCCGCGAAAATTCTGGTCTTGGACGCCGGGGCGACGAGCGCGGAAGCGGCGAAGAATCTCATCTTGGGTGGAATCTCGCAACTGACGATGTGCGATTCGCCGAAACGGATGGTGGAAGAGAGAGACTTGGGGAATAACTTCATGACGAGTTTGAGTTTTGAAAAAGGGGACGAGGACGAGGGAGATGATGATGCGAACGATGATGCGTTGGTTTTAGAACGGACGAAGAGAATAAAAAGGGGCGACATGGTGTGCAAACACTTGAAATTGTTGAACCGAAACGTAGAGGTGAACTTTTGGGAGGAAGATCCGAGAGAGATGATTGAACGGTTTCGACGAGGCGAAGAAGACAAAGAAGAAGACAAAGAAGAACTTCGTCACCATCGATTGCAAGATTTCGATGTGATACTCGCGTCGCAGTTGGACGAACCGACGATGATTAAACTCGACGACATTTGTCAAAAGCTAGGGAAAAAGTTGTTGACGCTGCGGTCGAACGGATGTTTCGGGACGGTGAAGATATCCGGGGCGAAGACGCACTGCGTAGTCGAGGCGAAACCGGAAAATCGAAAAATGGATTTACGGTTGAGCGAGAGCGGCGTGTTTACAGAGTTAGAGGAGTTTGCGGAGAAGTTTGAGGATTTGGAGGCGATGGACGAGCAGAGGTTCGCGCACGTGCCGTGGGCGGTTTTGTTGCTCGTGGCGAAGAAAAGGTTCGACGAGAAGCAAAGGCAGACATTAGAAGACGGCGATTATGAGGCGCAGAAGCAGTTCAAGGAGTTTTTGAAATCCATGCGAAGGACGAAAACGGAGCTGAACTTTGAAGAGGCGTTGGAGAACGTGAGGATGGCGTGGCAGAAACCGGATGTGCCGGAGAACGTTTCGGAGTGTTTTGAAAAGTTGCCGAGGGAATTTCGAAGCGTTACTGAGGAAGGAGATGGAGTAGTGATGATGGACACAGAGACGACGCTATCCTCTTCGGACGTAGTATCGATAACGGACGTAGGAGCGAGCGATGTGAGCACAAAGTTGTTTTGGATCTTTGTCGCCGCGTTGGAAGAGTTTACGAAAAGGAACAAAAAGTTTCTCCCGTTGGACGCGGGCGCGTTGCCGGACATGACGTCAACGACGGATGCATTCGTCGGACTTCAAAGAGTGTACCTCGAGAAGGCACAAAAGGACCAACGCGAGATGTTGCGCATCGTTAAAGAAACGATCGTTCCCAATTTGAAGACGACGACGAGATCCAACGATAATAATAGTACCAGTGTTCGTCACGGGAGCAAAATCGTCGACGTTATCGAGAAGGACGTGGACGAAAAGCAGCTGGAAGAGTTTTGCATAAAGTTTTGCAAAAACGCGCGCGATATTCGATTCGTCTCCTTCACGTCGCTCGCAGACGAACGCGACATTTGGAGGTGGGAGAACAAACCAGAACACGAAGGCAAGAAGGCGCAAGTAGCCTCCTTCCTAGCCGTCGACAGTCCGCAACGCGTGTGCGCGTATTCCTACGCGCTTTTGCGCGCCTCGGACGCGTTCGAGGCAAAATTGTGTCGAAAAGCCGGCACATACGCGCCCGAAGAAGGCGTCGATAACGTCGTCGCCTCCTCGGGAACGGAAAAAGGCAAATCGATGCTCTTCCATCGCATGACGAGCGACTGCGCGGAACTTCGCGCGCTCGTCACCAAAAATTTAGAAGCCGCCATGTTCCAATCCTTCTCCACGTCCACTTCCCCGACGAAAATGGACGTCGTAGAAAAACCACCCTCCGATGACGCCGACGCCGTAAACGACGACGGTGGAAATGGTTCAAACAACATAAAAGCTGCCAAAGCCGAAGAGGCTGGTAAATTCTTGGAACGGCTCGCCTGGGAAGTCGTTCGCTCTCAAGGCGGCGAAATCCACGCCGTCGCCTCCGTCGTCGGCGGCGTCGCCAGTCAAGAGGCGATTAAACTCATCACCGGACAGTTCGTTCCGAGTCACGGGAGGGTGTGCGTCCACTTAGCCGACGGGAGCAGCGCCGTCCTTCCTTAGTAGTATAATAGTAGCGAGAGAGACAAAAACCACTCTGTTTGTAGTTGTTGTTCATCAGAAGAATAAATCGCCAGCAGAAAACTAAAAAACTTCATTTTTTTACGCGCAGATTAAAGTATCATGACCGAAGATGACATCGCTTTTCGCCGAAAGCGGCGGCGAAAAGGAGGAGGACACGGGACAAGAACAGTCTTTGTTTTCGTCTCTTTCCTTTCTTTTCTTCTCTTCGTCTTCCTCCTTTTTGCGTCTGCTTCTGTTCATGCGGTACACGCAAAATCCAATCCCGAAGAGAAGAAGAAAGAGTCCGACGCGGTGGACTCGAGACGACGACTGACGACTGACGACGAAAACGAAAACGGGCGACTTTTGAATAAAACAGCGAGAGAACTCGCGCGCGACGTGTACGCGAAGAGACGCGCGAGGACGAACGAGAAAAAGAAGGAAACCATCGGTCGTCGCCGGCTCGTGTTTCAACGCGACGTGGTGGCGATAGACGACCAAGGTGCCTCCTTTGCAAAGAAAAAAGAGGAACTTTTTTTTACAAGAAAGACGAAAGTCGTTCGACAAACACTAACGGAAGAAGAGGATAGAATGAAAGAAGAAGAAGAAGAAACGGTCTCGCGCGAACGATTGTTACGACGCGGAAGACGAACAGCGCCTTCAACGGCCGCCGCCGAGCAAAACGTAGAGTGGAACTTTGCGTCGTCGGCGTTTGGGAAAGAGCCGAAGGAGTACGGGGAGGAAATTTCTTCGAAACGAGCGAGGCGGAAACGTAGCGATGGAAGTGTTGGTGGGAGAATGAAGGATTACTTCAACGCCGTGAATGAAGACGCGACTGCATCGCAACAGTTTTACGTCGTTTTAGAAGAAGGCGTAACGGATACGAAGAGAGCGGAACAAATCTTGCGCAAAAACAGAGGCGGATTCGTGAAAGATTCGAATGGATTTCCAGTTATTGTTGGAGGTAAAAGCGGTGGGTACCTTGCGTTTGGACCTCCGGAAGCGGCTTTTGAGGTTTCAAAAGCTGCAGCGTGGGTCGACGCGTGGACGCCGGAACTTAGTTTAGACGCCTCGTTCGACGTCGTCGATGCAGTCATCGAGGTGGAGACGGAGAGAGCGAAGACGAGCGAAGGAACAGAAGAAGCAAAGGGAGAAACGTGGGGCAGTGAGAAGCGTCTGAAGTCACTTTTCAAGGAAATTGGCTTGGAAGCGAGGGAGAATAGAATCGGTGAGAGCGTCAATTCCTTGCGCGTCGACGTTACGCGACTAGGTAACGCCAAGGACGACAAAGTATTCGCAAAATATGCGAGCGAGGAAGTAATAGCAATCTTAATCGAAAAGGGAATCAATGTTCTAGTCGATGACGAGTCTTACGAGCTCGGACCAAACGTCACTATGGGAGCGAAACATAGCAGACGCAACGTCGTCTTTGATCCAGACGGTGGTTTTTTCAACTTGCGAAATATTCCCACGACGCAATTAGCCGACGCCGCAAGATTTATAGCCGCACTTCCATTTATAGTGCGTGTAGCACCGATGTATGCGCGAAAGACGTCGAATAGGAACGCCAAGGGTATAATCCAAGGGTCGATTTGGAAAAGCGGGATTACCACGATGGTGGCGACCCCTATTTGGAGCAAAGGCAATTTGCTCGGGGATTCAGTCATTGTTGGTGTTGGCGATACTGGAGCGGATCGAAACAGTTGCTATCTCGCGGGGAATAACAAGTTTAAACATTATATTACAGAGTATGGAAACGGAGAGGACGAAGATGGTCATGGCACGCATGTGGCTGCTTCAGTCGCGGGATACTCGACCATTGATACCGCAATTTACGACGGCATGGCAACCTCAGCCCAAATTGCATTTTTTGATCTTGCCTACACAGATGAGTTTGGAGATATTGTCATGACGGCGACGCCAAATATGGGATCTACGTATTATCAAGTTGCTTACGATGCTGGAGCGAGAATCCATTCAGATAGTTGGGGATACGACGTTTATGAGTACGAAAGTGAGACGACACAGATAGACGAATACGCTCGAAATACGCCGAAATTTCTTCCGTTTTTTGCCGCAGGTAACAGCGGTGACTACGGTTTATCTTCAGTTACGACGCCAGCGGGAGGGAAAAATATACTATCGATCGGGGCGTCGCTTACTCCAAGTTCATACATGACTGCAAACATAGCCGCCGGTACGGAATATTACAACGTAAATATTGCCAGCGATACACACTTTTCGCATTTGAAAATTATTTTACTACAAGCGGCAGATTTCGGATCGGATTGGGACAGCACGTCAAAAGCGTACGCAACTGTGGCTCGATCTGTTATCCACGCAACCCCGGAAGAGGGTTGCGCAGCTTTAAGTAACGCCGTGTACACGGATGCCATCGTGCTTGTAAAACGCGGGACGTGTTCGTTCGAACTCAAGGCGCGCAACGCATACACTGCTGGTGCAAAAGGTATACTGATTTACAATTACGAGTACGATACCAATTTACAAAACGGGTATAAAATTCACATGAGTCGAGATGAAGCTGCTTATCCTCTTGCTTTCACCTCAGCCGCGGTGGGGTTCATCACACATCGCGATGGATTGATCTTGAAGGCGTTGTCGGAGCGTTCTACTGGTATCAAAGTTACATTTTCCAGGTATACCAGGACAAATATGGATTTAGGTTTTGAAGATGTAGCCTCGTTCTCGTCTTCGGGGCCGTTTGGTTCGGATAACGATGATTTGCGAATTAAGCCAGATATTATTGCGCCGGGAGATAGTATTACATCGGCATATATCAACAGCGTGTGCGGGACGGCTACAATATCCGGAACTTCAATGGCATGCCCCATAGCAGCTGGCGGGACAGCACTTGTGCAAGAATATTTTGAGAAGGGATACTACCCAGGTGGAATTGCGGGCTCGAGTGCGAGTTATGCACCGTCTGGATCACTCATGAAAGCTATTGTCATTAACGGGGCAATGGCCATGACCGGTATCGACGAAGAATATCAAGAACCACTTGAGCAACCTCCTTCGTTCAAGCAGGGATGGGGAAGACTCAATCTCACGAATTCCCTCCACTTTGACGATATACCGGAATCCCCAAAGGCCATGTACATCCACGATAACAAGATATTGTCGGCATCAAATGATTACGAGGATGGTTTTTGTTTAGAGGTGAACCCCTACGCCGCCAAGTTCGAGCTCCGCGTGACGTTGGTTTGGGCCGACGTCGCTGATGAACGACTCGTGAACGATCTCGATTTAGAGTTACACTTTGGATCAAACTTTATAGGTATGTCCAAAATCCTTCCTCTGGATGGTTTGGAGGATCATATGAATAACGTCGAAAGAATTATTCACTCGAATCCTCAGCAAGGTAGGTATTGGATCAAAGTGAAGAAATATGGAAACTTTGGCTCTGGAAATGGGAGTATTCAAAATTATGCCGTCGTTGCTACGGGGACGTTTACGCATTTGGAAGACAGGACGTATGACAGTTGCTCTCTGGACAATCCACCGCCACCACCGTCTCCACCTCCCTCGAGTCCTCCGTCTCCACCGCCTTCCCCTCCTCCACCTCCGCCGTCACCGCCGCCGCCAAGTCCGAAGCCGTCACCTCCTCCGAGCCCACCGCCAGACTCGTCTAAACCATCACCTCCTCCGCCTCCGCCAATCGCGAAAGTTTCAGGTCGTGCGTATGCGAGCGGATATCTCTCGAAGTGTACCGTGTATCTCGATACTAATAAGAATGGCGAACGAGATTTCACGCTTGACCCGCAAACAACAACAGACGAGTTCGGTGCTTTTACGCTCTCTCCAACGGTTAGTTATTCAGTAGCATCGACGATATTGATTGCCGATACCAGCAGCACGTCATGTACAGATGCCTATACGAAACGAACGAGCGCACTTTCAATATTAAAAGCACCTCCGGGTTCGACAATGCTATCGCCACTGTCGACAATTTTGGTCGCGATGATGGCGAAAATAGGCAGTTATCCTCGGGTGTCTGCTTATGATCAAATGAAGACTGCATTTGGATGGGATAATACGCAAGTGGACCTGCTCGATAGAGATTCTTTAGCTGAAGCGCAAAATGACGTTATTGAGGAATACGTGCACGTTGCCACGACGAACGTGAATTTGGCGAATCTGATTGCTTCGACTTCGAGAATGATTTGTGGCATAAAGTCCAACACAGCTTTGTCTACGTGCGAGGCATACGCCGTCAAGGCGATCGCAGAACGTGTAATTGCGCAATATGGACGCATTGAAAGTAACAGGGCCATGAATTCTCGTCGTCGGCTGAACGAGCTTATGCGAACTGATTTGCTAGACTTCTACAACGCCGAAGTCATTGCGGATGTTGTCTCAGATGCGTTGGAAGTCGCGCAGAATGCAGGAAACGTGGAGTATGATGGATCGGAAGTTTTGCAAGGCGTTGCGACGATGGCAGCGGCAGTTGCAAATGCCGCAACGGTACTTTTAGACTTGAAAGATTCTATTGCTAGTGGATCATCGATCGATGATTTCTTAGCGAGTATCGCGGCGGTTGCTACTGTGTCACAGTCGCCCTCTTTACTTTCCGAGATTGAAGAGTTATCGCACAGTGGAGAGGCTTCGATAAGTTCTACTGGTCCTTTAGCAAGTGCAAGCTCCTCAAAGACATCGTACTACGATGCTTTTGAAACTACCAAAGCGGATATAGACTGGGATTTGACGTATAGTTTCCCTCCTCCGAATCCGTCACCGCCTCCACCGCCATCGCCTGGACCAGCACCGCTGACACTTACTGATGTTGCCAAGTCTGCGAGTCCCGCAGCTTTGGCTGGTGCGGTACTTTCCGTCGTGTTCATATTCCTTATCCTTTGCTTCAGGCGCAAAATAGCGCGATGCTGCTCACCAGAGGCCAAACGTCTGGAAAATCAAGCAAACGTAGGTGTTCCTGTTGCCGTCCATCGCACGTTACCCGGACACCGATCACGACCGGCGCCCGTAATATGGCAGCTTGATGATGAAGAAGGAGATGAACAGCAACGCGTGACGGGACAAATGCAACCGCTCTCTCCGGAAGCAACGGTAAGTCTGCGCGATCGATACGCAAGCGGTATTACCAATTCGCAGGGCGAATTTCTCAGGGCAATACCGACTCAGCCTCCTGTACGAAATGAACGAGAGGCAACGAGAGATCCAGGAATTTGGTACCCGGACGACGATGGCGACAACGAATCGCGCATGATTCCGACCATAGTCGACGCCGAAGCAGAAGTGCTTCGTCTAGAAAATTTTAGGCGCCAGTTGGCCACACAAGGACGCACCTTTCCGGGAGGAGGTGCTAACGAAAATGAAGATATCACCGTAGTTGAGCATAGATGATAATTTGTACAATAATACAAACAACGGTACTGTACGCTGATTGAACAACTTCTTTCTAAGCTAAAGCTAGAACTAAAAATATAAATACACCAAATTGACTTTTAAATTTTGACTGCGCACCAGATGCGGTAGGCATGAACTGCTCTCTTCCCGGAGACTCAGGCGGTACTGGCGGAGGCGCAGGCGGAGGCACAAGCGCTTCCACTGACGTTTGGGGTGGTAGTGGAGGCGGAGCCGGAAGCAATGGCGGAGGGGAAGGAGGCGGCGAGGGCGGCGGCAACGGTGGACTAGGAGGAGGAGAAGGAGGAGGAGAAGGAGGGGGGCAAGGAGGAGGAGAAGGAGGAGGAGGAGGAGGCGTGCACGAGGATATATCGCGCACTGCTTCAGCCGTGACGAAGCTGCCAGTGGCTACAAACGCGAAGCTTTGGTCACTAACGAGCGACGATGCGCTGATTTTCGCATAGTATAGCCCCCTTTTTGGATACGACCACACAATCTTTTCCACCGTATTTAGTGAATCGCGATATAACGGTGCAATAGTCTCAAAAGTGCCCGACATGTCTCTCGAATAGTATAGCGTGATATCGAGATCGTTGATGAGTGATCCATCCGAACCAGAAAGTGATGGTTCGTCGTACCAAGTCAGCGTCATCGATAGCGTTTCCGTGGTATCGTCTGACAGTAACATGCAAGCGCCATAGGATGCCGTTACTTCGGTGAAAATCAAACCAGAGTCATCCATCACGTAGATATTTGTCGGAGATTGCACGTTCGAGTCGATATCTTTTAGCTTCAAAGAGTTTGCCAAGTCTACGCGCCCAAAACCGGCTTTCATCGAAGGTGCCGATTCCAACGGAGTTCTATCCAAGGAATCAAAACCTTCTAATTGTCTAGCCCCATTGATCAAGACTGCCTTTAACAACATGCCGCTGACATTAGTCAACGCCTTTTCCGATATCTTCTCTCCAGAAGGGTAATATCCATCGGCAAAATATTGTCTAGTGATTGCGAGTGCGCCGGAAACCGCCGGCGCCGCGTACGATGTTCCCGCCATGAACGTCGCCACCTTGCAATGCACGACGGATGCCGTATTTGTGGTGTTCACATCTACTGATTCAATATTTTGGGCAGGTGCTACGAGTAAAGGCGCGATTCGTCCATCATCTGTAGGCCCCGCACTCGAGAAATCCGCCGCGTGCTCGTATTGATTGTCACTGGAAGCTTCTATTGTGGTAACTTTAATTGTCAACGCAGGAAACACGTCATTGGCATTCAAATCACCTTTCTCAACGAGCGCGCGTAAAAGAAGACCATCTTTCATGGGAATGAACGCAGACAAGAAAGATGATGACGTCTGATCATCTACCATTGATGCCAATCGCGCTTTTGTTTCGTTTGCATAGACGAGCGCACCATAGTATCCGGCAGTCTCTGCGTTTTTTAATCGTTCCGCGTGCGAACAAGAAACTCCGTCTGACTTGAGAAGAACAATTTGATTCGAATCAATCGCGCTTGGCAAAGCCGCGCACCCGTTCTCTGGACTCCCCACTGTGACTATACGATACAAATCAGTTGACACATACGTCTTATTAACGCTCGCCATACCACGCACGTTTGCGTGCGCCCAGTGCGCGTAACCATCCCCTAATTCTATTTTGACCGCATATGGCGACGGCGAGAGACTCGGTGATTTTACACTTCTGGTCCCACCGACAGAAATGACATTCTTTGCGTTTGCTGGTCTCGTTATACTATTGCGCGCTTTCCCCCCCACGGAGCCTGGGTTTCCCTTGTTTCCCGCGGAGAAGACGACAACATTCTCTTGATTTTCATTCAAAAACAGGTCGACTTCATATTCACTTGATTCGTACGAATATGAATTTGTTATACCCCAACTATGAGAATGCACGCGAGCAGAGAAAGTATCGCTTGGGTACCCATACAAAAGTGACCTCGAAACGTTGGATAAACTTACCAAGACTTCTGATCCGTCGGTGTCCTCGTATCCAATATCTGTAAATGCGACGCGCGCATTTTTAGCCACACCGTCGTACTGTTTGTCCCAATAGAATGAGCCAGACGACCCGAAAAACACTCCAGCGACTTTCGTGCCGTGGCCACTACCATCCACCATATTTTGACTATCGCTCAGTGAGCGCAAGTCGAGAATTTTTGAAAACGTCGTTGCGTTGGCGTTTGGCGTTTTCACGTCGCTAAAGTAGCAATTATACTTGTCTATGCCCGTATCGGTCAATGCGACGACTTGATTAGTACCTGTCAAACCGAGTTTCCACATAGGACATCGATTATAGCTCGTGAGTCCTTGACCTCCCTGTACTAAAGATTGCGTGTTATAATTGTGCGTGACGATTGGAAGCGTTTCATGCATGTACACCACCGCGTTGTGTTTCATTATATTTGAGAAAATCCTCTCGCGTTCTCCTCCTCCTACGTCTCTGGCAAAAGTACACTGGACTTTTACGCCGTTCGTATCTGACGCTCGACAATACGAAGTCGACGCGTTCCGCGAGCTCATGATATCGCTCAATTCCTCTGCCACTGACTGAGCGAACAAAAAGTTTTCCTCTCGCGCAATTGTACCTCTTGCACCGAAAAACGGTGCCGGCGCAACCATCGTCTCGAACCATTCGCACATAGTTTTTGCGCAAACGCTCTCAAACGCAAAAGAGGACGCAGTTTCTTTCGGCCATTCGTTTACGACTGAATATTGCATCGCACTCGTTCCACCAAAACGTTCCGCAACTGCAGCCGCCAAAGGCGGTCCAAACGCTAGAAATGTTTGTTCCGGTATCGGTCCCAACAAACCACCTTTAGCTTTGTTCAAAGCGATATCCAAATCCCGCCACGCGCGGGGGGTGGACAAAGCTTCTCCCACGAGCGTCACTAAGAACAAACGCGTGTCATCAATATCATCATCATCATCATTACCAGTTTCATCACCAATTTTACGACTTATCTTTCTTCTCCATCGCGGCGCACCAAAAGCAGCAGCATTCGAAGAAGATGCTCTTTTCGTTCGCGAAGCGTTCCTCCGCAATAACGCGTTTCTCGTTTCTGTGTCGCTCTCGTTTCCGTCTCTTTGCATTGTTTCGTTCAAAAACCTCTCGTATTCTTCATCCACGAGCACGTATTTCAAATCCATCGTTTGTTTCGCGAGAACATCGACCCGTTCTCCGTGCCGTAAGCGCACTCTCGGGACCGCTGTAACGAACTGCGTTGTGGAAAAGAAGAGGAGGACGACGACGAAAAGGAGCACCTTTAGAAAGAGTGCAAGTAAGGCGAGACCAGAAGTCATCCTCTTTATTTCTTTACAAAGAATGCGGTTAATACGCGCAGATTATATCATCTTCGTCATCGTTTTGTCCGTGTGTAAAGTCTCTCCGCTGTTAAATACTGACGCGAATTAGAAAGCGAATATTCTCCCTTCTATGACAAGACGAGAAACTTCAGCGAAAAGTGAAATATGGACTCACGAATCTACTTCACGCGCGTTCTGCTACAAAATACTGCTAATAAATACACTACAATCAAAGCGCGTCCGTGTACGGCGTCATTGAACCCAACGCAAAAAGCGCCACGTTCGCACTCACCCCTAACATCAATCCTAACATCAAACCGGCTTGTTCGTCGTTGCTCCCTCTTCTGGTTTCTCTGGTAGCGCGAGGCCACAAGGCTCTGGAGAAGGCGTAGGCGCACATCAAACAACTCGCAGCTTCCAATAAACCTTCTATTTTGAACAAGTTTTTCTTACCAGAAGATTCTTCCAGATGTTTGTTCAAGTCGCGCTCGGATTTGAAGACTTTCACAAACTTGGCCGCGACGACGGCGGAGAAGAAAAAGGCGAAACCTACCGAGAGGGAAGCGCGCAGCGCAAGTTCAGAAGCGTTACCGGCTTTACAGCTAAACGCGCTCAAAGCTGCTGGAGCGGTTCTCACAAGAGCACGGATGCACGCCGGAAATTCGATGTGAATGTTCTCTAATGATTCAGAGGCGGAGGCGAAGCGGACGCCATCGAGGACGGAGAGGGAAACGCACGTGATGGACACGATGAACGCCTCAAAGGCGCCGTCGATGGCATCCCACCCGTTCGCGAGGCTCGCGAGGCTACTGCTACTGTTTGTGGTTGTCGAGTTCTTCTCTGCACTCTCAGACGAGGAGAACGCGTCCAAGAAGACAAGCTTTGGGAGTCGCAACAGAATAAATCTCGCCAGCATCACGCCGACGACGGCGAATACAATCTCCACTACTCCTCCGTAATAAATAGCGCGAAGCGTGAGTAACATCGCGCGTACACCCATGACGATCAACACACCACTCGCAATCCCTAACGTTGCGCCTATTTTACCGTCCTCAAAACTACTTTTCCTACGCGCCGAGGACGATTTCAACACGTCTCCTTCAATATTGTTGTTGTTGCTGTTCATATCTATTTCATCATTTCTTCGAACCTTGTCCCTAAACAAGCGCTCGACGAGCAACATCCCTTTCTTGTTCGTAAAGCGTAACGTAAACAGCGCGAACGAGGCTATAAACGCCGGCGCAAGCGCTAAATAAAACGTACTCTTCCCGCCGCCCCCGCCGCTCCCCACGTCGTCTCCTCCTAAACCAAAATCTTTCAACGTCGGAGCTCGTAATGTCCCATCTTCGTTGTCCAGCCTTTGCATGGCCATCCGAAACCCTTCCAACGCTGCCGCACTCATCGTTGCCGCCGTTGCCACTGCTCTCGCATCCTCCGCGCCTTCAAACGCGTCCGGTAACAACTCCGCGAACACAATCCAAATCATACACCCGGCGCTAAAACCGACTCCAAACGGCATCAAGCTCGTAAACGTTTCCACGAACAAAAACGACGGCACCGCCGTTACCGTTTGCGGCAACGAACTCACGACAGACCAAAACAAACACTGCATCGGTTTCACGCCTTTACTCGCCAACACTGTCGACACCGCCAAACCTTCCGGAACGTTATGCACGCCGATGGCAAACGTCACCAAACACCCTTGCGCCCACCCGTGGACTCCTGAAAAACTCACCCCGACGCCCGACCCTTCTCCGAACGAGTGCGCGGTCATGATACCAACCACGAGTAACGTTTTCCGTGCATCCGCGCCGACTAAATTCGCAAACGACACGTCTTCGTGCGCGCGTAAAATTTTCTGCAAAAAAGCAATAAAAGTTGCCCCGCAGAACAATCCAAAAACCACCAGACCGGGACCGTGCGGTTGGCCTTCGTGAACCATATCGAAAGAAGCCGCGAGCATGACCCCACACGCGATGGCGTTCGCTAACCCGGCGTACAACGGGGAGAGTTTCTCCCCTTTCGGGAGTAAAAAGAATGGAACAGAGCCGAGACCGGTCATGGATGCCATCAGAAGCGTCAAGACGAAAACGGACGTTGGAGTGACCGCGGCGACGACATCGTCGCTGGAAAGTGCACCTTCCGCGGCAGCCCCGACCATTTTTATATCGATTTATGATGTTGATGCTGGCTTTGTCGTGCTCTCTCGCGCGTCCTGTGACTAATAATCAAGAGCTGTTCTTTAGGACCGAGAGAGAGAGTTAATTCAACGCGTGCGAGGGGTCGTTCCCCGATAATTCTGAAGCAAAAAGTTACATCAAAACAACGGCAAATTTTTGGCTCAACGACCAAAAGACGAGTCAAATCAAATGAACGCGAAGTCGTGCAATCGACGTGTATTTCAAAGTGTTGTTGTGTATTTGTTGTCATTATTATTATTACTAGTCAAAGCAGCGGCAAATGTAGCTATGTGGTATTGTTGTGTTCTTTTTTATTATACATCCGTATGCGCCGAACGCTGGGTCCCGTTTGGCGTCGTCGCGGTACCTCGTTCTCTCTGGCTTTCGTGACCGAGCGAATGGCCTCGCTTCTTCCGGGATCTCGACGGCGTCGCTTGGATTTCACATCCGCCGTACATTTTCCTCTGGAAATTGGAAAAAGCTTTCGCGATGGCTTCTTCCACGTCGTGGTCGCGAATTCTCGAGTACACTCTGACTTTGCGTTCTAAAAAGTTGGTCGGCAACAAGGAGGAGACTTTCGATCGGTCGATGTGGAAGGATTCTTCGTCGGTTAATTCTTGGAAGAATTTCACTCTCGAGACTGGATCTTTGTCTTTCATGGAGTAATCGATTTTGACGTTGTGAACGATGATCATTTCAGGTTTCAAGCCGCCCGGTATGGTGTTGCTAGTGCTATTGGATTCGTACGAAGTGGAGATATCTTCCTCCGTGACGTCTTTGAAATCGCTCAAATACTCCTCCGGGACCGTGTATTCGTTGACAAAAACGTACAAATCTCGTTTTCGTAATCGTTTAATTATATCGCGCGCTTTTTGTAACTCTGGTTCGTTCGAAAATTCGATTTGTTTCACGATCGTATCGTCCAGTTTAATAAACTCTTTCGGGTCTCGAATGGCGTGCGATATTCGACCGTTCCATCCAACGTCTGCTTCGACCATGGCGTCTACAATCATATACTCCACCGCCTTCGCTTTTTTATGCGTGTACACCACGTGGTGCATATTTGCGCGCATATCAAACAATCTGTACACGTTGTATACCTCGCTCGCTTTGAAACAAATCTCGTCGTCGATGACTTTCATGAACGAAATCAACCGGTTCATGTCCACCGAAGCGGATATGCCGGTGTTTTTCGAGTCTCGCATCAAATACTCAAACTTATCCACGTCCACGCTGTTTCTTTTATTCGCCACGATGTCGAACAAAAACTTATTCTGTTTATACCCAGAATCGTTCGAACTGATTAAATCTTTCACTTTTTGGACAATTCTAGGCGATAAGTCGACGCCGTTGTCCTCGACCAGCCACTCGAACATATCGCACGACATGTCCTCGTGACTCCACTTCTTTGCCTCGGCTTTGCCTAATCTCAGCGGTAAAAACTCGTTATCGAACACGTGCGAATACGGCCCATGGCCTAAATCGTGACACAAACCGGCTAATTGAACGCATAACTTATCCTCCGCGTCCCATTTCAACGATCGCGTCGACCTCGTCAAAGTCTCGTACACGTTGCTCGCCAAGTGCGACGTCCCCAACGAGTGTTCAAACCTATTATGCGAAGCTCCCGGAAAAACGTAATACGCCGTCCCTAACTGCTTCAACTCCCTCAGCCTTTGCATCTGCGGCGTATCGATCACGTCGCACAACTTCCCGCTAAAATACATGTGATTATGCACCGGATCGTTCACGACTTTCCCTTTATTCCTTTCCCGTGATTTCGTGTAATAATCTTGCACGATGAGGGGTTCACTCGCGCGTAAAATGTTCGGGTTCTGTCGCATTTGCGACATTGGAATTTCACCAATATTGTTGTTGTTCTCCTCGTCCTCTCGCACTTGCGACATGGGTAAGTACGGCTCGTCCGGTAAGTTATCATCGTCCACCACTAAAAGTCTTCCATCGTCTTTATTCTCATTCTTAGAAGTCGTCGTTGTATCATCTGCGCATAAAAATTCAATTTTTAAATCAAACTCGTAAAAACAAAAAACGTACCGTTATTATTCACCGCTTCGCTATTGCTCCTTCCTCCTCCTTTTTGTTTCTTCTTTCTCTCCGGAGTGTCGTACGCTAAATCCTCCTCCTCGTATTCTTGGCTGCTACACCCAAAGACTCGTTTAGACTTCATCTGCAATTTTTTGCTTTTTTTTTTCTTCTTTTTTTTTCTGCGATGATGAATGAAAAAATATGAGGAAGAAGCTTTTTGCTCGAGAGAAAAAAGAGAAGAAAAATGGACAGACAGACAGACCAAAACAACAACGAGAGGGAAAAAAAGCAATCGAATCCAAAATCGTCATATTAGTACTACTACTACTTTATAATAAGTAATACACAGAACAATAATGACGAATAATAATCTCATCGCGTCGCTCCTGAGAGACGACAAATCAAAGATGGCCACGTTAATCGCGTGCGGCGCGAGCGCGGTGGCGTTGATTTATTACAACCGGGAAGTTCGGAATCAAATCGCGAATATTTTCATGGTGCGTTTTCTTCTTCTTCTTTTCGTCGTAGCCGTCGTCTTTCGATGGTCTTCTTTTATCATCATCATCATCATCTCTTTGATGATGATGATGATGGTGATGACGATGCCTCTGCTCGTGTGTGAAAGAAAAACAACGCGTCTTATCTTTTGCGAGTGTTGATATTACGCGAGATGGACGACGCGTGTTGTCACGCGAGAGAGAGGAAGATGGAGAGTGGATAAACCTGAAAAGCGCGATTGGATTTTTGGGTCCAAATTCTCTCTCGCCGCCGTCATCATTTCATCGTTTCATCTTCATCGGAGAGGCTTCTTTTTTCCGGTTTTGATGTGACTCTCTCTCGTTTGTTCTCACAAAACGCGAGAAGACTTGCATGCTCTGTTCATAATGCATGTGTGTGTATTCTTATTTACTGACCGACCGTATTTCTCTCATCCTTTTACGAATAAAAAAAAACTTAATAGGGCGCTGCGGTGGCCACCTCTGGACCAGGCGTCTTATCTGGCAGCACGAACAACGCGGCGAGTAAGAAAGAAAGCAACGGGGACGCCTCCGATGGCGGCGATGCGGAGAACCAACAGCAACTGATGATGCAACAGATGCAGCAACAACAGCAACAAATGCAAGGTGGTGGGATGCCTGGGCAAGAGGAAGAGTTATCCGCGATTGAACGATTTTGTACGGACGTGACGGACGAAGCGAAGAAAGGGTTGTTGGACCCGTTGGTCGGGAGAGACGACGAGTTGAGAAGAGCTATTCACGTCTTGTCCAGACGAACGAAGAATAACCCGATTTTGTTGGGCCAATCTGGTGTTGGTAAGACGGCTATTGTGGAAGGTTTGGCGCAGAGAATCGCGACTGGTGACGTGCCTTTGTCGCTGAGAAACGCGAAGTTGTTGGAGTTGGATTTAGGCGCGGTTGGCGCCGGCTGTCAAATGCCGGGGGAGTTTGAAGAGAGATTGTCTATGGTCGTGCAAGAAGTTGTCGACGAAGCCGAGAATCAGCCAGTGATTGTATTCATCGACGATATTCACAACTTGATTCCGCCGCCGCCGAATGGGAACAACGGGTCGGCTATTTTGAAACCGGCGTTGGGGAGAGGTTTGTTGAGGTGCATCGGGTGCACGTCGGTGGATAAGTTTAAGAAATCCATCGAAACTGACGCGGCTTTGGAACGTCGATTTCAGCAAATTCCAGTGGAAGAACCGGACGTTGATTTCACCGTTTCTATTTTGCGCGGGTTGAGACCGAGATACGAACAGCACCACAACATCGCCATCTCGGAAGGCGCGTTGTTATCGGCGGCGCAGTTATCGGCCAGGTACGTCAGCGGACGTCAGTTACCAGATAAGGCGATCGATTTGCTCGATGAAGCCGCCGCGGCGGTTAGAATGAACAAATCGTCTAAACCGGAAGCGTTAGACGTGTGCGACCGAAAAATAAAGCAGTTGCAAAAAGAACGCAATCAGTTGTTGTTGAAGCAAAGAAGCGAAAACGCAAAGGCTGGTCAAAACAACATCGCCGCGGCGGAATTGCAAAAGCTCGCCGCGCAATTGCACGACGAGAAGAAGAAACGAAAGGAGCTGCAAAAGAAAGTTACGAGTGAAATGACGTGCATGAACGCGTACAGACAAGCGCAAGCGCAGTTGGCGTACACGGTGAGAAAGATTCAAAACGCCAACGCCAAAGTACAGTTGGCCTCGGCCGCGGACGCGCCAGACGAGTACAAAGCTCAACTCGCGAATTGCAAGAGCGACCTCGCCAAATTGGAAGCGGAAAAAGAGCGCGTGGAAGACGAGGTGAAGAAAGCGGAAGGCGAAGTGTTGTCCTTACAAGGTGGTGGGGTGATGTTGAGAGAAGAGGTGACGGATGCAGACGTCGCGACAGTCGTGTCCAGATGGACCGGCGTACCGGTGGCGAAATTGGTCTCTTCGGAGAAACAGAAATTGTTGCAATTGGAATCGGAACTTCACGAAAGAGTCATTGGTCAAGAAGAAGCGGTCACATGCGTCGCCGAAGCCGTGCAACGCTCGCGCGCGGATCTCGCCGATCCGAATGGGCCGGTCGCCTCGTTCATGTTCCTCGGTCCAACTGGCGTCGGAAAGACAGAATTGGCAAAGGCTTTAGCATCGTATCTCTTCAACTCGGACCAAGCGTTGGTGCGTTTGGACATGTCCGAGTACATGGAAAAACACTCCGTGGCTAGATTGATTGGCGCACCGCCAGGCTACATCGGCTACGACGAAGGGGGGATGCTCACCGACGCGGTTCGACAAAAGCCGTACTCGGTCGTCTTGTTCGATGAGATTGAAAAAGCGCACGTCGATGTCTTTAACGTCTTGTTGCAGTTGTTGGATGAAGGCCACGTGACGGATACTCAAGGTAGAAACGTTTCGTTTAGAAACTGCTTGATTATCATGACTTCGAACTTGGGTTCGGACGAAATGAACTACCAAAACAAAAGAAGAGGAAGAGGTAACGTGAAAGACGCCGTCATGCAACACGTCCGATCGCACTTCAGACCAGAATTTATCAACAGAATCGACGAGTTTATTTGCTTTGAATCGCTCAACCATTCGCAAATCGAAGAGATTGTCCAATTACAACTCAAGAACTTGTCCAACAGAGTCGATGGCCAACGCATGGCGATTGAATACGACAAATCCGCGGTTGAATATTTGGCGAGAGAAGGCTACGATCCGCAATACGGCGCTCGTCCGGTCAAACGTGCCATTCAAAAACAATTGTTACAGAACTTGTCCACGGAAATCTTGAAGGGCAAATTCAACGAAGACGATACGATTTTAGTCACCGCGGATAGACACGGCTTGTGCCTCGCCAACGGTCAAAAGATTGTGCGAAAAATCTACGACATCACCGAAGCGAGCGACGACGACGAGGACGAGCTTTAGAGATAAAACGATGAACGATCAACACACAACTGCTACAGTACTGCGAAGAAACAAAAACAACAACAAAACATCATAGAAGAGTTTGGCTTTTAAAAATAATCACAAATATTATCTTGAATCTTGAATTGAATGAATTGGCACGCTAAGTGCTTCCTTATTATTTCTTGTTCCTCCTCTCCTCGTTACGCGTCCCCCCCAACATTTTTTTCCCAATTAAAACCACCCGGATAAAATCTCTTTCGACACGCTTCAATCAATCCACAATCACGCAGTGTGACTTTCTTGGAATATGATATCACTAATTTGCATCTACTGGATTTCTATCTCTCTCTTTGTTTTAATATCGTTAAGAAAAAAATTGGTTGGTTCCGCCTCCTCTCGTCGCAGAAGATTTTAAGAACACACTATTTATGTTAAACATCATTGTTCGGAAACTTTGCCTTTATAAGAAAGGGCGACGATTACAACTCGTCTTTCTTCCTCAACTGCTCCAACTGCTTCAAAATAGCCTCCCCTTTATTCAATGCCGCCTCTCTTTTCTTCCACGTCGCGACCTTGGTGTTGTGTTCCAGCTTCGCCGCCTTCATGTCTGACTTTATCGTCTTCAACTCCTCCGATCGTTTCTTCAATTCTTCCGCGATGTCCGCGGAAGTCTTCCCGTCGAATTTCTCAATCAACGCGATTTCGTTCGGTTTGCACGCTTTCTTCGTCTTCACGTCGCACTTCTCCACGTCTAAGGTTTTCTTCGTAAACGCGAGCATTGCGTCGAAATCTCTCCCTTGTTGGTAATCCTTCCCTTTCTTGTCCCCTGCGAGGAAGTATTTAATCGTCGGGTACCCTTGCACGCCCATTTTCTGACACGTTTGCGCGCCATCCGCGGTGCAATCCACGTCCACGATCATCACCGACGCGTGATCTTTGTATTTACTGCCGAGCTTGTCCCACGCGGGTTTCATGCTCTTACAGTGGCCTCACCAAGGCGCGAGAAATTTCACGAAGACGTTCTTGTTCGATCCTAAAACCGCGGAGTCGAAATTTTTGTCCGTCGCGAGGAACGCGGAAGCGTTCACTCCTTTGAAAGAGCTCGGGGAAAAGGTAAAGGTGAAAAGGGCGAAAATGAGGAACGAGAGAGAGGATGATCTCGTGTAAGTCGTCATCATCCTTGATGATTAATTACTATTTGTGTGCTCTCTTTTGTGATGAGTGTAGTCAGAGAGAGAACACGAATACAATTCTGGCGAAATGTGATGAGAGATCGAAGAAGAGAATTTTTTGGTCGTTTTAGGGAACTGTATGATGTATGATGAGAAAAAGTGAAAGATATTTTCTTCTGTCTTGCAATTTGACACAAAAAAATAATTTAAAATTTGTTTCTTGAGAAAAATTCTTCGGAAGAAGAGAAATTTGATGATGTTAAGATGATGATGGGACAACAACAAGGCGAAGAAGACAAAGAAGAAGAAGAAGAAGAAGGAGTAGGAGGAAAAGACGACGACAAGAATGATTTTGATGGCAAAGAACTCGCGTCAGAGTTACTCAGAATCATCTCCTCGGATTTCTCTTTAAACGAGCTGGCGTTTGTGCCTCCGTGGAAGCATTTGAGAGAGTTGTTAGGGGAAAAGTTTGCCGACGATGAAGAAGACGAAAACGACCGAAAGCGGTTAAAGTTGTTTTATCGCTCGTTTTGCGTCCGAGAACATAAACTGGCGATTAACGCGCACGTTATAGTGCCCGTATTAAACTACGTGTATTCTCAGTTGAGGAGGAAAAAGGACGAAAAGAATGACGATGATGCCTTCTTGGATGATGATTTGAAAGTACTTTTATGCGTGCTCACTGGCGACAGTTTATCCGGTTGGAACGTGAGAAAAAGAAGAGTCTTGGAAGCGTTGGAAAAGGACGGTGACACGACGAGTGATGATCAAGAGAAGAATAGGATGAAAGAGATGGAACGAGAAATGATGTTTGCCACGTTCGTACAAACAAAGTTTCCAAAGTCCACGGCGGCGTTTGCGCACAGAAGGTGGGTGATTATGACGTGTTGTTTTCACGGAGGAGGCTGCGCGGAGAGAAGGAATCACCTAATACCAAGGAACGCGCGAAGGGATACGACGATGTTATCATTATTGTTATTAAATAATGTATACAAACGAGAAACTCTCGCGTGCGAACAAACGTGTCGACGGAAGCTGAGCAATTACGCCGCGTGGTCGCACAAGTTGTTCGTCTTTGAACTCGTCCATGTGAAGCAAAACGTGAACGAACCGGATGAGCTCTTGGAACGGGCGAAGAGCGTCTTGCGAGAATCAGAAACAAACATTTCTTCCTCCGATCCGAGCGCGTGGCATTTTCGACGCGCAGTAATTCGCTCAGTTTACGATCGACTACTTCACTACGATGCAGTGAAGAAGAGATTCTTCGATGAAGTGATCGTTAACGAATTCCGTTTCGTGCGCGAAAAGATTGCGGCGTTTCGCGGACGGGAAACGCTATGGCACCATCGTAAAACGGTGTTGGCGCATGTGCTCCTCAAATGCTCTGACGACGACGTTCGAAACGAAATCGTCGCGGAGGAAATAGAGTTTGCGATAAATAATAATAATGAGGCAGACGAAATCAAAGTGCGAGACGTGCCGTGGGCGACAAAGTACGAAGACGGGGATGAAGCTCGCCTTCTTGCATCCTTTAGTAAATACGTGTGTACAATATTTAGTCGCTTTTGCAAAAAGTTATAGGTATGAATTAAAGATGATAGCAATATATAGAGAGTGTTAGCGTATTAATATAACAATCGCTTTTTAACGCGCAGCCATTTCCCTCGCACCGTCCAGCCACGGGTACTTCTGCGATCGTTCGATTTCAAACTTGTCGATTTGGTCGTTCTTCAACATCGTCAATCCAACGTCGTCCAAGCCATTCAACAAGCAGTGCTTGCGGAACTCGTCAACTTGAAAGGAAATCTTAGAACCATCCGCTCTCGTGATGGTTTGCGCCGCGAGATCGACTTCTAGCTCTTTCATCTCGTTGGCGTCTTGCATCAACGTTCTCACCGTCGGTTCGTCCAAAACAATCGGCAACATGGAGTTCTTGAAGCAGTTGTTGAAAAAGATGTCCGCGAAGGAGGTGGAGATAATGCACCTGATTCCCAAATCGTTGATGGCCCACGGCGCGTGCTCTCGGGAACTGCCGCAACCAAAGTTATCGCCGGCAACTAAGATCGAGGTTCCTTTCCATTCTGGTTTGTTCAAGACGAAGTCCGGTTTTTCCGAGCCGTCGGCGTTAAATCGCATTTCGTAAAACGCGCCAACGCCCAATCCGGTTCGTTTGATGGTTTTCAAAAACTGCTTCGGGATAATCATGTCCGTGTCGATGTTTTGCAAGTCCATCGCAGCGGCTTTACCTTTGAGCGTCGTAAACGTCGGCATACCACTACTACCGCTGCCAGATTTCGCTTGGTCCACTCTCGGTCGCGGCGGCACGATGGATTGGTTTGTCAAAAAGTCCTTGTCGACTTTCTTCGGGACGTCGTCGCCAGTCAAACCGGCACCAGAACCGATTTCTCTGACATCGCACAACTTACCAGTAATGGCCGCGGCAGCAGCCATGGCTGGCGACACCAAGTGCGTTCGGCCGCCGTTCCCTTGACGACCTTCAAAGTTTCTGTTTGAAGTCGAAGCGCATCGTTCACCCGGCAACAACTTATCCGGGTTCATGGCGAGGCACATGGAGCACCCCGGTTCTCTCCAATCAAAACCGGCTTCAATCAGGACGGTGTGCAAACCCTCTGCTTCGGCTTGGTCTTTGACGATACCCGAACCCGGGACCACCATGGCGTACACGGAACTGGCAACTTTCTTGCCTTTGGCCACGGCGGCCACGGCTCTGAGGTCTTCAATTCTCCCGTTCGTGCACGATCCGACGAACACCTTGTCAACCGCAACGTCCTTCATTTTTGTCCCTGGAGTCAAACCCATGTATTCCAACGATCTTCGCATCGCGTTCGCCCTGGATTCGTCAAAATCGTCCGGGTTTGGCACGACGCCGGAAATGCCGACGGTATCTTGCGGCGACGTTCCCCACGTGACGGTCGGTTCAATATCCTTCGCGTCAATAACCACAACCTTATCAAACTTGGCATCCGCATCGGTACCTAACGTTTTCCAGTACGCCACCGCCTTCTCCCAAGTCTCACCACTCGGCGCCATCGGTCTGCCTTTCAAGTATTCGTAGGTGATCTCATCCGGCGCGATCATTCCGGCTCTCGCGCCAGCTTCAATCGCCATGTTGCAAATACTCATTCTCGCTTCCATGGACAACTCACGAATGGCTTCGCCAGAAAACTCGATGACAGACCCGTTACCCCCGGCGGTACCAATCTTTCCAATCACGTGCAAGATCAAATCTTTGGAGGTGACGCCATCCATCAACTTGCCGTCGATTCTCACGTTCATATTCATGCTCGGCTTTTGCAACAACGTTTGCGTGGCCAACACGTGTTCGACTTCACTCGTCCCGATACCAAACGCTAACGCACCAAACGCACCGTGCGTGGCCGTGTGGGAATCCCCGCACACGACTGTGGTCCCCGGCAACGTAAAGCCTTGTTCCGGCCCGATGATGTGCACGATTCCTTGTCTCTTGTCTTCCATCCCGAAATACGTGATGCCAAAGTCCTTCACGTTCTCCTCCATCTGCACCACTTGCACTCTCGATTCCATCTCCGTGATGAACGTTTCCACGCTTTCAAACTTCGATCGGTCCGAAGTCGGGACGTTGTGATCCACCGTCGCCAACGTGTTGTCCGGTCTTCTCACGTTTCTCCCGGCTAAACGCAAAGCCTCGAACGCTTGCGGCGACGTGACTTCGTGCACCATGTGTCTGTCGATGAACACTAACTTTGTCCCGTTATCTTCCGTGGCAATCGTGTGATCGCGGACAATTTTGTCGTACATGGTCATGCCAGCCTTCGGGGAGATTGATGAAAACAGAGAAGCGCGGCGATGGGAAGTTGGATGTCTTCCAATTTTAATCGCCGCCAACACAGATTTCTTTTTTCCACTACTCGTCATCGTCGAGGAAGAAGAAGACAAAGAAGAAGATCTTTTTTGCGAGGAGGAGGAGGACAATCCACTGTGGACAGAAACAGGACGAGAAGAATTCATCATCGCGTCGTTTGGATGTGTGTATAAATGCGACAGTAAAGTAGTTTTCTTCTTAACGATAAAAAGATCGCCGCTCTTTGTGTTTGCGCTTTAATTATTATGAAGAAGTCGTTCGTCGTTTTAGGAGGAAATTTTTTGTTTCTTTCTCGCGAGCTAAAAAAAAAATATCTGAGAGGGGGCCAGATCTCACAAAAACACAAGAGAGACAGAGACATGCTTTTATATACAAATTTATATCACAAACATCGACTATTATATACAGAGAAGAAGACAACAGACACAAATAATACAAAATTAAAAAGGCCCGACGCTTTCAAACTCGATGAATTCCACCGGTTCGTCACCGATGACGCGAGCTTCGTGCCCTGCTTCGCACAAGTAGCACATACCCGCCTTGGCGACGGTTTCCGTTCCGGTTTCGACGTCGGTCATTCCAAACGTACCGGATTTAATAAAGCCGACGTGCCTGGCGGGACACGCGGTGAGATGTTGTTTATCTTCCGGTAACAACGCTTTCGCCCCAGTGGCCCAGGTCCATCCAGGCTGAAGGTAACACACCATGCCTTTCGCTTGTTTGTTACCGAGAAAGCACACGCACGCTTTCCCGTTTTTCATCTCTTTGGTCGTGACGTTCGGGTCGTCGAACCGTTTCACGTCGAACGACGCGTTGTTTTCCTTCGCTTCTTCGGAAGTGTCGCCGATCATGTACGTGGACGCACCTCCGGCCGAAGCGGCGCCTTCGACTTTCGAGACGATTTCAAACGCTTCCACGTCCGATTTCGTTTCCGTGAAAATGTGTCCCGGTTCAATCAAGTAAGAGTCGCCTTCTTTTATGTCAAACTTCGTCCCATCGTCCATGACGACGTTCAATTCGCCTTTCACGCAAATACCCACGTGTCTGGTTTGGCACGTGGCCGGCGCGCCCGGGAGGATTCCCATGCAGCTTTTCCAATCCACGCCTTTCGTCACTTCGATTTTCATGCATTGACACGTCCCAAAGTCAACCACTTTGGCGTTCACTTTTGGATCTTCCGCGGAAGGCATTTGCTTCAAAACGGACGGTTCGTCGAACGATTGCGCTTTAATGATCCCCATTCTTAATAACTATTTTTCAAAGTTTTCTTCTTCTTCTTCTTATACGTATGTATGTATGTCGCGTGTTCGTGATGAATACTATACCCTTTGTGTGTGTGTGTGTGTGTGTGGTCGAGTTAATTGTGCGCTTAATTTCACAATATTACGTCATTTTATTCTCTTTTTTTGTTCCCTTCCTCCTCTTGTGAGCACTCTCTGTCTTTCCTGAGACAAAACGACAGACTCTTCTCCTCTCAAAATCAGATTAATTAACTCTCTCGCTCTCTCTCTCACTCTCTCTCTCTCTGTTTTCTTCACACCACACACTTCAGACAACAAAAAAATTGATATCTATGATGGAGACGTCCTCCTCGTGCAAAGCTCCGGCGATGATGAGGAGTAGTACGTCGCAGACGACGACTCGAGGAGGAGGAAGAAGAGCGAGATCTGCTGATTTTGCGAACCCGGCGCGTCGACAAAACGATATCGATGATGATGATGATTCTAATACGAATAATAAAAGAAAATCCGTGCGCGCGAGGAGCTCGAGACGAAACGTCGGGGACAACGCGAACATCGTGTATTCTTTGGGACCAGAAAAGACATCGAAGGAACCCACGAAAATGTATTATCGACAACAGTGGCCAAACGAGTGCACGGAGATCATATGCGAAGATGGATCGTCGGTGTATTGCTTTTCGTATGGCGGTGGTAAAGGCGTAGGAAGAGCAAACGCGCAGAGTTCAAAAGCAACCGCAAAAGGGGGAGATTTTGTTGTTCAATCATCATCATCATCAGAAGAAGATTTAAACGCGCGCTTAAACGCAATCACGATGTCCTTTCGCGAGCAAAGAAAAACGACGACGAGTTTTTCATCATCGGTGACGACGAAGGAAAACATCACGGAAACGATGGTAAACGCGGCAATTCAAGCGTCGTCGAAGAGATCGCAAGAGTATTGCGACGCGTACGCGGAGGAAGCGATGAAAAAGTTACGAGAGGAGGAGGAAAAAGGACCTTCCGCGGCAGTCGCCAAAAACGAACCAGAAAAGGAAGACGATATGCAAGGGCGGTTGGACGCGATCATTCGCGAACACCGCAAAAAGCAAGAAGAAGTCCTGAAATCGACTGCTTCTGCGTCGTCTTTGATGGAAGTTACGCGCGAGGAGAAGGACGAAGAAGGCGACTTGTACGCTCGGTTGAACGCCATCGCGGAGGAGTTCAGAGCGAAAAGAGGCGAAACAAGCAAACCAAACTTATCGATTCAAGGTAAGAATGGAGGCATGTCTGGTATGGCGTCGTTCTATTCCGCGCCTGGATACGCTGGATTTTCCTGGGTTGGAGAGGAAGACGTTGAAATGGAAGACGACCACGACCACGACCACGACCACGATAATGATCATGATAATCACGGAGAAGAAACGCGAGGTGACCACTCCGGTCGAGTTGGAAAGACGTCGTTTTACTCCTCGGCTGGTTATGCTTCGTTTGCATACGCCGTTGACGCCGTTTGGGACGTGTTAGTCGTTCCTCCGACCTCCTCCTCCTCGTCCTCCTCGTCCTCGCCAAACGTCACATCGAAAGAGTGGGGTCAGAAAATCGGCGAGAACAACACGATATTCTCTACCTCTGGTATCGCGTATAAATCAAAACCAGTCACGCAATCATCTTCTAGCATCATAGCTGAATCCGTGAGCAGAGAGCAGACTGCGCAGATTAAAAAAGCATGGAAGCGCGTGGACGCGAGATTTGATTTGCCCGGGCCTCCGAACATGTGGACTCGCATGGACAACGAGGAAAAGTTTTTAGCGATCGCCTTATCCGTTGCAACGTGTATCATTTGCTATCAAAATGCACCGCCAGTTGTGAGAAAACCGGTCCAAGCGGCAACGTCGTCGGTGAAGAAGTTGGCGCATATTTCGCGCTCGACCCAACCTCCGGCTATGCCCATGACGAAGAAAGAGAAGAAAGCTGCACAAAAAGCCGCAGCTGCAAAAAAGAAAGCAAAAGTGGCATCGATTAATCAGTCGATCGGGGAGCTTTCCCGTGCTAAGAAACGCGCGGCGAGCATGATACCAGGCGATGATGTAGCTCCGGGACAATTTCTTGCCATCATCCGAGGCGACGGCACCATCGATTACACGTTGCGAAACGTGTTTTTCCTCGTGACATTTTCGTTTTTAGCTCGCATTATTATGAAGCAATACGATCTCAAACCTTTCGGAGCAATTAGCGGAGCAGCGCGCGCCATTGGATCAACCGCGAACGCGCTCGTCAACACGGGATTCAAAGATGAAGAAAAATTCGCGGCCGATAAAGAAGCGATACGAATTGCTGCTGAAATCAAAGCCAAAAAAGCTGCCGAGAGAAAAGCAGAGAAAGAATCGAAACGTCTTTTGAGCAGACAAAAGGATCTCGACGATGCTAAGATTTCCGCCATCGTTGACTCGAAACTGCAAACTATTCGCCGCGAAAACGACGTTCTGTTGAACAAAGTGAGCAAGTTTTTCGAAAACGAAGAAATTGAAATGGTTGCGCAACTCATGAAAGAGAATGACGCCAAGATTGAAGCCGTCGTCGCGCAGGTGAAATATGCAAAAGCCGAGCGAAACGCTTTTAAACGTCTCATGGAGAACGAGATGTACAAGGCGTCTTCCGCTGTCGCAAATAGCACTACCTCCGCCAAGTCGGTATCGGCACCGTCTCTTCCTTCTTTCTCCGGGCAAAAAGGCGCCAACTCGGACAACATGGAAGTGAAGCAATTCTATGAGAATAAGATTGAAGAGATTAAGAAGGATGCTGAAATTGCCAAGCACTCGTTCGCGTTCTTCAAGAAAGAATACATCGCCAAAGAAGACGCGATGAAGAAAGACTTTGTCGAGAAGGAAAAGCAAACGGCGCTCGAGGTGAAGCAAAAAATCGACGTTTTATCTCAACAACTGAAAGAAAGCCAAGAAGAGTTTGAGAGAGCGCGTAAAGACGCGGAAATTGCGTTGAAGCTCGCGTTGGAAAACGAAGACAGCGAGCGATTGGAACAACTGGAGAAAGATTTGAAGGCGTCGAAAGAGGCGCTCGCGAAAGAACGAGACACCAACGTAGTCGCGGCGCAAAAGAGAGAGGAAGAAGTGTTGGCCCGGAACAAACTCGAGCTCGACGCGAAACTCGCCGCGCTCGAAGAAGACTTCAAGCAACGAGAAGCAGCCATGAAGTTAAAAGTCGACGCCGCCGAAGCGAAGGCGAAAGAGTTTGAGCGTAAAAACTTTCAAACCGTCTCCGAAATGAAACTACAATCGAACAAAGACGTCAACGACGCTTTATCCTCCGCCCGAGCGAGTTTCGCCAAGGAAAAAGAAGAATTGTTGCGAAAAGTAGAGGAAGAGAGGCTCCAATCGAGATTGGAAGTCCAACGCGAGAAGGAGGCTATTCGACAAAAAAGCGACGAGTTAATCGACGAAATTGCTTTGGAGTTTAGACGCGAAATCGAAACTCGAAGTTCTCGATGATGATGATGCTGATGATGATCCGCGCACGACGACGTTTGTATATTTATATCGTTTTTAATTCAAGTTGTGCTTCTTCAAAACTTCATTTTTATTGTCTATAACTCCGCTACGTGTGATAATATGACGACGATACTATAAAATGTCCCCGACAAAAGAGAATACGGATGAAGAGCGCACACATTCCAGCAGCGTCTCCTTCTCTTCCCTGCGACTCCTTCCTTCTTCTCCCTCTTCGACGGCTTCGACTCGAATCTTTTTGAATGCCTCCGACTTGCACAGATTGCACGCGCAATGCGGCGAATTCGTTCGCGTGTCGATTGTTGCTGAAAACTCTTCGAGGACATCGCTCCTCGCGATGGCACATCCAAAACGCGAACAAGGATGGCGGCAAGACGGTGGTGCGCTTGACACGCCCGTGAAGCAATCCGGGTTAGCGAGAAGAAGAATAGACGACGACGACGACGACGACGACGCGGATGAAGAAGCAGTCTTGGACGGCGGCGTTTTCGTCTTTCTGCAAAATCACTCCAAAGAAGACGAATCGTCGAAAGAGGAACATTTTTTCACAGACGCGAAGGAAACGTTAAACGCGTTGCGACAGAGACAGAAGAAGAGGAGCGAGAAGCGCGAGGACGATCGGTGTACGATTGAAGTGCAAACGATGATGTCTGCTTCTCCTTCGGCGGTGGTGAACTGCTCGCGCGTAAGCGTGGAAGTTATGAATGGCAGAGCAAAGAAGGACGGTACGACGAGACGAACGGAAGAGGTGAGAAGAGCGTTGGCGCACAGAGTAGTCTCGGGGAAGTGCACGTTGATGTTTGGAGAAACGGAGGAGAGTTTGGTTTTGAGAGTGCGAGAGTGTGAGCCGTCTTCGTCGAGCGAGGAGCAGTGCTATCGAATAACGCACCGGACGATTATCGATCTTGTGGATGGCGACGGAACAAGCGTCAGGCGTTTAGGGGGTGCGTCTACTTCTTCTACTTCATCTTCGTGGAGCGCGGACGACGAACTCGTGGCGTGCGATGAACTTCTCGGTGCGCTGAGAGAGGCAATCGCATGGCCTAAACAGTACGAGGGGATTGCAGCCTCGATCGGCGCGTCTTTCCCAAGCGGCGTTTTAATCCACGGTCCTCCCGGGACTGGTAAGACGTCGGCAGTTCGTGCCGCGTGCAGGGAAGCATGTAGTGAAATAGGAATTGATGTTCGGATATTTTCTATGAGCGCAGGTGATGTATACAATAATGGCGCATACGCCGGCGACGCGGAGAGAAACGTTCGGAACATCTTTCAGAAAGCGAGAGAATTTTGTGGCAGTAGCGCGGGAGGGAACAAAAGATCGATTATTCTGATGGATGATATAGACGCAGTTGCACCGAGACGAACAAAGAATTCTTCACAGCATCAAAACAGGGTAGTTGCACAACTTTTAACGCTCATGGATGGCACAAAGCAATGGGGGCAGTCCCCGGTTGTCGTTGCGACGACAACACGCCCAAATACCATCGATCCAGCGTTGCGAAGACCGGGACGATTTGATCGGGAAATCGAAACATCATTACCGAATACGAGCGAGAGATCACTGATTTTGAGGGTGCATTTGCGGAACGTGCCAATAGATGATACTGAAAACAACTTCGACTTTGAGCGCGACATTGATACGGTCGCGAAAAACTCGAAAGGCTACTCGGGTGCCGATTTACAAAGTCTCTGCCGAGAAGCTGCTATGGTTGCGGTGAAGCGGTGTGCACTGAATACCCAAAACGACAATAATGATGTCAAAGTGCGTTCGAGTGATTTTGTCGAAGCGGCGTCGAAAGTTCGGGCGACAGTAATCCGAAACGTTGCTTCGGTCGCTGATGTCGCTAAAACGAGCTGGGACGATGTCGGAGGATTGTTCGAAGTGAAGAAACGCTTAGTGCGCGCCATCGAATGGCCTTTGAAAAAGAAAAACAGTTTTGAACGATTAGGCATTCAACCAGCAAGAGGCATTTTATTACACGGTCCACCGGGTGGTGGGAAAACGACGTTAGCGCGAGCGGCAGCCACTGCTTCCGGTGCAACCGTGTTCTCGCTTTCTGCCGCAGATGTTTTTTCGATGTACTTGGGCGAAGGTGAAAAAATACTCACGGACGCGTTTTTAAAGGCTCGAAAAGCCTCACCCGCGGTGCTTATTCTAGATGAAATTGATGGCATGTCCGGATCTCGAGGAGGAGGAGAAGGATCTTCCAGTGCCGGTTCTCACGATTCAGCAGCTCGAGTACTCTCAGCCTTACTCACGGAAATGGACGGCTTGAGCAGTATTAACAGTAGTACTAGTAATATGAGCACCAATTCTCCTTCGTCGTCGTCATCATCATCATCAGTTCTAGTCATAGCAACGACGAATCGACTAGATGCTTTAGACCCAGCACTAACGAGACCGGGTAGATTTGATTTAATTTTAGAAGTTGGAGCTTTAAAGACACCGGAGGAACGCCTCGAGGCGTTACACGTCCACGCCAGAGCGGTTTCTTTAGCCGAAGACGTAAATCTCGAAGATGTCTCCGAGCGAACTGAGGGGAAAACTGGCGCAGATTTAAGAGGAATAGTGAGAGAAGCGGCGATGGCCGCGTTGAGAGAAGATATAGGGGCGACGAGCATTCGTCACGCGCATTTTCTCAAGGTACTCAACAAATGGGCATGAAAAGTTTTTTAACAACACAACAAAATAGAAATGTATACATCTACCATGATCTCGCCCTCCTCACACCCCGAGGGTCCGACGTATATTCACGTAGAGCTGAATCGTATCGTCATTGAGCAAAAAATAATAAATACAGAAAAAATATACATGTATGCACGCATAGTACATATCATCTCGACGATTCCATGCGCTTGAACGCCTCGAGGAAAGCGGGCACGATGGCGGCTTTTGAGTTGATCACGTTTTTCAAATGATCACCGGAATCGTACGTGAAAGCAACACCGTCTAGTTTCGTTAACGCGGTACACCGGCTCATAATTGCACCAACTTCATCGTAATCAGACGTGATTAATTTATCTCTTTTGGCGAAGTGAGCCACCATTGCGTCCAACTTGTGCTCAAAAATTCCCGCGCCTCCGCTCGCTTTCATCAAACGCTCGATGCCAACTAATCGTTGCAACGTTCGATTCAGAACGGCTTTCCAGTCTAGGTTTTCGAATATGCTGTCATCCTTGGACAAACTGGATGACGTCGACGTGCTCTTGCTCTTGATCGAGCGAGGTGATTCCGGCGCCGAGGTTACGTTTGATTCTCCAAAGACGCGTCGAGATGATTGTCTTTTCTCGCCAGAAAGTTCATCGGAAGAACTTGACGCTTCGCTTTCCGAGGATAACACGATCTCTGAGATCATGTTTTCCACGTAACTATCCTTAATCAAGAGCTGCTCTCGATCTAATCTTAAATACAAATACGAGTTTGGAGCGAATGATTTTTCAAAGTTGTGCCACGAACACACGCTCACCACGCCCAACTTTTTGTTCGCGTTGTTCCCTACCTTCTTCTTCGTGTTCGTATTCTCGTCCCCATGAAAGCCGCGAGAGGTAAGAATACCTGCGTTCGCTGCAATGTAACCGCCCATAGAGCAACCACCGATTGCGATGGAAACTTCGTCGCCGTAGGTATCTCTGGCCCATTCGATTAATCCACACGCCTCTCTCAATCCAATCAAGTGCATTAAAATGTACTCGCTCACGGTGCTAATAACATGAGTGGGTTGCCCAACCACTCTCCGTTTCCCATAAAACGGAAACTCGGGAATTAAAACGACCATTGCTTCATCTTCCATCGCATCGTTCTCTTTATAATGCGCCGTCAGCAAATTCTCCGCCGTGCGTCTTCGAAACGCGAACGTCGTATCGCCCGTAAACGGTAACACGATAGCGACCCGTTTCACTTTCCTATCGTCCAATCTCCGAGACGAGGACGATTTCCACACTCTCAGTATCTCCCCACTTTGTAAAGCGGATAAGTTTCTGGATTTCTTGCACAGCGAAGCGACTTCTTTGATTTTAAAAATCCCGGTGTCGCAGTTGATGGTGTGCGTCGTTGTTCTTTTTTCTTCTTCTTCTTCTTGTAGAGAGTTCTCCCTTTTTCGTCCACCACTTTTGGGTGTTTTCGTTGTTTGTGTTTTTGTTTTTTTTTCATCTTTTCCTTCGGATGTTCTTCTTGAGCCCACACGTTTGTGTTTTGGCAAAATCTTCGACAAAAATGTCGAATTCTCTGTGGAATCGATATCTGCACATTCCACGACGTTCCAACCGTCCACCTCGGTTTGAACGATTTCTCCGAACGGGTCCCACTGGACGACCATCGCGTCGTTCACAAACCCGCGTCCACTGGAGACTGATTTCACCACCGACGCTCGCATTTGTTTCACCAGTTCAAAGTTTCCCCATCCTCGATTAAAAAATGTCGTTTTCCTTTTCGGGATGAAAAAAAGCAGGTACTTTATGAGAAACGCGACGACGAAGAACGCGAAATCGGACTTGAAGTAAAAGGCGAGAAAGGTGAACACCGTAAAAGCGTCCAATTTTTTCCTCTTCGTCTTCTTCTTCGTTATGAGCGTTTGAGACGAAGACATTTTAGTATTAAGTTGGGGAGTGTGATACTTATGTGGTCTTTGAAATTTGCCCAACACGCATTTGGTTGGTCTTTTTTTTTGAAGTCGACCAATTCTTTTTAAAAAACCTTTTTTGAAGTCGACCGACTCGTGCACTATTTTAATTATTATTTTTAAAGCGACGGTATCAGGTCGCCTTCCGCGCACCGAATTTTTTCGAGATCCTCGGGCGGGAGTTCGATCTTATCGAAGCCTTTCCTTCCGTATTCTACGAAATCGTCGAAAGTGACAAATCCATCGCCTCGACTTCCGCATCGCCTTCGGGTGAGTTCTCTCAAGGAATGGTCCAGTTGGTCTTTGGAGACGTTTCGATGGCCGACTTTGAGCTCGTTCAAATCGGCGAGTAAATACGCCAATTCGGATTCGTCCAAGACTCCGTTTTTGGTTTTGTCGTAGCGTTGCCATAATCCTCGCAGAACGTTGACGTTGATTTTCTCTCGAAGAGAAAAAGATTGTTCTAAAAGCCATTTTGAGGTTTTTGGCTTCCAACTGGATTTCGTGTACTCGTCCGTTTGCATTTCGTTGAGACGAGATTTCGCGCGATCCCAGGCAAAGAACTCGTCTCGAGTGTCGCATTCAAACGATTTTGCGTCGGCTATCACGAGTAAATCGTCAGGGTGTTTCGCATAGGCCGTGATTATCAGCTTCACTTTGTGCTCGTATGCGCAGTCGATGAACGTGATGAACCTGCGCATCAAATCGACTCGGTCTAAAGACAATTTCGGTATGTTTTCAATTCCAATGGCGTGAAAGGTTGAACACAAAGCGACGTAATCCGACGGTCCTAAATTCGCGTCACACAGCTCGTCGAACTCTATTCGCGCAACGCCACCCCCAGCTTGTTTAATCCGTAGACTTCTACCAGAAATTGCCACCTCTAATTCCCTCAACGTCCGTTCGCCGGCGAGGTTTTGCGTCTTCACTTCCAACCAATCGTGCGCGATTTGTTTAGCCTCTTCGTCGGTTTTATCACTTTCCCCGATCATTTTCCAAACCCCGTGCACGTTAACTGATCCAATCATCCGGTAATCGAACACTGAGTCCATATCGTGCACTTGCATTCGACTTTTTATGCCTTCAATACATGGTAAAAACTGTTTCCGATTCAATCCGTTTTTATACAACTCGTCCGGCGCTCGGTTCGAAGTGCACACCACTCGCACGTTATTCTCCCACAATCTATCGAGTAATCGTCTAATGATCATTGCATCGGCGACATCAGTCACTTGAAACTCATCTAAACACAACACGTCTACTTTTGCCGCCAAGGAATCCGCGAACCACTTCACGGTATCTTCGTTCGAAACATTATCCGTTTTCTTTTTCATCTGGGCTAACCTGTGCAACTCTCCGTGCGTTTCCATCATGAAGGCGTGGAAATGCACGCGTTTCGAGAAAGATTTTGGTAACGTTGCCATGAACAAATCGGAAACGAACGTTTTACCGCACCCAGGTCCGCCGTATAAATACACCCCGCCCGCGCTCGTTTCACCCGCCAGCGTCGAGGCGTCTGACTTGTTCGTTCGATCCCAGAGCTTTTGAAACCACGATTTATTCTCCTCGTTGCTAGTACCGCGACTGCTGCTGTTATCACTACTACTACTACTACTACTACTACTGCTATTACTATCATTATTACTATCGTCTTTCCCCATGACTTTGTGATAAAACTTATCCAGCACGTAAAGCGCTTTCACCTGTTTCTCGTCTCGTTGCAACACGCCTTCTTCGGCTAACCGCTCATAGAATTTCATCGGCGACTCCGCGCCTTCCGGGTGTTTCACGAGCGTCGCGAAATCCAGCTGACTGACTGCTCCAGCTGTCGCCGAAGAGGACGGCTTCTCCTCGCTTCTGTGTATCGCGTCCGTCGCTCTCTTTTGGTTGCCACCGCCGAACGAAGACGAAGAAGCATCTTCGAAGACTTTCTCGGGAAGAGTTTGTTGAAACGACGACGGACTCGAAGAAAAAGAAGAACAGAAGCAACACGACGCGAGGACGAGTTTTGTATCCCCGAGAGAAGAAGAATTTTTGCCCGCGCGCGATGACTTCCATGCGCTCAAAAGAGCTCTTCGAGCGGCGGCCAAGGCGGTGGTGGTAGACGCTCGGCGCATCGTTACCCTTTTCTCTCTCTCTCTCTCTTTGCAAGTGAAGAAATTTCTGATGAAAGCAACGAGGAAGGTTTGTTTTTTATACTCTCTCATAAAGAGCGAGGAAGAAGTGCTTCTTAAACGAGAACGTAAAAGCAAAAGTAGAAATGTGTATTTATTGAAACTGCCCTCCGTAACCACCACCACTGCTATTTTTGTTCTTTCTAATGATGCCCATGAAATACCCGGCGACGTTTCGGACGTTGTCCACGTTCGCGGTTTCCATTTCCGTGACAATTTTTTCCATCGCCGAGGGGTCGCGAACTTGAGACAAGGCGGAGAGCATGCGCTCGTCGATGGCGTTTCGTTGGAAACGGCCTTTCTCAATACAAGTGATTATTCTGTTCGCGTACGCTGGGAGCGTACTTCTGAGCGTTTGATCGTCCACGCCTTGGCCGCCGTAGCCGCCACCGCCTTGGCCGCCGTAGCCGCCGCCACCTCCTCTTCCTCCTCCGAAGTTATTGTTGTTGTTGTAGTTATTAAAATTGTTCCCTCTTCCTCCTCGACCACCGAAATTTCCACCACCTCCTCCGTAGTGCCCACCACCATGACCACCACCGAAATTGTTCCGCATTTGTCCGAGAAACTTTCGAATTTTTGAGACGAACAAGCCGTTCGGGTTACGCACGCCGCCTCTCGCGTTCTGTAACTCGATGAACGTCTCGTCGATGCAATTCATCGCCATCATCTCGTTGAGTTGCGTGAATTCTTCCCACGCTGCGGCGTCAAATTGAACGCCCGGATTAGACGTGAACAATCGCTCCATAGCCGTACCTACCATGGGCGTAATGACACCGCGCATGAGCGCGTTTTGAACATCCTGCAACGCTGGATTGTACGCGTGGCCTTGTTCTTGAGTCCCTCCGGCGCCGCCGCCCATCGATCCAAACTGAACTCCATCTTTGTTCTCGTCGTTCCTTCTTCTGCAAACGCCTTTGAAATACGCGGATACGTTCTTAATCACATCTAAGTTTTGATTGGACAAATCCTCGATGGCTAAAAGTGCGCTCTCTTCCTTCATTTGCGCTAAGAAAGATAAAACGCGAAAATCAAGCGCATCTTCTTTCATGTGATTGGAATCGTACAAAGCTTTCAACGCTTGGCTTACTTTTTCCGGTAACTTGTCCAGTTCTTTCTCCGCTGCAACCATGCTCTTCGTATGCAACCACACTTTTGCGTTGTGACTCGCCAACGTCTTCCTGAGCGCAGCCAACGAGTCGCTCTCCTCGATGAATTGCAACTGCGATTTGACCGGAAACTTTATCAAAGCGTTGAATACTTCAAGTTGGTTCTGATCGTATTGCGGATCCTCGACGTCGCGAAATTTCGCCTCAAAGTGATCGCACGTGACGGCTGGAACGAATCCTCGAATCTGTTCGAGCGTTGGATACTCCAACGGCGGCGGCGTTCGAACTTTCTTCTTTTCCTCTGAAAATTTCTTTGTTGCAGTCGTCGTCGTTTTGGGAGAATTATTATCTTCACCACCATCTTTCTCGTCGTTGCCCACCGCTTTCTCCTCTTTCGACGACGGCGATTTGCTCTTCTTCTGTCTCTTTACCGTTTTTGTCGTCTGGTCTTTTTCGTTTTTTTCTTCTGTTGGATGTTGTTCTTGTTCGTCACCACCGTCACCACCACCCTCGTCCTTCTCGCCGTCAATTCCATCCGTTACTTTTGGAATCTCGATTTCTTCCTTCTCGCCGCCGCCGTCGTCGTCGACGACGACGTCCGCCGCCGCCGCCGCCGCCGCATCCGCATCCGCATCTTTTTTACTCGCCGCAACCGCTTTGCGTTTCGTTCCTTTCTTTGGCGGCATTCTTTTGAAGTATTACTATATAATTTACTATTAAAAGTAGTCAATTCTTTTCTGTTGTTGTTTGTGCGCGCGTAATTTTTGTCCAATCGGAGGATTATTGTGCACAAAAATCACTCATCGTTTGCCATTTGACACGCGAGTAAAAAATTGAAAAAAAAAGAGGGGGTCGGTCTTTAAAATAATCTGCAAAAAAATTTTCGGCTGCACATGCAGAAAGGAATATTTTTTGCACGAAAAACGCACATCTCATCACGGAATAAATAGAGAAGAAGAGAAACGCGCGCAGAACAACAATATTAAGAAGAAGAGAAAAGAGTAAAAGAGAGAATGATCGTTTTAGCGGGCTCCTCTGTTTCCTCCGTTTCCTCTGTTTGTTGTTCCCAGCAACAACGACGAGTTTTACGACCCCGACAACAATTTTGTCGCCGTCGGTTAGTACTACTCCGCGTTGAAGATGATGATGATGACTCACGTAATAAACGACGACCGAATTTTGTGGTGCACTCGTCGTCGTCGTTGTTCTCAAAACGAAGGACATCACCATCGTCTAAAATATGTGCTGCTTCTTCGAGTAATAATAACGGGGTTACCAATTATAATCAACTCGGAGGAAAACGACGAGGGAAACTAAACGGGGCGGGAGTGGTAACCAAGTTGGTAAAAAAAGACACGCAATTCGAACAACTCGGCTTATCTCCGGACGAGTTGGAGCAGTATAACCAAGAAACCGCTGGATACAAAAGCATAATAAACGCCGCTCTGGAAGTTTTATTGGAAACGTGTCCACCGTTTATACCGGAAGGCACGGAAACCGACGTGGAGCGGTTTAAAGACGAAGACATTGAATCCTTTACTCTGAACGATAAGATATTTAACCCGGAGATGTCGTGGTTGGCGTTTAACTGGAGAGTTCTGGCAGCCGCGGCGGACGAGAACATTCCGGCGTTCGAACGACTTCGGTTTTTAGCGATTAGCGGGAGAAACCTGGACGAGTTTTTCGCCAAGCGAGTTGGGGCGTTAAAGAGGCAAGAATCTGTCGGGGTTGGGAACTTAGTCAAGAAAAGAGGTAAGAACATATGGTCGCCGAGGAAAACGCTCGAATACGTCAGCGCGGAAGTAGAAAAAATGTCGGATATTCAGGCGGAGTTGTACATCGAACAAATAGCGCCGAGTTTAGCGGATTATAACATCAGGATTTTATCGCACGACGATATGGACAAGGAAACGGTTCAGAAAGTTCGCGAATGGTACCACGACTATGTGGAACCGATTTTAGATCCGAGAGCGATCGATCCGTGCCACCCGTTTCCGTTTTTACCGAGTTTGTCCATAGCGTTGGCAGTGGAGTTGGAAGACGCGTACTCAAACGAGAAATTCGCGGTGGTTTCTGTTCCATCCGTGGTGGACAGATGGATCGACGTTGGCGAGTTTATGGACGAAACTAAAGGTAAACTTTTTTTGCCTTTAGAGCAAATTTTAGAGGCGAACATGGACACGTTGTTTCAAGGATGTAACATTCGCGCGTGTCACGCGTTTCGAGTGTGTAGAAACGCGGACGTCGAAAGAAACGAGGAGGAGGCGGAAGATTTGTTAGAGATGATGTCTGACGAAGTTCGAACGAGACGTTTTGCATCGTTCGTTCGGTTGGAAGTGCAAGACACGATGCCTGAACACGTGAAAGACCGTTTGATGAAATCTCTCGAGTTGAGATCGTTCGACGTGACTTCGGTGCCGCACGCCGCGCCGTTGGGATTCGGCGTTTTAGATTCCATCGACGTGAGTTTTGAAATGGACGACGCCTTAGTTTTTGACCACTGGTCTCCGAGAACGCACCCGAGATTGGTTGGTATCGACGTCCCTTCCTCGTCTGCTTCCGAGGCGGAAGAGATGAGCAAACGTAATATTTTCGACGAGATTAAAAAAGGAGATATTTTAGTCCACCACCCGTACCATTCGTTCGCGACGTCCACGCAAGCTTTCTTCGAAGCCGCGGCAAGAGATAAGGATGTTTTGAGCATTAAATCGACGTTGTATAGAACTTCATCGAACTCGCCAATTATATCGAGTTTGATTAAAGCTTGCGATAACGGGAAAAACGTCGCCGTGTTGGTTGAATTGAAAGCTCGATTCGACGAAGAGCGAAACTTGGGTTTTGCGGAACGACTTGAAACTGCCGGGTGTAACGTCGCGTACGGCGTAAAAGGCGTGAAAACGCACTGTAAAGCAACTTTAGTCGTACGAAGAGAAGGAGAAAAGCTCGTGAAGTACGTTCACTTAGGAACTGGGAACTATAACCCGTCCACGGCGGGTATTTATACCGATTACGGCATGTTTACGTGCAAAGAAGAATACGGCGAAGACGCCGTGAATTTGTTCAAGTTTTTAATGGGCCATCATTTCCAAAAAGAATTCAACAGATTGCTGGTTGCGCCGCAAAGCTTACAATCTAGCATGGTGGATTTAATCGAGAACGAAATCACCGCCGCAAAGAAAGGGTACAAAGCGTCCATCACGGCTAAAATGAACGGTTTAGACGACCCGGAGATTTGTAAAGCGTTTTATCGGGCGAGCCAGGCGGGCGTGAGCGTGAATTTGATCGTTCGGGGCATTTGTAGAATTCGCCCTGGCGTCCCAGGCATTTCCGAAAACATTCGCGTGATCTCAATCATCGGTCGATTCTTAGAACACCACAGATGCTTTCGATTCGAAAACGCGCTTCAGACAGGGAAAGCGGATCCGAAGATTTACATGGGTAGCGCAGATTTGATGCGAAGAAATTTGTTACATCGCGTCGAAGTCGTCACGTTAGTCGAAGATGAGAGAATCAGGTGCGAAATCCAAGACATGCTCGATGCTTGTCTCGTGGATGGTGTCTTAGCGTGGGAGTTAGGTGCGGATGGACGATATCATCGTACTCCGGAAGCGCGAGCGATTGCGGCGAAACACTCGAGCCAAGATCCCGGGAAAGGAAAACTCATGCCAATTGCCGCGACAAAAGGTTTACACGCGAGTTTAATGGTCGACGTGTTAAAGAAACGAAGTAAAAGTAAAACGAAACAATCTGTCGCGGGTATTGCGGCCAAGAATTTAAAATATGCGGCGAGAATGCCAAAGCAAGCGATGGTGAAGAGTGCGGAGGATATGGCGCAGCCGGAGAAGTTGGAGAAAGCTGAAAGTGCCTTTCCCGTGTCCTCTTCTTCTTCTTCTTCTTCGGACAAGAGACCTTCGATGCATGAAATCATCGATGCGAATGCGAGACCGATAGAGGGAGAAAAAGTGATTAATGACACCAGCGAGGATAGTATGGACGACGTCGCGTTCGATATGGAGGTTTAAATTCATAAGAACGATTGACTTCTAGAACAAAAATGAATTTTCCAACTCGTAAACTACAAACTAATCAACACATCTTCTCTCTTTCTCTCTCTCTCTCCCTTCTGCTTACATATGATCACACATCATAGGTCTATACTATACAGGAACCAAATAATAATTCTACTAACAAATACACAAAAAAAGTTCTCCACGCATGCGTGACAGCGAGTGTTTGTACTTTCTTTTTAAATGTAATTTTCCGTCGAGAACGCCGGCGATAACACGGATTGACTCGCGGCTTTCTTCAACGTCTTCCATACTTGCACGTTCGCCTCGAAGAACCCAACAGAGTGGAAATTCTTCAAACCGTTTTTCTTGGCATACGGTTTAATAACTTCTTCTCGGAAATCTCTCAGTTTATGTCTCGGTAGTCTTGGACACAAATGGTGTTCGACTTGAAATTGCAAACCGCCATGGAACCAATCCAAATATTTTGGGCACTCAATGTCCATCGTCCCGGCGAGTTGCATCTCAATCCATTCGTTGTTTTTTGGAATCCCATCGAACACATCTCTCGAAAAGTGCGACAAACATATTTGAACGTGAATGATCCCACCAATTGCGTGCGAGAGGAAGAAGAACGCCCATTTCTCACCAGCCGTCGGTAACATGCTCACCAGCGTCGAATACCACGCGAAGTAAAAACCGAGCGTGGCGAATTCAATGACGCGCTGTTTCTTGGACATTTTTACCGTCGCGCAGTGAATCAACGTTTGCGCGTATAAGTTCACTCTCGCTACGGCCATGATCGGGTAGAACGTGTAATGCTGCACGCTAACAAACTTCTTCGCTAACCAATCAAATTTCAACTGTCGGTTGTGGTACAACGAGTACACGGATTCGAAATACTTCCTCGTGACTGCCAAAATCGGCATGTGTTGAATATCCGGATCGCACTCCAAAGAGTTCACGGCGCAATGATGGACGTTGTGCGTGCTCGACCACCAACTAATGCCAACACCGTTACACATGTTCCCAATGAGCCACCCGATGGCGGTGTCCAATTTCCTATTGTGGGTCACCGCGCAGTGCCCCGCGTCGTGTCCGATGAACATGCTTTGCTGCCAAAACATTCCCAACGATACGGCTCCGAGCATGTGAGAAAACGTATCCTCTTTATTCACGACCAAATGAATTGCCACGGCTAACAAAGACACCAAGCGAATGGCGATGGCGTAATAGTGCTTATAATCCGTCTTGAACTCTGCGTTCTCCGCCGTTTTCACCAACTCTCGAAAATCGTGTAAATGCTGGGGCGCTTCCTCCGAAATCTTTCTTTGAACGGCGCCAACGCGCATGGATTTCAACGTTTTCATCGCTTTTCCGTTTTCCGAGTGATACGCTCGGAACGCGTCCGTAATGTCTCTCCCGGAGTACTGTTTCAGGACGGTTTCGCCTCCCGGATGTTTTGAAATCCAACTCGAAATGTCGTACACGTTGTCACCGAAGATGACCAGTTTTGGGGAGTCCTTCGCGGTCATGTGATCGCACTCGTTCACCTGCGAAACCGTGTACGTGGTGGCGGTGCTCGCGGGAGACATATCCACATTCGTGATTGGGGAAGAACCCGAGGCGTCCTTACCGCCTTTGCCCATGATGAATACGATGTTAAAGTCCTCCTCTGTTTTTATTCCTTTTTATCGCTTTTCTCTTTTATCACCACCCGAAAATGTGTCCCGAAACGTCGCCACGTCGTTTACTCTTTTCGCGCGCGTTCGTCCGTTCTTCTTCGATCGACCAAATCTCTCTCTCGATTGAATACTCTTTTAAATATCTATCCGTTCTCAAGCAGATCCCGACTGTAAATACAATACTACAATAAGAAGTGAGCGGGGTCGGCTTTGAATAAAATGTGTGACGTCGGAGGACGCCTTTTTTTTTTGATGAGTGGCTGTTTTTTTTAATGAGCGGCTGTCATGGCTGTCGGTAACAACGAAGGCGACCTTTCTCTCTTTTTGCTTTTTTTCAGACAAATTGAGCCCAACCACCAAAATACCAAAACATGTTTGTGAAATAATAGGAATACAATACGGTGATGATATATTAATATAAATAACAACGAAGACGAAAAGTAATAATCGTCAATAAGAAAAGCGTTCTCCTTCATTTGCGTACGTTTACTTCTTATTAATATCGTAGAAGAAACCAACCGTGTTGCCAACTTTGATGGTGACTTTCGGAGCGCCTTCGGGAAGGCGCGGACCTCCTCGGCTACTGTTACCACCGCCGCTCTTCTCCTTATAGATGACTTTTTCGACGATTTTCTCCTTGATGATCGGTACTTCCACTTTCTTCTCGATGATTTTGTCCTTGTAGACAATCTTCTCCACCGGCTTGTCTTTGTAGACAATCTTCTCCGGACCGGGGACCTGAACTTTCTTTTCGACGATTTTGTCTTTATATACGATTTTCTCCACCGGCTTCTCTTTATAGACAACTTTCTCTTTCGCTGCTGCGCTACCACCGCTGCTACTATTCTTCCTGCTGTTATCGGTTTTGTAGACGATTTTTTCGACTATTTTGTCTTTATATACAATCTTTTCCGGACCGGGCACTTTGACCTCTTTCGTGATTACTCTCTCTTTACCCGGAACTTCCACCTTCTCTTTGACAATCTTTTCCTTGTAGACAATCTTCTCCACCGGCTTATCTTTATAAACAACTTTAACAGTTTCTTTCCCGGGAGCCTCAACCTTTTCTTTAACCACGCGGTCTTTGTACACAATCTTCTCCGGTCCGGGAACTTTTACTTTCTTCTCGACGATTTTCTCCACAATCTTCTCCGGTCCCGGTACTTTTTCGTATCTCGTAACCACTCGCGTTGGGCCCGGAACTTTCACGATTTCTTTCACGACTTTGATTCGCTCTTTTCCCGGAACCTCAACCTTGACTTCTTTCACGCGCACTTTCTCGCCCGTCGATGAGGGTGAGGACGAGAGTGCTTTCCCGACAATCGCACCGGCGAAGAATCCAATCGCAATCTTACTCAGATGATTCATAACGAATCCAACCTTACCACTGTTATCAACATTGCTCATTGGTACACCATCGGTATTCGTAGCGGACGATGTCGATGGTGGCGAAATCGAACTACTCGGCGCACCTCCTCTTCCGAGATTATACGGACTTTCGTCAAAACTCATCACCCCGTTTCTGTTCTTATAATTCTCCATTCTCGATTTCTCGAATAGTTGTATCCACTCCGGCCCTTTCTCTCTCAAGTCAATGCCCATGGGGTAATCCAACTGTATCTTCTCCGGCTGAATGCCTTCCATGGTTAATCGATATTTCAACCGTTCCCAAACGCGTTCTTGTCCTCGGGCGTTGAAATGAATTCCATCCGTAAAATAGCCTTTCGTATCGTGCTCAAACGCGACAAACAAATCCTCGACCGGTACCACGCATTTTCTACACGCTCGTTTACACGCCATCCCATACTTTTGTAGCTCTTCGTTCGACCTATCCAACCTCGCGAACGCCTTGTCGCCGTACATTTCGACTTGATAGTTCAACCGTCCTTGTTCATCCATCGCCGGTGGGGCCAGAACAATCACGTGCTTCGAGCACTTCTTCGCTCGATTAATAATAATCTCCATGTTCTTCTCGTATTCCTCTAAGGGCACGTACGCGCTCGTTTGAAACTTGCTCGTTTTTTCCTCGATTGCGCTATCGTTCGTCCCAAACATGATTATCGTTAGGTGATGTTTGCGCAATCGTCGGTCGAATTTCTCGGGAAAGATATCGTCCATAACTTTTAACGCCCATCGAGTGTTGTACCCTCCGAATCCTCTCACGTACACGTCCGCTCTTCTCGTAAAGTGGTCGTTCTGTTAAACGGTGTTTGTTTGCGTTCGACGTGTTTTGTAACACAACACAACAGAGAAGTAGTAAATATTGGTTAGTTTATATTTAAACTTCTTCTTCACGACAAAATTCAAGGCGCGCGGCGATCAAATTCAAGAATAAAAAACACCAACACAGACACGCAAAGAAAGAGAACACATAACTTTGCGTAATAATAAACGAAAAGAAAAAGGAAATGAATACAAACTCTCGACGACGTACCAAACTCTCTCCCCATCCGCCTTGTTCGATCGCGCGTTGCGTCAAAGAGTCTCCGAACAGAACGATCTTCTCTCGCCGAGACGTTAATCCCATGATTTGTGTTTTTGTCTTCTGTTATACGACGAAAGAGGAGTCCAAACTTGAAAATTTCTGAAGAGGACTGACGATTTTGATTTGACGACCAAAATTAAAGTTTTTTCATGGGGGGAACCTCGAATCAGAAGAAAAAAACGAAAAGTGTTCAGAATGCTATGGAATCGTCGTGTGTTGTTGTTGCGTGTTGTTAAAAATGTCATCAACAAGGAGAACATCATCATTGTCATCAACAACTACAACAACAACAACTAATGAGGAACAGTTTTGGCGACAACGCGCGCAAATCTTGCGCAATTTGAGCCGCTGTTCATCTTCAGACGTTTCTAAACTCGTGAGCCGGTTATTTTTTGTCGTTTTTGGAAACGGGGAGGATGGAGGAAGTAGCTGTGGGTTCGTGCACGTGAAGGATACCGAAGAGGAGATTGAGAACGTGAGGAGATGTTTCCAACGGACGATGAGGAGACACGAGAGCGTGCGAGAAGTGGAGATGGATTTGTTGAAACGGAGAGAGATTGAGAGTACGAATGGAAAGAGATATGAGAAGGAGAGCAAAACGACGAGGTTGTTGGAGGAGATTTTCAACGAGAACAACAAAGTTGATGATGTTTCCACCACTCAAAAGAGCTCAAAGGAGACGAAACAGACGAAGAAAACGAAGAAGAAAGAAGACCCGTTGTCGCCGGAGATGTCTCTGTCGCCAGACGTCATCGCGGACGAGAACGATGCGAATAAGAGAAAAGTGCGACGACGAACGCCTGGCGGTGAAAAACCATCGAGGTCGCCGTTATCGAACGTGAACGAAAGCGGTATTCGCTACCACCGAGAGGTCTCTCTCGGAAAACCGCCGAGAGGAAACGTGAAACGGGCGAGGACGACGGACGATCCTTTCCCAGTAGTTCATAGCAAAGAAAGCAACGAATCCAGAAAATCGTACGTGTGCCCGTTTGAGTCGTCGTTTGGATGAGTAGTATTTTAATGACACATCGTAGCAGTAGCATCCCAAACTCATCAGCGTATTCAGCGCCGAGTCGCGCCAAACGTGATGAATTTTTTCCTTCCCATCATCTGCACGTCCATACTAAACACCTTAAAAAACGGGTACGTCAACACTTTGAATAACGGCCTTAAAATCTTATTTCTTCTGGCGACTTGCGGGAAATGACTCCACGGCGCCGGTGCCGTGCTATAATCGCAATCGAGCGCGCGTAACTCCTCCATATCTTCCTCCGTGAGCGAAAACGTTTCCAAAGCCTGAAAATCGGCGTTTTCCTTCGCTCGAATTTCAGACGCCGATTTCGGAATCACAATCACGCCTCTCTGTAAATGCCATCTTAAAATCACTTTACTTGGCGTCGTTTGTCTTCTTTCTGCTATTTTTCGTACAATTTCGTTTTTAAACAACTCGCTTCCTCTCGCGAATGGAGAATACGCCGTCACCGCCACGCCCATCTTCTTTGAAAACTGAATCAACGCATCGTTCGGTAACATCGGGTGCGACTCGATTTGATTCACCGCTGGTTTAATTTCTGAATGTTTCATCAACTGTGTCAACTGTTCTTGATTAAAGTTACTCACCCCAATCGATTTCACCTTCCCTTCTCTCTTCAACTGTTCCATCGTCTTCCAACACTCCTCGATGGACGTCTCCGTATCGTCCACTAATACCGTTCCTCGTTTCCAACACACTGGCCAATGAATTAAGTATAAATCGATGTACTCCAACTGTAAATCTTCTAATGTTTGTTCCAACGCCTCTCGAACGTCATCTGGTTTCCGTCTATCGTTCCATAACTTACTCGTAATGAACACGTCCTCTCGCGACGTATCTTCGTCGCCAAAAACTTTACTCAAACACTTTCCAATCACGTGTTCGTTCGCATACGCCGACGCGCAATCCAAATGCGTCAACCCGTTCCGTAACGCCGAAGTGATGGCTAAAGTGCACTCCTCAGGTGGATTCGATTTCCACGTCCCTAATCCTAAAGTCGGTATGACGTTCCCGTCGTTTAACAGTTGCGTTCGGGAGATATCGTTTTTCTGATGTTTTTGTTTTTGTTGTTGTTGTTGATGAGATGTCGCTTGTGCCGTTTTCCTGAAAGAAGATGTGCCGGCGGCCATTTTCTTCTTCTTCTTGTTGGTGTTGTTATCACTATATCCTGAATATAATAAAGAAGATACCACAGAGAGACTCTTCCTCGATTGCATCTCTTAATCTCTTACTCTCTCTTCTCAAAGTGCGTTGTGTATTATGTAGAGTGATGATGATGATGGTTTAAAAATAGACATCTCGCCGGCAAAACTTTTTTTTCCTGTTTTTTCATTTTTCAGTCTGTTTTGTTGGTTATGGAAGACACAACACTCCACATAATACTATAGAACAACAATAATAACAACAATAATAACAACAAGAACGAGAACATTATTATGGGGGTCACGCGAACGAAGAAGAGCACGTCGTTGAAACGGAAACGGAAAGATCCCCCTGGGGACGACAACGACGACGGGTGCGTCCGTCGTTCTTTCTTTTTTATTCTTTCTTTCTCTTTTTCCAATTTTCGATTTTCGCCGCCATTGTTTTTCTCATTTAGATGGAAAGCATCGCTCGCGCGTTGTTTAGTAGTATCTCATTTATATCTTCTCTCTCATACATCATCATAAATCACGTAACATAAAAACAGAAGAAGAACAAAGAGTGAAAACGTCTCCATCGGCAAGCTCACCAGTCAAATAAAAAACAAGCAAAGACGCTCGGAAGTCTACGGGAAGCTCTTACACGAACAAAGCGTAGAGAAGAAAAAACGACGTCAACTGAGACAAAAAGAAGAACTGAGAGCGTTGGAAAACGGGGAGACGCCGGCACCGAGACAAGTCCCGAAAACGATAGAAAACCAACGCGTGATAGATGAGACGCACATCGTGAGAGAAGACGAGGAGGAGATTCACAACGAAGATAAAGAGGACGAGTTTGCGTCGTATTTTTCGTTCAACTCGAGCCCGAAGATTATAATAACGACGAGTAGGAAACCGAGCGGCGCGATGTTTAAGTTTTTGGAGAATCTATTTACGGTAGTCCCGAACGCGTATTATTACGCGAGAAGAAACTACCACGTTAAAGAGATGGTGAAGCACGCCACCGCGAGAGGATTCACGGATTTGCTCATTTTCAATGAGAATAAAACGTTTAGTAAAGGTGCGCGAGTGAACGGGTTGTTACACGTGCACTTGCCGGAAGGACCGAGCGTGATGTATAAACTGACGAATTTAATTTTGAGTAAAAAGATTCGAAATCACGGCCGAGCGACGTCGCATTACCCAGAGTTGTTGTTGAATAACTTTAGCACTCGATTAGGTCACCGAATTGGACGAATGTTTGCGAGTTTGTTCCCTCAGAAACCAGAGTTTAAAGGAAGACGCGTGGTGACGTTTCACAACCAACGAGATTTCATTTTTTTTCGACACCATCGATACGTGTTCGAGGAGAAGAAAGGGGTGAGAAGAAGACACGGCGGGCACTTATCCACCGCCGAGGTAGACGAAGAGTCCTTTTCCAAGAATAGAATAAAGAAGAGTAGTAAGAGGAAGAGTAAACCGAGCTTAGCGCTTCCGTCTGGAGAAGACGAAGAGGACGGGGATGAAGAGGACGTGCAGTTTAGCGGCGACGAAGATTCCGATTCGGACTCGGACGAGTTCAAAGCTGGGAGTAGTAGCGACGAAGATTCCGATGACGACGACGACAGTAGTAGTAGCGGTAGCAGCAGCGATGATGATGATGATGATGATGATGATGATGATGATTCAGACGACGATAGCGGGGAAGATGAAGACGGTAAAAAAAAGGAGAAGAAACCGTTCGAGCGAAAGAAAAAATTGACCAAGGCTCAGAAAAAAAAAATCGCGGACGAGAACGACGATCGACCAACCTCTGTCATCGCCAGGTTGCAAGAATTAGGGCCTCGATTCACGTTGAAGCTAATGAGCGTACAAAAAGGAACGTTCGATTCAAAACACGGCGAGTTTGAGTACGTGCGCAGCACGGAAACGGACGGGACAAGAAAAAACAGACGAAAGTTTGTTCTTTAATTTTCTGGTTGTGTATCTCAGAGCGCTATTCCTACGTTAGCTAATGTTGTTGTTTTTGTTGTTATGATTCCTCCTCTACATCCTCCTCCTCTTTTGCTACTCCTACTCTCTCTCTCTCTCTTCCTTCCTGCCGCCATTCCTCTCCGTTATCCAGACCTAAACAATAAAATCGCAATGTGCCCGATGTAGAAATATATAAAGTGTCCGGTTTCGTGCGTCACGTAGGACCCAAAGTTTCTCCCGACCACGCAGTGCCAAGTCGGCTGGTACTTCTTATCGAACTCCTTCTTGATGTACGCGGCTATGTCTTTTTCTATTTCGTATCTCTCTAATGCCTGTTGTTGTTGTTGTTGTTGTTGTTGTTGTGGGTATATTGCAGAAAACGGAAAATGTCAAAGAGAGTAAGACGAAGCGTCGTCGGTCGTTGAAAAAGTCAAAATTTTTAACGACCCAGACAAAGGCAAAATGTGACTTTCCACGTTCGCGCGGAGGAAGAGAAAACAAAAAAGAAGGTCTCACGCACAATTTTGGCGCAATCTACCGCGTCTTGTATGACTTCCTGTTTCGCGTGTTTTCGATGAGCGAGTGAAAGAGAGAAGAGAGTATTAGTGTTATTAGTTGTTCATCAAAAGAGACGATTCGTTTTTCTTCGCAAAAGCGTCTGTTGGTTTGACTTTCGAAAATTTTGCAACGACGAGATGACGCGCGCGCGAACTACTTTTATTCGTCGTTGTCTTTTGATGACAAACCTCTTTCATGTCCGCAGACTTGATGGACGGTTTCATTTGTCCTCCGTTGCTGTTGCTGTTCTCCATTTTGATGTTTTGTAGTAGATAATAGGCGTCGTGTGGTTGTGATGAGTGAGTGCTTCCTCTGTCTGTATCCGCGAAATAAAAAATGACGACAGACATGGAAGTTTCGTCAAAAGAACTGAATTCAGAGACTGGAAGAAGAAGAAGGACGAGACGGTGTAGCAACAAACAGGTATGTAAAAGAGATGAGAAAAAAACTTTCGTCTGATGATGAAATGAATTAAAGAGATCCAGGAGATCACAATACACATATATTATTATGAGAACAACAATTTGATGTGAACACAACAAGCCTTTCTTTCAACAACTTCACGTTATTATTAATCGTCTCTTTGTCCTTTCGCTCGATCTTTGCCGTTGAACTGCCTATATCCGAACCACTCCAAATCCCCGGGCCATTTTGAATCCGGTTCCGGTAACTCGTTCGGGTATTTGTACGCGTCCTCGTAGTATTGATTCACCCCTCCCGCTAAGTGGTATAACTTCGTGTATCCGACTTGGTACATTTCAAACGCAGCCGGTAACGAGCCGGCGCCTTTCGTGTTATCCGTCAACCCTCGGTTCTTTGGCGGTTCGCTCAGCAACGTCCCGCCCCAAATATCGACCAAGATGATATCCTGTTTCAACTCCGCCACTCGTTGCATGTCATTCACAAAGTTCATATTTTTCTTCTTAAATCCCGGCAGACGAAGTTTCGCTAACAAACCGCCCTCGATGTACGGGACGTTGATCGACCCCGGGATCGACCACTGCTCGAAATCTGGTTGAAATCTCACGTCCACAATCAGGGCGCCTTTTTTTTGCATCTGCATCGCTTTCCGAGCGTCGATGGTTGGCATTCGCTTCGTTTTCACTAAATATTGCCACGCGTCCGGCCATTCGCACATTCCCGGCCCTAAGCACGGGACGATGCCATTTTGATCCGGTTTCCCAGACGGGACGATTTGGTTTGATATTGTTCTTCTTATTATTTTTAGGGGACGATGATGATGGTGTTGAGCTTTGCTGCTCATGCTGCTGCTCATGCTGCTGCTGCATCTCGAAGAAAACGAAGAAGAACATCTTTTCGCATCGTACACCAGGGACATATTCATCATGTTTTCACCGATGATAATGCGAGAGAGTAAACACAGCGACAATATAATAGTGAGAGATTTTTCCGCCTCCTGCCCTCTTTACAAAAAATCTTTCTGTTCTTTCCCGTAAAAACACCACCAAAAGTTAATTATTGACGCGCAGAACAACAAGAGAGGAAGAGGAGGAGGAGGAGAAAAAGGACAAAAAGAAGCGCTCGAGAGGGAGTATTATATCACTAAATCATCATTAAAATGGGCGACGGCACGACGTACCGCAAATCGCTCTCGATTTCCAAAGCTTCGCTGTTAGCGGTGATTTGTTTTCTGATTGGATTCGTAACGCGCGGAAATTTAGGTGATTTATCATCGACGAAGATGATTTTGCCGACGACGCAAAAAGATGTAGACGGAGAAGATCCGAGTCCAGGGGCACTCAGAAACGCGCAAGTCATTGAAATCGACGACGACGACGACAGTGTTCACAAAGATGATGATTTGGGAGAGAAAGACGTAAAAAATCTTGCAGGTGGAGTTACAGAAGAAGAAATGGAAGAAGAAAAGTTGAACAGCGAAGACTCGAACGCGCTGGACAAAGTCGGCGCACTTGGCGACGAGTACTTGACCGAGCTGAAATTTCAACTCCTCTCGACGGCGCCTCGGTCGGTGATGTACCGAAATTTCGCCAGCGATGCGGATTGCGATGCGATCGTGGAAGCGGCGAGGAGTCGATTGCACAAATCCGGTTTGGCGTTGAAAAGAGGCGAGACGTTGGAGACCACGAAGAACATTCGGACGAGTTCCGGGACGTTTTTGACATCAAAAATGGAACAAAGTGGGGCGTTGAAACGCGTGGAAGAGAAGATGGCGCGCGCGACGCACATTCCAGCGACGCACGGGGAAGCTTACAACATTTTACGCTACGAAATCGGCCAAAAATACGATTCGCATTACGATATGTTTGATCCCTCGCAATACGGTCCGCAAAGATCGCAACGCGTCGCTAGTTTTCTTTTATACTTGACCACCCCAGACGAAGGAGGTGAAACCGTGTTCCCGTTGGAAGGTCAAAACGGATTATATCGGTTACGCGGGATCGATTACACGAGTTGCGAGGCTGGATTAAAAGTCAAGCCGAGGAAAGGCGACGCGCTTTTGTTTTGGAGCGTCCATCCGAACAACACGTTCGATCGAAGTAGTTTACACGGCGGGTGCCCAGTCATCAGCGGGACGAAGTTTGTCGCGACGAAGTGGATTCACGATAATCGTTGGACGTTATAGGTATATATAATTGTCTTCTCGCGAGAGAACGCGTAGAAAATAGTTTAGAGTTGTTCTTATTATTAGTGGATTAAGTAGAGAGAGGTCAGAGGTGCAGAGTAGTAAATTTTTGCATTGGAACAGACACTCACAAAAGCGTCGTCACAACGACAAAAATAAAACGAGAGCAAAACAGAGTAATACTTCACACACACACAACACATAGCGAGAAGAACACTGTTATCCACATGCTCACCACAACGTCTACTCTTTCGTCGTCGTTAGCGACGTCGTCGTCGTCATCGAGAACGGACGCGAAGAAGCGGCATCATCAACGCCAACGACGACGACAACATTCATCACCGTCAGCATTTGCTTCTTCTTTATCCAAAACGAATTTTGCGACGACGACGACGACGAGGACGACAAAAGCTGGTGTTTTCAATGCTGCCACGACGCGCACCGCTCAAAACGAGAAAATCAACAGTATTAATGCTGCGTTGCAGAGGACGAAGAAAAAGAAATCGGTGGTCGTCACGTTTGCTTCTGCCGCCGCTGATGGTGCAGCAGCTCCTCCAGTTGGGACGTTCACCATCGGCATCGCGTGGTTCTTCATGCATCAAATTATCGGCGTCGCCAACGACGTGATTATGAAAGCGGCGGGACAAACTTTATCGGTGGCGCAAGTTGTCTTCTTGAGATTTTTCTTCGCGACGTTGACGATGTTGCCAGTCATGTTGATCTCTGGAAAAGACTCGTTCAAAACGGATAGATTACCTTTACACTTTGCGCGAAGCGCTTTGTTGGCAATGGGAATATTTTTGTACGCGAAAGGTCTCACCGTCGCACCAATTGCCGTGGTGACGACGTTGAATTTCACCATCCCGTTGTTCACCCTAGTCTTGGCCAGGTTTGTGTTGAAAGAGAAAGTAGACGTGAATCGATGGATCGGGACGGTGGTTGGATTTTTGGGCGTGTGCGTGGTTTTGAAACCGACTGGAGGCGCCGCCGGGCTTGGGTCGTTTAACATGTCCTGGCTTTTGATTCTAGCCGCAGCGACTATGTTTTCCAGTTTGGACGTTTTGAATAAAGTGTTTGTCGGGCGAGAATCGTTTTGGGCGATGATTTTTTACACCGCGTTGTTCACGACGTTGATCTTTTCGCCCTTCGCGTTTATGGGTTGGGTCGCGCCGACGATGACGCAGTACGGCGCGTTAGCCGCGTTAGGTGCTGGTGCGAATGCGCTTTTGTATTGTTTGTTAAAATCCTTTTCCATGGTGGACGCTAGCGCGTTGGCGCCTTTTCGATATACGGAGTTGATTTTATCCGCGGGCGTCGGATGGGTGTTGTTTAAAGAAGCCATTTCTATGAATACGATTTTAGGCGCGATGGTGATTGTCCCGAGCACATTATACGTCGTCTGGAAAGAGAACCAAAAGAAAGAAGAGTAAATCCAACATTTTAAAAGAGAACCGATGATAATGCGTTAATGTGTTTGTGTAATGAATATGATTATTTGACTTTCATTCATTGTACGTATTCGGGTAAACACAAATTGCGCGATGAAATTAAAAGCAGCACCAACAATCGAACGGACACTTCCCTCCTGGTTCCCCATTCGGCCCCAAAACTCTGCCTTTGCTATCTACTTTCTGCTGTCCGTGCTTCATGTCCGTGAAATCGTCGTACGATTTATAAACTGGCAAACCGTCTTCCATCCGTCTCGGTTTGTCCACGGGAGTAAACTCTGGCACTTCCTCGCCTTTGCTGTTTAACCGTTTCCCTTTCGGTTTTTTCTGCCCGGGGAGCAGAATTTTCACGTATCCTTCCTTCTCTTTCTTCTTCTTCTTGTTGTTACTCTTATTCCTCGCGCCTCCATCGCCTTCCTCGTTACTTTCATTCTTCTTCTCCGTCTTCTTCTTCTTCACGACTTTTCCAAATATGTCGTCAATGTCGGACACCTTTTTTTTCGTCTTTTTCTCCTTCATCACATTTCCCTCCTCCTCCTCCTCCTCCTCCTTGTTTGCGCGTTTCTTACTCCCCATTTCCTCGTCGATCGTGCGTGGTGGTAATTGATACTACTTCTCGAATACGTAATAGAAGTCTGTGCTGCCTCTGGTACGTGCGTACGGACGACGCAGAGAAGAAACTGAACAAGATTCCAAACACACAAAAAAAAGCAGCAGCCGTCAAAAAATAATGAAGAAGAGAGCGAAAACACAAAAATTCTTGAAAAAGGTCACTCACTCCCTTCGTGTTCCTCATTATTTTATTACAGATATAATCCAATACAAAAGAGTAATAAAAGACTTTGAAGAAGAGAAGAGGAAGAATACCAAGAAGAATGTCTGCTTTTACGAAGAAAGGTGGTGGAAATGGTGGTAAGACTTCAGGAGCAGGCGAGGACGTGGAAAATCCACCACCTTTACCTGCGGTGAAAGCAGCCGGTGTGACGGCTTTGGATAATGTCCAACGAAAAGAAAGTAGTGGTGACGCCGACGAAATGAATGGAAAGAACAAGCGGGAGTCTAATCTGAACAAAAAAATGGATAAACTCGCCAAGAAGGAGCAAAAGCAATCGTTTTGGAAGTTACACAAGGAAGAATTGTGGTCTTTGGTTCCGTATTTATGGCCGAAAGAGCAGATATGGATCAAGTTCATGCTCTTGTGCGCGATATTTTTCTTGTTGGCGAGTAAACTGTGCAACGTGACTTCTCCGATTGCGTTGAAAATAGCGGTGGATCGAGTGAGCGAGAACAGGTCGGACATTGAGTGGGCGATTGTTGCGTACGGGGCGTTACGATTTGGCGCGAACTTCTTTGGCGAGTTGAAAGATAACTCTTTCGCGTACGTCAGCGCGCACGCGTCGAGGAAGATTTCATTGAGAGTGTTTACGCACGTGATGGATTTGTCGCTCAAGTTTCACATCACGAGGAAAACTGGGGCGGTCATACGAGGGTGCGCCAGAGGTTCGGAGTCCTTCGCGTTGCTTTTGAAGTATATATCGTTTCAAATCGCGCCGATTTTTATCGAGGTTGCCATGGTGTGTTGCTTTTTGTTGGTGCAATACGATTGGTATTTTGGGATCATAACGTTTTTCGTGATTTTCGCTTACATTGGTTTTACGGTACCGTTTACCGAGTGGAGAAATAAGTTCCGACGGGACCAAACGGAAGCGGACGATCGGTTTAATCAGAAAGCGACGGATTCGTTGTTGAACTTTGAAACTATTAAACTATTCTGCGCGGAGCCGCACATCGCGCACACGTACGACGAAGCGCTGAAACAGACGCAAAAGGCGACGCTGAAGACGACCCAATCTTTAGCCGGTTTGAATTTAGGACAGGCTCTGATTATAACCGTAGGTATTACGGCGAGTATGGGATTAGCCGCGGAACAAGTCGTCGATGGCAAGATGACAATTGGTGATTTTGTTCTGGTGAATACCTTCATCTTGCAACTGTACGTGCCTTTGAACTTTTTGGGCACGTACTATCGAATGATCAAGCAGTGCATGGTTGACGTAGAGGCGATGTTTAGATTGATGGGTGAAAATCAAGAGGTTGCGGACGCAGATGACGCGAAAGACTTAGTCTTGGCGAATCCTTCGCAAGCAAAGATTGAATACGAAAACGTGTTCTTTTCGTACGATCCGAAGGAAGATCGGAAAATCTTGAAAGGCGTTTCGTTCGTCGTCGAGCCGGGGCAAAAGTTGGCGTTAGTTGGCGAATCCGGAGCCGGTAAGTCTACTATCGCTAAGTTATTGTATAGACTATATGACATACAAGGCGGTCGAATTCTAATCAATGGACAAGATGTGGCGAAATGTACGCAACGCTCGGTGCGATTGAACATTGGCATCGTGCCGCAAGATTGCGTCTTGTTCAACGACACCATCGAATACAACATTGGATTTGGGAAACTTGGTCAAGGCGATGTGGCGACTCGAGAAGAGGTGGAAAGAGCATCAAAGGCGGCGCAATTTGAGAAGTTTGTCAACCAAACACCGTCTGGGTACGACACGTTAGTCGGAGAGAGAGGCTTGCGATTATCCGGGGGTGAAAAACAACGTGTGGCCATTGCGAGAGCGCTTTTGAAAGACCCGCCGATTATGGTGTACGACGAGGCGACGTCGAGTTTAGACACGCACACCGAAAATCAGATCATGGATGCCATTCGCGTAGCGGCGCAAGGTAGAACGAACTTAGTCATCGCGCATAGATTATCGACAATTATGGATTCTGATAAGATTTTAGTATTGAGCGGAGGCGAAGTTGTTGAAAGCGGCAATCACCAAACGTTGTACGCCGACGTGAACGGGAAGTATAGAAAGATGTGGGATTCGCAACTGCAAGCGGCTATGAAGGAATCGCCATCGACTGTAGAATTGATGAAGATGGGAACACAATAATAACACACTCAAGAGTGAAGAAGAAGAGATGATAAAAAGTTTTTTTGTTTATTCTCTGATGTTGTACAACATATTTTATTTCAAATGTGCTTTCAAAAGGGTTCAATCGCTTTTCATGCAAAGCCCTCTCTCTCTCTCTTTCTTTTGTCTCTTTGAATTCTTTATCTATTCTTACAGTTCTACTATCTATCATAGGAACCATGGTATCATGTGTACTTAGTAAATGCTTTTATCTATGTCTTTTAAAATTTTCAGAATCCTCGTGTTGTAATCATACCGAATCTGCTCTAGAATGTCAGCGTTGCCTCTCAGACGTTGCAAGTCGCTTTCATACTCGACGACGAGTGATCTTAAGACTTTCATCTCCAAAAGCATTTCCGGAGTCCTCAACGCCCTTTCATAAGCACGATACGCAACTATCTCTGCCACTGTTTCGCATTTCTCCACGGTCATCAAGTTCCAATACTCTCCGTCATTCCTCAGGAAAGAATCAAAATGGCGTATTTCTTTATTGGGCCACTTTGACCTCTCGCCTTGAATTCTCAAACTCACAAATTGCTCCATCGTTTGGCGCTGACTTTTAGTCACCGGCAACTCATCTAAACAGCGTTTCCACTCCCAAAGGACACGCTTCGCGTCCATGTGCAATCTGCTCATGTTTGCGAATTCCAGCATATTTCGTATAAATGCGCCTTCGTTACTGTCCATGTCGACCGTAAAGCCTCTCGATAAAAAAGCAGTTGATACAGCTTTATTCTCACGCCGAGTGATCGCTCTCACAATTGCTTTGTTCCGAAAAGTGTTCTTTTGCGATTCAAAGAATAAAAGACGGTCTGTTTGTATTTGCACGCGGTGTTCGGCGTCGGAATACTGCACGGCATCGTTGATCCCAACCTGAACGATGTTCTTCGCGCCCCCACTAAAGGCGGTGTTCGTGGAGTTGTTGACGATGGTGGTTTCATAAGAAGCTTTTGTATTGCCGTTCAGAGCCAAGAGCGCATCGACTGCAACATCATCACGGGAAATTTTTTCGATAGGAAGAATGGGTGAAACCTTCTCTGGAAGCGGTGGTGATTTCCTTCGATTGTGATACGGCTTTGCTATTTTTCTCGCCGTTCTGTGCTTCGACCGAAGGTTCGCCACCTCTTTCTCAACCTTTTTCGTCATTGGGAATTGATCGCGTTGCGTGCGCTTCTCTCTAATCGATGGTCGCCTCGCATACGAAGGTTTCTTTTCTACTCTTCCGAGAACTTCTTCCATGGTGTGTATTCGTATAGCACCGCGACCGCAAAGCGCTTCCCCCTTCTCGCGCGCCAGTTCTTGTTGAGAAGCGAGGGAAGGTTGCCTTCTCTTATTTAGAGCGTGGTGATCTTCGACGTCGGTCTCAATAATGTCCTCTTCCGTACTTTCGCCTTTCGCGTCGTCGTCATCGTCGTTCTCCTCCGTACTTTTATCGAAATCTAAACTGTTATCAAACTGTTCGGTCAAATTCGACCCATTTGAGTTCTTCGCATCTCCCGCATTCTTCTTCGACGCTTTCGTCCTTGTCTTTTCTACGTGCGCGCGCAATACTGTCTGATACGCAGAGTCCCCGACATCTTTCATGTCCTGACGACCCTTCGGGCTTGATGGGTCCAAAATCGTGTTGGCAGGAGTTCGTGGCTTCTTTGGAGAATTTTCTCTTTCATTTTCAGTCTCTGTCGTCGGTCGCTTTTTCTTGGAGAAATCGATTCGATCTGCCAATCGTCGAGATGTTGTTTCAAACAACGTAGCATTGTCTTGGCGCGGTATAGCTCGCTTTCGCGTATTACCCTCGTTATGATCGTCACCATCGCTAAGATCCCAGAGGATGCTCGGAGCTTCGATTCTATTCCCTCCACTGTACTTTGATCGGTTCATCGTTTTAGCTGCAGTCACCGCCGCCGCCGCTGCCGTCCCCGGTCCTGCTTCAGTACCAAACGATGATTTCAAGCAATTCGTACTACCACCTTCTTTGGAATGTTCTTGCGACGAACTGTGCGGACCCATTGTTAACGATGGTCGCGATTTGTTGTCTGTTGCTACTACTACTACTACTGGTGGCGGTGGTGGACTACGGCGCTTCTGCACCGGCGATGCGCGTTTCCTCTCTTTCTCCTTTGTTCCCTTCGAGAGAGACGATTTGCGCGAGCGCTGCGATACCTTCGCTGTACCCGTGCCTTTTGTTGATACTATCGACGCATGATTTCTCTTTTTATTCATCTTGTTCTTTGTCAAACTTTCGCCTTCTTCTATTTTCTTTTGTTGCTTGTCCATATCTGGCGTCCCGTCGCTTACACCGTCCTCCAGCGCGAGTCTGTGTCCCACCGGCGAGCGAAATCCATCGTACCTCATGTGTATCTTTATACCAGTACCATCCGAAGGCGCTAATTTTGAAACTCTCAATCTGTGGAACGCTGCTTCTACCAAAATATTCAAAACAAGCTCGTCGCGTTCGCCTTCGCGCAAGTGGCTCCCAAACATTGGTACCAACTCGAAGCGACACTGTGCCCATCCTTTATCCGTCCACCCTTTCTTGGTCGTTTGCGCGACTTCGCACACTTCCACTAATCGTAACAACACAAACTCCGCGTATAGTTCTTTATTCGGGCACTTATCTGGTACCGTTCGTATCAAACTCTTTGCTTTGCCTTCATTTTCCAAGTGCTTCCAAGTGTCTCGCGTGAGGCCCTCTTTTGCAAACTCGAAAAAAGTCCCGAGAGGAATCGCTTTTTTTAGCGCTTTCCCGTTGTGCACTTTTCCATCTATGGAGAACCAAAACTTGTCCGCGCTGAAATTCTTAACGTACGCGCGTTCCATCGCCGTCGCGCTCATCATCTTCTCGTCTGTTCTTTTCTCTCCCTTTTCTTTTTCTTTCTCTTTCTCGTCTCCCTCGCCGCCGTCAACGGTGGTGGTCCCTTTTTTTTTCTCTGCTTTTTCTTCAATCGCCGTCGTCGTCTTCCTGGTGCCTCCTCCTTCACACTCCTCCACCTCACCGTCGATTTCTTCCTTCGGGATGACTTTTTTCTTCTGCAATGGCAACGCAACTCTCCGCATGAGTTCACACGGCTGAGCTTTAGACGTGATCATCACCCCTCTTCTTTTCAACAATACCGCCGTCGAGGAATCCCCGGATGGAGAGGGGGAGGTACCGACCATCCTCCTCCGATCGTGGTCAGCGCAAAGCGTGCGTTCTTCCAAAGTGTGCCGTGCGACGACCGAACGTTTCCCGCACTTTTTGAGGAGAAAGAACCTTCCTTCCAAAAAAAAATGAAAAGACGTCTACGTCTCTCAGAAATAGGGAGACAAACGCCATCCTCCTCTTCCTCCTCAGGCAGAAGGGACTATTTAACTTCTCTTCTTTTTTTTTCTTTTTCAACCGAGAGGTTTTCCTCGACGATTCCTCTTTCGCGCACTCTCTCTCTCTTTTACTCTTCTCAAAACTCTTCTCCTCAAAACGTGTAAACGGGGTTGAAAGTTAACGACAGACTCTGTGATAAGTGCGGTAAAAGGATTGATGATATTCTGCGCGCTTTCTTTCGAGCACGTGTTTAAATCCTCCTTTTTTTTGTGGAGAGAATTCTTTTTTGTTTGTGAAGAATGCAAAAGACAAAAGAAGAGTTTTTGGACAGAAAGAAGGGGAGAGGGGTGCTGGTGGAAAAAGGTAAAACTCGTTTCATATCATGTTGTCCACCTCGATTATTATATTGGTTAAAATTAAAAGTTGAACACGGCGCTAAACAAAGAATTCAATATACCACCACCATCGGTGCTGTCCGCACTATTAGAACTTTTAGTATTCATATTCTTCGATTTCCTTTTCCCCTCCTCCTTATCGTCGTCGTCTTCATTATTATTACTATTGTTATCGTTTACGTTCGCAGATGTAACACTCTTACCGCCTGTTCCAGTATGTTTGTTGCGTAAAAAACGGTTGAGGCGTTTTTGCGAAACGCGTTTGTTTAGACCGCACCGCGTTCGTTTTACTTCCAATATGCCATCGAGCGGGTTCGTTTCGAGGATTGTAGTGTACGATATTGCGATTGCGCACCATGGTATGGGCATGAAAAGGGCATCGTCATTGGCAAAATCGTCGTCGTCAATCGGATGTCTGGTAATCTCATACACCGAGCGACACTGCACCGTGACCCGATTTTCTTCCACAAAAATCTCAACCGGAGGACCACCGAGGTCGAGCTTATTGTCGTATTCTCTCGAATTGAGACCTAAAACGGCGAAGTACGGCGGATCACCGAACAAACTCGTGCATAACTCCAATTCTTCGCCACCGCGAGCTGTTCTGGAAGCCGCCAATATCACCCTCGCCGCCGAAGCCACGGAAGTTGCCTCTGTCTTACACGTTTTCGCTCTTCGCAAAGCGTTCTCTAAGCTGGAAAGCGCTCGCGTGAAGTGCGCTTGAAACGGGCCCGTGGATAAATTTTCCGTCGTCCAAATGTCCGTATCATCGTCTTCGTCGACCGGGTCGCCATCTTTCGATAAAAAATCTGGTTTTGAAGTTCGACATCGCCTTTTCAAAGTGAAGCCATCCTCACGTTGCCAGTCCTTGACGACTTGGGACCCGGTGAGCACCAATCCGCTCCGAATCGCCACGGACGACGATGGTGCTGTCGACGGCGCTGCACTGCTACCACGGACACCATCGTCGCTATCGTCGTCATCGTCAGAAGAATCTGAATCATCTTCGTCAAAGAAATCCTCACGAACCTCCAACGCCGAACGAATCCAAGAGATGAGTAAAGCGTCTTGCGCATCCAGCGCCGTTTTTTGACTTCGGACGGTCTCAAAAGCTTTCTTTTCTTCTTCTCTACGTTGCCGCTTCCTATTTTTGCTGGTGTTTGTGTCTGTTCCACCACCGACGAGACCAAAAAAGTATCCACCTCCTCCGCCACTATTCTTGTTTTTCTTCCGCTTCTCTGGCGACTGCGACGGTAACGACGCCACATCGTTAAGCGAGAGCGAGCCGTGCGCACCCGTAAATGTTCTCCTTCTATTGCTATCGTTGCTAAAATGACTAGTGGTATTTCCATGAGAACTACTACCATTAGCATTACCAGTGGTGCTTATTCTCAAATGCTTGTTCTTCTTCAAATCTCTCAGAAATCGCAAGTTGTACGCTCGCAACACCGCTGGCAACTCATTTTCAATCACTTCGCTAATTTCAATCGTCGCCAATCCTCGCTTCAAAGCTTGAGATACTTTTTCCGAAAATCTATTCAACTCGTGCGAGTATGGATTTGTCTCTCCTCCGAGTTTCAACGCTGAATTCCTCGCGAACCGAACAAGTCTCGGAAACACTACGATGTCGATATTGGTCTCTTCGTCGAGTTTCACGCACACGTTTTCTATGCACTCGTGGCACGTCGTCGCAATTAAGTAATCCAAAATTGCCTCTAAATCCGTACTATTATTATTACTATTGATGTTATTGTCGTCGCCATTGCCGTCTTCTATCCCAGAAAAGATCGCCTTGCCTCTCCAACCGCTCACCAACGTCTTGCTCAACTCGAACAGTTTACTCTCCATGGCGTCGCACAGCGCTTCAATATTCGCCTTGTTACTACCACCGAATTCTTTCTGCAGAGAGTCGAGTAATTTCTGCACGTCTTCACACGTCGCTTCGTCGATTCTGCACTCCGTCAGAGCTAAAATATGCATGCAAAAGTTCCGCACCGCGGGTTGCGCGACGATACGCAAGTGCTCTTCAACGGTAAATAAAGACATCGTTTTCGATACCGTTCGTCGTTCCTTATTTTTTGCAACGTCAGCCCCGTCAACTCCACCGCCACCACCACCACCACCACCGCCAAATCGAATCGATCTCACAACATCTTCCATCGCATCTTTTTTCCCTCTCTCAATCATTTCCTTTCTCCTCTCCACGTCTAAAAACTGAGACGTATCGAAGCTCATTCCCGTTTTTGAGAGCAACTCGGATGTTTGCAAACCCGTTTTCTTTTTCTTCTTCCTGCCGAGACTCTTGTCGCCGCCGCCAGCCCCGACAGTATCGTCATCATCAGACGAGGAGGAAGAAGAGGAAGATGCACCGTCCATTCTCTCTCTCTCTCTCTCTCTCTCTCTTTTGATGCGCACGCCGTGCGCGTACTTCTTTTGTTTTGATGCACTTTTTAAAGTTTTTTTCGGAAAGAGAAGACAAGAGAGCAAAGAGAGAAAGTGAAAAAAATGAAAAAGAAGAGCAGAGAGAGTTGGCAAAATGGCAGCTGTCAGCTGTGTGGACTTTCTCAATTTCAACTTCACAAAAATTTGTGCGGTAGGAACACACACACAAACAATATGTCTCACAGAAAGTTTGAACGTGAGTGATAGCTCCATACCTAGATTCTTTGCTCCTTTTATCGCTCGTTTCGCGCAATTATTGGGAGACGACTCTTTCGCGCGATGTCGATTCAACTCTCTCTTTGTTACGCGCGCATTTTTGAGCTTTCCTTTCCTCCTTGGGAGGGCTTTTGAGTCGAAATTTCGGTCTTTCGTTCACGCGCCATTCGTGATGTTTGCGAGCGGAAGAAACGTTTCGCGAGCGAAGTAATTCGTGAAGAATGCGTTTTTTTGCGCGAATGTTTCGCGACAACGCGTGAAAAGCATAGAAAAGGCTATGGTTTGCGCTCCGTTCCGAAATTGCTTTTGAGTAAAAGTTGAAGCCCTCTTACTGACATTTCTCCCTCTTTCGCTCTCCTTCCGAATTTAAACAACAGATCCCCGTCTTGGTCACTTGGGTTTTTTGCCGAAGAAGCGATCCCAGCGCTCCAGAGGTAAAGTGAAGTCCTTTCCGAAGGATGATGCGTCAAAGCCGCCGCACTTTACTGCCTTTATGGGTTTCAAAGCCGGCATGACGCACATCGTCAGAGATGTGGACAAGCCTGGTTCCAAGTTGCACAAGAAGGAAACGTGCGAAGCGGTGACTATTGTTGAGTGCCCGCAAATGATTGTCGTCGGTCTCGTTGGCTACAGAAGAACGCCGCAAGGCTTGAGAGGTGTCAAGACGGTGTGGGCGGAGCACTTGTCCGACGAGATCAAGCGTCGATTCTACAAGAACTGGTTCAAGTCCAAGAAGAAGGCGTTCCAAAAGTACGCGAAGAAGTACTCGAACGGCTCCATCGAACAAGATTTGGAAGCGTTGAAAAAGTCATGCGACGTCGTCAGAGTTATCGCGCACACGCAAGTTAGAAAAGTGAAGAACTTGAAGCAAAAGAAGGCGCACATGATGGAAATTCAAATCAACGGTGGCTCCGTCGCGGACAAGGTTGACTTTGGTTTCAAGTTTTTTGAGAAGGCCGTGCCAGTTGATGCCGTCTTCCAACAAGACGAAATGATTGACGTCATCGCCGTCACCAAGGGTAAAGGTTTCGAAGGTGTCATCACCCGTTGGGGCGTCACTCGTTTGCCGCGTAAGACTCACAGAGGTTTGCGTAAGGTTGCGTGCATCGGTTCTTGGCACCCGGCGAGAGTCGCGTACTCTGTCGCCCGTCCAGGTCAACACGGTTATCACCACAGAACGGAAATCAACAAGAAGATTTACAAGATTGGTAAAGCGGACGAAGCTTCGTTCGGCGCGAACACTGACCACGACCCGACTGAGAAGGAAATCACCCCGATGGGTGGCTTTGGTCACTACGGTATCGTCAAGAACGATTACGTTATGATCAAGGGTGCGGTCATTGGCCCGAGAAAAAGACTCATTACGTTGAGGCAGTCCTTGTTCAAGCAAACTAGACGTGTTGCGACCGAGAAGATCACGCTCAAATTCATCGATACTTCGAGTAAGATGGGCCACGGTAGATTCCAGACTGCGGAGGAGAAGGCGAAGACGTACGGCACGTTGAAGGCGTAAAGTTTAGAATAAAATAAAGTATCGAATTTAGGGAGGGTTTGCTATTGTAACATAAAGCGTGATACAATGGCGATAACACACATACATATATACTTACTGGTACCTAGGTACACCCCGTAACTTTTATTCTTCTTTTATTAAAATACATTCAGAAAGAATTTTGTACGTTCGAGCCAAGTTCTCTAAATTTAAATAATATGCGACCTTCTTTTAACTGTTGTTCTTGTTCTTTTTATTCTTCTTCTCCTTGTTTACAAAATATCGTCAAAGGTCTTCGACACTTTCTCCTTGAACGCCTGTCTGTCCGGTTTAAACAACAAGTTTTGATAGATGAAGAACCCAGAGAAGACTATGCCGATGAGTTCGAACAAATTCGGAATCAACGGGAGGCCTTCGATGTTGTGCAACACACCATCGGCGGCGATCAAGCCGACAAGACCAAAGACACCCAACGCCACCGCAGCTGGCTTCTCTTCCGTATCATCCCATTTCTCGCTCAATGTCCCCGTGAGTTCCTTCAATTTATCTTGAACTTCGTCGCTTCTCGTCGTCGCGTTCACTCTCGCGTTCGATTTTTGAACCGACACGGTGGACGTTTTGAATTGTTTCCCCACAAAGGTTGTTCTTCTCAAGGAGTTTGTAGATCGCTTGACGCTGATCGAGCGCGTCGCGAAAACGCTGTTGGAAGCGATGATCGATTGCATCTTACGTATATTTGTGTGTGTGTGTGTGTATTCTCTTTGTGAGGAGTGTAAAAGGTATCGCGCGGGGGGTCGTTGAGATCTTTTCAGAGATTGATGTGTGAAATAATATCTCTCAGAACAAACACGATTTTGATTGGCTCTCGGCCAAAAGCCTGCACCCACAAACAACTCTTGAGAGAGTCTTCATCAGGGGGAGACTCGCAGTATAATTCTTGGATTTGGGCATTTGGGCATAAATTTCTCCATTTTACCATTTCTGGATGAATGCGACTGGGAAAGCGCTCGAAGTGCACGTAATAACATCGAGAACGCGAACTACGCGTTGATTTGAGTATTTTTGATCGTTTAATGCGTATTCTCGCGCGTCTGATTTTTTAGCTCGAAATTTGGGCATTTTGGAAAAAACACAAAGCAGCTTCTCCACCTAATAAAAATAATAAAACTATTTCAACGCGCTAATCTTGGCTTTAATTTCCTCCATCTCCATCAACCAACTCTCGTCTATGGCAATATCTCCCAAAGCTTTCGCTTCTTGGTCGATTCGGTCTAGGCGTTCTTGTTCGGCTTGCACTTTCGCTCGATTTCTGTCTTGCGCCTCTTTGCGTTTGAGCAAAAGTTCCATCGTCCTCTTCTCCTTCGCCTGACGAGCGACTTCTTCTTTTTCCAACTTCGCTTGGATTTCCTTCTCTTTACGTTCTTTCTCTCTTCTTTGTCGTTCGAGAAGTTTCAACGCGTCTTCTTCCATAGCTTTTCGAGCTTCGATTATTTGTTGTTCTCTTTTCTCGTGTTCGAGACGTTCCTTCTCCGCTTTCGTTGGTTTCGATTTCTTACCCTTCCTTTTACTTTCGTCGGTGTCATTCTCCAAATTTGTCGTTTTCTTCTTGTTCACCGAAAACGAAGCAGACAATTTCATCGCAGTAGTCTCGCTATGGTTGTTACTACTGTTACTACTACTGCTACTGCTGCTGCTACTACTATCGTCGTCCTCCTCATCGGCGCTCTTCGATTGTACTATTTCTAAACTTTGGCCGTTCAACTCGCGAATAACATTCGACGCTGTTTCGATATCTTTACACTCTATGAAACCAAACCCTTGAATGGCCCGAGTGCCGGACCGTTTTGGAATCTTCACGGAAACTATGTCGTCTTTTCCTATCCCGCTGTTATTATTATCGTTGTTTAAAACCATCGCTGATATCGCCTCTTTGACTTTCTCGATATCCTCCTCGTTCTTCGGCAAGCCGCGCACGTACACGACGTTCGATTGTTCTTCTGTTTCTGTTTCTGTTTCTTCTTCTTCTTCGTCGTCGTCATCGATATCTTCGCTTTCGTCCGATGAACCTTCTTTCTTCGCGTGCGCAACACCAGAGGCTTCTTTTTCTTCTTCCTTTTCGCCTCCTCCTCCGCCAATCTCACACACGCGTCCAATGCTCCCATCTTCCAATCGAACTTTAATCCCTCTCGGATGTCGTTTACTGTTCGTCAGGAAATCACTTATTTTCCCATATACGATTGCATCTGTCCCTTGATCCTCTTTCAGAACGATACCGACGGATAAACCGACGGATAAATTCTCCCGGAAATTCCCTGGGGCGTCGAACGAGTGCGTCGGGGCGCTAAACGCGCCGGCAGTTATTTCGAACGCAACTTGTTTACGTTGTCTTCTTCTTCTCGTGGTTGATGTCACTAACGCGCCGCGGTGGAATGCTGCGCGCGCTGAACTCATACTCCTTCTTCTTCTTCTTCTTCTTTTTTATTGTTGCGCGAAGAAAAAATGAAGCATTGAAGAAAGACAAAAGAAAGAAGATTTCTTCTGTTTGTTCACTTAAAATAGCGCGATACTACTACTACTACTACTAATAATAATAATAATAATAATGAGTAGCGCGGGAGCATTAACGCCGTATGAAATCAAACGCGACGAGCGCGTGGCCAGGAACAAAGCGATATTAGCAAAACTCATAGCTAATAATCCGTTACATCAACACATGATGGTGAGGATGGGGAGCAAAGACGATTCAGACGACGAAGACGGGGAGAGAACGACGAAGACGAAGACAAAGAAGAAGATCAAACGAGAGATTAACTTGGAAGACGTGAGACGGTCGGGACGGATTCGAAAGTTACCGGCACCAATTTATACCACTTTCGAGTTGAACGAAGACTTGGGGAATGGTACGAAGAACAGGAAGAGTTTCAACAGCGCTGTTGGTAAAAAAAGGAAGAGTTCAGAGTCGGAAGAAGAGTTGAAGAAGCAGAAAAAGAGTATTGATAAAAAAAGTCAACCGCCATCCTCTCCGCAGTCCCTGAAAGCGTTGAATGCAAAGTTGAAACACATATACTCGGAGTTTCTCGGCCACAGAATAGAAACAAACGATGGCGGGTTGAAAGCGGCGGTGGTGCACGAGCTGTCGCCGATTGCGCACCCGAAATTTTCGAAAATGTCAGGGATACAAGAGTGGAGGAATTGCGTCGTTTTGTACGTAAATGTTGGAGACAAGTATGGAAATTCCTACGATAACGTGTTTACAAACTGTGGTGGGTGCATCACGTGGTTCGCCCAACCGAGACAGGACGAGGAGAGTTCGCCAATACGGACGATTTTGAGCACCATGTCCAAGAAGGAAGTTTCGTGCGAGGAGACAAAGAACAAAGCTTTGGAGGAAGGCGAAGAGGCGGAAAAGTCGTTTCCGAAATGGCCCGTACATTTATTCTGTCGAATGGAGGGAGAGACGTACACGTACTGTGGACGATTGAAAGCGTTGAACTACGAAGCGAACAAGCGACCGATGAAGTTCACTTTTCAGTTGTTGGACGCTCCGTTGTTGCGCGTTTCGCAAGATTTTCTCTCTCTGGTCGAACTCGCGGACGGAGATGTACATCAGTAAAGTATGATAGATAAATATAGATATAGATGTTACAAAATTAGTATCAGATTGAGTTTAAAGTTTATGTGACTTTTGAGACTTGCTTGGGTGATGATGATTTTTAAAGCGTGTTCTCAAATTATTGGTTCTCGGTCAAGCTCCCTCCTTCGTTGCTTGTGGCGAACCGAGAAGGAGCGGCTCTCTTCGTCGTCATGAATTTCCCTCTTCCCAAGCCTAACGCGATTCTCCCCTGACCGAAACTACCCGCGCTTTTATCTTTCTTCGTGTGATGCGCTTTTCTATTCACAAACTTCGTCGCCGGTGACATGTGATGGTCCGTAGGACTGCTAAATCTGTTTTTTTTTAGAGAGAGATTGAGAGAGAGAGGGGAACAAACGCACAGTCAGAACATTTCAAAAATGTCTCGTTGGATAGGATAAAACGTACTTTAAGTTTTTCAGTTTCGCCGACAAAGGCGTCATGGACACGTCGTTGGTCATTTCACCGAGCGCTTTCCGCCCATTCGCGTTGTTATTGTTATTGTTATTGTTATTGCTAGATGATGACGGTTCTTCCGGTGAAGGCGTTCGCATGGAATCTTCGGGAAACGCAATTTTACTCGATGATGATGATGTTTGCGTCGGTGTCTTCTCCTCCTCTGAAACCGCAGATGACGACGATGGTTCCGGTGATTTCATTATTAACGACGCGTCAGTGCTTTCGTCTCCCTTGAATTGAGCGTAACTTCGCGAGGAGCGGAACGGTGATGCGATGAAACCCATTTACTGATGACTTGATGAGCTAATAAGGTGGGAATATTATATTATTTTGGTGTGAGGAAGTTGTGGTTGTTTGGTTTTTTCTCGAGTTCATTTCCCTTCTTTTTCTGCACAGGGGCTGTCCCCTCACAAAAAAAAGAAAGAAATGGCGCAAGCGTTTGATCCTCTGGGAGGAGGAGGAGGACCGAAGAAGAAAAAGACGACGGTGAAAGAAAGCGCACAAATATCAGAGATTACCGAAAACGATGACGAGAGTAACGACCCGTTCTCCCCGGCGAACATAGGAGGAGGATCAGGAGGATTTACGTGGAAACACGACACGAGAATGTGCATCTACGCGCCGTACATCGACGAGAACAAAACGGTGAAACAAGGGAGAAAGTTGAAGAAAGAGTTGTGTTGCGATCGACCGTATCCGTTCGAGATTAAAGAAGCCATAGAGAAAGGAATGAACTTACCGTGCGACTTGGAAGATAAGTGTTATTCGAGAGATTTCTGGGAGCGAGGACGGGTGAGAGTGGAGTATAAAAACGAAGACGGGACGCCGAAGAATCCAGAGTTTCCCACGAGACGATCGATATTAATCGAGTGCGCGAGGTTAGTACCGATGCACTGGGGGAGAACGGACGGGTCGTCCGCGAAGTTAATGAGAAGTCCAGAGGATATTTTCGACGTGTACCTTGCAGATTTAGCCAAGCAAGGTGGTGCACCAGGAACGGGAAAATCGGCGAAAGGTGGAGCGCTCGGCGACGGCGGCGAGAAAGCGGACAAGTCGAAGAATAAGGTCTCCTCGAAAGGCAAGAAAGGCAAGAAAGGGAGGAAATAATTGTAGATTAAGGTAGTGGCAAAGATTGTTAGTTTTGAATGTGAATATTTATATGTTCCTATCAGGTAATAATGTATGGTGTAGAATTTAAGAACCAACCTAATAACTAGAAGTAATCGTCTTCCTCTTCCATAAACTCGCGCAACGCCTCTTCATCTTCTAAACGCTTCATGCGCTCTTCCTTCGTTTCGTTCGTTTTGGTCGAACCTTTTTCCGCGTATCGCATCGCTCGCTGACACTCGTTGTGGACGTCCAAGCAATACGCGACTCTTTGATGGAAAACTTCACCCGGTAACGAAGTGCTGTACGCGTCCTTGGTTTCATTCGAGGTCATGATGCCCGTTTCAAAGTCAATCTGCGCGTCTACCGCCCCATCTCTGATGGCTTTAGCCACCACGCACTCAATCGCGCCTTCGCTGTTAATGTTATTACTAGTAGTGTTATTCATGTCGACGTCTTTCTGTAAGCCCAATTTCAACGCGATGTCGTTCAAAGAAATTTTGGAGTACGCGACGTTTACTTTAGCTAAGCCAGTTCTGATGACGTTGCGTCGTAATCGCGTGATCAAGTTGAACACGTTATCCTTCTCAAAAGTTGCTTTGTGTTTCTCCACGACGAGAGCAAACTCGTGCAAGTCTCCGGCGCGCACTGCACTCGTCAATTCAAAGTACGGCAACAACTTCGAGCGCATCTCGCTCGGGCTCGAAAGAAATTTTCTCTCCGGAATCTCTCCTAAAAGCAAACGCACGATACAAATCCACTTCGTCAAGATGAGTTTAAACCCCCAGGCGGCGTTGTTCGGCGCTTTACGCAACGCTTGCGTCAAGCACTCTTTTGCCTCCGTGTACTCTAACTGAATCGCTCGAATTCTTCCGAGGTAGTACAAATATCTACACTGTTGCGCCGAGGACCTCGAGCTCGGCAACACCGTTTTCGATCGAAGTTGCTCCGCTAACTCGTACTGTTTCAACGACACGTAATTTCTCAGCAACAGGTTCAAAGTCGTCTCTTGTCCAATCGCGTCTAACCGAGACGTGGCTTGCCTATGCAACGCCAACAACGTCTGTCTCGCGTCTCGTATATTACCGAAACGTTCGTGCGCCAGCGAGTAGTAAAAATACACCTTCGCCGCAAACGCGTCCAACGTTCGTCGATTGAACGAAGAGAGTCGTTGCAAACAAATCTCGGACAATTGAATGGCATTCGCATCTTTCGCGTCGATCATGTGCATGAGCGCGAGGACGTAGCAATAGATTTCCGTCTCTGGGAGTTCGGATTTTAATTTTTCTCCAGAGTCGTCGTCTTCCTCCTCTTTTACTTTCTTCGTCTCTGTTTTCTTTGCTTTCAAAAACTGTTTCAACGTCGTCGCGGATTCCGAATCGCTGGGTAAGACGGCCTCTATAAACGCGCAGATACCTTCTGCGGTCAATTTCGTTCTCACCATGTGCGTCTGCGATGATATGAGGGAAGAAAAGATGATGATGATGATGAGTATATATGAATAGAAAGAAAGAAAGAAGACGAAGGAGAGAGATCGTTATTTTGGACGATGACGATGAAAATGAGATCGCGCGCAAAAGAGACAACGAGGAGAAAGAGTTCGGCTATTGAATAAATAAATAAGACGTACTTGTCTGAACACGCTCGCGATAAATCGCGGTTCGCCTTTACTCTCCACGGATTTCTTAATCAAAGAGACGTTGCTGATGAGCGTTTTCGATGGTTCGATTTCTCTTTCTTGTTCTCCTTCTTCACCTTTCTCTTCGCCCAAATCGGTGTCCATCTGGGTGTCCATCTTGTCCATCTCGAGAAAAGAAAAAAAAGTGAAGACGAATTTTTTCGAAAAAAAGCTTTCTTTGCGCGAGAAAATGCTGCGAGTCCCGCATTGGCGCACAATATTGAACACATACTCTAAAATCTATCATCAATGCTATAAACTAAGAAGCTAATTTTCTTCTAGCGGCGGCGTGAGCTTCGTGTCTTCTCTTCAACTCGTCGACGAGTTGTTTCTCGATGTCCTCTTCGCCCGGGTCTCGAAGTAAACGCAAAGCGTCGACCGCCCCGGTCTTCTTTCCTTCTTCGTGTTCTTCTTTTTGGAAGAGTGTCACCTCGTCGTACCGCTTATCTAACTCGTTCGCTACTATGCAGTGCATGTTGTATTTCTCCATCGCGGATAATGTCTTTTGTTCTATAATGCTCGCATCTGTTTCGAGTTTAAAGGAAACGCAGAACGCATTTGGCGACCACACGTCTCGGCACATCTTTAACATTTTCGGCGTCGACGAAAAGTTGGCGAATAAATTACCGCTCGTTTCTAACGCGTTCGATTGGATTTTGTGCGACGCGAGTTCAGACCAAGGGATGTAAAAATCGGACACCGCTGCCGCGTGAATGATGATGACATCGTTCGCGTACGCGTTCACTTTTTCGCTAACCAGTCGAAGTAAATGCAAGTATTCGTAGACAGTGGTGAACTCGATTTCGAGAAAGCCGTGCTCGGTGTACGCTCGGTGTCGGTCGGCTTGAATAGATTTAAGTTTAGACAGCAAATCCTCCTCGTTTTCTTCATCCTCTCCTATTTCGGTGGTATTGTTATCGCTAGTGGTGGAGGTAAACATCGAGAGGAAATCGACGTGTTCGTTGTGAACATTTTTTTTCTTCTTCGTTTTGGCGAAGAGTTTTTCGCATTTTCGGATAAAAGGCATTTTCGACCCGGTCCGTCGTAACGAGACTACGCAGTATCCTTCTTTCGATAAATACTCGCACAAAGCGGCACCTCTCGCGCCGGAGGAGAAGTTGTCCAAAAATCTCACCGCCATTGGTGGTTTCTCCAACGGAGCAGAGGTACCACCGGAAGTGATGAACGCTATTTTTTTGTTTCCATTTCGTAGGTGTTCGTGGTGTGTGGAAAAATAAACATCGAGAGAGTGTTTGATGACGTCCACGTTGGACGGTTCCGGCGTGTCCGCGAAAAACTGGTTGCACTTTCGAACATCCTCGTCCTCATCCTCATCACCTCCGACGTCGCTTTTTCTTTTCTTCGTCGAAGGCGACATGTGTGCGTGCGTGAAATTTTGAAGAAAAAAAAACGCGTGTGTGTTTTTGTGTTATTTGGAACAACTTTTCAGTCTCCTGCTTATATTAAACCATGGAAGGCTTTAATCGAAAGTGGTTCCCGACCGATTCATGAGTCAGAAGTCCACAGGTCTCGCACCGCAAATCTGCTCGAAACGAGAATGCTTTCTTATCGTCGTTGCCGTTGTCTCCATCGTCATTATCGCGTACAGGACCACACACTTGACAATCGAAAGAGAGCACCTCCTCGTCCACTACATTTCTTCGTCGTTGTTTGAGACGTTGAGATTCTGGTACCCACCCCATTTCGGGTCGGTCGACGTGTACGAGCACTCGCAACTCGTTGTTATTATTCTCGTCGTCATTTTCGTATCTCTTTGAGTTTCTGGGAAGCAACGGTTGACGACTCAAATTCTTTCGAAGTAAAGCAGATACCATCGCAAACGCGGCGCCGAGAGTGTACTTCTTCTGTTGCGATGCAGAACTCTTCTTATTCATCATTTCCTGACTTGACCATTTTGCGACGGCATTCCAATAGGTTTTCGAGCGCGAACATAATTCAACGCAATCCCACAAGGATTGTCCTTCAAATTCATTCGCGAGTGAGAAGATTTTCTTTGTCACCACGTCACCGTCGACAGCGGAAGCGCCATGAAACGTCAAAATACCTCGCTTTCCTTTAATCTTTTGCATCTTCTGCAGAGACGGTAAACGCGTGTAATCGTACTTTTCGAACGTTCTCGCGATTAGAAAACTATTCGGCGATGCGCACATGCCACCCGAGCGTGTGCTCCGTTCCCATGCGGATACGTCAGAGCTCGTGTGGAAATCTTTATTCAAAACGTCCGAAAAGTCAAATCGAATGAAGTTTGAAGTTTGTCCTTGATTTCTCTTCTTCTTCGATTGCAAAAGAATATCTGCCCGTCTTCCAGACTCCGCACAAATGGCAACGCGGAGGCCGAGATCACATCTTTGGAAAGCAATGTCGTGCACAGACTCGCTGAACATTCGAATTCGCGAGGAAATATTATCAGAACGAAATACGAGCACCTCTCCGGACGCTTTACCGAGAGCGATTACTTTTACGTCATTGCCTTCACATAAACCACGTCGTCCATCGACGTGTTGGTCGCGAAAACATTTCACCGAGGTGATCGGGACCTCGTCCGCATTCAAGATGAGCGTTTCTTGCAAGCCAAAGTGTGAGGTGGGGACGATCCAATCTTCAGGAACTTTTACTTTGAGCGTTCGATTGCACAAAAGCTTGGGGTCACAGAGAAAGAGTTTCGCCTCGCCGCTTGAACTTCCCGCCACGCACGTCCACAACTTATCGCCGGTGTCTCGATCCTTCATCGGCATCCAAGTCACAGCGGATACCCAGACACCCGGGGTCGAAAATGCACGAACGACACCGAGTAACTGGCATAACGGCTCTTCAATCTCATCATCTCTTTTCGTTCCGACGCGAAAAAATACCAATTCACCATTCTTGGTTCCTATCGTTAATATGGATTCTAGCGTTCCGTCTTTAAACGACGGAGACCACGAGCACGATGTAAAGGAGACTTTTGTCGCATTTGGCAGTCCGTTTGGATGCGTGTCTGTAATTGTAGAGTAATCGTGTGCTTCTTCGTCCGCCTTCTTCGCCTTTTTGGCAACTCTCTTTTGAACGGCTGCGCCCGCCTTGCGAGGTTTCTTCGCATGCTTCTTCTTCTCTTTTTTAACATCGAAATCATCGTCATCGTCTTCGTCTATTTCTTCAAAGTCGCTGTCATCTTTCGCGCTCTTCACTTTACCATCAGCTGCTTTTCTTTTCTTTGTCGCCGGAGTTTTCTTCTCTGCTTTTCGTGGTGGCGCTTTCTTCGCTTCCGGTTTTTTCTTTGCCAAGGCGGGCGCAGCAGCAGCCACTGCTACTCCATCTCGTTCCTTCTCCTTCTGATGCGACTTTGCGTCTTGATCATCTTTTCCTTTCTCTTTGTCTTCTTCTTTTCCTTCTTCCTCTAATTGCTGTGCGGGCAAGCTAATATTTTTCAAGTCTTCTATGATTTCCCATCCGTCGTCGGCTTTTTCTACATTCGAGCCTTTCCATTTTCGAACTTTTCTAAATTCACATTCGCTCGAAACGACAGAATGCGCCGAACCGTTGGCTTGGAATCGAATTCTAGCATTTTGAACAACTTCTACGAGTTGCCAACAGTGTCCTATATATGTTTCTATCACGATACCGCGCGGACAAGTGGAAATGTTGACTTCATTTTCAGTCGCTGCGGCAGCCGGGCGGATCCATCGTTTCACTTTCATCTGGGAGCGCTCGGCATTGGTCGTGCTCCCGCACGGTACACATTCATCACCTAAATTATCAACGTTGGAGACGACGAGCCATTCGTTATCCATTCCTTTTCGGTCGTATTGAACGCGCACCCTATGAAACATATCCGTTTCCGCGGCTAGTACAGTGCACGTGAACCATGGCGAGGAGAGTGAATCTCTTTTCACTTCACATCGCGAACCTTTTCGCAATTGTCCAACGCGCGCTAATCCTAATTTGACATCTTTCTTAACGTCCGCGTTTTCTTTACCTTCGCTTTGAGGTAACATTAAGACATCGCTCGTGTCATTCTTCTCGTTTTTATCATCTTTCTCGTTTCTAATATTCGTGTCGTTGAGATCGGCGCTGACTTTTGGAGGACCCGGCGCGGCAAAGCAGTTTATCGATTTCCAGGCGTCGTCTTTTTCTGCGTCTCTCCAGCATGTTTTTGAATCCTCGTTCTCGTCGCCGTCCTCTTTCGAAAATGGTAACGGTTTCCATTGTATCTCGTTATATAAAGTCGCTAACTCTTCCGATACGTCTTGAATCAAAGGCCACTTTTCCGCTGAACTTAAATACGCCGATGATGTCACGCTCGCCGACGTGAACGCCGTTCGATTACTCGCCGCGTGCACGACCACTCGATTCGCTCTCGTCAACACCGCTAAACAACACCTCCCATCCACGGCGACACCTAACGGTGACCAGTGCACTTTCTTCACTCTATCTTCTACCGGGGCTTTCGACATCGTCCCACCTTTCCTTCTGTAGATGTTCGAACACTCGTATTGCAACACCGTCTTGTTCGAGCGAAAATCGGTGTTCGTTACGAGCACGTCTGGATTTTCTCTCATGCACGCGACGTCTATCAAACCCGTCGGCGTTGGACTGGTATTTTCCGCGTTGATTTGTGCGGGATTCTGTCATCGTAAAGAAAGAGAAAGGAATGGACGAGGTCAGCAGAGTTGTGATATTGATTACGAAGAAGAAAAGAATTCAAAACAACAAAACGCACAATCAATAAAACGAACGGTCCCGCATCGCAACCGACGGCGAGGATATTTTCCTCGGACCAATCGCACGAACTCGGCGACGTTCTCGTGTCGTACTCGTTCGTGTACGCGTTCTCAATTCCTCCAATCTCTAATAATTCTTCTCCTCCTTCTCTCTCCTTCTCCTCTCCTTCTTCTCCTTCTTCGTCTCCAAGAGGAGGAGGAGGAAGAGGAGGAAGAGGAAGAAGAGGAACAGGCATCGACTCCAATGTTTTTTTATCAGAAGTGAGGAGAAAGAGAAGTTTCTTTTTTTTTTTTGTGAGGAGAAACCACTCTCACAATTTCCAAACCCACTCAGCCACCACACACGCATAAATTTCAGAGTAAAAAAATATAAATTTTAATGTCTTCTTCGGCGTTCGCTCGATGGGTGAACTCTCCGACTGGGCCGAAAACGACGCACTTCTGGGGACCAGTTGCGAACTGGGGATTCGTTGCCGCGGTACGTTTTGGCCGACTCTTTTCTCTTTTCGATAAAGTAGATGAGTTGTGTTTTCAACTCGGGATTTTCTCGTTATCTCTCTCTCTCTCTCTCTCTTCATCGTAACACAAACTCACGCATATAACTCGTTATCCGCTAACGCATATTATACGAACACAAATAAACAGGGACTCGTAGACACGCAAAAACCGGAAGAGTTAGTCTCCGGACCGATGACGGGGACCTTATGTCTTTACTCCGCTTTGTTCATGCGTTTTGCTTGGCGAGTTGAGCCGAGGAACTACATTTTATTCGCCTGTCACGCGACAAACGAGTGCGTGCAAATGTACAACTTCCAACGATGGGCCAGGTGGAGCCTGAATAATCCAACGAGTAGCATCAGCAGTAGCGCTATTAATACCGGAGACGTCATTCCTGAATTGAAGAAGAAAGAATAAATATTATCATGTCTGCGTTTTTCGGGCTCGAGTTAAAAGAAGGACGCGCGGAATATTTTCGAGCGAGTTCGTTTACTCCATTGGTTCTACTTCAACGCGCGACCATCGTTTTTACGTCTTCAAAAACGCTTCCTCTTGGATGCGTCGTTCAATTAAAGTCACGGATGAAGCATGAACCTTCGCAAGTGTTGGCGTCGTTTATCATCGGCAAAGTTGAGAGTGTCGCATTGAACTGCGAATTTAGCGACGACGTTCGTCTGAGCATTTCCAGAGAGGGTGAAGGCGATAAAGACGAAGATTTTGATTTTGCCGTACACGTAACAGGGCTTGTCGTCTTTAACTTAGACACCGGCGACAGGGATGAACTGGAGGAGAATGAAGGCGAAGAGATGTCGAGCGACGATTCCGAGCCAGAGGAAGAGGAAGAGGACTCGCTCTCGTGGTCGAGCGACACAACCACCGACGAAGAAAAAGGTAGAGAAGAAGCGGAAGGAGATACTCGCGCAATTCGGTGTCTGAGCAAAGCTCCCGCGCACTTACACATAACATCGAAGGAATGGAAATACGAGCACGAAGAACGAGTTCGCATACAGCGCGAAGCGCTTGAAAAGCCCATAGAGGAAGAAATACGATGGCGAGAGTTTGATAGAAAAACGATGGAGTGGTGGAGAAACGAATGCGATGATGAAGAAGAAGGATTTGAAGTCCAGGGGGGCACAAAAAGAAGCAAGGATCTTCCAGATTTTACTTACACGGGGAAGCTGCGCCCATCTCGCGTTACCGCGACATCTGCAATCCCAGTTGGGTTGCAGCCTCCCGATTATGCGCAAACTTCTTGGCCGGAAGAAGAACAATCGTCGCGATTACAAACGACAGTTGAAGTCAAAACGACCGAACAAATTATGAAAATGAAACGCGCGTGCTCGTTGGCACGTTTTGTTCTCGATACGGTCGCCTCGCATTTGCGCGTTGGAGTTGAAACGGATGAACTCGATCGAATATGTCACACGGTGTGCCTTCAAAACGGCGCTTATCCGAGTCCACTGAATTACATGGGTTTTCCAAAATCCATATGCACGAGCATAAACGAAGTCGTGTGTCATGGCATTCCAGATAGAAGAAAACTAGAACCGGGGGATTTAATCAATTTAGACGTCACCGTGTGCTTGAATGGTTATCACGGAGACCTCTCGGAGACGTTCATCGTCGGATGCGCGAAGACTAAAGATAGAGCGAAATTGGAGGAAAACAAACGATTGTTGGGCGCTACGCTAAGTGCGCTCGAAAAAGCCATCGATTCGTGTCGTCCAGGGAAGCGGTTTCGAACCATAGGTGAGCTCGTTCAGAATGAAGCCGTTGAAAGCGAAAAATGGACGAGCGTGAAGCACTATTGCGGCCATGGTATTGGGAAGTTGTTTCACTGTGCGCCGACGATTCCTCATTATGCGCCGAACAAGGCGGTCGGTTTTATGAAGCGCGGTCAAACGTTCACTATAGAACCAATGTTTTGTGCAGGTACTCGAACTGCTAAGCATTGGAAAGACGGGTGGACAGCAGTCACTTCGGACGGGAAGAACTCGGCGCAGTACGAGCACACGATATTAATACTCGACGACGGCCCAGAAGTACTGACAAAGAGGACGAGAAAAAGCGTCGATTTCTTCATAGACGATTAGATTATAGAAACAAACCTGCTTATTTAATGATACATCATTTAGATCTACTACTGATACAAAAGCTAAAAGAATGCTACCGTGGTACAACTAATACTATTACTACTTTTTCTAACCACGTAACTCGTAAAACAATAAGCAAACTTTTATCAACGCGCCCAGGGCGAAGAGAAACAAGCCGAAGGCTTCTCCGAGCGCGTTTGGCAAGGAGACCACCACTACGCCAGCGATGGCAAAGAGAATCAAACATATTTCCGTCCACAGAAATACGCGCATTTGCGGATGCCAAATTGTCACGGACGCTTCGTCATCCAAGCCTTCATCTGCCAGCGACTGAAGCGTCATCAACTTATCGTACGTCAACAACCCGAATCCCACGGGGAAGATGAGAAACGAAATCGCCCAAACCAGATTGGCTTCGTCGATCAACGGTATCATCTTACTGGATAATGCGCTAACGATGGTTGGCGAATACAACAAACTACCAACAATACCTAGAAATATCCCCACAATCATCATAACAGTACCCCAGAATTGTATCCACTTTCTCTCTCGGATGCCCTTTTCTATTTTATCGTCGATTTCTCTCGTTCCAGTTGGATGGAAGGTCGTTCTGCCTCCTTTGTCAACATCTGCTGCTAAGAGTTCCGGTAGTATCAATCCAATTATAATAGACGCGTAGCCTAACACGCACAACAGCGAAAACCGATCCCAATCCTCTTTGATATAAAACACTCCGGCGACGACGAATAAGATCAAACCGACGTTCGCGAAAACGAGAGGTAAAGTCGCGTCCGAGTTTGCCGAAAACGCGTGTGGACTGCGCATGGGCATCCGTTTCGTCCTTCCTGGAGAGGAGGAAGAGGAGGAATACGTCGGGGAGATACCACCACTCATTATCACTGTTATTATTATATATCTCTTCTAGCGTTGTCCCTCTGTGACCCCAAAAGCGCACGGACGACGACGACGACGAAGACGACAAAAGAGCCGTATATATACGAGTGTTTGATTAAAAATGTGTTTTTGTGAGTTTCGTTTTTGGTGTTGGAAGAATTCTTTTTGAAAGAACAAACTCGCTTCAAAAAAAGATGCACGCAGTGTTGGGGCGAAAAATGAACCCATCTAGATTCACGAGTTGTTCTCGGTGGGAGTACGACGAGAGTAGTAGTTAAACAATAATAATAAATTTATCGCGACAACACCGAAAAACAATAATAACAGAGAAGAATGTTATCCTCGTTAACGTCGTACATTCTTAAAAAAGGAGGGAAACCGCCGTCAAAACACACCGCGTACGGGATGATTTTCGGTTTGTTCATTCTGAACGTTTCCTACGTCTCGCTGAGGGCGACGTTGGCGAGCAGAAAAGAAGAGGAGGAGAGGATCGCGGAAGCGAGAGCGAGGCTCGTGAGCGGGAAAGGATTGAGAGGAGAGGTGTATTTTGATCATCCGACCAATAATACTTTTAATCATGATAAGAATACTAAGAAGAAGAAGAAAGGAGGAGAGGTAGACTAACAACAAAGTGTACTTTTAAGAGTCTTTTTGGTTGGTTTGGGAAAAGGAAGGAAGGACTGAAAAAAGAAGGAAAATGTGAACAACAACCCGAAAAGCAGCCAAAAACGCCCTCTGTCTGATCAGTGATGACTTTTTCACCACCACTCGTCAAAAAGAAGAAAAAGATTACACGTGTTTGTGCTCTCATCACACATAATATATAAATACCTTTCTACTTAAAAGTACATACAGGTCCACACGTAGAACGAACGAGGTCGATCAAAATGTTGCACGCGCAATATCACCACGGCGCAACGAATACGTCCGTCTTGTCTTCGAAGAAGAAGAACAATGATGTTGTGACGAAAAAGATTACTACCAATCGACGACGTATCGCCGCATTCGCTTCTTCTCGTCGAGACGGAGAGAAGACGAAGACGAGCGAGGAGAGTCACATGAAGGGAATGGCCGCGGCAACGAGCGCGGTTATCTTTGCGTCTTCAATGTTTGCTTCCTCCTCCTCGAATATTCTCGCGTACGCGGACGAAGTAGCCGTCGATGCTGCTCCGACGAGTGTTGAAGCACAATACGACGCTGCGCAACAAGTCGGTGGAGGCGAAAAGGCGCCGGAGTTGAAGGGCGAGAGTAGTGCTGCTGTCGCGGAACCGAGCAGCGCACCGGCGGTAGATGCACCAACTCCTGCGTCCGAAGCAGCTCCGGTCGAAACGAAACCGACCGAGGCTGACTTGGAGAAACAGCGAAAGAAAGAGGAGCAAGCACAACGCGCGCGCGCCGAGCAAGCGAAGAAACAGGAGCAGTTAGCGAGCGAAAAAGCGGAAAGAGAAGCCGTCGCTCTCGCCGAGAAGAAGAAGCGAGCGGAGAGAGAAGTCATTGCTGCGCGAAAAGAACAGGCGTTCCGCGTGCAACGATTGAAAGCGTCGCCGATTCCGAAAAATAGGCTCAAGGCGGAAATCGAGGCCAAAGAATTGGAGCCGAAGACGTTCAAAGAAAAGCGAGCGGCAAAACTCGCGGCGAAGAAATCAACGGCGAGTGCGAAAAGTAAAGGAAGCGCCAAGAGTCAAAGGACGGTGGCCACGAAAAAGCGATCAGTTGGTGCTCCGAAAAAGAAATCTTCACCTGCTTCACCTGCTACCGCGGCGGCGAAGAAGAAATCAACCGCGACTACTCCCGCCGCGAAACGCCAAGCGACTGCAACCACTTCCGCAAAGAAGACAAAGACGAAGAAAGTTTCGACATCTTCTGCCAAGACTGTGGTGAAAAAATCATCGAAGCCTGCCGCGTTGACGTACAAACCGACATTTAAGAAAGCGCCGGCCGTGAAAGCGGCAGCGCCAACCGCCGCGCCGAAGATAAAGTCGACGACGTTCAAAGAGAAGAAGCAAGGAGCGTCGGCGGCGGCGCCGGCACCATCTAAGAAAGCAGCTGCATCTGCAACATCACCGGCGAAGCAGGCGGCAAAAGTAGCATCTGCTCCGAAGAAAACGGCTAATGTAGTCAAGGCCGCACCGGCGGCAAAGAAGACGGTAGCTGCGCCTGCGAAAAAGGCCACAAGTGCACCGGCAAAGAAAGCTGCTGCGCCGGCAAACACGGCGGCGAAGCCAACCACTTTTAAACAAAAGAAGGAGGCTGCGAGTAAGAAAGAGACGAAGCGACCCGCCGCGGCGAACAAAAAGTCACCCGCAACGACCAAGGCAAAAAAGAACAATAGTGGTTTTTTCGGAGGTTTGCCGATAGCAACACTTCTCGGCGGTCTGGCATACACCTTCTTCACCGAAGAATAAGTATTTAGGAAGATGAGAACAGAGCAGGTTAATAATTAATAATATCACGTACCATATGCCATCCTAAAAGCTCATTGCAATGACACGTGCGCGTTGCCGCAACGCCGCTTTGAAGACGCACTCCTCTTGTTTTTTGTTTTTCATCACCCCTTCCATTTCTCTACTCTTTTTCCCTCTCTCAGACAAGCGCACAACAACCTAAAAACGGAGCAGCAGTAGCAGCAGCAACACGAGATGTCTGTCCGCACTGACTTTGCCACCGTGGAGGTTCCGAACGATTCTCACGTTCAGAAGAACGAGAACAACATGGAGCGAGAGAAGAAACGTCTTCTGAACTATTTGCGACAGGAAAGAAAAAGAGGCGGTGACGAGGAATTTGGACGACGGATAAAAACAATCCGAAAGCTTTCGCAGTTCAGTCACGGTCAATCGAATCCGACGTACAAATTGCTCGTTGAAATGACAGATGGGACGTTGAAATCATACGTTTTGCGGAAGAAACCGGGTGGGAATATTTTATCGAGCGCACACGCGGTGGAGAGAGAATTTCAGGTACAGCTTGCGTTGAAGAGAAAACACCCCAACTTTCCAGTCCCGAGGATGATTCTGTTGTGCGAAGATAGTTCAATTTTAGGCACGCCGTTTTATATCATGGACTTTGTGCAAGGCACGATATATTTACAACCGAAATTACCAGTCATTACGAGAGAGGAACGGAAGACAAGAATATACGAAAACATGGCGAAAACGTTAGGCGCTTTGCACTCGTTCGACATTCGCGAGCTGGGATTGACTTCCTTCGGAAACATCTCCAGTGGAAGTTACTCGAGACGAACGCTGAAAAGATGGTTCGGACAATACGAAAAAAGTATTACGAATAAGTTGGTAGAAACACCGGAAAAAGAAGTCGTCATGAAGTTAGTCGCGTGGTTGGATGCGAATTGTCCCAAGGACGGCGAGGAAGTGAGCGACCGAATAATCCACGGCGATTATCGCTTAGATAATTTGATCTATGACGAACGATCGGATGATGTTCTCGCGGTACTAGATTGGGAATTGTCTACCGTTGGTTGTCCGCACGCGGACGTGGCGTATAATTGCTTACCATATTATTTACCTCCCGGATTAGAGTTTTATCCTTCCTTCGGCGATTCGAATCAAGTGCCGGCAGGAGTACCTACCGAGAAGCAATACTGCAATATCTGGGCGCAACACGCGCGTTTACCGAATATCTGCGGAAGCTCAAAGTGGAAGTTCTACGTTGCCTTGTCAATGTTTCGTGGCATGGCTATTTTAGCCGGTGTTCGTGCCCGAGCGGTCGCCGGAAATGCGTCTTCTAGAAACGCACGACAGGCGGGTTCGTTGGTAGAAGTCTTCGCCAAACGCGCGTACGTTGTAGTCGTCCAAGGAGGTGCTTCAAAAGTTCCAAGGCAAGAGATTAAAGGTGGTTATGAACCTAGTGAAAAGTGCATGATGTTGTTAGAAAAACTCAGAGCGTTTATGAGTGAGCACGTGTACGATGCCGAGGAAGTTTTTGAAAGACATGCGACGACAAACGAGCGATGGTCTGTGCATCCCCTAATGGAGGAATTGAAGAAGAAAGCGAAGGCAAAAGGATTGTGGAACCTGTGGTTGCCCTTAGATTCGGCAGCGTTAATTAAGATTGCAAATGCTCGCGGCAACGACGAAGCGTTGTACAAAGGACCGGGTCTGACAAACTTGGAATACGCGCATTTGGCCCGGGAGATGGGTAAAGTCCCCTGGGCGTCTGAAATTTTCAACTGTTCGGCGCCAGATACCGGGAACATGGAGGTGTTGTTGCGCTATGGAACGAAAGAGCAACAAGAGAGGTGGTTGTTACCGCTTTTAATGGGCGATATCCGGTCGTGCTTTGCAATGACTGAACCAGCGGTAGCGTCCTCAGATGCCACGAACATTGAAAGTTCCATTGCGAAAAGCACGAACGGCACGCAATACGTCGTGAATGGTCGAAAATGGTGGACGAGCGGTGCGTGCGATCCGAGGTGTGCGATTGCTATATTTATGGGCAAGACAAAAACAACGGGTCCGCAACACGAGCAGCAGTCCATGGTTCTCGTTCCAATGCTAAACAATCATAAAGTGAAAGTCGTTCGTCCGCTTTTAGTCTTTGGTTATGATGACGCTCCACACGGTCACGCCGAGGTCATATTCGATAATGTTGTCGTCGATGTAAAGGAATCTCTCTTAGCACGCGAAGGTGCTGGATTCGCCATTGCGCAAGGTCGTTTAGGACCTGGACGATTACATCATTGCATGCGCTTGGTAGGTATGGCCGAACGAAGTTTAGACGTCACCTATGCCCGTGTGAAATCTCGAGTCGCGTTTGGTAAACCGTTATCCGAAAACTCAAACGTTCTGAACGTATTAGGAAATTGTAGAGTTGAAGTAGATGGAGCACGCTTACTCACTTTGTATGCAGCGCACGTTTTGGATCAGCTAGGCATAAAAGATTCGCGCGCGAGAAGTGCAGTGGCGGCGTGTAAAATTTCTGCTCCCAACGTGGCGTGTTCGGTTATCGATCGGTGCATCCAACTCTTTGGCGGAGAAGGCGTGAGTCAAGATTCACCTTTAGCTCGATTATACGCCGGCGCGCGAACGCTCCGTATTGCCGATGGCCCGGATGAAGTTCATTTAGAAACCGTAGCAAAAATAGACTTAAGGAGAAGTAAGTTGTAGTACGTAAAACCATAGTTGAAAGCTTGAAACGATGAAACCATTTTCTCACCTTTTCTCTTCTTCGTCCTTCGCGATATTCCTCATAAACATTAGAAATCACCTAATACGTAACAACAACTTCACAAAAGAAGAAGAAGTATTCGAAGCCATGCGGTAGCCCGCGCATTCAGAGAAAGAGTAAAACCGAAGGAGATGCTGCTGCTGCGCGTCTCCAAACGCGTTCGATACTTAACGAGGAAATTCATGGCCTCTAATAGTCATCAAAACGTAACGACGACAACACGAAAAGAAAACAACGCGAAGAGGAAAACAACGACGACGAGAACGACGACGACGACGACGAGAGAATTAAACGAGGCAAACAGGGGCGAGTTATTGAGAGACTATTTGCGCAGATGCTTGTACGACAAGTCGACAGGGTATTTCAATCAAAACGGACAGTCTCCGATTGGGAAAATTGGTGTTGATAGCGGGGAAGCCTCACTGCCTTTTCATTTGATGGCAGACAAAGAGGAATACACCGAAACGCTCGCTCAAAAATGGACTCAATTAGGTAAACAGTGGTTAACGCCGGTGGAAATTTTCAAGCCACACTACGCGAATGCCATTGCGAGGTATTTAATTGAAGAGACAAAGAAGAACCATACGGCTTCGTTGAAAGTGATAGAACTCGGTGGTGGTGCAGGAACAGCCGCCGTCGGTATATTGAATTACCTTCGAGCGAACGAACCTCAGATATACGAATCCATGAAATATTGCTCAGTTGATGTGAGCGAAGTTTCTTTGTCGATGCAACATGACGCAATTTTGAAAGCTAAACATGAAAACGTGTGGCACCGCACGAGGAAACCAGTGGACGTGACGATGCAGAAATGCAAAAACACAGAGGAGAGTTGGCGGGAAATCGTGCAAAAACACATGGATGGCTCAACCGAGAACTGCTTCGTTTTAGGCTTTGAAATATTAGATAATTTAGTGCACGATAAAGTCATCATGAGTGTGAAAACTGGTGATTGGATGCAGGCGAGAGTGAAGCGCGAACGAGAAGGGAAAGACCGGGTCGAATTTTACGAACCGATTACGGACGAGGAGATTAAACGAGTGCTCGATAAAGTCGTCGAGGTTCGTAAAAGTCTTCCAATTTGGACGCACTTGAGCGATGCTGTAAAGCGCATGTTTAAAAAGCGCGACGTGAGTTCAACCGCGGATTTGACCAGAAATCAAACTATTTACCTTCCTACTGGCTGTAGTTTTGCTTTGCAAAACTTGCGTGAATTCGTTCCCGGGCATCGGTTGGTGTTCGCAGATTTCGACGCGCTTCCCGAGGCGAAAATGGATGGATTAAACGCGCCCGTCGTCGCTTCTCAGGGTACCGGTGGTAAAACTTACGATAGAAATTCATATTTAGAGGGTGTCGTTGGAAGTTCTGACGTTTTCTTTCCAACATGTTTTGATACGTTGAAACTACTCAACGAAAACAAAGGAATACACCTCACGACGAAAGAGTTCATGGAGAAATATAGCGAACGAGGCGCGTGCGAAACAAAGACAGGATATAATCCGCTACACAATGACTTTAGCAACACTAGATTTTATCTATCCTAATTAAATACAATATCTTACTACATACGAGTACATTAAAACTCCTCTCTCGTCTTGTGCGGGTCGTAGTTCTTTTCGTACTTCTTCCGGAGCGCTTTGTACAACTTTTCCTCTCGTCCTTTGTATTTTGCCAACAACCGCGGAACTTCTCCCAATTTCGCTGGATTTACGTCCTCGTAATACGCTTTGATTTTCATATACCATTCTTGTTGTTTCGGCGTTCGTATGTGTGAATACGCGTTCGGTCCACTCGGTTGCGAAAACTTGAAGAACTTGTCCAAGAAGGTGAAAACGGGAACAAACATGAATAAGCACAGAAAGAAGAAAGGCAACGGTTTGATGCCAAAAATTAACTTGTCTTTCTTAGATCCCAAAGAAACGCGCTTACGGCCTACTTTAATCGCTCCTTGATTCTCGTCGTCGTCGTCATCGTCATCCGAGGAATCCTCGTCTCTTAGTTCCACTTCCTCATCGCTCGAATTATAATCCGAATCTATTTCTTTTCCCTCCATATGACCTCCCCCGCAACACGAGGATTTCTTTGCCGCTTCTTCCCTCTCTTTCTGAATTTTCTTCATCTCGCTTTCTCTTCGCTTCTTTTGCGCGAGCTTTTCCAACGCCTTCGTCGCAGAAGACATTTTTTCTTTCTTTCTTTCTTTCGAGGAATGTGCGTCTGCTAATCTGAAGAGATGTTTTCGTTCCTTTTCTCCTTTTTCCGTTTTTTTTCTCTCACAACAACACACAAACAACCACAAAACAAAACGGTGACACCCCTAACTAAAAATAAGAAGACAAAGATTAGAATATGGGAGGTAAAAAGGAAGAAGAAGAAGAAGACAAAGAAGATGAAGTGAAAGAGAAGATTGAGAATCTGAACTTGAACGATAACCATCGCGAGAAGAAAGAAGATGGAGACGACGAGGATAACGATAACGATAACGATAACGAAGAAGAAGAAGTAAAAATAAATGCATCGGACGCCGCAGCAGCAGGAAAGAAGAAAAAGAAGAAGAAGAAGAAGAAATCTTCCTCTGGTGGGAACGGAGTGAAATACACACCCGCGGGTGCGGCGAAAGAACAAACGGCACCACCGACGGTACCAGTGACTGAACTCTTTCCAAACGGCTTCCCGGAAGGGGAAATCCAAGAGTATCAGGATAATAACGGGAAAACGTCCTGGCGATTGGATTCCGAGGAGAAGAGGGAGTTGGAAAGATTGGAGTTGGACATGTACGATAACGCGAGGCAATGCGCTGAAGTACACAGAGAAGTGAGAAAATACATTCAAGAGTGGGTGAAACCGGGAATGAAAATGATTGACGTGTGTGAGACGTTGGAAAATTCAGTGAGGAAGCTGTTAAACGCGAAAGGTTTAGAGTGCGGCGTTGCTTTTCCAACCGGGTGCTCGCAAAACCACATAGCCGCGCATTGGACGCCAAACGGGGGTGACGAAACTATCATCGACGTGAACGACGTAATCAAATTTGATTTTGGGACACAAATTAATGGGAGAATTATAGATTGCGCGTTCACAAAGACGTTCGTTCCAGATTACGACGAGTTACTATTAGCGGTGAAAGAAGCGACGGACGAAGGTATTAAACAATCCGGGATCGACGTACGTTTATGCGATATTGGCGAGGCTATTCAAGAGGTTATGGAATCACACAGTGTAGATATTCGCGGGAAGCAGTTTGAAGTGAAATGCTGCAGAAATCTGAACGGTCATTCAATCGCACCGTATCAAATTCATGCAGGGAAATCCGTTCCCATCGTGAAAGGCGGCGAGGCAACGAAAATGGAAGAAGGGGAATTTTACGCCATCGAAACGTTCGGAAGCACAGGCGAAGGGTACGTTTATTTATTATTGCTCATATTGTTTTTGTTTTGTTTTTTCTCCATGGTTTTTCTCTAGTTATCGTTACTTCGCAAAAATTGCGAAGTAGATTTGGACATACACAGGCTGCGATGTGCGAGTTTTCCTTTCGAGGCGCCATGAAACTCGCGAAGTCAAACGAAGAGTTTTTCTTTCATGACTTCGCCTGGTTTTGTCCTTACATTACACTTTTTCAGTCTCATAGTACTTTGCATATCTCTGCTACCCGTATGGGCAGGCGGAAATCCCGATATATGCAGAGCCTCCTTGCACTGGAACATCTTTCTTCCTACCTTTCTTTTCTCTCGTGCGTTTAAGCTGACAGGCGTTTCTCTTTTTTGAAATATAACGAACTCACAGGTACGTTCGCGAGGCTGGAGAATGTTCGCATTATATGAAAAACTTTGACGTTGGTCACGTGCCGTTGCGCTTGCCTACGGCTAAAAAGCTGCTTAATACCATACAGAGAGAGTTTGGGACGCTCGCTTTCTGTCGACGATACTTGGACAGGATTGGCGAGACCCGATATTTAGGCGCTTTGAAAAATCTTGTTTCCAACGGGATCATCGCTGAATACCCGCCGCTGGTGGATAAAACTGGCTCCTACGTCGCGCAATACGAGCACACGATATTGCTGCGACCAACGAGGAAAGAAGTGTTGACTCGTGGAGACGATTATTAATTCCTTCAATTAGAGATTTTTTACCTCGTATACAAGTACGGGTACAGTACAATAGAAAAAATCGACAGACAGAGCCCACCTCGTTATTTTAGGAAACACAAACTGCACAAAACCACGTTTTCTTCTTCACTCTATCTATCTCTCCATCTCTTCTTATTCGATGATTGGTGTAAAACGTCGAAGATGCGTACATCTGCTCTTCTTTATATGCGTGCTGGTTGCGATATCATCCTTCTCTTCCTCGTTCACGATTCCTGAGGAAGAAGAAATAGGGGAAGGGAAGAAGTTAAGAGACAATAATCAATTTGAGGATTTAAAGGAAAGATACGGTCATAGGAGCAGTAGCGACAGTAATCTCATATTTTACACCATCGGCGATTGGGGCGTTCGTGGTATTGATGGTATTGATGGTGGCAAAAACTTTCCAGGATCTGCGCAAATGGCCGTCGCGCAGCAAATGAAACTATTGGCCGAGAATGTGCAACCACAGTTTGTGGCCACTCTAGGGGATAACTTCTACGGCGCGGGCGTTGGTTCTCTGGAAGACAGACAATGGGACTATAAATACGAACAAGTTTATTTGAAGAATAATAGTAGTTTGCGCTCGACGAGGTGGTTTGCGAGTCTTGGTGACCACGACCATTGCGGCAACGTCCAAGCTCAGATTGATTACCACTCGGCGAAAAACTACCTTTGGCATCTGGGCAAAGCCAAAACTCCTTATTATCACAAAGAGTTTAGAATAGGGGGTGGAAGTAGCACTAGCGATAGCGATAATATTAGCGACGAGATGCAGTTAATTGTAGTAGATTGGGTGGGGTTAGAAGGTTTGCTTGCAGGTAAAGAGAAACGACGGTTCGAAGACCAGCTCGGCGATTTCGCCTCTGCCGAAGCGGGCGAAGAACAATTCAACTGGCTAAAACGAGTGCTCGAAAGAGGACACGGAAAGTACCGATGGAGAGTTGTTACGGCTCATAGACCTATAATCTCGGCTAGTTCCAGATTTGCACACGACAACGTGGCGTATCCGGGTGAGTCGTCGACACGAGAGGCGTTGCGAGTTCTCCTTGAAAATTCCGACGTAGATGTGTACCTCAACGGCCACGATCACACGGCCCAACACGCGTGTACACAAAGAGACGATTTTAACGGCAAGAATAAGCTGACGCATTACATTACAAACGGAATAGGAGGTTATGAACTTCACCATCTCGTAGATAATGACAAACGACCAATTGAAACTCTCGATGCGAAGAATACTTTTCACGGATTTGCTATGCACAGCGTAACGAAAGATAAATTCGATACTGTGTTCATCGGTCACGATGGCAAAGTAGAATTGGAGTTGTCGTTCGATAAAACGCAACAGCGATGTAATTGAATTCAATATCTACAATAAGATACGAGTTTTCATTTGGTACCAATTAAATATAGCAGCTTTGTAGTTAAATGCAAATACGGTGTGTGATTAAATTATTTTTCAGTCTAGTCCAGGAATGTATAAGAGTTTCACATCGAACATAACCGGCGAATTCGGAGGAATCTTCGGTCTGCCCGGTGCCGACGCTAAACCTTTCGGGAATGCCAAATCGCCTGGAATGTACAACCTTCGCAATCCTCCCGACCTCATGCTCAGTAAGCCTTCATCCAAACCGACGATAACCGTCGCGCTTTCCGGGTCACCCGTCAATCTGATATCGTTTGGTTTACCCTTCTCTACTGAGTTATCAAAAATTAATCCTTTCTCGTTCATAGCGACGTAATCCGCGACGACTTGGAATCCAATCGGTGGCATTTCACCGTCTCCGACGATGATGTCTTTATACTGCAAACCGCTCGGCGTAGTCACCATCTCAATAGAATCTAAAGACTTGACGCACTCGGCATCGCACAACACTTTCACCTCCTCGTCGGGGAGACCATTCGCGGCGAGCGCAGCAGACGTTGGCGATAACGCGAGAGAGAGCGCGAGAGAAGCTCCTACCGCGGCGCGAGCAAACTTTGATTGCAACGACGACGACGACAAAGACTTTTGGTTTTGTTGTTCGATGACCAGGGTAATATCTTCCTCCTTGGCAGTTGATGACATTTTATTATAATTGTTGTTGATACACTTCGTCGTCGTCGTCGTCGAAGACTTTCTCGCCTTCAACACAGAGGAGGAGGATAGGGAGGATTTGCATTTTAAAGGTGTTAAAGATGTTTGGGATAAAGCGATGGTATTCATCATGGTTTACGATTCTTCGTTTGTCTTCGTGTTCTTTTTTCTTGTGAGGAAAGTCGATTTTTGATGACGAAGCACTTTTTTTTTTACTCGTCGTCAGTCCAAATCTCCAAATAGACTCGCCGCACGTCGTTTACACAGACGACAACAACAACAACAGAAAGAAAGAAAGAAAGAAAGATAAAAAGATAAAAAGAACGATGAAAGTTCGAACGGCCATCAAACGATTGTGCGAGGCGTGCAGGATAGTCAAACGACGCGGTCGATTATACGTCGTCTGCTCGAAAGTACCAAAACACAAACAACGACAAGGTTTAGTGACCGAAACTTCACCGGCGACGATTCAGAACGCTCACGAAGAAGAAGAAGAAGGTGGAAGGAGAGGATACGGCAATACGAATAACAATAGCGGTACGAGTAGTCTAGCAGAAGAGGAGTGCTGCGCGGAGACGAGGAGAACGTTCCTTGGGTTCCTGGATCATCGTCGTCACGCTGAATCGACTTTTCCGTCTCGCAGTTTAGCCGGCGTCGCATCCTCGAATTCGACGACGACGAGTTTTTTACCGTGGTTGGTAAAATAGATTCATAGTAACGAACGATCAATGACATCTACTTTAATAAGATACATTTAATTATTACTACACGCAGACTAAGCACTAGCTAATGATGATGACTAATTTTCGTTTAACAGCATGTTCATCGCCGCTTCGATGTTGTTATTCGTCACGTGCAACGTTTGTTTTACTCGCTGCTCGCTGAAACCCATGGAAACGAGCGTATTGACAGAATTCTCATCCAGAACAAACGGGCCTCCGTCTCCTTCCCTTCCTCGCCTCCTTCTTTGTTCGGCTTGAGCCGCTGCCGAACGGTTCCCGATTCCAAACCTTACTATCGCTTTCCCTCTCGCCGATCTACCATTACCTACGCCGCTATCGAAAATTTTACCTACCGTTTTATCGACGAGCGAACACAGCCAAAGCGGAAGTTTGACGCCCAGACATTCGACGAGTATCCATGCAAAGATTCCGCCTATGACAGACACGAAAGTCGTGACAATGGACGCGTAGTATTTACTCGTGGCGAGGTGCATCATGGCCAAGTACACGAACAGCGTATTTCCGCAATTCAAGATCCCGAAAAGGGTAAAGTGAAACGTTGATGGTACCTCGACGAAATAGACGACGGCGAGAGGCAAAGTTATATAAAACGCCGCCGGTTTCTCCATCATCATCGTCGCATCACCATCGACCAGTTTCAAAAGAACTGATTCCAAAACACGACACAGTAAATACGAAAAGAATAGGAACGATCCAAACTTTCGCGAACCCATGAGTCTTTCGAACATTCGACACATGTGATAGTTCAAAAAGATTCCCGTGCACGCGCTTCCAGGCGTGTTGAAGAAATGACCATTCTCGTTGTAGTTTTGCTGATGACGATTACTACTAAAACCACTGTCCTCGCCGAGGACAGTGGATAAGAGCGGGCGTCCAAATGCCATTATGAGCACGAGCGTGAACGCAAACTTTGCCACTGGTGCGCGAACTGTAATTGAGTTTTAAATAAGAAGAGAAGAACACGGTTACATGCTATATTATTTATTTTCCATCGCGTCCAACTCCACCGAGAGAAAGTAAGAGAGAAAAGATACAGACACGCAAACAACATATACACTGCGATGATTGATGGTTCGTTTAGAGAAAACACAGGAAAACGCGACTCACCGAAACCAGTCGGTCCGAGACCCATGCTTGTTTGTTTCTTTCTCCTGAGTCCTTTGTTTCTATTCACAAACAATACGTATTGGAAGAGAGTTTTTGTGATGTTTGTTTATTGTGTTTTTTGTTGAAAAAAGAGAAACGCACACACAGACAGACAAACAAGAAGAAAGGTGAATCGAATCGTCACAACTTTGAGAGAACACACACACACACAAACACACACACAAACAAACAAACAAACACACGTAATGTCTGCGTTTGCATCTGCAGTTTCAACGCATCATCATCATCGCGTGATGGCGGCACGGACGAAGATACCTCGCGGTATTCGCAGTTCCGCCGCGCACAGCAACGTTAATGCCAATCCCTCAAATTCGAAGGTTGTTTCGATTGGTTTCCTCCGCCGTCAGAAACACAACAATCAACTTTTCTTCTCGACACCATCATCATCCACTTTGGGGGTACCATCCTCTTTCAAATCTTCGACTAAGACAACGAGAACGGTGATGATGCCGAAAGCTTCCACCACGGAACAAGAGCAAGCAGGTGAAACGTTCGAGTACCAGGCGGAAGTCAATCGACTGATGGATTTGATTGTCAACTCTTTATATTCCAATAAAGACGTCTTTCTGCGAGAACTCATTTCTAACGCCTCAGACGCGTGCGATAAACTTCGATTCCGGTCGGTTCAAGAACCGGAAATTTTGAATGGACAATCTGTCACTGATTTGTCCATCAAAGTTAGAGGTCAAGAGAGCGATAAAACGCTCACGATTGAGGATAATGGTATTGGCATGTCCAAGGACGAGTTAGTCGCCAATTTGGGTACGATTGCAAACTCCGGGACGTCCAAGGTGATGGAAATGTTGAAGCAACAAAACGAAGCCGCGAGTGGAGAAAACTTGATTGGTAAGTTTGGCGTTGGTTTTTATTCGTCGTTTTTAGTCGCGGACACCGTGAAAGTGACGTCCAAGTCGAACGACGACGGGAAAGCGTGGACTTGGGAGTCTAAAATCGACTCAACCTCGTACACCATTCGTGAGGCATCCGAAAGCGAAGCGAAGGATTTAGTACGCGGTACGAGAATCACTTTGAAGTTGAAAGACGAGTGCGAGGAGTATGCCACGGATAAAAAACTCTCCTCGCTCGTAAAAACATACTCTGAGTTCATCACGTTTCCAATCGAAGTCTTCTCGACGATTCAAAAATCGAAACAAGTCGAAGATATCGAGGCGACCAAGGCGAAGAAAGAAGAGTGGGAAAAGAAAAAAATAGAAGCCGAAGCGAAAGGAGAGGAGTTCACCGAACCGGAACCAGAAAAGGTCATGAAAGAAGAGATGTACGATGAACAAGATTGGAAGACGCAAAATAACGACAAACCAATTTGGACGTTAGCGCCGAAAGACGTCTCGGACGATCAATACAACGAGTTTTTCAAGACGACGTTCAAGGAGTTTTTGGATCCGTTGGCGGTGTCGCATTTCAAAGTCGAAGGCGAGATGGAATTCAAATCAATTTTGTACGTTCCAGGCATGGCGCCGTTTGAGCAGCAAGATATGATGCAAAAATCAAAATCGATTAAGCTTTTCGTTCGAAAGGTGTTCATCTCGGACGAGTTTGACGAATCCTTGTTGCCGCGATACATGACGTTCATCCGAGGTATCGTTGATTCCAACGATTTACCCTTGAACGTTTCGAGAGAAATCTTGCAAGAATCGAAAGTCGTTCGCGTCATCCGACGACGCTTAGTCTCTAAAACTTTGGGGATGCTCAACGAAATTTCCAAGCGCGAAAACGAGGATTACAAAACGTTTTGGGAAGGCTTTGGAAGACAGCTCAAATTGGGCGTCATTGAAGACGTCGCAAACAGAAAAGAACTCGCCGGTTTACTTCGTTTTACGACGAGCAAATCTGCTAGCGACCAAGAAAGCAACCGATCTTTATCTGATTACATCGCAGATATGCCGGAAGCGCAAAAAGCCATCTATTTCGTCGCCGGTGACACGAGAAAGCAATGCGAAAACTCCCCGTTTATGGAAAAGTTGAACAAGTTGGGATACGAAGTTTTATATTGCACCGATCCTATCGATGAGGTCTCCATGGCAAACTTAGCAACCTTCGAAGAGAAGGAAATCAAGGATATCTCTAAAGAAGACCTAGATTTAGGCGACGAGGACGACGAGGAGCAAAAGAAGAAGAACGAACAAATCGCAGATGAGTTCAAAACAGTCACCGAGTGGTTGAAGAAGGAGTTGGTCGGCGAAGTTGAAAAAGTGGAAGTCTCCTCGAGATTGACGGAGACGCCGTGCATTCTCGTAACGTCCAAATTCGGCTGGTCGGCGAACATGGAGAGAATTATGAAAGCCCAAGCCATGGGTGACGCGAGGGCGCAAGACTACATGAAGGGCAAGAAAACGCTCGAGATTAACCCGTTTTCGCCGGTGATTAAACAGTTGAAGATGAGAGTTGAAAGCGCGCCAGACGCGGAGGAAACGAAGGAGATGTGTAAGTTACTCTTTGATACCGCCTTATTAACGAGTGGTTTCTCCATCGACCAGCCGGCTGAGTTTGCCGAGAGAGTTTTCAAGCTCATGACGCAAGAAGCAAACTTAGAGTCTGAGAAGAAAAGCGCTTCGATCGACCCTGAAGTCGTTTAAAAGTATAGAACACCTTCGCTCACTTCGTCACACGACAAACATATATAATACAAAACGCTACACGTACACACTACTAATCGAAATCTTTCATCTCTACGTCCTTCTCGTCCACACCACCATTTTCCTTGCTCTTTCGAATAGCATCGTCGATCTTATTCTGTTCCGCTCTTCGACTGTTTCTCAAAGCCTTTCTCTTCGCCTTCCCAGTTCTCATTTTCCCCGATTGCAGCGTTTTGTTTTTATCGTGTTTCTTTTTAAGCGCTATTTTCTTCTTCTTGGACAGCGCGTTTCCTTTCGTAATCTTTACCAGCGCGCTCTTCTTCTTGTTATAGGACGGAGCGACCATTGCTATTATTGTTGTTGTCTATTATATTATCAAGTGCGCGTTCGCGAGGAAAAGGGGAGAGAGAGTTGTGTTTGTTAAAAGAATCAGACAGACGTGCGTCGTGTTTTTGACGGCGCGAGAAGAAGAAGAACTGAAGAAGAAGAAAAAGAAAAAAATGCAAAAATCTCTGCTCTCCTTCCTTTTTCGGTTTCTTCTTCTCTCTTACAACAAACGTATCATCCCAGAGCAACAATCTTCATAACTTTGGTGACCATAACATAGCATAATAGAAAACATGCACGTGATCAAGAGAGATGGCCGCCGCGTCGAAGTGGCGTTTGATAAGATCACCGCGAGAATTAAGAAGCTCTCGTATGGATTACATCCAGAACATTGCGATAGGTACGTCTGCGCGAACAAAAACGTCTTCGTCTTTTTTCTTCTTCTTCTTCTTTACCTTCTTGGTTCCGTTGTGTATTCAAAAAACGAGGGATGATGACGTTTGACACGGAGGGTACTACGCAGGCATGAAGCGTGTGCACGTGGTCTTCCTTCTTTCGAAACGTTCTGGCGTCACTCTTTGTTGGATTCTCGACCGTTTCAACCGCGTTTGTTTCCGAACTGACGCGATATTTGACGACGATACAACAATCACGAACGCATCGAAGAGGCGTACGGCTCTTTTTTTTTTCTATTTTGAATCATCCGCGAGATTTCAACGCGCTGAGCGTCGATGGAACGTTTCCTATCCGCGTTTCTTCTCGAGTTACGCTCGAAAACACGTCTATGGAGGATTCGTTCACGTTTCGTGGACATTTCTCGTTCGCGAGATGACATGCGAACGGCGAATACGAAATCTTCATTTTCAAAAATCTCAACGGGCAAACAGCTCACTCTTCGACGACGCGTCGCGTGTTTCAAAACGTTTGAAAAAATGAGAAAAAAGAGTAGTGACTGACCAAATTCTTCTTTCTTTTACTCTTAAATAAACAGCGTTCTCGTAGCCCAGAAGGTGTGCCAAGGTGTTTACCCGGGCGTGACGACTGCTGAATTGGATGAGCTCGCGGCTGAAACCGCAGCGGCGATGACTTCCAAGCATCCGGATTACGCGCAGCTTGCCGCGCGAATCGCCGTTTCAAACTTGCACAAGACGACGGACAAATCTTTTTCGACGACGATGAAGAAGATGTACGAACACACGAACCACAGAAACGGCAAGTGGTCCCCGTTGCTCGCCGATGATGTGTACGAGATCATCACAGAGAATGCGGAAAGATTTGACGCGGAAATTGTCTACGACCGTGACTTTGATTACGACTACTTTGGTTTCAAAACTTTGGAGCGCTCGTACTTGTTGCGCATCGACGGTAAAGTTGTCGAGCGCCCGCAGCACATGTTGATGAGAGTATCCATCGGTATCCACAAGAAGGATATCGAAAAGGCTGTTGATACGTATCACATGTTGTCTGAACGTTGGATGACCCACGCGTCGCCAACCTTGTTCAACGCCGGTACGCCGCGACCGCAACTCTCCTCGTGCTTTTTGATTTGCATGAAGGAAGACTCCATTGAAGGTATCTACGACACGTTGAAGGAATGCGCGTGCATTTCCAAGTCCGCCGGCGGTATTGGTTTGTCTATTCACGACATCCGCGCCACTTCGTCGTACATTAGAGGCACAAACGGTACCTCGAACGGTATCATTCCGATGCTTCGCGTGTTCAACGACACGGCGAGGTACGTGGACCAAGGCGGCGGTAAGCGCAAGGGCGCTTTTGCCATTTACCTCGAACCGTGGCACTCTGACATCTTCGACTGGCTCGACTTGCGAAAGAACCACGGGAAGGAAGAAGCGAGAGCTCGTGACTTGTTTTACGGTTTGTGGACGAACGATTTGTTCATGAAAAGAGTCGAAGAAAACGGCAAGTGGACGTTAATGTGCCCGAACGAGTGCCCGGGTTTGTCCGAATGCTGGGGTGAAGAGTTTGAAGCTTTGTACACCAAGTACGAAAAAGAAAACAAGGGTAAGAAGACGATCAACGCCCAGCAGCTTTGGTTTGCGATTCTTGAAGCGCAAGTGGAAACTGGTAACCCGTACATGTTGTTCAAGGATGCGTGCAACCGCAAGTCGAACCAACAAAATTTGGGCACGATCAAATCGTCCAACTTGTGCACAGAGATCGTCGAATTCACCTCGCCGGAAGAAACTGCCGTTTGTAACTTGGCCTCCATCGCTTTGCCGCGATTTGTCATCGAAAAGAACGAGAGCTCTCCGACTGGCAAGACGGAAACGAAGAAATTGTTGGGCTCTCTCAGAGCGAGCGACCGTTACTTTGATCACGCCAAGTTGAGTGAAATCACGAGAAAGGTGACTCGCAACTTGAACCGCATCATCGACGTCAACTATTACCCGGTCGAAACTGCGAAGAGATCGAACATGAAGCACAGACCGATTGGTTTGGGTGTCCAAGGCTTGGCTGACGTATTTATCTTGCTCGGCTTACCGTTTGACTCTCCGGAGGCGCAAAAGTTGAACGCCGAAATCTTTGAGACGATTTACTTCGCGGCGTTGCAAGAATCGAACGAACTCGCGAAAGAAGAGGGCACGTACGAATCCTACGAAGGTTCCCCGGTTTCCAAGGGTGTGTTGCAACCGGACATGTGGGGCGTTACCGAAATGCCGGGCGGCGATAGACACGGCTGGAGCGCGTTGAGAGAATCCATCGCCAAGCACGGCGTTCGCAACTCCCTCTTGGTTGCACCGATGCCAACCGCGTCAACCTCCCAAATTTTGGGTAACAACGAGTGCTTTGAACCGTATACATCGAACATTTATGCGAGAAGAGTGTTGTCCGGTGAATTCACCGTCGTCAACCAGCACTTGTTGTCGGATTTGACCGAGATGGGCTTGTGGGATCCAACGTTGAAGAACAGTTTGATCTCTGACAACGGCTCTGTCGTCAACCTCGACATCCCGGATAACTTGAAGGCTATTTACAAGACTGTGTGGGAAATCAAGCAACGTATATTGGTGGACATGGCTGCCGCTCGAGGCGCGTTTATCGACCAGTCGCAGTCGTTCAACGTCCACATGTCTGATGCCAACTCCGGTAAGTTGACTTCCTTACACTTCCACGCGTGGAAGTCTGGATTGAAGACTGGTATGTATTACCTCAGATCCAGAGCTGCTGCGGATGCGATCAAGTTTACCGTCGACCCGACGAAGGCTGCGAAAAAGGTGGAGAAGGAGAACGTCTTGAAGCCGTCCAACGGCGGGCCGAAACCAACCGCCGTCCCGACGAAGAAGGAAGTTTCGGAGATGAGTGAAGCGGAACAGGAAGCGCACATGGCGGCCAAGCTCAAGTGCTCGCTCGAGAACAAGGACGAGTGCTTGATGTGTGGATCTTAATCAGCAAGAACAACAACAAGTGAAGAGTGATGCACTTTTTCGGCGCGGACAGAAATCGACAACAAGAAAAGGAGAAAGAGAGAGAGAGAGAGCGTGAAAGGTGTATTTTGGAGTGTAGGGTGGGGAGTTTTTGCTCGTAGCGCATAGTGCGTGGCGAGGTTTAATCGCTTTTGCATACAATTAATTTTATATACTACTATTATTACATTATACAAGACAACTTGTTTGCTGCGCGTATTGAATATTATTCGGTTGGCTTTTTGGCGTCTTCCATCTGCACCCCCCACGAAGCCTCGATCCCAAAAATTTCGCTTGAACGCGATTAAACACGTCACTTTTAAGAAACTAAGAAACACCGCCCGCGCATATCAACTCTTCGTTCAAAAGCATAAACTGAGAGAAACGAATACCCCGTCGCATCCGCATCTCTTCCTGCTGCTGCCTACTCCTTCCCCTTCCTCCTTGAGGTGCGCAGAGAGAACAGAGGCGGATAATAATAATAATAATAACAGTTGAAGCAAAGCAAAAAGCGAGAGCGTGAAACGACCGACAAATCCGAGCCATAGGATTTGTGTGTGAGGACAAAGAAGCAAATCATGTCTTCATCCTGCCCTACATCGTCTAAGTGCGCGCACACGAGCGCTTGGCGCGTACAAAAGACAGGAGCGTCGAAGAATATTCGCAAGAACGCAGCATCCGTCAGTTTGAGAGGGGCATCAAAAGACTTATCGTCTTCGCACAGAATTCGCCGTCTTATCCCCCGAGGCGACGACGTTGAAAACGACCGGCGAAATTTCGCCTCCTCGTCGTCGTCCTCCGTTACTTCCTCCGTCCGTACTCGCGCATCGCTGTCTTCGTTTCGCACGATGTCGATGCGAACGTCAGCGACAGTAGATGAAACAGGAGACGTCACGACATCGAAGAATAAAATCACAACCGCTACGACCACGAGGAGGAGATTGCTCTCCTCCTCCTCCTCCTTCTTCTCCTCCTCGAGAGGAAAAAGGAACAAAAAAACAGACGAGAGCTTTCGTTTGCACGCGCTCAGGAAAAAACAACAAGGAGGAGGCGACAAAGAACAGGACGAAACGACCATCGAGTTCATCAAATCACTCGTTTCTGGTTCGTTTTACGAAGAAGACGAAGAGATTGGCGAGGATGAATTCTCTGCCGCGGGAGGAAGCTCGTCGGAAGCGCTGGTTCGTCGAAGAAAGCCGGCGAAAGGCGTGCAATTTTTCAAACCAGGACTGCGGAAACTCACGGCGCGCCAACGCATGGCGCTTGCTTTTTCTGATCTGGACTCTTCCGGTTGGTGGGCTGTCATCTCGTCAGGAATTGTATTCGGAACATTTATTCTTGAATCGTACAACATTGGCACCTTTGGTGGCTGGGACGTCTTGTATCGAGACGATATTCCGTGGTACTCTGGGCTAGTTTCCATGGACAACATCCGCGACATCGAAGACGCCTACAACGCGTTATTTTTCTTTGAGCTTTTGCTTCGAGCGTGGGTCGCCGAATTCAAGTTTTCGTTTTGGACGAATCCTTTTACTGTTTTAGATACAGCGGCTACGATTCCTCCGGTATTGGCAGTTTTCGGTTTAGTCGACAGAATGTCGCCAATCCCTCGATTTCTTCGGCTACTCCGGATCGTCCGTCTTCTTCGCTTTCTCGAGCGCTCTCCAGACTCGGTGTTGTTTGGTTTGTTCAAGTCCGATTCGATGACAGTTCAGCTCACCGGCGTCGCCGCCGAGTTCATCTGCATCTTCGTCATCGCCGCCGGCGTAATATATGATCTCGAGTTCGGCATCAACCCGGCTGTGAAGAATCTCAACGATACTTTGTATTGGGCGGTGCTTACGCTCACGGGTATTGGTCAGCCATTTGAAGTTGTCACCCCGGGCGGGAGAGTTGCGACTGTTGTTTCCATTTTTGTCGCCCTTTTAGTTATACCAGGTCAATTAGCAAAGTTAGCGACTATTTCAGGAGGCGAGATGCTTTTGGGGATGATGGAAGACGAAGACGAAGAGGACGAAGACCAAGAACTCATCTCAAACACAGGTGAAGTTTTCATTTTGAAATCTACGGATGAAGATCCCATCACGAGCGGCGCGAAAACGTTCGACGACCGCGTGTGCGATTCGTGTGGATTAGAAATGCACGAGAGTGACGCTCGATATTGTCGCAGATGCTCGTTTAAGCTAGCCGAATCCGACGTCACCGGCTTGAGGTTCGCTCGAAAGATTGCAAAGAAAAAGAAGGCGATCGAAGAGAAACAAGTGCGAGGAAACGTCAACGTCGGCCGTTTAGGAGTGGACATGATGTCTTCCATCTCCACGTCTACAAAGGCGCTCTCGAATAAGAAAAATCGCAATAGTTAGTTAGTCATATTGTACAGGTACTACGCATACTGAATATATATTAAGATTGATTGATGTACACTTTGCAAACCAACATCCAAGTCTAACTTCTTTGACTCGTCTTCATCAAAGAATTCTTTCAACTACGAGTACTTCTATTTTCTCTCTTTCGAGACGACTTTTGATGAAGCGGAAGAGGAAGAAGAAGAATGAGATGAAAGGAGAGACGAACCCATATACGTGAGAATCCCAACCGCGCCGAATGCCGTCAGCACGTAGGTTTGATATCTATAGTATTGAGCGGCGTGTTTCCAAAGCTGAGGCATGGTTGGAATTTCCGTTTTTATGTTCTTCTGCTTTTCGTGCATTTTGTATCGCCGAACGCGCGAGAAGTCCAACAAGGAGAGAAACACAACTTTTCGCGCACCCGCCTCGCGCGTCTTCTATCTAATCATTCAAGTTTCATTTCGGAATTTTCGTAAACAAAAGAAAGGAAAGTTTTTATGCCGTGTTCGAATTGAGCAAAAATTGCTAAAGTACGCGCTGCACTGCAACTAATATTTTACATGAGTTTCTAAAGCTTCGAAGGAAGCGGGGGAGAGGAGGACGGAATCATTTTGTGCGGATTCAGAATACCACGCGGATCGAACATGTTCTTCACCCTTTGCATGAGCCGAACTTCTTCCGCGTCCTTCCCTCGCCAAAGCTCTTGAACTTTCATCGCCCCTAATCCGTGTTCAGCTGAAACACTTCCTTTGTGCTCGGTGACATACTCGTAGACGAATGGCTCGATCATCGCAAGCGTGTCTTTACACGGACCTTCTTTTCGAGATATATTGAGGTGTAAATTTCCGTCGCCGAGATGACCGTATCCTAAAACTTTGACTTTATCATCCATTCTTCGCTCGGCGAAGCGTTCTCTCATTCTCTCGACAAGCTCGTACATTTTAATCGTTGGTAACGAAACGTCGTACTTGTACACGGCACCGGCGTATTTTAACGCCACGGATATGCGTTCGCGTAAATTCCAGAGCTCATTCGCGTGTTTTTCGTTTTCGGATATCACAAACCGTTGCGCTAAATTTGGTTTGTTCCTCTCTGCTTCGTCGCCGCGAAATTTTTTCTGAAGAATGCTCACAAATTTTCCCCTACTTTTCCTTCCATCCTCCGCAAGGACACACACTGAGCGCGCAAAATTTAACACATTTGCTCTCAACCTACTCTCCATAGCCTTTTCGTTTACGGTAGTTTCCACTGCGACGTAGAATTGTATGTTTGTTTTCAAATCGTCGGCGTAGGGGAATGGATCTTTCGCTCCAGGTAATGTGTCGACAGTGAGTTTAAGACTTTCATGATCGAAAAATTCTACAGCTGACAGATTCTCCGCCAATCTCTTTTTCACCTCAACCATGAGATGCACAACTTTTCGAAATGTATCACAGGCAAATATGGTAACGATTCGTGCCTCTGGCGCTCGGGACGCTAAGATGGCAACTTTCGTAACTATGCCGAGCGTTCCCTCGGCGCCAATAAATAACTGCTTCAAGTCGTATCCCGTATTATCTTTTCTATTTTCTCTGAGCAAAGAACTCAACACCGTTCCATCCGCGAGGACAACTTCTAAGCCTAAAACAGTTCCTCGCAAAGAGCCGTACTTGACCAGACGCAAACCGCCGGCATTTGTTGATACGTTGCCTCCGATTTGACATTTACCTTTTGCGCCCAAATCTAAAGGCACGCACATCCCTCGTCGCATCAGAGCATCGTCTAGTTCTTCTAGAACAACCCCAGCTTCGCACACACACACGCCAGTGATATCGTCTATACTCAACACCGAGTTCATGCGTTTCAATGAAAGTATAACTTCATCAAAAACAGGTACGGCGCCTCCGACTAAACCGGTGTTCCCACCTTGCGGACACACGGCGATGTGATTCTCGTGACAATATCGCAAAATTTCAGAAACCTCTTCGCTCGTTCGCGGGAACAGCGCACACTTGGATTTACCGAAATACTTTTTCTGCCAATCTGTATTTAACTCTATCAATAGCACCTCGTCCTCACTTTTATTATCATTACTATTATTATCATCATTATCACTCTCGGGCACATACGGTGTCTTCTTCTTCTTCTTCTCATTCCTCTTGGTAACAACGGTTTGTGCGACGTTTTCTGCACCAATCGCGCGAATGAAAAAATCTATATCATCATCTGACAAAACTTTATATGGGTGGTGATGGTGGTGGTGGTGGTGGTTCATCTTTTCCCCGCTCGCTCTCGCTCTCGCTCTCGCTCTCGCTCTCTCTTTAGAAAGAAAGAAAGAAAGAAGAAAGAGTAGACAGAATTCAAAGAGTGTGTGAGGCGAGAGAAAGTAAGGAATCATGAGCAAATAAATAAAAGACGAAATATTATTGATCGAACAAGAAACTCTTCAGTACACCACAATTCATAACACACAAAGAGTGAAGAGAGAAGAAGAAGAACGAACGAACGAAAAGAACGCATCAAATGGAAGTTGAAGACGCGATAACAACCACCATCTTCGATGTTGGTGTCGCCGCTATCGCGCAGCGCTCATCTGAAGTTCGCGTCCGGGAAATGGGATTTAAACAACAACGAATGGAAGAAGAAACCACAACGAAAGTAATAACATCAACGACGATACTTCCATCAAGGAATGAAGAAAAAGAAAAAGAAAAACAAGAAGATCTTTGTGAGAACAGGGGGAGAATCGTGTACCCGAAAGCCGCGAGACAGGTTGCGGGGAATTCGCACAAGCACGCTCGGGCTGCTCGCGTCGACGCGTGTGGACATTTTTATAAACCCACAGACGACACTCGAAAAGGAATGACTGAGTTACAGTTTTACGAAAATTGGCAAGCAATGGAGCACGAAAGAGTCCCGGAGTTTTCACCGTTTCTAGCTACGTTTGTATCGAGAACAGTGCTGTACGAGTCTCGCGACGCCGCGAAACCGATGCCATTTTTGAAATTGCGCGACGTGACGGCTGACATGAAGCAAGCAAACGTGGTGGATATAAAAATAGGAGAGCGGACGTGGCATCCATCGCACGACGCAGCGTACAGGGAAAAACGGCATCGAGGCGACTTGGAAACGACTTCGTGTTCGATAGGGTTTCGCGTGTGTGGGATGCTAACCTACGAGGAAGAAAGCAATACGGAGAGGTATTGGAATAGAAAATGGGCAAAAGCGCTGAATTTAGAGACGACGACGACTGGTCTTGACGTGTTTTTTGGTCAGAATAGCGAAAGAATTACAAATGTCCTTCGAAAGTTGAAAGATATCAGGCAAAGTTTAGAAATGAATCCGTTTCCGGTTTTCTTTTTGGGGTCTTCAATACTTTTATGTTACGATAGCTCGGATCTTCACAGCGATGTTCGCGTTGTTATCGTTGATTTTTGTAACGCGGTGAAGAACAAATCTCGAGAGGTGGACAGAAATTTTTTGGACGGACTGATCTCTTTGACGAATTTGATTGAACGTATCAGAGACCGCGTGAGAGTGAGAATGGATCCGACGAGCTTGTCTACTTCGTCTTCGGGACTCTCGACAGCTGGGACTTTCAATCCAAACACGCCGAGTCCTTCAAGTAGTAAGTGAGAGAGAGCAAAAGAGAAGAGCACATAATTGTATAATATGATTGTAGTTTTAAACGTACCAGTGGTACTGGTAGCATTGCATATTCCTCAGAAACCAACTCATTTGTGGCTATACTTTGATAAAAGTATTTGATAAGCTTTTGTCAATAAGACAAATTTTTCTCCAGAGCTTTTGTTCTTGTCGGGATGATACGCAAGTGCTTTGCGCCGATATTGCTTCTTCAGCATGTCAACGTTACCACGAAATTCTTCTCTGCTCAACTCGAGAATGTTCAAATATTCGCCGTCGTCGCCGTCGTCGGCACGATGGCGTTCTTTTTGCTTCTGTTGTCTTTCGTATTGCTCCCAACGCCACTTATTTTCTCTTTCTTGTTTACTCTTCTCTTCTTTGTCTGCCTCCCAGTCGACTTCGTGCTCGGTGGCAGCACACCCACATAAATGGCAATAAAGCATCTCGCTATCAACAGTGAAAAAAGAAGAATTGGTAAGCGTACAAAACTGCTTGCATTCCATACAGTCGTTGCAATTTTTTCGCCGCTTACCGGTAAGAAGACAGAAGTGACTTTTTTCGAGTATTATGCCATTCTCCTTGGCTTCGCGCATCCGATTTTTAGCGTTTTGGATTATTTCTAACCGTTTCTTCTTCTTCAATCGGAGTTCTTCGTTCTCTCTCTCTAAACTTGCCTTTTCTCTCGCAATGCGTCTATTGAACGATTGTTTGTCTTCATGGTCTTGATATGAACAAGAACAATTTGCGCAACGCTCCCCATCGGCGGCGGCGAAAAGCTTTCCAAGAGAAACTTCGTAGCTGGCTTTGGACACTTTCGATAAAAGCATCGTGCTAGTGGAAACGCGTCTAAAGTGCGGGCATACTTTGCAGTTGAGACACTTGCCGCGTTTATGTCCGTTTATGTCGTCGTCGCCCAAAACAGAAATCGTCGCCGAAGTCGCTTGTATTAAATCCTCGAACGATATCTTCGCGAAATTAGTGCTGGTAAAATCAGACGTATTTTTTCCTTTTGACCGAATATCTGGTTTTACGCGCTCATTTTTCCTCGCATTTTGCTCTTCTTCCCATTTAAGAGCCCAATTAAAACTCTCTGAATCATTCTGGTCGTATAGGAAGGTATCGTCGCCGCTGGGAACATCGTCAACCCTGTCTCTGTTATCGTTTTCATTCTCGTCGTCATCGCTGCCGCTGTCGTTGAAGGCCCACATTTTACTTCTCGCTTCGTCCTCTGCTCGCCGTCGCTCTATTTGTTCGAGCTCAAACGCGTTGAAAAATTCGACAGATTTTCGTAACACGTCGTCGCTCGGTTCGTCGTCGTCCGATTTTGTGTACGCGTGCGTTTGCGTCGACGCATTTTTTGTTTCTCTCTGTGCTATAATTTTATGTTCGGTTGAATTTTTCAGTGTTTGCGTACACGCGTCTTTACTCTTCGATCTTGCCAGTGTGTTCATTGTTGGTGGCGACACTGAATTCCGTGTTTCCCCTGAATTACCCTTTTGCTTTGTTCGTTCGTGCACGTTCAAATGTTTCAACGCCTGGCGCGCGGTCTCGTTATCGGCGTCGAGCTTGTTGAGAATAAGTCTGTATATTTTAATACCATCCTCCTGTTTATGCAAGCGCAATAGCGCGTGTGCTTTTCGATTCAGTGCTTTCACATTCGCAGGCTCTATTCGTAACGCTTGATCGCAATCAGATAGCGCCGCGCTGAAATTCTCCAGATGCAAGTTTGTAGCAGCTCTGTTTGAGTAAGCTTTCACTCGAAGAGCAGAATCAGACGAGTTCAAGGCTAGAGAATACTCCTTGATTGCCAAATCAAATTCACCTCTGTGGAAAGAATCCGTTCCTCTTTCTAAATGGTTACCGAACGTATCTATTTCGTGACAGTTGCTCGGGCAACGACACTTAGCGCAATTCATAATCGCAACATCGTTTGACGGATGCGGTGATGAGGAGAAGTTGGGAGTCTCTTTTTTCGTATAGAGCTGGCAATTCGATTTGTACTCATCGCATCGATTACATCGGTTGCATTTTCCTCTCACTATGCCCATCAAATCTCGATTGGAATCAACGTCTAGATATCTCTCGTTTTTCTTCGCGGCGCTGGAAGACGAAGACATTTCCAAAACGTTTTTTTTTTGCCTCGACGAAAATGAAGCGTTTTTACAAAAGAAGAGAATTCTCTCTCTTCTCTACCGAACAAAAAATGGCACCTCACGAGAACGTCTTCTACGCGGAGAAGCATTCCAACGATTCTTTGCATAATCCGCAAAGGAAAGGAACCGACCATACTTCGAAGGAAATTCAAATCGCCGCGCGATTACTCGGTCGCACCTCAGTCATTAGCGATGAGAAAACAAGAAAGAAAATGGAAAGAGAAAACGCTATAGAAAAAAGGAAGGAGAAGTTACTTCAAAATGCGAAACCGTTAGGGGATGGTTTTATTCTCGTCGGGAGCGGAGACTCTATCAGACGGATAAACGTGAACGAGGCGATGATTAAGAAAGAAAACATGAAAGATGAATATGGTCGCCAGAAACGAAAGTTTGATTCAGACAGCAGATGGAAGACGGAAGAAAGAATAAAGAACGGAGGAACAGCGGGTCAGAACGAACTCGTCGTCGCTCGAAACGCAGCTTCAGAACTGGAGGAGAAGAAGAAGATGAAGAAGAAAGACCAGGGTCGACGCAGAGAAGAAAGTCTTCCCGTGCTAGTGCCACCATCCGAGCTGATTTTTGGATCCGATGGTTTCGTGAAAGAGAGCACGGACGACGACGAGGACGACGAGGAGGAGGCGATGAAGATGATAGCTATCGAGCGACGGAGAGCGAGAAGTGAAAAGTCAAAGTTAGACGTGAAAAGTACTGCGAGGAAAGCAAAAAACATTCGCAAGTTTATTGGTCTTTAAGTCGTGGAGTATATGTGCATGTATGTATGTATGTATATATATATTCGTTATGTAGTATAGTATAGTGTTGTAGAAAAATAGGATAGTAAATGCTGCTAAGTAGTAGGCAATAATGCGATGGCGTTTGGATTCCATAGGATGCCGGAAAATTCTAAACAGAGACTTTGAACATATGGCGTGAAGAAATCTTCAGGCCGCTCTTCCTCTTCGTACGCAAATTTCAACTCGTGAAAGTCGTGGAGCGGTGGTTTTGAATACGATTTCGCCGCGATTGTGATGATAGCCGTCAAATCGGGAATGCTAAATGAGTTGAGCCCGCGTTCTCTCTGTTTCCTATCGATTTCTTCGTTGAAGTGCACCAATACGACGTTTATATTTTCTAAGAGTTCCTTGAATCTTGCGTGTTTCTCGAACGGTTTCAGCGTTTCTTCGCGATGTAACAACGCATAGATCAACTCTGGATTATGCACTAATGCGTTTTGAGATAATGCGGCGTTGAAAAGTTCGAGAAGTATGCGCAAAAAGTCCGCGTAAACGTGCATATCTGTTCCATCTTCTTTTGCGTTCATCCCGTCCGCGTGCAACTGTGCGAATCTCAAATATTTTTTCGCGATGAGTTCAAAAATAGAGACGAGTCTCTGCGCTGCGTAAGCTGAAACATCCCGGAAATGCGGTGCCATATTTGCCAACGCTGCAAAGCAGTTTGTATGTAAATAAACGTCGCGGAGTTTCGCCATGTTAAAACGAACAGTTCGCGTCAACACGATGATGATCAAACTACCAAGCGTTGTTTTTGTCAATATTCTCTCCTTGTACCAGGAAATTTGTTGTGGTATTTGAATTTTGTGCACGTTTGCGTTGAATATCTCGCCTTGCGACATGATTAAAAGAACAATCAATATCATATAGATTTGGTTTTGAGTTCGAGCCGAGGCTTGGTACAACATTTCCAAAAGAGGCATGACGACAACCTCAACGTTGTCGTTGTTCAAACAGTACTCGCAAAAATCGGACGCGCCGAGAATACACGAATAGAACAACAAGACGGAAATATCGTTCGTCAACGCGCGACCAAAGGTTTCATATAACTCTGTGAAGGATACTTTGGCTACCAGTTTACCCCCACTGGTTGAAACGCCAGCTACATCAATTCTTGCGTTCTCTTCTTCTTCTTCTTTTTCGATACCTCCAACGCCGGATTCAATGTCTTTGTTTTCTTCTTTTATACTTCGAATGCTTCGTAAGGCATATCGAAACGAATGCGGTACCTTCGATCGACTCGTCGGGTTATTGAAGTTGATGAGGACAAGGAGAAGCAGAGAGGAAACGTCGGCTAAAGGTGATAAAGTGAGCATCACTTTACCAGAGGCGGACGCTCCGCCGGCTTGTAAAGACGACGACCCACCGGAAGAATTCATTTCTGCGCTTGCCGTTTTCGATCCAGGTTTCACGCCGTAAGATTTCAACCACGTCTTTGGTTGTTTCTGCTCAATGAAATTTCTCAACAATGCCGAAACGACATCTTCGTTCGTGTACGCGCCAGTTTTTGCTGATGTTGTAGTCGTTGTAGTCGTTCCGTTTTTGCCTGGCGACCCAGCGGCGCTGGCTGTCGATGCAACTTCGTGTATTTTTTCCAAGAAAGGGTGAGTTGTAGGTCGATTGGTTTTCCCATCGATCATATTTTGCGTCAACTGTGTACCGCTCATGACTAAAAGCAACGAAACGCACGCGTGATGTAAAGGATACGTCGCATCCGTAACTTGAACAGCATTGTTCATACACACCGCGCTCAACAAAGCGGTGCCAAGCTGATGCATAGCGCTAATCGTGGCGTTCTCGCCCGCGTAGTTGCACGCCCACGCGCATTCTTCCACGTTCGTTTCTTCTACAAAGTATTTCAGAAATGCGGAAAGTAAAACGACGGCGTTGATGGCTTTCGTCGGTACCTCTCTCGTCTCGAAGTTGACATCTTCTAAAACTCTCGAAACATAAATCATCAATCTTCCCAAGTTATTCGATGTTCGATGGTTCTGACTCATTTGCTTACCGTATTCGTGGACTGATTTCTCGATTTCCAAGTTTCCAGCCGCGCTTAAAGCTTCGGGGAAATCTCTCAGCGCACCCCACACGTTAGAAGAAGAAGAAGAGGAGGAAGATTCACCACCGGCATCACCTTTTTCGTCGTCGTTCAGTAAGGATATCGGCGTGGTGCCTGCGAGAGCGGCGTATAGCGACTGCACCTCATCCCCAGCGAGATGTGATTGCACCGAAACGCCGTTCCCCATGATTCGCGTGTTCTATCTTTCAAGAGGAGTCGGATTATTCACTCGTGTAATATTTAGAGGAAGAAGAAGTGGAGAGAAGTTTGTTTTCAGGCAGGATCGAACTGGACTCTCCTCGCTCCTTTTCTCTTCTTGATGAAAAATAAGAGAAAACAAAATTCAACCATTTAATCATCTGCCCACGTGTCGTCGCCAGTTTCATATCTTCACACTCGGAGTGAAGAAGATATCAAAAACTGAAAATCAACAGATTTGATAACACGTATACATGATGGCATCATCAACAGCATCAATTACCGCGGCGTCTGCGCAACTCTGTAACTCTTCCTCGTCGACGTTTCGACGAGGAGGAAGTCGATCCTCCCTCGTCGTCGGTAAAAAGTACAACAACAACAAGACGAGGAAAAGTAAAAACGTTTACGCTTTACGCAACTTTGATTATCCAGAAGCGCTTTTGTTCGATTGCGACGGCGTGCTGTGCGAAACAGAAAGAGACGGACACAGAGTTACGTTCAATAAAACGTTCAAAGAAAATGGGCTCGAGCACGAGTGGGGAGTTGAATTATACGGCGAGCTTTTGAAAATTGGCGGAGGTAAAGAACGCATGACGCATTATTTTGATAACGTGGCGCCGAAAGACTCGGAACCGTGGAAATCGACGACGGATCCGGAAGAGAGAAAGAAACTCGTTGCGGCGTTTCACAAGAGAAAAACGGAAATGTTTCTTGAAGTGGTGAAAGCTGGCGAGTTGCCGTTGCGACCGGGCGTGGCGAGGTTGATCGGCGAAGCTTTGGAAGCTGGATCCAAAGTCGCCGTGTGCTCCACCTCAAACGAAGTCGCCGTGCAAGGTATCGTGGATACCATGTTACCGCAATACGCAGACAGAATGCCAGTTTTTGCCGGAGATATCGTTCCAAAGAAGAAGCCAGCGCCTGATGTGTATTTACTCGCCGCCAAAACACTCGGTGTCGATCCTGCACGATGCGTAGTCATCGAAGACACGCACATCGGACTTCAAGCAGCTAAAGCAGCGGGTATGAGATGCTGCGTAACAAAGTCAATCTATTCCGAGGGTGAAGATTTCACCGGAGCGGACGCTGTGTTCGATTGTTTAGGCGAAGCCGGCGAGGAGCGCGCGAAGTTTCACGACTTGACCACTCCCGGGGCATTCTGGTAAGTGAGTTTCCATTCTCTCTTACTTTTTGTAAACTAAAACAATTATAATAAAAGGCTCAATCCACCTTTGCCTCAACACTTAAACGGCGATTGGTACGTCGGCGAAGAAGAAGAAGATAAAGATAAAGAGGAGAAAAAGGTAGAAGGTAGCGTCGTCTACGATAGCACGAAAGCGATTATAGACGATCTTGAAAAACTATGAAAAAGAATCAAATACAAATTAAGAAGAAGAAGAAGAAGAAGTGAGAACACTCGCACACTTTCTACACTTTTCTTTACTTAATTTTACTATACCACTATGAAAGTGTTCACAACACTTTAAGTTTTTTGCTCTTTGGTCCAGGTCTGCCCATATTTTCTACTGAACTACTATCGTCTTTGAGTGGGTAGAAGTGTCTCAACCCAATCAAAAACCCGATACCGAGTGCGATTTTAGCGTGCCCGGAGTGCGTGATGAGCTTTCGCACGTTGTCCCTCACCGCAACGCTTTGTAACAAGGCGCAACTTTCACACTGGGGCCAAAACCTCTGTTTGGGAACGAATCGAATAAAGTTCATGAACTTTTGATACATCGAAACATTTGCGCCTCGGGAGGCTGCGGCATTTGCGGCGCTTCCGAACGCTACTTTGTTCGGCGGCATGTGGTCGCCAATCACTTTGAGCGATTTTTTACCGCAGTGATGACACCCGTATTTTCGCATAAACGTTCGTAAAACTGCTTTTTGCGGTTCACTCGCGTAATTCGATCCGTTTGCTTTGATACTTTTGACTGCATTCGCACCGATCTCGGCAACGTCGCTCGGCATCGCTTTCGAGAACGAACCCCGCGAGGCGAAGAAAAATAACACGCTACCTAACGCGGCGTCAAAAACCGTTTCATCTTCATCCCACGCCGTTTCCAGCGTACCCGTCTTCCTGCGTTTCGTTCTGCGCCACGTGCTATTACTGCTACCGCTATAGCTAATGTGAGGACTACTGTTACTACCACTAATTTGATTCAATCCTGCGCTGACAAAACTCCCCGACGATGTCGTGTTATGCACTTTGCCACCTCCTCGAGACAATGAAAAATCTGATGCGAAAAGCATCGCTTGTCCTGCGCATACGGAAGCCATCATCGTCGATCCCAAGCCTAACACTGGACCAAAATTCGACGCCGAAGATATTCTAGCAATCAGCGCAACTCTCTGAAACGCGTTCATGGATACAGACATGGAAATGGCAGAACAAGCGCTGCCGATAGCTAACGGTAAAGCGTGCGTTTCGAAACTGAAATGCGTTTTCCAGTGTTCGAAATCAGGAAACTTATTCGCGATGAATCGCTCAAAGGAATTGCTCTTACCACGCGACGACGTCCAAGGGAGCGACATTAATAGCAGAGGTGCAAAGATTTGCGCTTTAATTTAATGTCGTGGTAATAATAACGATGACACGCGCACGAGAAAGAGCTTTTTTTGTTCTGAAGAGGGGGGAAGGATGAGGAGGATTTTCCTTTTTTTCACACAAGTAATACGCAAAAGAAGGAAACGCGCACGTTGTATGTGCCTAAATAGTAGTAGTTAGTACTTATAGTAGTATTACAAGTGGAGATCAGTGTTACAAACGTCTCGGAGGAAGTGGTGGCGGTTTCGCCGGAGGCTGCGACGTAAGAAAACGCGGTCCGGACGGAGGTGGTGGTATGTTGTTGTTATGTTGCGGCTGCTGCGGCTGCTGCGGCTGCCCAGCAAACCTTTGATTCGCTCCAGCTGGAGGTGCCATGTTTGGCATAGGTGGTGGTGCAAACGATGGAGGTGGAGGTGGAGGTGGCGCAAATGAATGTGGCGGAGGTGGGGGCTGAAATGTGAGCACGTTCTGCTGCTGCTGCGCTTGGTGTTGCGCTTGCGCTTGCGCCGCAGCATTCGCAAACGCTGCTGCCGCCGCCGCTGCTGCTACCGCTGCAGCAGAAGAATGATGCACGTTATGAGAAGAAAGATGAGGAGGGGGTGGAGAAGGAGGTGGGAGGAACTCGTTCGCACCGAACGATAACATAGACGTGGAGTGTACGAGCTCGTTGTTCGCGGCTGTATCGTCAAAACCACCTTTCGCAGCCGTCGTCGTCATATTCTTCTTCCCAGCACCTGCGGTGGCCTCATCCGCCGCTGCTGTCGTGGCCTCGTCCACTTCTTTAAAGCCAAACAATTTGCCAAATCTGTAAATTTCCAAAAGCTGCTCGTCGAAATCGCCATACATTTGCATCTCTTCATATTTCTCATATAGTTTCAGCGCAGTTCTCGCATCTTCGATGGAATCGTGCGTCTTCGATTGAATGTCTTCCTTTAACAGATATTTCGATAAAAACTTCAAACCGAGCTTACGTTGGCGCTTAAAATGAAACAATTCCACGGTATCGATGATTTGAGAAGGAGGGACAACTATATTGATCATCTTAAAGTCTTGCTTCAAACCGTGTCCGACGAAAATACATCCACAATCAATCAGATAGCGCAGTTTCAAGTACGCGTGCTTCAGCTGGGTGATGAAGTGTGAACTGACAGCGGGATCAAGATCACCTGGTACTAATCCAGAAAAGCGCGTCAAATAGTCGTTTACAGGCTCCACTGCGCGTATGTAGTCGTCGATAATTGGTGTAAACTTCTCTGAACCTTGTCCACGTACGACCGAAATCCGCGCAAGACCCAAACGCGCCGGGATCGATTCAACCTCAGAACCGTCTGCTAATTTTTCCATGATTGCCGGAACCAGCTGAACAAATTCTGCGTCGATACCGACCAAATAACCAGGCGAAGGCATATCATCTCCTTGTAGCAAAAATGGTTTGAACGGCACGGACTTCGGAATCGCGACGCCAAGCGTAATTTTTCGGTACAAAGCCTCGGTGATGGGGGAATCCGGCAAATTTAAAGGTTTCTTATCGACTCGGGTATACAAACACAGACAAGGAAGCTTCAAATGTCCGTAAAGCTGCGTGACTTCATCTTTGGAAACTTCAGATACGACAAAATCATTAAATAGAAGCCATTCGCTCTTCTCTGCGCCACTCCCGGAACTGCTACCACCTCCACCGCCTCCCATCTTCGATGACGCGTTCTTCGGCGTGAACGGTTCTGCTTTCTCCGCGCCGAATTCCATGGCGTTTGATCGCAATTTAGAAGATGACGGCGTCACGCTTTTAATTGTCGCTTTGGCCGATGACTCTTCCTTATTTTTTTCCTTATTAGTACTCGTTGCCTTTTTGAATACCAACGGAGAGACACCCGGCGTCAGTCCAACCGGGGACGCCACGTCAAAACATCCAGGCGTATCGACGTATGGCGGCTTCACCTTTATAAATGATACTAAATGACCTTCTAACTTTGAAATATCGCGCTGGGGCTGCTGTTGTTGATGTTGCGGCTTGTCGTTTGGTTTTCGTGCAAAAACAACCAATCCAGTGAGTTCGTACACGATTCCATTTTCGAAGTTTTCAAAATCCTTTGCTTCGCTCCCATGTTTTGCACTCAAAGTGCCGCCTCCTGGGACGAGTTGCATAAAGTGCGGGAGCCAATGCTCATGCAACTTTTCTGAAAATCCCTCCGACCCAGGCACGGCATCGGATTTGACCCCCCACCAGTGCAAATCCAGCATATCGCGCATGCCAAGAGAAATGGACAGGACGTTTGGTAGTTTCTCTGCGAATTTAGTTTGCGCCATTCGCGTGTACGCTTTGTGCGACTCACACCAAGCGCGAACCTCTTGTTTAATGCACATGGATTTCACGAGTAAGTCAACAAAAGATGGTCGGGGAATAGATCGGTCGCTTGGATATTGTAAATCAATCTGAAACTTACGCATTTCCTTCTTTTCATCGCGTGCGCACTGCGCGCAGCGCAACTTTTCTTGCGTAATAATGCCGAAAGACTCTTCCACGCTCGTTAACGCTGTTGAAATCGACGTCTTACCACCGTTTGACGATTCCTCCTTGTGTAACTGCTCCAAAATAAATCTCTGAAATGCTTGTATTCTCTTTGCTGGACTTTTTTCGCTGCGAGCCTCGAGCTCACCGCCGTTTCCTTCGATCAAGCCCAGCGCAGCCGCTTCACGTACTTGCCGAAGCGTTCGAAGAAAATTTAACGGTTGGCACGCCGAACCCGACGGACACGTATTCAGCATATGACTCAGAAATGATAACTCGCACGTCAAACAGAATTCACGTTCACACGTGTGCGACATGACCCGCGAGCGCAACTCGGGAACAAAATGTAACATCTGTAAGACTGGATTCACGTAACAGTTGGCTAAATCGTTCGTAAGTCCAGGTAAGCACGTTTTGTTAAACGATCTGAAATCAAATGATTCGAACTTTCGCTCAGCTTTGAAGCTCCGATTACACTCTACCCGCTGATACAGTTTAGGAAGGTTTTGCTTCGATGCACGATCTCTTTCGAGATCTCCAGCCTCAGCGGGAGGCGCGATTCGCGATTTGAGCAAGTAATAGTGGGCTCGCCGAACCTCTCCCGGTTTCAAGCCACGGTTATGGTAGGGATTATTACTAGAATACGCTGACGTTCGAGTGCTCAAGCCACCAACCATTGATGGTATACCGCCACTACTACCACCACCACCACCACCACCCACACTACTCATTCCCGCGCTATTTGGGTTCACCATACTTAGAAAACCGCCGCTGTTATTGGCTTGACCATACGGGTTGACGGCAACGCTGGGATCCGGGAGATGAAAATTGGTTGCGTCCGCAACCGGGACTGCAGTTTCGTACGAGTTGTAGTTCACTAGCGCAGAATCATTCGTGCACCACGTGTGCACCCATCCAGACGTATCGCCAAAGCTCACGCACTGTCCACTGGATGAGATATCCATAGAATACATAGTTGCGCCTTGCAAATCCACCTGAAACTGATACGGTAATCCGGCTGAATTGTTTATGTCGTTCGCTTGTATAAAACCACTCTCACTCGCCATGAACAAAACACCCGTACTCGCTGGATTGAATTTAATCGCAACTGGTCCAGCAGGGAAGTGCAAATGGTGTATGGCTCTCGCCGTAAATCTCGTATCGTACACTTTCACGAACTGGTCGAGCACGAGAGAACCGCCCCGCGAGGTGAAACCACAAGTTGCCGTAATATCGTTCTGGCACGTCAAGGAGCACACCGCTCCCTGATGCGCGTCAATGCGCATTTCCTCTCGTAATCCATTTCGAGGGTCACGGAAACATAACTCTCCGTGTAAACCTCCAGCAGCCAGCAAACCACGTTGAGTGCCCCACTCCATGCGCATCGTTCCTTGTCCAGTTTTCACGTTCTTAATGACAATGCCACTAACTGGATCGAAATGCACAATTCCAGCGCTCGCTTTTCCTACGTATAACTTTCCACCGACGTGTCCTCTGCCGTGCTCGTACGCCGCACAAGTATAAGGAGAATCTCTTCCTTCACCGGTAACAACGTCGAGCGTCGTTTCACCACCTGTCGTGTGGTATCCTACGCTATTACCGCTCACTGATATCGCGCCACCACCGATTGGAACTACATCTGCTATCGCATATTCCCGATCTTGAATCGCACAGTGTCGTTCGAGCGAAGGTGCGTGCGATAGAGTCAGACTGCCCGTTTCCGTTCCCGTCCAAAGCAATTCTTCGGAAGAGTCGAATTTCGCCACAGTTACCGGGGGCGCCAACACGTGACCGAGTTCTTCTAGATGGTGCGGAAGCGTTGTCGAAACGCCGTACGGATAAAGCGCATCCATCTCGACCGCAGCGACTCTGCGACGCACACACGCGCGAGCGTCGTTCGAGTTTTTTATGGCGTCAATAGCACACAATCCTCGAAAAGGGATATGAAAATACGAAAAAAACACCAACACACAAGTTAACATCAAACAACAGGAAGAGCTCTTTGTTCGTTCGTCACAAGAAAGAGCTCGAGTGGAACGAAAGAAAGGATTAAAATATCATTTTGTGTGCTTTTTGTTGCATACGAAAAACACCCTGTTCGGTTAAAATGAGAGGACCAGACTCTTCGTCGACCAAATCTAAAGCGCAAAGACGCGTTTGGATTTTGGCTTTCATTTTCGTAGGGGTTGTGCTCTTCTCTTTCGGCAACAATTTCAACAACGAGGACGAAATGAACGGGACAGTGGGAATAAAAGAAGGTGAACGCAGCACATGGGAGAACGTAAAGCGAATGAGTTATATCAGTAGTAGTTGGAGTAGCACTAGTAATTATGGAGACGACTCCATTTCATCGACGCAACCGCGGTATGGAAGTGAATCAAACGAGGATGACTCTGCTGAAGAGATTGCAGAAGCAGGCGAAAGCAACGAGAGATACGACGGCGATGGAGAGATGAATACACATGCGGTCATCAAGCGCGACAACAAAAAATTCTTGAATAATTTCAACGGCGCGGTGGCCATGCACAGAGGCTCGTGCAAAGAAGGGTCTCAGATTCAAACACCGTGGATAGGAAAGGATGGAAAGAAAATAAGCCTAGGAAGTTGCACAAAAAAAGTGCTCGCGGTTTTACCGGATACGGATCCTTTAGCGTTTCGAAGATACAACACGTGTGCAGTTGTTGGTTCGGGTGGGATTATGGTGCACAAATCCGTAGCCGCAGATGCTCTCGGCGAAGCTATTGATAAACACGACGCCGTCTTTCGTTTCAATCTCGCGCCGACAAAAGGATTTGAAAAGTCCGTCGGTTCAAAGACGACGATTCGATTGATTAATCGCAAACATTTCGGCTTCAGAGAATTCGAGAACGAAACGTCTTTGCAACACACGACAACTCCGGACGTGATGAAACAATTTTGGGATTACAAGTCTTTGCATCCAGATTTACCCACCTATCCGATCGATGGGAGTTTTTATAAGTATGTGATGAGCGATAAAGACGTGGCAAACTCTCGGCCATCAAACGGATATCTCGGATTGAATCTCGCTTTGATGATATGCGATAAGATTAATGTGTACGGCTTTGCTCGCAATTGGAAACAGCGCAATATGAGATATCACTACTTCAATCGAGAGGAGCCGAACGAGAGCCAAATGTTGCGGGACGGTAAAGGGGAAATGCCTCTTCTGGAGCATCTGGTAAAGAAGAACAAGAATAGAATCAAGATGGTTCACACGTAGTAAAAATAGAATGAGATAGATAACGTTGTAGTCAGTTGGGAGAAAAGTGAAGAGAGTGAGATTGGAGGATAGAGCGGCTTTAGTTGAGTATTATATTATGATTAGGTGAAGTACATCTTTAAAAATGCATTTTTTTTTCTCCCCTACAGCCGTCCAAATTACAAATGTGATATCGCAAAATTTAAATGGCTGCGAAGTTGTCGCGCGGCGGGCATTCGCATATCTCTGGGGACGCCTACTCTGTCTCGCAAATACTCGAGAGATAACGACACGTTCTTCTTTGTTACCTGCGAAGCGTTTGTACCCAATACGTTCTCACATCCTTGCGGAATATCGCTATTATCCGTGCGCAAAAGCATAGCGGCTACAGTTCGCAACGCTACATCCACTGCTTCAACGTAGTCTTCGTTCGGTGTCGCGAATGGGTCTGATAACGGCGCAGAAACTCTCTTTTTCGACGGCGTCGCACTTGCGCCACGACACGCGAAGCGACTGACATTCTCGTAATTACTCAAAAGTTGTATTGCAGCTTCCAATCGATCTCTTTCTGGATTTTCTTTCTCCCAGAGAGGTTCCAGCGACGACTCGTTCAAAGGAGGGAGTGGCAGTTGCCACGATTTACCATCCCGACCATTAATCGCGCTCATCGCGTCGATTTGTTCCTGCGTGTTGTTCTCAACGCAGCCTCCAAGTTGAGGCGGTAAATCATGTACGTGCGTAAAATAATCACTTCGTATCATACGAAACGTCGGTCTGTTCGACATGTTCGCGAACCAATTATCGATGTGCGGCCATCGTTTCGAACCTTCGATTCTCAACCCCTTGTAGTACAACAATGAAGCCGCCATGCGTTCAAGAAACGGAGCAAACTTTATATCGACAAGCGAAAAGCCAGAATTCAGGAAATATGGAGAATCTACCGTCTCGCTAAGTCTCAAATCGACTTCATCCAAGGTTTCACAGAAAGTCGCTCGACTCGCCGCGTCGTTCCAATTTCCAGTCAGCCATTGCATCCAATTAGAGAACAATTTACGCTCTAACCTGAAAAGTGTCTGTGCCTCCGATGATTCATTTGGTGGTAGCATGGCAGGATACGAAGCTACGTCGCTAAACTTTGTCTCGAGAGCTTCTTGGATCACCGCAGACTCTGTCATCAAGACGCCGTCGATGACGACAACCGGGAGCATTCCACTCGGCACATTCTTCAAAAAACTCTGCGGTTTATCTCCATAACATCGCATGTTGATCTTTTCTACCGTGTACGGAATTCGTTTTTCTTCCAGCAACAGCCAAACGGTCTCACAATACGGACACCACCCAGCGTGGTCTCGATAAAAGTGAACGCGAATCTCCTCATCGGTTTTACCAAAAGTTCGTTTCAAACATTTCGGTGACGTCGGGCCTGCTTCTAAATCTATAGTTTCTGGAATGTCGTGTTTCTTCTTTAAATCTGTCGCGATGCGCTCCAAGTCTTTCCACGATGGAGCGTTCGACCCGTCGACCTCGACTACAGTCGCGTTCGTTATTCTTTTCTTCTTGCTCGACGTCGACGACATTGTTGTTGTTAAAAAGTCAATCGCGTTTGTAAAGAACGAGTTATTGGATGAAGCACCGGTTCGCACAACAGTTCCTCTTTTCGTTTTGTTTGAGCGCGTGGCTATTGCCGTCGATGATGATGCACCTGTTGTCGTTCTCGTCGAAGATGAGGGCGACGCTGCTGTTCCACTCATTGTTAGCAAACAAAAGTATGAGGGATGTTTTTATCTGTCGTCTGTGTGTCTGTAAAAATCTCTGTGGGAGAACTCCTTTTTTCTCCAAACTTCGAGTATATAATCCGATTTCTCATCCTTACTTAAACGCGCACCTCGCTGTTACACTTATTGAGCTGAAAATAAGAGCAGGTAATTGAAAATGATGACATCCGCGTCTATTTTATCGTCTCGGAGCGCGTACGCATCAACGAGCGTAAAATCGAAAAGACCGGAACAAAATAATAAACACCTATACAAATCAACGACGAAAGCGTTGTTCAACAATAGGAACAACAAAAGAAGAACAGAAATGCGAAGAGGAACGGGCGATAGCGACGATACGAAAGGAAGAGGCTATCTTATTGCACCACCGCCTCTTTTTCCTCTCGTGCCTGCATTTGCACGGCAAACGTACCGATACGAAATCGACGCGGGTAAAATGTGGTTCTTCGAGCAGAAGCAAGGTATAGGATTAGGCTTGAACGTGTCAGTGAACGTCCGCATGACGGTTATTAAGTTGAAAACGGGCGGGTTGTGGGTGCACGCGCCAGTTGCACCAACGAAAGAGTGCATTGTACTTTTAGATGAACTCGACGCGCCGGTCGAGCACATCGTGTTACCTACTACACTCTTTGAGCATAAGCTATTCGTGGGACCGTTTTCACGAAAATACCCAAACGCGAAGGTGTGGATAACACCAGAACAGTGGAGTTGGCCCGTGAATTTGCCGCCTTTATTTTTCGGCATAGATTATAAGAAGAATGGGGGCGGCATTTTAGGTGATTCGCAACCTTCGTGGATGGACGAGTTTGATATTGAGTTGCTAAAGCCGCCTGCTTTAGGAGTTGCTTCCTATGTCTCTTTTATCGAATGCGCTTTCCTTCATAAGCCCTCAAAAACGTTACTGGTTACTGATTCAGTCGTTTACGTCTCCGAAAACATTCCCGATGCCGTTTTAGAATGCGATTTAATGGAATCAGGCGACGACAATTCCTTCACCATTAGCGCGCTGAAGTTTTTAAATTTATTCAACATCCGCGAAAAGGCAAAATCTCGCACGAACGATTCCGCCTCGATGACTATAGAAGAGAAGAGACGTCTGGGTTGGCAGCGAAATGCTCTGCAGGCTTTATATTTTGGTCCAAATAACCTCCTGGATCCGGAAGAGAGTTGGAAAGACGTGACCAATCGCTTGTTCGTTGCTCCTGTGGTTGCGACGTTGGTGTACGAAAACGTTCCGGACTACGTCAACGATTGGGCACAGCGCGTCGCAAAATGGAACTTTAACCGAATCGTGCCGTGCCATTTCGATGCGCCCATCAAAGCTGGGCCAAAAGAATTTAGAGAAGCGTTTCGTTTTTTGCCTTCCAGCAGACCCTCGAAACTTGGTGGTAACAAACCGTCGAACTCCTTAAAGTCTCCGTACTTCAACGACGAAGATATGATTTTGTTACGCGGCGTTGCTGATTTTCTCAAGAACACGGGAGTCATTTTTAGCGACGAATCGAGACCGAAGAAGATAAAAGTAATTAGTAGTAGCAACAAAAACAAGCAGAGTTAGAAATATGTAACGGCAAGCGCGCGCAGTAGGAGCTATTTATTGAGCTTTAATTATTATCATTCGAAAAACAAACCCCTAATCGCGGCTTCATCTAGAATATCTTTCATCCATTTCTGTTTCAAAACATCTTTCGCTCGCTCGATGGACACCCATTCCCGCACTCGAATAGAATCTTCCGCCCATTTTTCGCTCTGTTCGGTCACGCGCATCAAGAAGAAGTGTGCAGTACATCCCATCGGGTTTGATTTGCTTTCGTATTGTATACCACCTGTGTTTGTCGAAATAGGTATTAAAGGAACCGCGCTCGATACACCTGCTTCCTCTAAAGTTTCCCTTCGCGCGGCTTCTTCCACGGTTTCATCGAGCTCCCATCCTCCTTTCGGGAAAGATCGTTTATCCGGTTTCCGTCTACAGCTAATCACGAGTACTTCTACATTACTATTGTTCTTGCTATTTGTCTCCATCGTCGTCGCGGCACTGTCCTTCTTAACGGTTTCGTCTTTTTCTGCCTTAGTTTCTCCGCGCGTGAATCGGAATGGAATGGTACCGGCAATCAGTCTTCGTTTATTCTCGTCGTCGTATCTCTGTTGAGATCGTCCAGTACGCGCATCATGACTTGACATCACCCAAAAGCCAAAAGCCAAGAGTATATATGTACGCGTCAAAAGTGACGTTGGGCGTGTGTTTGTGTGATGGAAAAAAGAGAAGAGAAGGTGAGAAACAAATTCCGATTCTTCAGAAAGTTGGCGCGCAGAAGAGACACACCACACGACATGGACGATCTCGTAGATTTGTTAGATTCTGATGATGACATCACTCCAAAAGTGAACGAGACTTCATTAGACGTGCAAGAAAGAAATGAGGAGATGTTCGACAAGCGAGAAGAAGAAGAGAGTGGAAAGCGCGCATCATTTGTGAGAAAAAAGGAAACGTCTTCTTCTTCGCTTTCGAAAGTCGTGGAAGAAGACGGAGAAGGACAAGATACAGAGAGAAACACGCGCGCAAACGACGATAACGAAGAAACTGTTTCGATGTTAAAAAGAGGTGCAGTGATTGCCGATCCTCTCGACCCGCAAAACTGGGAGGCTTATTCTCCCAAATCGTCAACTGAAGGCGAGCGAAAAGATGCCTTTACTTCTCTGAATGCCGACGATGAATACTTTAGAAGAACAGGTGGTACGAAACCTCCACCTCCACCGATCGAATCAAATAGAGCGAAAAGTATGAGTATTTCAGGAGTTACCCGGCATGTTCTCGACGCGACGAGTGATGTAGTAAAAGTGAGCAAAGAGAGCGAGAAACAACAGCTCGTGGGAAATAACAGAGTAGGTCCGGCGGCACCGAAGCAGGAAGTTCGAGATAGCGTTAATAATAGTAATGGTGAGAAACAGCCTTCAAGTGCGGAGACGATTTCGCAGCGCACGATTCGGTATCCGGAGCAGGATATGATTGCAGCGCAAAAGAACATTCCCAACCCGGGAGTCTCGTCGCCGCCGAGACCGTCCAGTTTAGAGAAAGGAGTTTTCGGAAAATCCCAAAAATCCCAGACCCTAGAAACCTATGCAA